GGAAGAATATCCCAGAGAAAAACAGGGAATACTACATGATGCATTTGGAGAGGTTGGCGAAGAATGGTGGATTGCACATCCACCAATGTAAAAGAATGTGGTGTGCAAGAAGCCTTCTTCGGGAAAGCTTCAAGAGCGACAACCAGATGCACAAGAGAAGAATGGCAGAGAAGAACAAAGTAAGTTTATCAATTAACAAATCTATATATTGTAAACTTTAATTAACATTGTTTCCTTTTATTATGCTATAGACACAGCAAGACATAAGTGATTCTTCGCTTTCTTCTCCTGATATGTCAGAAACTGGTGATGTTGAGTTGCCCATAATGGCAGATGTGCTGTAAGTTACCATTGTTGCTTTTTCTCATGCGCTGTTAATACAAAACTAATATAAACTTCTTACTCTTTTATGTAGGTCTCCTCCACCCACAGCAAGTGTCGAGCCTGCTCGCAAGAGAAGCCGAAGATCGTAGTTTGGCTGCTGTGATTGGCCGAGTTTGATTTTTTTAGTCTGTCTTTAGTGCATTTTTTTTCTTATCTTGTCATTTTTCTTTTTATGTTTTTTATTTCTTTTTTCTTTCATATAAAAAATTTATTGTCCTCTTTCATATGATTGCTAATGTTGTGATTACAAGAATTTGAAGCTAATGTACAGCATCTACAATTCCGCTACATTCAAATATAAAAGGAAATAGTATATAGCCTTTTTTTGGGAAAAAAATTAATAGTAATATTTTTGTACTGATATATTATGCTCGGGAGTCGTTCTATTATATGTAAGTATATTGAGTAAAATAAACACTTTGAGCTTTCTAACAAGATGCTCATTCCGGTTGTATGAATCAAATTCGAATTAGTTTCATGTTACATGACTTGAATCTTTGCTCAAGTTTTTCTTCTTCTACAATAACAACTTTCTATAGTACTTATGTTTTATTGCTTTTCTTATATATAGATTTTAAATATTAATACATTCTTTAATATATATATATATTTTTAGAGTAAATGCTTATTTTACTGAACAAGTAAGCATATTATATAAAGGTAAGCATTATAATAATATTATATCTATTTATTTATTTTAAGTTTTTTCTCTAATATTAGTATATTTGTAGAAATTGGTAAAAAATAATAAGTGCTATCTAAGATATATTAGAATACCCAAAGTATATGAAATACAATTTGAATAGTAGTGTTTTACTGCATACGTTTTGCAGTAGCTAAACAGAACCATTTTTTATTGCGAGTGGCCGATGGAATTGTTTTTTCATTATTACTATTATTATTATCATTTTCATTTAATAAAACATGCATTGAAATAAAGATTCAATTCAATTAAACCTGATTCAATATTGTATAATAAAAAACAGACCATTCTGTTAAAGCTGCAAAGGAAAAACAAGAGGTTGTGCTAGAATTGAAAGCAATAGAACAAAAGAAAGAATGTAATAGAGGAAAGGAAGGACGCTTGATTTTTTTTGAAAAATGGTAACAGTGCCTGTTTTGGCTTTTTACATAATAAATAACTGCCATTTTTTATTATGAAAAAAATGGTAACAGTGCTTGTTTTGGCTTTTTACATAATAAATAACTGCCATTTTTTATTAAGTAAAAAATGACAGTTATGTTACCAAAGTGGTAACATGTTACCATTTTCTTCGCAGTAGTGATATGCAAATATAAATTCTTTTTTCTTTAACCTAATTACTCACTACTGTGAAGTACATTGACATAGTTTATTTTTTGAAATCAGAGTTGATACTGAAACTCAAGTTGAATATATATTTAGTTAATTAGTTATGTTTTTATTTCTGACAATTTCGGAAGAGAAAAAATATATAGTCCTTGCATTTTTACCAGAAATGGCTATTCAATTTAAAAAATAAGAAAATAGAATAAAATAATGGCTCCATAAGACAAAAATACAGTAGTCCCTCAATAATTTCAAGGCCTAGGGAAGGCCAGATGCCTTGAAATTATCGAAGAGTGAAATTAACGAGTTCGGAGTATATATTTTCCGCCAACTATGGGCGGAGTTTACATTATTCTTTAATAGAAAAAAATATATCAAGTAATAATTCGATATGCTTCAATCATCTGTTTAAATTCATTCTAGTTAAATATAACCCTGGCTGTATTACTGTTTTCTACCTCCTCTGTCTTGTAACTAATTATTGTTTCAAATTCTTATTCAATCAAATAATAACAGCTTCTCAGTATGCTTTTAGCTTATTATATAATGCTTATCTAATATCATTTTCAATTTTTCTGATACTTTAATGAAATCTATCAAATCCAGAACTAAACAATAAATATGACCAAAAAAAACGTTTCGCTTAATATTGCAAATCATCTTGAGATTTGCGATATGAAAAAGAAAAAGCTGTCTATGAGTAACCCTCAATTGGCTGACTGGGCAAAGGAAACCTATGGCCTTCAGAAAGTTTCTGATGCTTCTACAATCTCGAAAATTTTGAAGAGAGGAGACCAGGGCTTAATAATGCAAGCCAACGTAAAGAACAGAAAGTGTGTTAGAAAGGGAAAATGGCCTGTATGTAATATATCTCAACATTATGCATTTTTGCTTTATATAAAAAATAAAATTAATCTTATTATATTGTCACATAACTATAGCAAATCGAAGAAGCAGTGATTCTTTGGATCAACATTGCTGAAAATAATCAGATTCCCATCACTTGGGAATTGATTAAGACTAAAGCTACTATTTTTGCTGAAAGAATAGGCGTTAATGATTTTAATGCTTCTCAAGGCTGGATGGAGAAGTTTGGAAAGCATCATTGTATCAAGATGAATCGAATTCATGGTGAGGCTGGTTCAACAGACATAGAGTCGCTTCAGATTGACAAGACTGCTATCAAAGAGAAGATAGAGGCTTATAGTGCTTGTGACATCTATAACTTTGATGAAACAGTACTTTTCTATGCCGCCTCACCAAGAACAACAATTTCCCGCCAGAAATTTTCTGGTTGGAAGGAAAATAAGAAGCGGCTTACAGTAGGCCTTTTGTGCAATGCCGATGGAACAGACAAGTGGTCTGACATATTGATGATTGGTCATGCAAGAAGACCAAACTGTTTTAACAAAAACAATAAAAAACAAGAGGCAGTAGATCATGGATTTTCTATGTATCATTACAACAGTAATGCCTATATGACACAATCAATCTTCCAAGTTTTTCTCCATCGCTTTGATTGTTCAATGAAAGCGCAAAACTGCAAAGTGCTTTTGATCCTTGATAATTTCTCTGGCCATATAGTAAATTATGTGCCTACAAATGTTGAGCTTCTTTTTCTGCCTCCAAACACCACGTCCCATCTTCAGCCATTGGATAGTGGTATCATTTGGGCTTTTAAGGCTTATTTCAAGCGTAAACAGTATGCCAAGGCATATCAGTATATTGGCATGATTCAAAATGACCAACAAAATAAGATTGGGGCCATTGATAAAATCTTTGAAATTGATCAATTGTGGGCCATGAAAGAGATAAGAGAGGTTTAGGAATCTGTCTCAGCAAAGACTATTGAGAACTGCTGGAATGCAATAATCTTTTACTTCATTGAAGACAAAGATAGTGAAGGTATTAGTAAAACAATTTATTGGTTATAATAGTACTATAATCTTTTAATTCCACTTTCTTAATATTCTAAATATAATTTATAGATGTAAATCAGACTATGATTCAGCAAAGTCTGGCTGAAAAGGTTCTGGTTGAGGGCTTGGAAGAAACCCTAGACAAGATTGCCGGATCAAGTATTCTGTCTCTTGAAGATTGTCCAACCAGCAAATCAGATCCACTCTATGAGAGACAATGCACTCATAGAGTGATCAATGAGAATGAGATCGCTGATATTGTCATGAAAGAGTATGACGCAGACGACAATGCAGCCAACAACAACAGCAATGAAGAAATTGCTGAAGTGGAATCAGCAGTTCCTTTCAAGAGAACTTATTCTGCTTCAGAAAAGTTTGAGTATGTTTGCACGCTTTTGGATATCTTGGAAGACGAGGATATTGACAGAGACTTCGTCAGTAAGGTTGAAGGTCTTAGAAACAAGTTCCAGAAAACCACGAACTCAAAGCAAACTAAAGTAACCAGCTTCTTTAAGTCTTTTTAAAATTTATTCTTTTTCAAATAAAATAAAAACAATTTTCTATAAGAAATATATTTTTCTTCATTTAAAAATAGAAAAAAAAAGTTAGCAGCCAAGTACAGTCAAAGCTTGATTTCGTAATATGTTTGTAAATAGTAATAATTGCAAATAACAATAAGTAGTAATGACAGATAGAAATAATAAAATCTACAATAAAAACTTTTATAACAAACAAATTAGAATTATATTTATATTTTTCAAGTGAATAATCTTTACTAAACAATTAATAAATGAAACTTAATCAAAATATAGCACATATAGTTTTATTTTATTTCTGAAAAAAAAATGAAAAAAAAAAAATTTTAAAAAAAGTAAGCTAGATGACAACTTGATAACCCAGTGTTTGGCATGAAAACTTAACACACTTGACATTGATGTCAATTACAAAATCGTGATAAAGCTAGAATTAAAAAAATTTAAACCAAGCTGTAACTATATTGCTCTTGTCTGATTGGCTAATTTTTTTCTTTAAGGATTCAAGGCCAAAAAATTTTGTGAAAGTGAAATTAACGAGAATCGTGAAAGTTAAGCCCTATTTTTCGAGTTGTGTCTTCAGAGCCTTGAAATTATTGAAGCGTGAAATTAAAGGGGCGTGAAATTATTGAGGGACCACTGTAAATTTAAAGCCTTCTAAATATCAAAAAATATTTGGTAATTGAAAAAATGACTTTTCTCTTCAAAATTTGGCAAGTTTTTTCAAATAATTGTAGATTTTTTTCTACAGTGTTATCTTATATACTTTTTGAAATGATTATTTATCTTTGACTACACTCAAGTGGTGTCTAGTAATATTACAAATTATTATAAGTTGGTTACAAATTTCTAAAATTACAAACTGATGAATAATCATTCTAATTCCTGCTTCTTTTGTAAGAACAAGTCACTAGAACTTGTATCACCAAAATTAAGTATGACACTTATAGTGTCGGACATTATTTTGATGAATCCGAGAAATCAGGATAATTGACCGCAGCAGTTCTGTATGTCAAAGATACCTCATAGATAACGAACCGCAGTAATGTCTTGTAAAGATTAACCACAGTAACATCTTCTGAGCATCAACCGCAGTAAAAGGACTTCTCTTGTAATTAAATAGAGTATAATAGTTTACTGTGGATAATGCGCAGTATTAGTTTAGAAAACTATATAAGACAATTCAATTCCTATCAATAAAAAGCATCTTTTATCCTCTCTTTGATTTTACGTATACTCCTTGATCCCCAGTGGGTTTGACCTTTTGACTTTGTTATAGTAAAAGGAAGACCAACCCAGATCGGGAACGACAATAGTAAAAGGAACACCAACTCAGATTGGGAACGACACCCATAAAACAAAAAACTAATTTAGGACCCACCGTGATTTGAACACGGGACCTTAGGATCTGCAATCCCACGCTCTACCGCTGAGCTATAAGTCCATAGTTGATTGTTTGTACTATTATATTATATTAAACACAATACATTAAATTGCGGGTTCAACTCTGGAAGCTATACACACTAGAAAAAAATCTACAAGTATTTTTTGATACTCATAACTTTCTGACCAAAACTCATAACTTGAAAAGCTCCGACACGCACTTACCAAGTTTAGTATGTGTTAAGCCTATTTTAGTATTCTGAGGCTGACATTAAAATGTGATTATTTTGCTTTTAAGCCAGAAGGCCATTTTAGATGAATATATTATATAAAACTACTTATCAGACTGCAAAACTAGAAAAGGGACAAACATGACCTATAGCTTACTTATATTTTTAATCTGAACTTAAAGACGCCTTTGCTACCAAAAAGTAATGACTGTGATTATTTTTTAATACATTGTTGTTTTTTTATTTTGTAAAAGTCTTTTTTAATTCTACTTTTTCACAAGATTTAAATTATTAAAGATCTCTAAAAAGAACACACTTAATGACTATGAAGGCTAGTATTAATAAAATACAAATCAGCAAAGTTCACAAAAGAAAGTAATTTGAGAAGAATTGATAGAAAAATATCTGCATCAAGTATAATTTTGTTGTCAAGATTGCTAGCATGCTCATTAGAGATCTTTGTAGATTTTGAGAATTGCAGGGAATCTGTTTTCTGTTTTTTCCAAAGTAGGAATCAGATATAACAATATTAATACAAAGCAGATTTATATTCTTTGATTAAAAGAATCAATTAAAAAATATACATGTCTTCATCAATATCATATTACTTAGAAAATAGTTTTTTTTAGATAAAACAATGTAAAAAGTATTATATAAAAATAGATATATGTATATTATTTAATGAATGTATAGCTTAAGCTGTTACTAAATATTATAAAAATTAGTATCTTTTTTTCATATACTTCTTTATGTTTAACTTGTATTATTTTGATTAATAAAAACCAAAAAAATTAATATAAAACATCATGCATTTGTTGAACTAATCATAAGGAGAATATAAATATTTAAAAAGATATAGATCTGTCATATTTACAATATTTTATTGGCTTAGATGCAAAATAATAAAAAATCGCATAAATTGTATTTGACAAAAAGTAAAACCAATAGGCTAAAACAGACATTCTATTAGCTATAAAAGTTACAAGTTTGTAACTTATTACAAGATCAGTATTTTAATAACTAACTTTTAAATAACAGAAGTCACAAATACATAACTTGGTAGTATCTACTTATTTCCTTGCGCACCAAGTTTAAATTATTTGGGGGTCCACTTTTTTATGTTGCAAAAAGCTTTAAATTTTAAGGATGTGACTTTTCCATATAGAGATTTTGCAAGGTAGCTTTTATTAAAACTTTTTTTGCTATGTTTTTTTTCTTCTCTCTTCTTTATTTTAATTACATATACTATCATAATATAAGCTCACCAATGTTCAACACTATATTCAACCTTTGAAATGTGTAGAATGCTTTAGTCAACTTACCTACAGAAGGAATAAAATTGTTTGCTTTGGATATTGTAGTAAAAATAAAAGCAAGTGAATGAGAGCAATGCCTTGACTCCATTCAATCACTTTGTTCAACAAAGTGGAATAAATGTAGAAAACGTTATGTAAGAGAACTGATTTATGAAGAGACAAAAAAATGTCACCGAGCAGGATTTTATATATCAGACAGAAATGTTTGTCTTGCTCAGAAAGACACTAAGCTTTGTTATTGCGAAGCTACTATTTTCATCAAGCATGTTATATTTTAAAAAAAAGAAAGAAAAACAAAGTGCAGAAGAGAAGTACAATGAGACTTTATTTATTGATGAAAAGAGAGATACCTTTCTATTGCTATTTGCTATGTGAATTTATATAGACATTGCATGTGTATTTAAGATAATAATATGAGTATATCATGTGATGTCTGTTTTCTTATATCATAGATAATATATTGTTAAGTTATTACCCATGCTCTTGTTTGAGTGATTAGTGATGTTGACTAAGGTGTGTGACCTTGTTATCGGTATATTCTTTATTTAATGATAGTGTCAGAAATAATGTATAATTGATACTGGTCAATTATTCAATATGTCTTTGTCTTATTATCTGTGTGCTCTATTTGAATCTATAATTATGTTGGATACAACAAAGCAATACATCAACAACCCTGAAGTAGTTTTAATTTGTATGACCAAAGATCATACCAACCATGTTTCTGGTGACGCTTCAGAAATTAGAACATTGCCTTTACCTTCTGAGGCCATCAAAATTATTGAAGATCAGTTAAAAGGGACAGCATCTGTAGAAATACTAGAATTTCAGTTTTGAAACAAATTAAAGAGTGGGGCATAGACATTAGAAAGCCCAATTATAAAAACATCTATAACAAAATGAGAATGATGTGTGAAGAATACTATAAGATGAAAGTTATTTAAAAAGTGAAATAAAAAATATAGATGAAAAATTTATTGTATAAGTGTCTCCCTGATGAAAATAAGTCTCTGGATATTTAGATGCGTGAGAAGTTACCATCACAGAATTACTGTATCTTTACTAGCAATCTTTCTGCATACAGCAACAATGCATAACATTTTGCATTTGGATTTCAATCACTATCTCAAATGATACTTATGAGAATTTCCCAGTGGTTTTGTCTTGGCGCAACACACAACATCTCTGCATGCAACATTGAAATATTATACTCCCTTGTTACTTGTCATTCTGATACTGAAAAAGGGTCTCCTGTTATATACATTATTACAAACAATGATAGTGTTGGCCCCATTAACCAATGACTTGTAGATCTTCACAAGAAAAGCTGTTTCACTTCCTTATATATTACCATCGATTGCAGTATTGCTGAAGTTAATGCCATTACAGCAGCATTGTCACAGATCATTATCTATTTCTGCGAGTTTCATGTTTTGCATGCCTGACAGCATAATATAGACAGCAAAGTAAAGCTTGATGCTTCATATACATCAAAACAACTTGGCAAATACAAGTATGAGCTCAAGGCCAATCTCAAAAATATACTTATTGAATCAGATGAGGATGAATTTTTGAGAAAAATCCAGGAGTTTAGGCTTTATATACAAAGTCAACAATAATTCCTGGCTTATTTCGAACGTAAATGGATTGGAACAGAAGAATTGTTGAGAAGATGGGAAGGCCATATGTTGCAAATGACTACCAAAGATATTTGACAAACAATTACATTGAATCGTGGCACAATCAATTGAAAACAATATACTTTGACCGTACTCGCATAAGACAATTGAACTGTCTTGTCTTTATTTTGATAAATGATATGGAGTTCTTTTATGACAAAGAAGTGGAACGAATCCACATACAAAATGAACAAATAGGTCCAATAGAAAATGAACTTGCTCAACACTATTTTTCTGCCAATACCATACAAGATGACATGCTCTCTTTCATGATCATTAATCCTCTTAATGAGATTGGCAATAGCATAGAGGACTCTAACGGCAAGTGGACAGTAAAATCATTTACAGGTGAAACACAATGGTATTAGGTTAATGTATCAAACAATTTGATACAAAATTGCACTTGTTTCAATTTTGCTTCACGTCAAATTCCCTGTAAACATGCATATCTTCTAAAGAGATTTATTAGTCTAGACTTTGCATATACAGCTCAAAGGGAAAACAACTACCTCCAACTGCAAAGATTGCTTGCATCTGAGCATGAAGTGACAGTTGTTAATAAGAAAGTTGAAAATGAAACAAACACAGTTGTTGTAAGTGGTAGAAACAATTCTGTTTGGTTGCAAAGAATCATGGCCCAGAATATAACACTTCATCATCAAACAGAAGACTTAGAGCAGTTGATGGATGTTCTAGGAATTGATGAAGCCAAATTACAAGTGATTAGTGGTTTACTTGGGGAAGTAATGAATTATATAGACACTTTTAGAAATTCAAAATCTTTCTGCTTTAGAAATCTTAGTATACAAAGATAATAAAAAATTACAATTATGTTCTATAATAATATGTTTTGATAAAGAGAAAAAAAATGTAAAAAAAACATTAAGATTCCAAAAGAAACAACAAAAGTAAAAGCTGTCACTGCTTCTACACATCCTTATAATTTAAAGCCCCTTGTGACATAAAAAAGTAGACCCCCAAGTAATTTAAACTTGGTGCACAAGGAAATAAGTAGGTACACTTGGAACAAGGTCGGAGATATAAATCCTACCATTTCCTACAGTGACATTTATCAGGGTCTGTACATCTGGTTCCCTCCTTTGCCCTTGCTGTCATAGTGTCGCATCATAGGCACTAATGGCTGAGTGCAGCCATTATTCTACTACCCTTTCTGTATCTGCAAGTCATTGGTTCTTCTGTCTCATGACTCATTAAGTTTTGCCGCTGTTCTAATCTGATTGAGTCTGATTCTGTTTGTGTTGTAGCTGTAATTTATAATGTCTGTTATGAGCTTAATAAAGCATATATTCTTTTTTATAAGATTTTGTCCACAAATTAACTTTATTAGTCATATACTTTCTATTTACTTTCTATTTCCTCTCTTGTATCAGCTTTCTTAAATATTTTCTGATCACAGCTATATGATCTATAGATTGCCAGTATTATGTGATATAATAAAATATAATCTTTAATCAAAGCTATAAGTCTATATATACTTTTAACACAGACTGTTAAGAAAAAGATCAGCTCCCAACAAAATTTTTGTTGTCTAGCACTGCAGTGTCATTGTAGAATTCTTTATAATTTCAGAAAATTATATTTTACTTATTTTTATTTTTCAATGGTAGTTGAGACTGAATAGAAATTGATTTTTCTATTTGCAAAGTAAAACACCAATAAGTTAAATGAAAAAGCTCATTATTCTATCAAAAATACTTCACACAACCATACACTCTATCTTATTTTTTAGCTATATTTAACTGAATAAACCAACTTAGAATTAACATTGTTTTTATAATTTTTTTATAAGTATAATTACTGTTATGATTATAAATTAATAATTATTTTTAAATATTTTATTTATACTTAACAATACTAAAGAACAAATCATATTTAATAGATCATTAATTATATAACTTTCTATTATATTTTCTAATATTATGTTTATTTAATTATTTAGCAAGTCAATTGTAAAGCTATTTAAAATTCATATAAATATTGCAATAATTGCATTTAATAATATGGATTTTTCTTTGTCTTATTTTCTGACTACAAGTTTTCTTAATATTTAATGCTATTGATATTTTACTTGTTTAATTATCTGAGTATATTGAGTCAAGTTTATTGAGATTGATCAATAGTACTGTTTTTCTCTTATTTTTTTAATATTGATTTTATTATATTTAATTTTATATTCTCTTTTGAGTTTATGTTTTTTCTTTTATCAAAAAAAAGATTTATTTCATATTTTTGAATCAGTTGCAAACTCTCAAAAACAGTGATAACTTATTAATTATCAATATTTACTACAAAAACAAGTATTACATGCATTGCTTTTGACACTTACTCTAATAACTTTATCAGTTTTAGTGTCAAACTGATATTCTATCAATTTCAGACTTTCTTTTGAAAACTCTTTTTTAGTTTTTCTTTAAATTTTAATTTTCTTTCTTTTATTTTCATAAAATTGCCTTTCACCAGAAATTGATTTTCTGAAAATTAAAATCTTTTCCCATTTATTTTTTCCAAAATTATTTTTTCTTTTTCTATTTATTTTTATTTCTGTGCACTAAATGTGACGTGTTTTCTCTAACAGTATTTTATCAAAGTTTTTAACTAAATAGTTTTTTCTTATATTTATAATATAATTCTTTTCACTATTTTTCTTTTCTTATAATTATATATTATAGCATCATCTATTCTTATTTTAGAACAAGATATTTATATAGAAATTTTCTTTATATTTTTATTCATGATTATTTCATAAAAATTTATCTAGCTTATTTTTGTCATATATTTTATCTAAAAAGTAGTATAAATATCTCTTCAAAATTAATAAATAAACAGTTATCTAATTTTTCTGATAAAATGTTTTCTTTAAGACGCTGTCTGTTATTCTGATCTCTATTTGTGAATGTCTTTTCTTTTATTTATTTCTCTGTCAAGTTTTTATAAAAGATTGACTGTTCCCTTTTATTTTATTATTTTGTCTCAATTTCTTTTTTAATTTACCTCTTAGTAAATTTATCATAGTAAATTTTCTTTAGTTAATTTTTGGCATTTTATATGGAGTTTACAGAGTTAGAAAGCTTAAGAAAAAGACAAAAATCTGTAAAGAATTCCAAGCACGTGGAGTGTTGTAACAATTTTACACTATAACATAAAAGATATATATATATATATATAAAGTTTGTAAAAGTTTTAATAGTAAAAATGTAAACAAGTTAGGCATGTGACCTTTAAGATTTCATTCATATCTTACTAAACATATTGTATTCCCTTCTTACTTTTACTCTTATATTAATTTTAAAAACAAAATGTCTATATATACTCTCACACCTGAAGAAAGAGTTTAAAGAGAGCAGCAATATATAAGGAAATATCAATGTAATCACTGACAAGCAATGCAAGTGGAACCAACAGAGACAGAACAAAGAAATCTAATATCTTAAGCAGAATATATGTGGGATTACCAACTCAGATGCCAGCAAGCTGCAGAAAGAAAAATGATAGTGATTATGATGATGAAGAATATTAATAATTCTTGCAATAACAATGTGCAAGAGCATCAACATAATCAATGACATACAACTGAGATAGTAGTAGTAGATATAGTAAATGCAGATAAAAATTACAACTCTTATACAGAGTATGTGCAAGAGTATAGACTCAGATGCCAATGTATAGCTGAAACAGAAGCAGTGATAACGAATGTAACAGAGACAGATTTAGTAGGGGCAGAAGTAGTGACCCAGAGATATTGAGCAGAATATATATGCAAGTATAGACATAGTTGACAGTGAATAGCTGCTGAAGAGAATGAACAAGAAGTAAGAAGACGTAGACTAAATGATATTGACACAGATAATTGGAGAAGCATACAAAGAAAATATGAGTTCACTATCAGAGAGGATTCTATATCAGTATACAGATGTTGTAGAGATCTTTTCTTCCAAAAACATATCTCTTTTGTTAAAAGAAGTGTACTTGTTGATAACTGGGAGTGTACAGATAATTTGATTGAGAAAAAATTTTAGGCAATTGATAACTATAAAATTTCAAGTACTTTTGTTGTTGAGAAAATCACAGACAATATTCCAATATGTCCCACATGCAAAACAACAATTAAGAAAAAAACACTTCCAACACTTGCTCTCTTCAATAGTCTTCAATTTCCTGATTGCATTATTTGCTTAGACAATCTCACAAGATTAGAAAAAGACTTGTTGCACATCAACATGTTTTCTAATTTATATGAACACACAAAGGATTAACCAGACAATATAGAAGTAAAGGCGACATTGTTAATGTCAATATAACAGTTTCATTACTTTCTTGTAATTTTGACAACTCAAATACAATCTATTTGAGTTTGGCTTGTAGAATCGGTTATATAAAAGACTCTATCAGAGGTAATATAAGTCATGTTAAAGTTTGGAGAGCAGCACTATTTCTACAGACAACAACACTCTCTTAAAAATATACTATCTTCTTGAGTTATAATTGGATACAAGAGGTTGCCAATAATGATAGTGAAAACATAGAAGAAGTTAATAGTGTTGAAGACTTTGAAAGGAATAAAGAAAGTAGTACCAAACACAAATCAATAAATCTAGTGAGCAGGAAACAGCTATAGTTTCAGATCACAAAGCTCTCAGACTTTTGTCTGAATATAAAAGAATTTCTTTATCTATTTTGACTGATAAAGACAGTGACTTTTTGGCTTTTCCTCAAATCTTCTGTGACTAGCAATTATCTACTGATACTCTGACTTACTCTTTCCTGACAAAGTTTATTGCAAGGAGATTTGATTGTAGAGCAGCACAAAGAGTAGAGTATATACTCTATATGGACAGAAAAAATCAAATAATCACAATGTTTAATAACCAAAATACAGTTTTCCAAAAGAATACAAAACTCTTCAATAATATACTATATGCTGCATCTGACTTCTTGAATAATGATAGTATTGATGAATTACTCAGTAAAGATCAGACTTATAAGACATTGAGTAGTATTCCTTCTACTGCAAAATATTAGAAAAACAAGTACTAGAAAAATAAAAAAATATTATAGTTTTAAGTAATCAGAAAGGTAGTGGAAAAGTCAGAGGTTTTTTCAGCTAAGCTGTTTATTTTATTTAAGTTAAGAATATATTTTTGACATATTCTATTAGTTTAAATACACAATAAAAAATTCATATTTTTCTAGGTTGCTATAAAAGCACCAAATAAAGTATTTGTAATACTTGTTTTCTTTTTTATTTTATAATTCAAGCTATACACATTTTTTTGTAAGGAGGCTGGGCCTCAGAAATTTTATTGAGCTTAACAATTCTAAGAGAAAGAGGAAGTCACAATCCTGTTTTTGGGTTTTTAAATTATATGTAAAATGAGTGAGTAGCTAGTCTGAAAGAGGCAGGGATAGTTTCGCATGAAAACTGGTGACAAAAGAAGCAGCAGTGACAAGGACTGATGTGCTCAAGAAAGGAGCATTGTCAAACATAAAGGACCAGTAATGGCACCAGATTGTGAGAAGAATACAGCTGACAAAAGAAACGGCAAGAATGTCTGGAGTGAGGGATGGTGGGAGACATAAGAAAAAAAGAGCAGAATGAATGTCTTGCATGGAGGGCACATTGCCAAAATGGGTTGACCAAAACATAGTCCAGATGGAGAACTTTGGAGAACAAGTGAACAGAAAGTGAGATGTAGATTCCTTGATGTCACCACATATGGGGCAGGACCCGCCAGGAAAGATGGTAGGAACCGTTTGATGTAGAACAGAGCAACACAACAGCTTGTTGTGAAGAGTGCGGAACCATAAAGAACAGACAGAATGGTGGATGGAAGTGGACCAGAACGTGCACCGTTGGTGGGTGTGGAGAGGAGGAATGGGGTTGTCTGGAGACAGGGTGCAAAGGGTGTGGAACGTTTTGGGCAAGAATGGTTTGCAAGGTATTATGGGAAACATACTGGTGAGGAAGGGGCTGGGGTCCACATGCAACACAATGGGAGAGGAAGGTGGAGGAAGGAGACCATCAAGCAAGGAATGTAGGAGAAGAGAGCGGAAGAAGAAAGGTTGTAATAGAACGGAATGATTGTCAACTTGATGGAAGAACTTGGTGATGATGCGAGGGGATTGTGGACACTTGGGTCTTGTTTGATGACAAAGTACTTGCAATGAATCATCTACAACAAAAGCGTCAGTGACGAGAAGATGTCGCCAAGTCCGTGGTATGAGAGAGGATGGTAGGCAGATAGAGGGGAGAGGCAAGGAGAGGTATGTGGGGTGGTTAATAGAAATGGAGTCAAAGAAGTGTGGCAGGAGATCAATGGCAGCAAATATGTTTCTAAAAACACTGTCAATATGGCGGAAAGGTAGAGGACGAAGATCAGGAAAAAGTAAAGGTAGACGAGGATCCAGGATCCCAGAAAAGGACCAAAGAAGGAAGGACAACCAAGGAAGGACCAGACCGGATTGACCAAATGGGGAACAGACAAGAGGGAGAAGCCAACGAAGTTGTAGAGCAGATTGCTGTATAATTGGATCAAAAACCCCAAGTCCACCAGATATGGATGGGAGGCATAATGTGGCAAGCTTGATTGGAGGGAACATATGATGTTGAAGAAATTGTTCCATGGCTGATCATATCTTGGATATGAAGGCAACAGGGACAGATATCACTCGAAGAACATGCCATAGTTTGGAGAGAATGAGTGTTTAGAATGGTGGCATGGCCACGGATTGAGAGAGAGCATGAGAGATGAATATGACAGGCGGATTAGATTTTGGTGAGAAGAGAGGAACAGAAGGAGTCGCGTTGTATGATGGATGTGTAAAGTGGGAAGCCAAGGTAAATGAGTGGAAGTGGAGAGCATTTATCATGACAGTCCACAATTTGAAACTGTTGTAGGATGTCTTGCCAGGACAACAGAAGGCAACCGGACAGGGACAGAGCTTGTGTTTTGTGCATGTTGATATGGGCATTGGATATGTTGGCATAAGTGTTTAAGTGGACTTGGAGGCGGGAAAGACTAGGAGGATTGGGGAGGAACACAAGGAGGTTGTTGGCATAGGCAAGGAACTTGATGGCTTGTGGTGGGAGGAGTGGTAATGGAATTCGTGGGTTAGGGTCTGTGGGGGAAGGAACGGTGGGTGGTGAGATAGACAGTGTGTAGCCAGGGAATTCAGAATCGTGAAGGAGACGGCAAAGGAGTGGTTTGAAGGCAAGGTTGAAAAGGACTGGAGAGAAAGGGTCCCCTTGACGCAAACCATGGGATTGAGAGAGAGAGCAAGAAATATGGCCATTGACATTGATGGTAATGTTAGTCAAAAAAAAAGGGAGCATATGGATGAGATGAGAGATTAGGGGAAGTAAAAGTGAGTGAGAACCTTTCGCAGGTAATCTGGATGAACTCTATCATAAGCCTTCTCCTGATCAGATAACAGTCCTATGTCAGAGGCATTGGTGATTCAAGCATTTTCCATGATGGCTTTGGTCAGGATTCTATTGTCTGCAATAAACTATCCATGGATAAATCCAGTTTGGTATGCGGAAGCAAGAGAGCTGGCTGCAGGAATCATGCAGTTGTTGACAAGGTGGGTGAATACTTTGGCACCGGCATTAATGAGAGCTATGGGCCTCCAGTTCTTGAGAGAGGGCAGGTCTCTTTTCTTGGGAAGAAGGATAACACATGTCAACTGCCAGGAAGTAGGGAATATACCAAGATGGAGGGTATTATTGTAAATGACATAAGTGAGGTTGGTGTACATGGGATGGTCAATAAGGAGTTGGAGGATTTCATAGGGTATGCCATCTGGGCCGGGGCTACTGGACTTAGGGGAGCAAGTGGTGCTAGCACAGATGTTGATTATTGTTAAAGGGGCAGTGAGTTGATCATGGATGGAGTCAGAGAGGTAAAGGTCAGGAGGAAGGTTGCCTAGCAAATCTGAAACTGCGGGCGGTTGGATGGGATCAGCTGTGTACAAAACCTCATAAAAGGCTGCAGCAGCATCAGTCATGTCTGTTGCGTCAGTGCAGACGTGGTCGGTGGTAGGGTGGCAAAGAGAGGTGATGGTGGTACAGGATTGACGGGTAGTGACAGTTCGTTTCAAATAACCAGCAGAACATTCACCTTGTTCTCGCCAGTGTTTACTGGCACGAAGAGCTAGTATCTCGACTTGTTCGGTTTGGAGAGACTGTATTTGACGTTTGAGGTGAGGAAGTTGCGGAATGGTCGAAGGGTCCAGATGTTGGTGGAGGAGATGGTTGCATTTGGCATGTAGTTTGCGTTCTTGGTCAGCAAGGGTGCGGCAAGGACGACGAGAAAAAGCGAGGGCAAATTGGGCGATTTTGGATTTGATCCAGTCCCACTGGTCTTGTATAGAGCCTATGTGGGGAAGCTGGGGAGAGAGAGATGAAAGAAGATTATCGAGTTCCTCACAAAAGGAAGGGTTGAGAGCAAGGCGTGGGTTGGCACGCCAAAGTCCCTTGCCAATTTGTTGGGTCATAGTAAAGCGAAATGTCACCTTCACAAGATAGTGATCTGACTATAAAGGTTGGATGTATGTTACAGAGGAAGACATTATGGATGGGGCGATATCGGGGGAAGCATAAATATAGTCTAGGCATGAAGAGAAAGATCCTCTTTGAAATGTAGGGAGGGGGGGGGGGCGTACCTGTTGGAGTGACACAGTCATGTAGATTAGATCGCACAAACTGAAGCCATTCACGTGGGGCCTTTGGGGTGCGAGTTATGGGTGTGGTTGTAGAGGGCAGAGAGTTATAGTTAAGGTCACCCAAAAGAATAAATCGGGAGGGGAGAGGTGGGATAAAGTGAGGGTTGTTGAGAAGTGATGTAAGAAAATTATGTCTATGGCTTGGGGTGGATGGGGCATATACAACGCAGATACGGATGGGGGGGAAGAGATTGTTGGAGTGAGTGACAGTAGCTGTAATGCTGCGACCACACATGGTGAATAAGGGGTCAGTAAACATTAGAAAGGGGGAAAGAGAGACTAGGCCGCAATGGGGCGACCATAATGTAGATGAGGAACGGAATTGATGTTGGAAGGTCTGTTGAAGAGCTTCTGTGGTGGCATGGGTTTCTTGGAGGGCGAGTATGTCAAGATGTTGGGAGCGGAGGTATCGAATAAATAAGGATCGTCTTTGGGGGTCTTGCAATTTTGCAAGCCCTCTACAGTTTAGTGTTCCTATATTGATCATTGAGGGAGGTTAATATTTTGGTGAACGACAATACCTGTCATAAGTGAGCCATGTTGGTCATTGTCTGCATTATTGCTGTTGCTAGAGGATTTGGATTCAGCACCATTTTTGCTGTCTTGAGTATCCATAGCCAAATCGTCCTTGTTAGGATCATATTCTTGGTATAGAATGTCACGGTTTTATTCGTCGGTAATGTTTTTCAATGCTGCATGGAGGACTCGTCAGTAAGGGTCATGAGTGGATAGCTGTGCAAGTTCGGCCTCAATCTTGGCTGCAGACTTGCCCAAGATGTCAAACTGATTAGCAGGCAGTGTGAGAGGAGTGGACTTTTTCTTTCACTTGGGCAGTGCAGGAAGGACAGGGGGAAGACTTTGTGTATGGGCAGGGGTGGACTAAGATTTACGACGAGGCTGTTTACAGATGTGTTTGTTACTGGTGTTGTTGTCAAGATGAGGGTTGTTGATATGGGGACAGATTGCCTGAAGGTAGCCAACTGCTTGACAGGCGTGACAAGTGCGAGATTTGATTGGGCGGGTGGGGCAGTCAGCCAGAACGTGGCCCATGGCCTTACAGTATCTGCAATGGGGACCCATCTTGGCCTAAGTGCTGAAAACATGACCATAACCTTCGCAGGGAATCTTGTGAACCAGGGGAGAGTAAACACGATCCTGGTTAGGTGGGCGTTCCAGGTACACGTAGCCAGATCCAGTAAAGAACCTGTTCTCCAGGTAAATAATGATCTCCTTGATGGTGCCAAAAGAGTAGAGGGAAGAACAAATAAGTTCGTTAAGGCAGGGGCGGGAGAGGTGAGGAAGACCAGTGATGTTGAGTTTCATCATCATAACAGAAGACGAAATGGCACGGTGGGCGAGAATAATGGAATCTTTGATGACAATGGGTTTGGCACATGCACGATTGCAAAGGGTGTCAGATTCAAAGTAAAGTTCGACGATGTGTGTGTTGTTGTGCACAGAGGTAACTTCAGCAAAAGCTTCATCCTCAGAGAAAGCGGTGTGAATTGCTGTCCAGAAGGCGGCCATAAATGAGTCATCAGATTGGGACAGGTTGTAAAAAACAGAGTGGGGGGAAGTACCGAACCAACATTCTGTAGGAATGGCATTGTTGTGCACAGAGGTAACTTCAGCAAAAGCTTCCTCCTCAGAGAAAGTGGTGTGAATTGCTGTCCAGAAGGCGGCCATAAATGAGTCGTCAGATTGGGACAGGTTGTAAAAAACAGAGTGGGGGGAAGTACCGAACGGACATTCTGTAGGAATGGCATATGGGTCATCTAAACCAAGTACGCGTTCTATGCACGTGAGGGAGCGTTGTTTTTCAGGGTCGACCAAGGAGACAAAGGTGATAGGAGTGGTAGTAAATAAAGCATGTGTAGGGGCGTTTGATTGGGTTGATGGATGTATGTTAGGTGATAGAGAAGGGAAGTTGTTGTCTCCATAGTGTGGTGACCCTTGTGGGGTCGTTTCCTGTTGGGTAGCAGGAAGAGCCATAAATTCAAGCTATACACAATATGTTCTCCTCTACCCAAATCTACATCTTAGACTGTCACTGCATTAAATATTACAACAGTCCTCAGAAATCTTCTTATGCTGCAAAGCATACTGAGACTCATCATAATAAGAGAACTAGAGTTGAAGGTACCAGAATATTTGAGAATAGTATAATAGGATGTTTCAGCAGTTTTAGATGTTTGATTATTCTTATTTCGGGAGTTAAAAATATAAGGCAATAACAACTAATCTCTAAACAATCAACTGAGTGCCCTAAATATTACATAAAATCTATATTTTACTAAATTAGATAATTGCCTATAGATTCTTTATCTATAGATGAAAACATTTATCTCCCAAGACATATATAGACAAATATATCTATAGATAAAGATATCTATAGATGAAGACATCTAGATTTGATATTACTTATAAGTGTTGTATTATTAAGTGTATTTCTATACAAAATATCAGTTTAAATAAGATAAGAAATGTAACTGTAAATGCATATTTATTGCCTTTATACTTCTAATTTTAAACATGAGCACCAAGAATTCTGCAGAAGTGTGTACGTAAAAGATATGTCTCTACAAATACACCACATACTAATATAATATCATATAGCTGCTAGCCAAAAAAGAGGATTTACATGCTGGAACAATGCCAATATTAGGGATAAGCCATCATCTATCAAAAGCCTTATTGACTGGCTTACCTATGCAGTAAACTACAGTTGCTGGAAAGGTGGGGATTCCAGTAGAAAGACAAAAGAGACTCTTTGCTCAGAGATCAAAGCTATATTGTTTGAGAATGATATTACTCACCAGTCCAACAGTGATATCCGCAGCAAGATACAGTACTTGCATGACAAGTTCAAGGATGCCACTGATTTTATCAACGGAACCGGTCAAGGGATTCTTAATGATGTAGACAAGAATGGCAATCCCACAGCTGCAGCTGAAAAGACGCTTAAAGGTATACTTATAAAATTAATATATATATATTAGTAATAGAGTGGTTTGTAATAAATAAGAGCTTTATGTCTCTGTTTGTAAATATAGTGAAAAAAAAAACGCACCTACTATTACAATCTCAAGGATGTGATGATTAGCAGACCATCAACTGTAGCTCCCTTCCCAGTGTCAAATAGAGACCCAGCTGATGTTTCCAATGTGTTTGAAAGGGCTAGCCAATATGACAAGGAAGCAACTCAAGTAGAAGTTGATGGAGGCAAGGGAGGCAAGGGAGGCAAGGGAGGCAAGGGAGGCAAGGGAGTCCAGGATGTCCCAGATGTCCAGGATGTCCAGGATTTCCAAGATGTTCTTGATGTCCAGGATTTTGAACAGTTTGAAACGACGTTCCCAGTTGAGTGTCTGTCTGCAGCCTCAAATCACTAAAGGCCTTCCAAGCGAGCCCAAAGAACAATAGACTTGAGCATCTCTGATGTTGTAGAAGAGTCAATCAAGATGAACTGTGAGCATTTTGATTTGATGCAGAAGAAAAGTTCCACGAGAGGGAACTTCAGCATCAAAAAGACATTCACGATAACAAGATGATGTTTGAGAGAAAAAGGCTGGAGATCAAAGAGAAACGAGTCCAGAATGAAACACAACAAGCAGAGAATGAAGCAAAGCGATTGGAGAATGATGGCATTCAAATCAAGCTTCAGTACATTGCCAAGTCGGAGAGTTTGGGACTTTCTAAAGAGTGTATTTTGAAGGAATTAAATATAACACTTTAATAAGATATACTATATACCAGGCAAACTATATATGTAAAAGTAAAAATGATTTTGATATCAATATTTGCAAAATAATATGCTTTATTCTCTCTCTTTTCTTTACACAGTTCTATTTGAAATCTAGATTCTCTATTTCTCTCACTCTCATCCTCATCTTCGTTGGCATCGTCATCCTTGCTGATAAGTTCCAAGAAGTCTTTATCTTCATGGCTTAACAGTAAGTTGTGTAAAATACAACAACTTCTGACCCATATCCCAATCTTTGCAATGTCATACTTGTTTTTTATGACGGTTTGTAAGCCTTTCAAAGATTGAAATCTCCCTTTGAGATTTCCAATGCAATGCTCAACTTTGACACATACATTGGTGTGTTTGTAGTTGAATATCTCGTTTTCAGCCAAGATTGTTCCATTATGCAGCTTCTTGTAAGTAGGGACTACATATCGGCTTGGTACATATGCTAAATCTCCAAGAAGATATTGATCCCCTAAAAAAAACCAGCCAGAAGTTCTTCCCAGCTGCCAGTTTGCAAAGTTACAGGCTTCATGAGAACATCCTGCCCATCCAGTGTAGCAGTGACAGATCATCTTTTTATCATCACATACAATTGTTGCCAAAATACTGTAGTAAGACTTCCAGCTGTAGAAGTCCTCGCCTTTCCATGTTGGCTTATATTCCAATCCAATCAAGGTCCCATCCACAAAATCAATGCAAGAAGGGAAGTCTGTCTTATCTTCATTTCTTTTACTGATAATACAACATTCTAGCTTATCATGCCAAAACGCAGTTCTGCTCTCTAGGCACATAATGGCAGTGAGAAACCTTTCAGTATATTGGCAAACTGATTCTTCTAAACAATGGAATGCAGTTAAGTACTAAAGTATATACACAATGTATAATTCTTTCAGGATATTAAACCTTACCACTGATACACATTGATTGTGCAATACGACCTATGGAAGCACCATTTCCATACGCACCTAACCATTCTAATGCCACCATCATCTGAATCATAGGCTCAGTCTGCTTCTTGCGAGGATCACTCCAGAATACCTGGTGCCCCTTGATCATATTTAATATATAATTGAACGAATCTCTGTTCATGTGAAACTCTTGTCTGAACCAATCATCATCTACTTAGTATATGAGCCAATCTACTCTGCTAGGAGCTCAAGAGACACGGACTCTTGGGCAGAAATATTACTTTTCAAGTACAATCTTGTATATAACAAGTTCAGGGCGGTCCTTCACGATGTTCAATAAGAAAGTATCAAGAGAGAGTTGTCTTTTTATAAGCTTTTTAAGAATTGCTTCTTTGAGATGTCTAAAAACCATTTGTCTGTCATTTAATGTAGGCATTTTTGATAAAATATAGTGTTTTTAAAATACAATGTAGTGAGAAAAACAGAGAAAACATAAAAAACAGAGTTGATTATGCTTAAATATTTTTTTTCAGATTAATGAGAGCCAATGATTTTTCAATATTAAACCTCCAAAACAAAAACAATCGAACAACTAAAACTGCTGAAACACTCTAATATATTCAATGTTGGTTTTTTATTTGCTGTGTAATAATCACTTTAATTTTTTATTTTTTATTTTTTATTTATGTTGTTTATTTTCAAACTTTTAATGAAACACAGTCACAATGAGAAATATGGATATAGATACTGAGAGTAAGACATTTTTTATTTGAAAGCAGAAAAAAAAACTAATAAACTACTTTATTCCATATTTGTAGTGATCCCAACCTCTTGTTCTGATTCTGTGAAAGCAATGGACTGTCAGGCCAACTCACCTTTTTTGGATGCCGTCTCAATGTTTGACAATGATGGCAATGTCAATGATTTCAATAACAATGTTAAAGATGAAGTCAATGAAACCAAGATTGAGGACTTCAACAGCGAAGATCAGTGTGAGATACATAAAAACAACTAAAAGAAAAAAAGAATATAAGAAAAATCAAGTGTTAATTTTTTTTTAATTTTTTTACAGACTTTTGCTGCTCCTGATATGTCCAAAAATGAAGTTCATCAATTTATAGCCATCTTTACAATACTGTTTGCTTCACGTCATGTTGTTGATAAGGGTGCTGCTGTTCTGATTGAGTTTATCAACAATCTGCTAAGAATCTATGACCAAGATTTTTAATTACCAGCCAGTCTTGCTGGTTTACAAAAAATAGCACAATTTTTTGCTATTACAAAAGGCATCAAGAAATTTGTGACGTGCCAAGACTGTCATACAGTATATTAGAATATTATATCTGCTTCTCCTCAATGTGTTTCCTCAAAACTTGGTGCCAGGTCTACATGTAACTGTAATTTGCTAAAACCAGTATCTTCTAGTACCTTGGTTTCAAAATGAAAATATGTTTACCAATCCATTAAAAATGCATTGAGCATTTTCTTTTGTTGCCCTAGTTTCAAAGCCAAGATTCATCAATAGATTAAGGAGTTGAAAGATAAAGATGATGTTTTATTTGTGTCAGACTCACACTTACTAATGTTAACACTTAATATTGACTGGTTCCAGCCCTTTGACAGTGTCACTCACTCCTCTGGTGCTATCTATCTGACCATCAACAATTTGCCCTGTGATGAAACATTCAAGCCAGAGGATATTATTTTCGTCGATCTCATGTCTGGTCCAAAGGAGCCAAAAACCAATGAGATGAATGGTTACTTGGAGCCAGGTGGATGATTTCAAGCAGATGTACATTGGCATGTGAATTTCTACACACAAATTTCCAAATAACTTCAATGTTTGTGCTGCACTACTGATGGTTGCATGTGATATCTCAGCCACCAGAAAGACAAGTGGATTAACAAAGCCTAACAGCACATGTGCTTGCTACAGGTGCAGTTGGCAGTTTACTTGGTCAGGGAGCAGCAACCAGGTTGTTTTCCATAGATTCAATTATTCTTGTTGGAATATATGCAGTAATGCAGAGAGCAGGTTGCATGCTAAGGAGTGGAAGGATACAAGTACACACTCAGAAAGGCATCAACTGGAGGTTGAAAATAGTGTTTGATGGCTGCAGTTGCAACGCCTTAGATACTTTGATCTAGTATGCAAAACAATTATTGATCCCATGCTTAATTTTTTTCTGAGGACGTCTAAGAGATTAATAAATTGGTGGATTGATGAGAAGACAATTGGATCTGAATAGTTTGCATCGATAGAGAAAATTGCAGAGACAATGGTACTGCCCAGAGATTACACCATGCTGACAAACAAAATTGGAAAGGGCTTCAGCTACATGAAAGCCAACGAGTGGAAATTATGGGTACTGGTCTATTCTCCTGTCTTGTTGTGTGATATTCTCTCCCCAATACAATTCAAGAACTGGATGTATTTCGTTGATGTATGACAATACTATGTAAACCCCAGCATTACATTTGATAAGATCACCACTGCCCAAAGTCTGTTAGAAAATTTTTGTAATGCATGCAACATAGACTATACTGCTACTATCCTTATCTGCAATATGTACCTACACCTCAATCTTCACAAACGCATTCGTGATTTTGGACCAGTGTATGGTTATTGACTCTTTGGGTCTGAGCAATACAATGATATTTTAAAGAATTTCAAAACAAATGGAAAAGACGGTTTTGAGGCAACCTACATGAAAAATTTTGTTCAGAATGCGTATAAGAGTGATTATGTCAATGCTGTTCTTAAAAGTTCTAGCCAGATCCCCTTCATTCACACTCTGTCTAAACTTGTTACAACCTCCATACCTGCCGCCACAGTCACCACTCTCTCCAGTCGCCCATTCAGATTGCAAGCATTCGTTCAAGGCTACACTGATCCTTATAATCCACCCAAGGGTAACGAGTCTCTTCCTTCTTCTACATTTCCTCTAAAATACAAAAAGCCATCAGTAATGGATGATTCCGACTATCTCCATTTACTTGAATATTACTAAGTCGCGTAAAACCTCCTAGACCTTGCCAGCTATCAGGACACGCCCTATAATTGCCTAGCACTTGACAATCACATCATCAAATTGAAGTCAATTGACATTCTTAGTCAACACTATCGAGGAAAAAACAACAGCACAATCAGTTGCAGATCACTAGTTCAATCAAAGATTGTTGATAGTAATAGAAACATTATACTTGGATTTGCTGAAAAAATTCAGTATCTTTTTACACACTTCTTCTAACTTCCACTCATACACAATCTCTATCTGACTCGTATAGTTCATGATCATCAACATGTATTCGCATTTATCAAGTGGTTTCATATTTTCTCTGATAGATCGCATGAGGATGGCAGTGTTGAGTTCTGTTTGCCTACGTTCTCTCCTGATGGCTACCACAGCATTATATCTGTACATTGCATCTTATTAGAGGTTGCTACAGCTACTATTGCAATAAGTTTAAATGTTAGCAAAATGCCAGTAATTTCATTGGCAAAGAAGCTGTATGCTGAAATAATAAATAAAGTAAACTTTAACATTTCTTTTTCTTTAACAAAAAAACAAAGTGCGTATTTTTGATATATATATTGATAGTATTTTGTATGTAAAAAGTAATATGTAGATAAAAAGAGAGAGGAAATTTTTGTTTATTTAGTACTCATCTCTAAGAACCTACTGAGGAAATTTGGGGGTTATGTCATCTGGGACTGCTGTATTGGACACACTGATCAAAACCCTCTCCTTCATTTGAGAAGCACTTGACCCTATTGCTTCAATAACATAATCATCAACAAATTTAATGAGAGTATTGAACTAAAATAATTTTGTTAATACTTTACTTTATATTTTTATAATAAGACACGATTATCAATATAAAATTATATATCTCGTCACTTCTCCATCCTGACCAAACAATCTTGACAATGCTCTTCATGCGATTCTTGAAGTCTTTATCTGCAGGTTGTTCATCAGACATTACTGCCACTTGCATCATAAAGTCACAATCTCTCTACATTTGTAGATCAATTGCTTCTTTATTGTCTATGTATGCAAGTAAATGGCGAGTATGATTCTAATAGTAGTTTTTTTCTATATTAGTATTTTTAAAATTCTCAAGACAAAACTATAATATTTTGAAATTATTTATTTAGAGATTACACTTACATCTCTGGCATGTCCTGCCGCACTGCCTTATTTTCTGCTGGTTCAAATTTGAAATTGACCTTTTGAGACTTTTTTCTGTTGGAGGCTTTGTAAGTAGCTTTTTGAAAAAGTTAATTTTCTATTGGGAATTTTTTTTATTCCTTCTCTTCTCCCTCTCTTTATTTCGAATACAAACTAAACATCAATCTCAACATGTTCAACCCAATTATTTACAATATTTCAAACATTCAAAGTGTTTTAGTCCACTCGTCTTTGAAGAAGATTAAAATGCTTCCTTTTAAAGTAGTTGTATATGTAAAAGCTAGTAAATGGAGACGTTGTCTTGACCAAATCAATACTCTTTGCTCAACGAAATGGAATAAAAAAAGACGCCTTGATTCAAAGAAATATTTTTTTGGAGAAACATGTTAGTGTCATCATGCAGACATATATATACCAGAGCGAGATTCACACCCTGCACAAAAAGAATCAAAGGCATGTGAATGTAATAGAGCTTTGAAAATAAAGCAGTTCAAAAAGTCTTCTACTATTGGTATGCTCTGTATGACAAGTGATCATAACACATATTCCTGAAGACAGATCAGAGATTAGAACTTTTCCCTTGCCTTTTGAAGCTATTAAATTGATTGAAGATCAACTGAGAAGTGGAAACAGCTGTAAAAGCATAAGAATATCTGTTTTTTGATAGATTGACAGCTAGGATGTTGGTGTTAGAAACCCAAACTACAAAGAGATATACAATAGAATGAAGAAGATATATTAAAAAAGATAAAAGGAAGTTCTTATTTAACAGTTTTGGTAAAATGAAATAAAATAGATAACAATTTCACTATGGCTATAGGAGTGACAACTGTGCCCAAAATAGGCACATAACTGCCATTTTTCTGGTCAAAAGCCAATAATTTCTCTGCAGTTTTTGGTAAGATGGCAATGTCATAAGCAACATTTTAAAAAAGAAGCATGAAATCTGTTTTTTTTTGTTGCTGTACGATGTCTCGAATAGTCTAGAAAGTGTTTGTAAGTTGTAATGACCACTTTAAGTATTGAAATGTATGTTTTATTTAATATTAAAGATGTTCAGTTTTATTCGGATTAATTTTTTATGGAAAGTATGAACGAAATGGAAACATAACTGCTATTATGTTTTTTTAAACCAAGACTTTTTTTAAAAAAGATACACCTTTCTTCTTGTTTACTTCAATTTTATTTTAATTTAAATTGCGTAACGGCATGTAGAACATGTAGAGAATAAAAAAAACATAAGTTATATAGAGAATAAAAAAAAGATAGGGCATATAAAGAAATAAAAAAATAGAAAACATAGAGTATATAGAAAATAAAAAAAACATAAGGTATATGGAAAATAATAATAATATAGAATATATGGAAGATATAGAAAGCATAAAAAATATAGGGTATATAGAGCATATAAAAAATAAAAAATAAAAAAAAGTTATAAAATAGAAATGTTGCCCTTTGTAATGCGCATATTATTGTTGAAAACATAATAAGGTACAATTACGTAGAACTGATTTCCATTTGGTGGGTATTGTATAAGGTCAACTTGATGACAAATATCATCAACACTTATTACTGCATATGTAGGTTGTGTTTGGCGACCTGTTGAGCTGTTTTGTGACCGCTGTTTGACGATTGGTACAGATGAGTCGTGGGAAGCCGCATCATGTTCCTTCATTACTTCAACAAAAGCAAGGAAACGAAGAGAGCCAAGTGAATCCTCATGCTGGAAGAAGAATATCACCGCATCAACGAGCTAGCTGTAAACAATTATATTACGGTTGCTAAAGTAAGGAAATAAATATAATGTAAGTAACTTTTGATTTTATATTGAAAAATGATATACTTACTTTCTGTAAGGACAGGTAAACATCACGTAATGATTACTGCAGCTTCTTTCATTTCTTCTTTGTTGATACATGCAAGATGAATACATGGTCAAATTCATCCATAAATGATCAGCAACAACAATCGTAAAATCACCAATGTCGGAAATCATCAAACCCAAAGTTTGTTGATAGTATCTAGTTAAGACAACCTTCACACTAGGGCCGCTTACACCTTCCACCAAATCATCGTTCAAATGAGCAAATCGATGAAATGGCTTTCACAACTGTGCACCACTAGGATCATTAGGAAGATCCATATAACTTTCTCTACCATACGGCTTGGGCTGAATAAGATCAATTTCGTCTTGGATACTGATGGCCGTGTTGACATAGTTATGCAATATAAATTGCTCCACAAGAAAACTGGCATTATGACCGCCCTTGCACTTAGACTTGATCAGCTTGGAAAATACACCAATTACTCTCTCCGTTGATTGAATGGAGTAGCATCGAAGTGGACCTAGTTGCTTGATAATAAATGATATATGTACAAGATAGTGCTGCACTGGTCTGAAGACACTACGAGATATAGTCTTGTTCTAAACTTGTTGCAATAGATAGTGGTGCCAGTGTTTAAAATGTGTATTGTAGTTATTATTATTATTATTTTAAAAAAAAGTTATGATTAGTTTTGTATATAGTGATATAGTGTTAGAGGCATTATGACTTACACATCCATCTCATCCAGCAACTCTGAAGTCAACGTCCATTGAAATGCCAGTGCACAACCTTTGACAAGTGACAGCACCACAGTTTTCACAGCTCTGTTTGGCAAGAACAGAACAACAAGAGTGGAAACAATGTACAAAAGAAAGTCAAGCCAATCAACTGCACGAGTACCATCAATCTTAGAAAAGATGTTATCAAAACTTCCTTGGAATGATACTGGTATATATGGTCTTGAACTTGTGATACAGTTTCCAATTGTCCCAAGTCTAGTTCTTGGTATGAAGAATGGGTATTCTGTGGTGAAGAGGGTATCATCTGGACGGGTATAAATTTTTTTTGTCTCCTTGGTAAGGGACACAGTGATCAAGTCGTACATGTGCTTTCCAATTCCTCTTGCAACTAAATGAAGTTCATTCAGTGCAAAGAAGGAAGATCTGGAGAAGGTTGACAGCTCACTAAAGATGCTTGGTTGGTATATATTTTTTATCTGTTATAAGCAATTATTTAGTACAAGAAAAAATCTAATTAAACTGTTATATACTTACAGGATTGCCAGTTTTGAAGTCTTCCAAAGGTCGCAAAGGAGCAGAACTATCTTCAAGGTACATTCCGTACCGTCTGTTGTCTGGGGCTTTTCCCTTTGTTTTGCAGATTTGGCAACCAAACAAACTGGCGTGTGAGCCAATGTGCGCCATGTCAGCCACAGCTGGGATGTCACCAGAAGCAAGCAACAAGTGGATCTTGGCACGGAAAACCTCAACTCCATTGCTCTTGATCACCAAGCCATGCACCTCAAGATCTTTTATTTCACTGATGATTGACATCAGAAAAGAGTCCAAGTGGGTAGGCTTCTTGTGACCAGGCAATATTGCCAGCTGCAAGAAGTATTCATTTGTGTATCTAAGCTTTTTATTAGTAACTTTTTTTTGAAATTAATATATTAATTGATTTATTATCTTATTGATGGGTCAAGGTTGAATACAACAGCATGAACAATGGTGTACAAACTCTTGCCCTTTTTTTGGTTAACGAAACCATTAGTATACAACTCAATAGCAATACCGTCAGGATTTGAGAACAGGTTTTGCTGCATCAGCTGCTTGTAACTGTCACCATCAAAAACATTGGTGAGCTGACCAGCTACAGATTCCGGGTTTGCCCTGTAATGGAGGAGTTCTCTTGTAGCTGGATCAGCCAGCATTTGAGAAAACATATTACCGACTGACATGAGCTTCATACTGGCAGATGGTGTTTAACTTTGCTCTGGATCAGTTTTGTATCGCGGTTTGCTGCAGTCAACACAAGATTCTTGATTGTCATTAATCCCATACAATTGGCAACCACTAGGACAGACATCATACTCATAGCCCTTGACACTTGACTTGGACTTAAGCAAAGCATCAATAGTTTTACTGTGGCTGATCTTAGCCCCAGGTTCTAAAAAAAAGGAACGAAATCACTACGTGTTAGAAATTTGGAATTAAAGTATAAGATAACATAAATATTATATTTTACCCAACATAATTTCATTGCGATCTCAAATGATTGTATTAACAAATTGGACAATGTCTCTGTAAGCTGCTCTGGAAATTCTGTGTTGAAGCATCAATTGAGAGAGATGAATACTCATCAACTCGGCTTTTCTAAAGATATTGCTACCAATTCTGCTGCTATCATAAACATGAGCTTCACTCTCACTGTCCTCAAAACTACAGCCGCACTTGTATGAAATAGTCTCGTCGATCTCTATTGCATTCATGGCATAATCTACAATGCATTATCAGATAAGCATTCAGATAAAGTAATAATATTATTATATTGATTATTATTACCTGAATCACTAACGAATTCATTGTCATCAATGGTACTGTTTTCATCATGTTGCATTTCAACATCATGCAGAATAAACTGATCAATGACAGCTACTGTTGTACGATTGCCTCTGTGAACTCTCTTATGATTTTGAAGCTGCTGGTAATTATAAAACGACAGGGCACACTAAGTACATTAATATCTTTGTGTAGATAATCTATCTCTCTGCTGATTGGTGTTAGAAGGAGACATATTGATTGTTTTAGTAAGTATTTAATATATGATATTAAAGTGTAGAGAGGTTTTTGGTAATATTCTTGGAATGTAAAAGAGAGGTTTATATACTCTTTCTTTTGAGACAAAATGTTTTTTTAAAACAAATTCTTATATTGATGATACAACAATAAAGACAATAATGACATTATTAGTTAAAACACATCTTGATCAATAATGGCAACAAGTATGATATAAGTATATCTATCATAGTATTTACTTTAAAAGATCAATGCTTAACAATTAATTAACTTTATGGTATTTAAACATTGTGTTAATATTACATAGTCTATCTATACTGATGTCATTATTTTAATTGGTAAAATATTCTGTTGCCAAAAATTAAAAAATAATGTCGTAGCAACCATATGTTTATGGTTAAGTTGATTTATCTTTTTTTCAGAAAGTTAAACAAGTAAACATTATGAAATATATATATAATGGGAAGTACAACTTTTATTCACTTTATCTTTCTTAAAAAATAATAATTCAAAAATGTCTGATATCAACACTACACTCATAAACTCTGTCAGAAAAATTGAAATTGATATTGCTGAAATAAAGCAAATGGTACACATGCTTCAAGATCAGTTTAGCAAACAATTTGCCCCAACTGTAAGTGCAAAAGACATTAGTACAATGCAACAAAACATTATTGAGCAAAGTGATAAGACATATTTACTATATTTTAGTACATTTGCTTGCCTTATTAATATTATGGCATATAATTTCCTCTTTGGTAGCTCTTGAACGTGTTGCTGAGTCTGTAAAACGGTCTCAATTCACTGAGTATCCTGACCAGCTTGGCAAGCAAGTAATTGGCACAGGTGGCAATTTCAAAAGAAAAAATGAAGCCCAGAAATACAATTTGTTGTTGCAGTTGCTTCACGAACAGGACTGGAAAGCATGCTGCAAAGAAATTCCAGAAGGACAACCTCTGCCTCAACTAGTACTTCTTTCAGACAGCAATTTGACAATGAAGCGACTACAGCTTAAGACTTTGAGTCGTAGCATCAAGCATAACCTGATTGACAAGGACTTTCCTGCTTTCAGTAAAGAATGGAAAGGTATCCTGGCAAAGCACCAGGAGTATTACATGATGCAATTGGAGAGACTGGCGAAGGATAACGGCTTTACTATTTACAAATGCAAGAGCATGTGATGTGCAACAAGCCTTCTCTGGGGAAGCTTCAAAAGTGACAACCAGAAGCAAAAAAGAAGAATAGTAGAGAAGAACAACGTAAGTTTATTAATCAAAAGCTTTCATTCATATATTTTAATTAACATTTAAAAAAAATCTGTAGGCACAGCAAGATGCAAATAATTCTTCATTGTCTTCTGATAATATGTCAGAAATGGATGGTGGCAAGTCGCCTATTATGGTGGATGTGCTGTGAGTTGCCATGGTTTCTGCTAGTTTGGTGCTGTCAATACAAAACTAATATAAATCTTTTACCTTTTTATAAAGGTCTCCTCTGGCAGAAATGAGTGTTAAGCCAGCACACAAGAGAAGCCAAAGATCATAGGAGGTTTTGATTGGTTCAAAATATTTTTTAGCGTATTTTTAGTTCAGTTTTTATATTTTTTTTTCTTCTTCTCTCTTCCTTTCTCTTGTTTTTTTTTACTTTCTTTCTCTTTAAATAAATATGTGTTGCCCTTTTTTATATGATTGGTATCTATATCACTACGGGAAAAAAAAGTGGGGTTTTATGGCTGCTTTATGGCGGTTTGACAAGGCGGCTTTGTGGCGGTTTTTTGCCAAATATCCACTTTGCCCCCCTGGAGTTTAAATACATATTACAGATCTCTGCTTTCTGATTCTCCTTTGTTGGCTCTTCTATTGGACAGCGTTTCATTCTTTATTGTATAAAGTATATTATATAATCGATTACTTTTATTGGGTACTCTCTTAAATGTCATTTACTACTTTAATATTTTAGCTTAGAAAGGAATTCTATTGGACACTAGTAATTTTTTTTTAATGTTACTTTTATGAAAACAGTTTTTTATTGGATAATATACATGGAAGTGTTTGATCATTTTAATAAATACAAATTTTTATTGGTTATTACAATAGAAGATCATTTTTATTAATCATTTTTATTGGTTGTTATGACAGAAAAAAAATCTATAGATACATTTTATTGGCTATTTACTATTTAATATTCTAGGTTTTCATAGTAAAATATCCTATTCAATTCCACTACACCAGATTACTTACGAGACTGTAATCTTTTATGGCGGTCTCTCCAGAGATGTGCAACTCTTGCAGTTGATACCCAGTTTCCGAGACATCTAGTGAAGTCTATACCAGAATCCTTCATTATATTTGCGTGCCTGGCACACATTTCTTTCTTAAGTGCTACTGGTATAGACCCCCAGCTAGGATTAGGACCAAGAGCGATCACTGAAGGATGGGCAGCCATATCATCACATATAAGCTTTGTACACATATTGAGTGTGGCCTTTTCGTTACTTGTTACTTCAATGCCAAGATCTTCACTTATCATCTTGAAGATATGCTTTAAAGTTATTTCACGGAATATGCTCACCGGTTTGTGGATGGTATTAGCACTAGACTATTAAATGACATATTAATATATATTCAACTCGTTTTATTTTTTGTCTTACAATGGCAGAGACAGAAGGCGAAGTGTGTTGGTTGGAAATGTTTCTATTCTCCAGTTGGCTCTGAAGAGCAGTAATCTCCAAATTCAAATCTTCGATGCTCGTCTTCATTTCGAGCTTCAACTCTTCGATCTGTGCCTTCATTTCAAGTTTGACCTTTTCTTGGCCTGCCTTCAAAGATAGTATCTCATTGTACATGGCGTGTAGCAAAGAGATGGAATTGTTATCTGTGTTATTCATGTTGAAAGTTTGGTTTACCTGAGAAAAAGGATTGTTGTGAAAGAAAGATAAAGGCCGAAAAAATTTTCTATTGTCTATTATTAGTTTCATATAAATGAGTTTAATCTATTGGTCCAACCAATATTATTATTGGGCTACTGTAGTTCTAATAACAGCTATTACGCAATGTTTTAGCTTCTGTTCCTGAGTTTATATTTGTATCATCTATGTCATTGCCTACTTGTAGTCATTAAGTCTATACAAATCTCAACACTATTAAGTATAAAGGCATATTATTTAAAAGGAATTATCAATATTCATACCTTTATTCTTAAGTGTTTATTTCCAACCTAAAAAATGTCTTCAAATTCAATCCTTGATAGTTACCAATGCAATCAATGCAAAGAGCGCCACACCAATTTAAAAAAAGCCAAGAGTTGTAGAGCTCAATGCTTTAAGAACTGTCATAGAAGACATAATGATATCCAGACTTCACAGACCACGCCTGTTCCTGGACAAGTCAGTGTTGTTTTGAACACTGTCTTGAACGACACTATTGAGTAAGACTACAAATCACATACATACTATTAGAAAGTGTAATTAATTATATTGTTACCTTCATAAACAAGCAGAGAACGTGCTGATGCAATCGAAGATCAGATCATGGATATACTCAACAGCGAAGATAACGATGATCCAATTATGAATATCTTCAGTAATGATGACAATGATGAGTCTATGGTAAGATATATATATATGTCTTATTATATAATGCTAATTATTATTTACCTTGTTAAAGTATGATGCGGAACTTGGCAACGACATGGATATCATTGAAAACGAAACATCTCCTTTGGTTTTTGACTTCAGTCAGCCTGCACTTACCCCTGACAAAGACGATGCAAAGAACCTTGAGTTTCTCAAGATCATTAAGGATTTTGGTATCTTCTGCAATGCTCATGAAATGATAGTCAAGCATTTCAACAGCATTTTGGAAACGTCGACTTGTATTACATACAGAGCATGTACTCCCCATCTTGGCAAAAAGCTTTTGAAGCGTTTCTCGGGTGTTGAAGAGACAGTCCATGATATCTGTCAGAGGGGATGTATGCTCTTTACCAGTCCATCCCAGACTGAGTGCTCCAACTGTGGACAAAGCCGGTACAAAACAAGACGCGGAGAAACCGAGGGTAGTGATCTGGTTGCTGCTGCCACGATGATACAGCTTCCATTGGCGAGACAACTGGCTCTTGCGTTAGCCAACGAGAATACAAGAGCAGATATGCATTACCACCATAATCATGAGCCAAGTTCGGATGGAAGTAAAACCGATGTGTTTGATGGCCAGGTTTACCAGCAAGTAAAACATCTGTTTTCCGGAAAAGATGACATTGCAATTTCGTTGTCTGTTGATGGATTCATGCCACACAATGTTCCTGGTTCTGTAACGATCCTCCATGCCACCATTCTTAACCTGAATCCCATGGTCCGGTATGAGAGAAGCAGAATGCTCCAGATCGCAATGATCCCAGGTCCAGGTGCACCTGCCAATTTCTGGTCGTTCATGGAACCAACGATAAAAGAGCTCCTGGTGTTGGAGAGCGAAGGGATGGTCGTCAAGACACCGAACGAGACCATTCGTGCCAAGGTACATGTCTTAATGGTCACTGGTGACATTCCCGCCTTAGCAAAGTTGGCATGTCATTCTGGACATATGAGCAAAGACGGTTGCCGTATCTGTCATGTTGTCGGCCAATGTCCCAAGCACAGACAATACTTCAGAACTTTGCCCAGCACCAATATCCGTATGCTGGAAAGTTTCCAGAATTTTTCCCAGGCCAGTGCATCCAGCCGCAAAGGGTTAAACGGACAATCCCCCCTGGCAACATTAAAGGTATTCTCTGGACCATTGTTTTTTGCCCTCGATGAGATGCATGGACTTTGCCATGGAATAAGCAAGCAGATCTGGGGTTTGGTTTCTGGTACCTACGGAACAGACCATTGTTTTGCTCTTTCTTCTGGTGTTCAGAAGGAGATCGGTACAGCAATGTACAAAACAAGAAATACCATCCCTACATCCTTCCATGGCGATTGGAGGGATGTATACAAGAACCCCGGGTCGTTCAAGGCCGTCGATTGGGCAGACTTTCTTCTGTTCGTCGTCCTTACGCTGGTGGCAGAGCGTATTGGAGATGCAACTGCCCGGAACGCGTTACTTGGCTTGGTTCAAGCATGTAACCTACTCATGAGCTGGGAGTTATCAGCAGAGGAACAAACCTCTATCAAAAGGTATATTTTAGTAAAAGCTATGTGTTATTCTATTATTTTTTCTAACTATTTTTCTTCAGTAAACTTGAAATATGGAACATGTACCTGGAATCGCTGCTTACAAGTAAAAAAATCAAAATCAATATTTTCACTATAAACCAGCATCTTCTTCAGCACTATCCTCTCATGATTAACGCATATGGCCCACCTCGTGCATATAGTGCCAGATCCGTGGAACGGGCAATCGGTGAATACTCAAGGGCTATCAAGAGTAATTCTGCTATAAATGTTAACGCTGGCAATATCATGCTTGGCTTAGCACAAATACGACAAGCAGAGGCCAAAGCCACTGTCATGATTACAGAAGCAAGAACAGCACGACACTTACAATATGAAGATTCCACTGCTGGTTGGCCGTTGACAGATGAGGGTGAGCGTGTTGGTGCTGGGTCTGATATTGAGTTCTGGGGGCCGTTGAGGAATAGAACGATCCGAGATAGTTTTGAAGGCATTTCTTGTCTTTCGAAACTTCTTGAAGACTTCTACAAATCAAAGGGGGAAGAGTGTAGTATGATTGAAGCAGCTATACAAACTAGCCGCAAGGCATTTGTCAATGGTTGTGTGATTGACTCTGCACTCGACCAAAATTGTGTAAGGGAGGCACATAACATCAGATTACAGATTCAGGTTGATGAAAACCGCAACATAAATTCTGCATACTCCCCGGTTTACAAGGATTTCTTCGGAAAAGTTGTTGTCTTCTTTGAGCACAAGCTCAACAACAAGAGATGGCCGCTTGCTCTTGTAGAGATTGCGGCAGTCCGTTTGGTAAATGGTATACCAGTTGTTAACAATGGGCAAATGAAGCCAAAGGTAGTTCACCTGGCAGATGTCAAAGAATTGGTTGGTTTGGTGAAGTCGGACGCGACTATAAATACAACAACAACAACAACATACATAGTGTGGCCAGAGCTTAACCGCGGCCCAAAATTGTCACTTGGTTCTCTTGCAGACCTATAATTTGTTTTTTTTTTGTAATACATTTTTTTTTTCAAATTGTCTTAACATATTTTATTTTCTTAGCAGAAAGTTTAGATATTTTCTTCTCTTTTTCTTCTGACTTTTAATAGTCATCAAATGCAATCTACATTTACTAAAAGTGTAAAGTCTGTAGTTAAAGCTTACTTTTGTCTATCAGGAGATTTAATTTTAGGTGGTCAATTTGCTTTTTGTCAACCTTTTCAAAAAACAGAGATTTTCTAGTTTCAAATTGGATTTTTAGTGATTTTTTAATTATTATAGGCCGAAAACATAGTCACAAAAGCAAAAAACCGCCATTTTTTCCCGTAGTGTATAGTCATCAGCATTTAAAACTAATGTACAACATCTGCAGCATTGCTACAATTAATTTTTGAATGAAGCACAATAGATTCTTTTTTAAAGAATAAAAGAAAACTAATAATACTCTTGTGCTGCTATGTTATACTTGATAATTGTTATATTCTATGTAAGTACTTTGATAGAATATACATCTCATATTTATAAAACAATGCTCATTCAGTTCTCAACTAGATTCAACTTGACTTTATATTGTATGGCTCGAATTTTTTTTTGGATTTTCTTTGGTAATAATTTTGAGTGATACTCACTGCTTTTTTCACTTGTCTTGTAGACACTCTAACACTCTTTAATAACATAAGAAGCTTACATGTTAATATTATTTTCTAATATATATATATTTATAGCAAAAAATTATTATTTGAAGCTATCAAGCATATTACATAAAGGTAAGCACTATATTATTATGTCTATTTGTTTATTTTCCCTCTAATATTGATATATTTATAGAAACCAGTAATAATTAAAGAAGGTCGTCTAGTCTATATTGAAGTACTTGAAACACATGAAATGCATTTGGGATAAAGGGTTTTTACTGCATACCTCTGCAGTAGCCAAATAATATTGTGTCTTTTTTGCAAGTTCCGATAGACGGGTTTTTAGTAGTACTATTATCATATAATAAAACATAAATTGAAGCAAAATTTTATTCTATTCAATTCATTTCAATTCAATCCAAAAATAGTTCATTTAATATGGCAAAAATAAAGCAAAGGGATATACTGGTATTGAATACAGTGGAGTAAAGAAAACAAAAAAAAACGAATGAACCTCGGTCTTTTAAAAAAAAGTGGTAACTGTGCCTCTAATTGTGCTATACAGAGTCAAATATGCCATTTTTTAAATAATAAAAAATGGCAGTTATGCTACCAAAGTGATAACATGTTACCACTTTTTTAGCCATAGTGCTTGCAGACAGAAAGAACAGTAGAAACAACAATAGAGTTGTGAGCAGCAGCAGCAGTAGTAGCCCATGTAGAAGCCTCAGTGTCAGGTTTCTTGGGTGTGCTTGGTGCAGTTGATGTTGGTGCATTTGTTGCAATTGGGCAATTGCCCTGAGATGCTAATTGAGATCTAAGAATAGTAATTAGCTTTTCCGCATTAACTAATTGAGCAGTTAATCTAGCATTAGTTGCAACAAGAGATTCAAGTTCATTGGTGCATTATTGCAGTGACATGGATTGGGCTTGCATGTTCCCCAGAAATGAGGCGAGATTGGGCAACATTCCCTGCATGACAGAGGATGGCAGCAATGTTGACATTTGAGATTGCAAAAATGAAAAGTTGTTGGAATCAGCTGAAATTGTTTCTGCTGATAGATAAGGCAACAGTAGTAATGGATGCAATGTTTTTGACAATGGATGTATCGTTTTGAACAAGATGTAGGACGGATTGATGAAGCTTTTGTATGGATGCAACCACTTTTTTTGTTATGTCGTGTGTAACATTAGCTTACGTGAAATAGAGTGCCTTCTTGGCTCAGGTTAAAAATTATTCTTTATTAAAGAAGATATTGCTGGTAATCTATAGATCATATAGCCTCCAAAGTATAAAAAGAAGAGATAAAAAGGTCCCAAAGGATCACAAAAAACAAAAAAAGAGAGGTTAAAGAGAAGCTCAAATCATACTAGCTTCAATGGCTGAATCTGCTCTCCACTTTGCAGCTGTGTAAAAAGTTGTAACAGTGAAAGGGAGGAGACAGAATTGCAGAACAAGGAACTTTTCAGATAGAAAAAAAAACAAAACAGAAAGAAGAGATATAAAGAGAGAAAAGAAAAATGAAAAGTAGAGAGCTATGAAAGGACAAAGATAAAAGTCTAAATTATGTCCAAAGAGTACCATGTTCAGTTTCATGTGAATAGTCACTATCAGCATTACATATAACGTCTATGTGCCAGAGAATAGTCAGCAGTGATATCCAGTAGGGAGGTCGTGATTCTTGAGATGACAAAGATAAGGATGTAATGGCAAAATCAATGTGGTGTATCTGGTCATGGTCTGATTGAGGCAACTGTTCAAATAGTGCTGAAGGAACAAGTAGACAATCCAATAAATGGCAGCATAAGGTATGATCAGATCTACAAGGACATTTATTTGGTTTGTCTGGTAGCTATCCCATTCTCCAATGAATCAAGCGGCCACGTTTCACACGTGAGGCTAGCAGAAATAAAATTGAATCAATTCCTAAAACTGGGTGGCATGCTTAGATAAGAACTTATGTGTTGGACTGAAGAAAAGTTGCAAATCCAGCTTCTCTAATACTTTCAAAATATTTTTTTACTGCAGTAGGGCTTCGAAGTTTGAGTGTTGAAGGGAGATTTGACAGAAGATTGGTTTTTCCCAAGAAGACAAGTGAAGAATAAATAGAATGATGATGGTGTAAAAGAGATAGGAGGCACTAGGCAGGCAGAAAACGTGATTGGATACAAAATTTGGCTATGAAACCATCTGCACAAAACTTCATACTTGGTAGATTGCAGATGTACTTCAATACAGTTGTGGAGGACGCAACATGCCCCCTAACAATCATGCAAAAACACTTATCTTGAATGGACTCTAGTACTTTGATATCTTATTTCAGCAGAGTGGAGATAGCCAAACCATAACAAACTTTAGATAGATAAAAGTCTTATACAATTGTGAGCTGGGCAGCAGAGAAAAACCAGAACGACAAGCCCCAACTGAGTTTAGTGTCACCATTGTAACAAGTGTACCAGAACGTCTATGTGTGGCAATGGACTTGGAAGAAATACCCTTATTGGCACAGGGGACACCCAGATAAATGAACTGATCAGTGGCAGGAAGAATGTCATTATACAGAAGCTGTAAAACTTGGGAAATGGCATGTGTCGCCTTCTTGGCTCAGGTTAAAGATTATTTTTATTAAAGGAGATAGTGCTGGCAATCTATAGATCATATAGCCTCCCAAGTACAAAAAGAAAATATAAAAAAGTTGCAAGGGATCACAAAAGACAAAAAAAAGGGGGAAAGAAAAGATCAAATCATACTAAGCTAAAAGACTGAACCTGCTCTCCACTTTGCAGCTGTGTAAAAAGTTGGAACAGTGAAAGGGAGGAGACAGAATTGCAGATCTAGAAACATTTTATGAAAGAAAATACAAAAATAACAAGAAAAGAAGTAAAGAATAACAAAGATAAATGTAATATAACTAGTGCCAAAGAGAATCATGATCAGTTTCATGTGTGTAATCGACACTGGAATTGCATAGAATATCAATATGCCATAGTATTGTAAGAAGAGCTTTTCAATATATGGGGCTGGGATTTGTAGATGAAATTAGTAGTGCTGATATAGCAAAGTCAATGATGTTGTCTTCATCTGTGAGAGGTGCTGGAAGTTGAGAAAACAACTGAGAAGGGATGGTGATGTAGGATTGAAGATGACGTCTTGAAGTATGATCAGAGCCACATGCATACTCCTTTGGCTTACCAGGCAACCAACCCATTCGCCAATGAACTAGACGGCCACGTTCTGTACGTGTGGCAGGCAGAAACAAAATTGGATCAACTTCCAGAAGAGGGTGGCATGCTTGAAGCAAAATTGTATTGTTGGTAAGTCGAAATTTGTTAAACAAATCCTGCTAGACTGACTCAAGATGCTTAGACAGCTGTGTTTTACTTGTGATATTGATAGTGGCAGGTATATTGCAAAGGAGAAAGTTCTTGCAAAGAGATGGAATAGAAGAGGCTTGAGGGTGGTGTTGAAAAATCAGAGAAAGCAGACAATTTGAAGGTAGAGATCTTGCACGAAGACAGAATTTGGTAATCAGAACATCAGACTGGAATTGCATACTTGGCAGATTACTGATGTGCTTGAGAACTGCAGTTGAGGAGGTAGCATGGCCACCAACAATCATTCGAAGACATTTATTCTGTATACCTTCTAGAAGTATATGATCTTTTTTGCGCAGAACAGAGATTGCAAGGCCGTACTTAAACTTTGGGTGCACAAAAGTCTTGTATAGTCTGGAACTGAGGAGCAAGGAAAACCCAGAACGACATGCACCAACAGAATTAAGTGTTGTCATTGTAGAAATAGCACCAGAACAACAATGAAACACAATTGAATCTTGAAATATCCCTTTGTTGTGAAATGGGACACCCAAGTAAATAAATTCTGGGACTGCAGGAACGACTTCATCATATAGTGTTAAGTTTATATGGGTTGGTGAACGTGGTAGTGGGTAAACGATGGCACATTTAGAAGAATTCCAACGATAGCCAAACTGAAAGGAATGTTGAGCAGCAAGGTCAAGCATGAGCTTGACATCAGCAGAGGACCCAAATATGGCAACATTGTCAGCAAAGAGAAGACTATTAATTGCTGTTGGTGAGTGAGAATGTCCAAACCTGTCCATATCTGATGGAGCAAGAAGAGAGTTGTATGCATCCAAAGAAGAAGGAGAAGCGGATAGAACGTGTGTAGAGGTGAGAGATGATGCAATTATGCGAAGTAAAGGCGGCAGAGAGTTAATGTAAATGGAATATAAATGCGGACTGAGAATGGAACCTTGAAGGACGCCTGTGGTTGGGGTGAATGCATGAGAAGAAAAGTTGTCCAGAAGAACAGATATAGAGACATCATCAAACATATTGATAAGAAGTCCAAGTAAAGCAGGTGGCATTTGGCATTGAGCAAAAGCATTCCAAATTATTCTGCGATCCACTGTATCATAGGCAGCCTTTATGTCTAAAAATGCTACAACTGGATAGTGATGGTGATGGTGACGGTGAAAATGGGCTTTCATAAGGTCATGTAAACAGAGAGCTTGATCTAATGCACCACGCCTAGGACGGAATCTGCCTTGAGCAACATCTAATGGAGGTGAGAATTTATGCAGAACAGGAGCAAGACACATTTCCATTAGTTTTCTGATAACTGACGTCAATGAAATTGGTCTATAATTTGAAGCTTGAGAGAGATCACCCTTCTTATAAATTGGAAAGACTTGCGTCTGACGCCACAGAACAGGTACATATGACCATTGCCAACAGATAGTGAGTAAGAGAGAGAGTATGGGAGCAATTTGTCGACTAATGACTTTAAACATTTCTGCTCTGATGTGATCTAGACCTGGTGCCTTGCAGTTAGGCATAAATTGCATGCATCCCTCTACCACTGAAGAAACAAATGGCGAGTTGGCAGAGGCAAAAGGCAGACTGGTACTGTGAAGAGGAGGAGGAGGACGCTGATCTGGGAGGATACTCCCACTGTACACAGATGCAAGATGGTCACACATAATTGTTGCTGCTGCTGCTGATCTATCACTGTGCTGAGATACATGCTGAGGTTGGCATTGGCATTTGAGCTTCTTGATTTTGGAGGTGGCCTTAGAGAAGTCTCGTTCCATTGATCTGCAAAAAGAATGCCATGATTGATGCTTTGCTAATTGCACTTGGTATCGAAGGTCAATCTGAGCTTTGAGATGTTTATCCCACCAATGAATTCTGTCAATGCCACATGCATGCCGCCATTTCTTATAACATAAATCACAATGCTCTGCAGCTGCTTGAAGTGATGAGGTCCAGAATTTTTTCCAGTGGGAAGGACGGGGAGAACGGTTGCCAATTGAGCTAGTAAGAGAATTATAAATGAGTGAGTTTAGTTCATCTGTTAGTGTATCAATTGGTGGACGGGAGGAAGGAGAGTGTTCTAAAGTCGATTGCAAAGTGGATTTGAGGTTGGCAGAATTAGTGACAAATGTGTGGGCATATAGTTTGAGAACATCAGGTTCTTGAAGACGTGAGAGGTTCCATGTTTTGCGAGATGGTGGTGGTGCATGTGATGTCGAATTGATGGCATATGTAAATGAAAGTGAAAGCAGACAGTGGTCAGAGTTGAGTGAGAGGTTGGTATGAATGTTGAGAGTGGCATTTTTGAGGGACATATTAGTGATAAACAGATCAATGATACTGTTTATCTCCATATTTTGGTGGAATGAAATGAATGTGGGTGTGTAGAGTGAGAGCTGGCCGTTGACAACAGTAAGAGCACGTTCCTCTAGCCATTGACAAGGAGCAAGACCTCGAGAGTTAGTAGCATAGTCACCAGTAAGTGAACCCAAACGTGAATTAAGATCACCGCATATAATAGTATCATTGGTCAAAGGAATGGAAGAGAGAACTGCAAGGGCATAATGGGTGGACATAGTGGGTAGCAAGTACAGGCAGACAATTCTGAGCAAACCAATCTTGACAGCCAAAGCATAGTTAGATGACATAGGAATCTGAGTGACAGGATAAGGACAGGATGGAGAAATAAGCACAGAGACACCCATAAAACCTCTGTAGTTGCCAGCTACAGGTGAACCATAAAGATGAATCTGGGACCAAGAAGTGGGGAGACGAGATGGAGGGAGAAACCATGTTTCAGTAATAAAAAGCATATGTAAAGAGTGACAGTGTTGAAGAACATCATAGATTGCATGAGGCTGTAGACCATTAGCATTCCAAAGTCCTAATGAGATTTCACTCATTCAGACATTGCAACAGAGGTACAACAAGATGGTGATTGGAAATCTTGAATACCAGCACCAGGACCAGAATCAGAATGAACAGGAATATCTTCCTTAGAGATCCAGCCTTGGTAACAAAAGAAATAGCTAACAGGAACAGCAATATGAGGACGAAGGTACTTGAGAGCCTTCAGACAATGATCAGAATGAAGTTCAGCAGCAACTTCTTCTAGCTCTGAATCAAAAAGAGACTTATATTTGGGATCTGCAATGTTTTTGGGATCCAAAGGGTCAAACGTGTCTAAGATCTCAATGGCAACTGTGGTCAGAGTGGCCTGGAATTTCTCAGCATACTGGTTGTGAACTAGGATGCCAACTACATTCTTGGCAGGAAAATTGATATCCAAGATGCGGCCAGTATCAACACCAAGTGCTTTCAAAGAGTTGCGAACTTCTCTATGTGTGAGACAGTGCGAACGTAGAATATACACATATTGATATCCTTTGGGACCAGTGGGAATGGCAAACATTCTAGCAGAAGCAGCAACCCAGCGAACAGAAGGAGGTCTTGGAGTCTTGCAAACAGAAAGATCAGTAGAAACAACAACAGAGTTGTGAGTAGCAGCAGCAGTGGTAGCCCATGTAGAAGCCTCAGTCCCAGGCTCCTTGGGTGTGGTTGGTGCAGATGATGTTAGTGCATTTGTTGCAATTGGGCAATTGCCCTGAGATGCTAATTGAGATCTGAGATCAGCAATTAGCTTTTCTGCATTAACTAATTGAGCAGTTAATCGAGCATTAGTCGCAGCAAGAGATTCAAGTTTATTGGTGCGTTGTTGCAGTGACATGAATTGGGTCTGCATGTTCCCCAGAAATGAGGCGAGATTGGGCAACATTCCCTGCATGACAGAGGATGGCAGCAATGTTGACATTTGAGATTGCAAAAATGAAAAGTTGTTGGAATCAGCTGAAATTGTTTCTGCTGATAGATAAGGCAACAGTAGTAATGGATGCAATGTTTTTGACAATGGATGTATCGTTTTGAACAAGATGTAGGACGGATTGATGAAGCTTTTGTATGGATGCAACCACTTTTTTTGTTATGTCGTGTGTAACATTAGCTTACGTGAAAGAGAAGTGCCTTCTTGCCTCAGATTAAAGATTATATTTTATTAAAGGAGATATTGCTGGCAATCTATAGATCATGTAGCCTCCCAAGTACAAAAGGAAAAAGATAAAAAAAAGTCCAAAAGGATCACAAAAAGACAAAAAAAGAAGTGAAAGATAAGATCAAATCATACTTAGTTTAATGTCTGAACCTGCTCTCCACTTTGCAGCTGTGTAAAATGTTGTAACAGTGAAAGGGAGGAGACAGAATTGCAGAACAAGGAACTTTTCAGATAGAAAAAAAAACAAGTAAAAGAAAGTATAAAGATAAAAAGCTAAGAGGTAAAAGAAAGAAAACTATGTAGAATGTCACTGGGAGCCATGATCTGTTTCGTGCATATAGCTGCCTTCAGGGTTACAAAGAATATCGATATGCCAAAGTGTAGATAGCAGGGCAGTCCAGTAGCACTGGAAAAATAGGGTAATTTCATCTGGATCAAATGTACTAAAAATGTAGATGATTGAGCCGATATTATCACAATTTTTGTGATATATCATTTTGAGCAATGGTACGATATCATCTATGGTGCTAATGCGTATCATCATAACAACGGGTATATGAAAACCCAATATAGAACGATTGTCTGTCTGCAAACTATGGAAACTGAATAAATATTGTAGTTATGCTTTACTCCTATCGAGTCTACCTCTTTATGTGTTATATTTTGAGGTCTATAAAGAGCTAGTGTCCCATATTATTATTTTTACCGGGTTTTTTTATTGGCTGCAGAAATGCTTTAAAAACTATCAAAGAGATGATTGTAGGTTTTTTACAATATAAAGAAATGATGATAGTTGGTTTTTTATACATGCTCAAAGTGATGAAACTAGGCTTTTTATACACACAAAAGCAATGAAACTAGTTTTTTTTACAATAGAAAAGAGAAACAAAGTATGGGTAGATTTTTATAAACAAGCCTCTTTGGTTTGTTTATTTATTTTACTTTTATTTATTTATTTTTTGGAAAAACATTAGGTTATACATTTTTTGTTCAATTTTGTTTTATTTGATAGGAAAATCTTTTCTAGATAAAAATCCTAATTTCGCAACAGTTTTGATACTATAGCTATTATAATTGCTAATACTTCTTGCTCGCTATATATAATTTAAAGCCTTCCGGGAGTAGACATGGAATACATACTTTAATAGCAGGAATGCTATTAAAAAATGATTAATAGAAAAGAAGAATTAGTAAATGATTTAAATTGAAATTTCTTCATAAATACTTACAAGGCGGAGAAGACTTGACATAAAATTGATATAAACATGTTCTTCAGAATTATCAAGACAATACCAGTAGTCTTTGAATAGAGATACATTCTAAAAACGAATAGTTATTAATATTGTGCGTAGTAAAGGCATATTCATTAAATATATTGTAGTTAACTTACCAAATATTACTGATTATACGTCTTCCTGCATAATATCAGACATAGCTAATAAATTGTAATAGAAATAAATATATATTTATGAGGAAGACAAAAGAATAATTTGAATTTTTTTTAAGAAAAAAACTTATCATCATGTTCGATTAAGAGATGATGAGACTCAATGGAAATGAGTAGCAATGGCTAGACAAACAATATGATGAGTAACAAAGATCTGTAAGATAATGATATCTTACCTTGATATATCAGATAGAGTATAGCCAAACAAAGAGACACATATTTGGTATTGAGCTATAAAAGAAAGAAAAAATTATGTGAAATTGTAAAAACATAAGCAAAAGAGAAACAAAAAAAATATCAATAATAAATGTTGTTAAAAGAAAAAAAAGAAAAAAAAAAGACTTGTCTTAAAATCCAGTTTGACTCTGACAAAATGTGGGCTGTAAAAAGTAATACTCCAAAAGAAGATAACCACTGTCATCTTGAAATACTACTTTGTGCCTCATTGAGTTAAAAAAGAAGTTGTCTAAATGTGGATCAAGTGGCTGGGAGATGTGCTTAAATATCAAATGAAAGGTAGAGAGTTAATCTCCACCGCTTATCCTCTTTACTAGTATGTGAATTTTAAATATGATATAACAAGTGTAGTGAATTGTACAATATTAGTTGAAAATTATTAATATTTATTTTATTAACAGAAAATGACAAAGCATATTCCTACTGCTCCCCACCAACCCAACCTACGCATGAATGCTGTTCTTAATAGCACAATTGCAGGTGTTTTTGCTCCAATTGATACACTAACTCCAGAAGTAGCAGTTGACACAGCCCCTGAAGTTCAAGTCGCTGTGACCCCAATGGATCACATCCTTACCTTGTTGGCAGCCAACAATGTGTCGATGCAATCCTTGCAAGAAAATGCAAAAGGAGTGACTGATGCAATAACTCATTTGAAGAATGACCTGGATTTGTCCAACAAGACAAATGAATTTTTGAAGAACTTGGTCCTTCAGCTCATAACTGAAAATGCCGAAATAAAAAAGGCAATGACCAGCCAAAATTCCGTGATGCCTTCTGCTGTACCAGCAGATTCTTCTTCTTCCATAGATTATGATCTTGACCTTGGAGCAAAACATCATCCCTTGATTTCTGTAAGTAAATTGATAATAATAACATCACTGATTAATATATCTAATACTGTTTTTATAGCAACTTATCAATAGTTACATCAAGAAACCGAACTTTGTTAGCACAGACCCGCTCAAAGTTGCTGAGAATAATAATAGATCAGCATGGTCAATGACTGGCTTGTATGGCAATAAGTACAACAAGACACTTGCACTGGCTCTCTTCAAGTACCTGAGACCTCAAAGATGTTGCACAAATGTGTTAAAGAGTGTTATTATGAATATAATAAAGAATTACTACCAAAATCAAGTGCGAGTCTTCCGGATCTCAGCAGAGAAGATTATGGCTAGAAATAAAGCTGGAAGAAGACGCAACAGAAAGAAGACTGTAAGTTTTAAAATAAAGTTAATTTACTATTGATTTAATGTTTTAATACAATATTCTTTGGTAGCTTCTTGACCGTCGTATTATTACGTACCAGATATACACAGAGGCTATTCATGAGGGCATAAATCGATATGATTGCAGAAATATTCTTTTTATTGATGTGATGTCTGATGGCAAGTCGGATGGAGATAACAAAGTGTGGGCATATCGTCCCAGCTGGAGAACTGATGAGATAATGTTAAACATCTATTTATGTTTTAAAGAAAATAATAATACTTTATTAATACTATTTATTCTTTAAACCAGCTCCAGACGTTTATTAGTACTATTGATGAACTTACTGTTATCTGTTTGAAGAAAAATTCAGAAAGCTTGAAAAAGCGCATCCCTTATGAGAAAGAAGTGAGCATTCCCAAGAATTTGGCAGTCATTTTACCAGATTGGTGCTTTTCAAAATAAATCATTTTTTTCTTGCCAACTATTTTAGAGTCTTTTTTCTACTTGTTTATGTTTATGGATTAGCATGATGTATACAGATGCATGTATAGCATGCCAAGTACAAACAAAAATTTATAGAAATAATAAAAAAATAAACGTGCAGCTATATATATTAGTCTGTATTAATTAATATTTCTTTTTTATACGTGTTTTATTTTTGTATTTGAATCTAAATATATATTTTTCGTGGCAAAGGAACTACACACATCTGAACTTCGCCTTCTAGACCAAGATGCTCGCCTACTGCGACTGGATAGCAGATTCTATGCACTGGGAGAATGCTGTTCATGCTGTCATCTTCAAACCCCACCTCATTCACCTCAACTCCTTCTCCTGCTCTGGGCTGAAGTAAAACTTCCTTGTACCATTGTATATATGCAAATACATGCTGGCTCGCATGACCAGCAAACGAGTTTACAGCAGTATTGACAAAGAGGTACTGAATTTGGCCCGCGTATGGCTTGGTACTTCTACCATTGCTTGTCTCAAACAATGCTTGCATGAACGACCCGCACTGATTCTTCGTTTTGCTCTTGTAGATTTGCCCAAGAAGATTGATTGATTCAAACTTCTGTATCCGATTGTTAACAAAATTATTGGAATGACCAGCCTGACGATAATAAACAAGAGTTTGATCTCAGGAGAATCAAGAAAAGCATTGATATCAAATTGGATTGAGGTGGCAGTGGAAGTGGAAGTGGCTATGGAATTGGCAGTGAATGCAGTGAGCTCAAGGATGATCGCCGAATGCTCAGGTCGAATTATTGGCAAAGTTTGGTGAATAAGATCTTCCTGGTATGCTTCTTCAAGATACTTCTTCATATAGGTTCCCTCAAACCCGTCTTTTCTATTTGTCGCATAGTTTTTCAAGATACCATTGCATCTTTCGAAACTAAAAAGCCAATAGCCATAAATCGGGCCAAAGTTAAGTACAGTCTCTCGCAGATGAAGATGGAGATGCATGTTTGGCAAAAGGAATGGGGCTTTATACAACTTCTTGCACTCTCTGCAGAAAGCCTCCAAAGATTGATGGGCTTCATCAAGGTGAGCCATGGATATGCTTGGCATTGAGAGGTACTGGCATGCATTGACAAATGTTGTCCAGTTACCGAGATGAGCTTCAGGTAGACAATCACGCAGGAGAACAGGAGAGTACACCAAGCACCAAGACTTCCACTCGTTGGCCTTCATGAATGGGAAGCCACGCCCGATCTTTGTCCCTAATGGCGTGTATTCCTCTGGCAGTACAAGCTTGTCAGCATCCAACTGCATTTCGGCCAAGTGTGCATCTGTGATGAGACCTGAAGATCTCCATTTCTCCATTATCCTCTTTGCTGTTCCAAGGTACAGGTTGTGCATCAGATCGATGACAGTGCACTCCACAAGGTTAAAGTAAACCAGGTCATGCAATTCTGACCATCGGACACCATTTTCCCTCTCCAATCTCTTTCTCTGTGCATCACGGCGGTTTTTGGCATCAGTGCGAGGCATCCACTCAGAAAACACGAACCCAGAGTAGTCCACAGCATTGGAGTCTGAAAGGCGAGGGAACTGTCGGTTGCACTTATTGCATGCACATGTGCTTGAATAAGAGGTGAACCCACAAGTCTTATGGGCAGCAGGAATGTTGCAGGCAACAAGAAGAAGGGCAGCACGGACAAGAGCACCAGATGGGCACTGTACGGTAGCCATCACCACACTGCCATACAACTGGTTGAGTTCCGCGACAAGGGGACAGAGGTAGTGATTGATCTCACTTGTCTTTGCTTCCTTGGGCCCTGGCATGAGACCAACGAGAACAACATTCTCCTTCTTGTACTGTTCCGATCTTGGCAAGTTGTTGATGCAAAGGTATATTGCACCACAGGAGTAAGTGACCCCATCGAAAGGTTGAAACCAATCGATGTTCATGGTAAGCATTATGGAGCACTCATGATTCACAAACGGTAAACCATTGCTATCCTTCAGACTGTTTCACTTCGTACCGTTGTAAATGTCAAACATCATGCCTGGAACTTGCACTCTGATTCTCCAATGGTTGATGGTGTCTTCGAATCCAGGGCGGCAAAAAAGGATAGACAATGTTTTGATTATGGAGTTATACATGTAGATCTTTTTGGGGATAGTCAAGGCTCTTGATGTTGCAAAGAAAAGAGCGTTTCCACATTCTCTACCAGAGAGTCTCTCGAAATTACAGCACTCTGGAACAACATCGGACTCTTCGTATACTTTGTTACAATCGCCACATGCAACAAACCGCTGGACACCTCAAGTCACATCGCTGAGACTGGTCATAGAGTTGACACCGTTTATACTGAGGGGAAGATGGAAAGACTGTCCAAAGTGTGCCAATACTTCGTTAAGACACTTTAACAGAACAGCACCACCAGAATTGACAACATATTTGGATATGAAGAAGGCAGCAAAAGAAGCAATGAAAGCATGAGTAGGATCGACTGGCATATTGGATGAAGAAAAGTGCTCTATTTGAAAAAAAAATCAATACTTGTTGACTTTATTGATTTATATGTGCTTTTTGTACTAACCTCTAACATCGTCAGATTCATTGTCAGAAATATCCAAAATGGTTGCTTCAATGACACCCTCATCTTCGCTTTCAGAATCAAACAAGGAATCAATGCCAAAAAGAGGTAAGTCTTTGGCTGTTTTGTTAGGTAAAAAAGAATCAAATTATTACATATTATAAATTATTATAAAACTTTAATAAAAATACTATGCATACCTTCAACTTGATCTTCGGCATCAACATTGTATTCAAAGTCAATCTCTATGTCATTGCCATTCGACATTACTTCTATAACTGAGGCTATATTATATGAAAATAAATATTTAATTAAAATTGTCTTAATAATAATTTTCTTAAATTTGAACTTACAAGAAGATCCTGACTGATATTGTCTCACGATATCCTATTGTGCATGTCTTCTGAGTGTTTGGGTAGACATCAAAACAAATCACATGCTATTGGAAGAGCATTTACACTGCAAAAGACCGCTGATTTTAGTTCCTGAAAACCTGCAAAAATTTTACTACAATTTTCGATTTTTAATTTTTTCAAATAATTTCTATTTTTTTCTGTTGTGATTTCAGATCGCTCTTTTTTAGCTGTAAAATCACACTACCATCATTTTTTTGGCCATAAAATTACAAAATTGGGTTTTTTTTTATATTATACACTTCTTTGATATAATTCTAAATTACATTGAAAAAGCACTTATACAAAAGTTAATATAATATTTAATAAAAATTATATATATTCTTAAGGTTTCACTTTTTCTATTTCAAAATAAATCATTTAAATATTTTTTATGTATTATAAATGTGAATATAAAAACAAATATTTAATCCATATATTTCAAGGGAACGAGACAAAAGGTTGTGATTTCATTTTTACTGTGGCAATATTTTTGCGTGATTTTTCCCTTTGATATATGGAACTAAAATATCAGATTTTTTTATTTCACATGTTGTGAGAGGCGAATGTTCCATTTTTGGATTATTTTTCGTCATGGTCGAATCATCATCATATCAAATATTATAATTCTAAAAAAAGACTTTTAAAAAAAATTGCGTACACTTTTAGTAATGTGCGCAGTATTTGACTTGGTTAACGACTTAACAATATATGAGTATAATTATGATGATATGTGCGGTAGATGTATCAAAGAATTACTTGGCATACTATAGTCATGGCATGGAGCAGTATTTTATCTATTTATAATTTTTTTTTTGGTATATAAAGACCTTGATCAAGATCTCTTAAAATCTATATAATTTTTTTTATAATTTAAAACAATCGACATGTCCAATAATCAAAAGAAAGACAGTTATGTTATCTGCAAATGTCCAGACTGTACAAAGTTGGATAGCTGTGGAAAGAAACAGAAAAGACAAAATGCACAACGACACTATGAGAAACATATAGTGCCTGTTGCCAAAGACGATGCAATGGGTAAATAACAAGAATAACTCGAGCTGTACATGTAAAATTAATATAAATTAATTCATAAAATAGATGTTCCTGAAGAACATTTTGACGACATGGAAGTAGATAGTATTGACAGTGACAATGACAATGATTATGATTACGAGAACGAAGGCGAAGGCGAATATGAAGACGAAAATGAAGAACAAAACATTGAATTTGATCAAGAAGGTAAGAAAATAAAATAAAATAAATGAACAAAATAATAATTGAAACTGATATATATTTTTTTTATTTTTTATTTTTTATATGATTATAATTGTAATTATATTTTTATTTCTACATCTTTACAACAATTATTCCTTTCCAGTTGACTTACCTTTGTCCCAAGAAGAGTCCATCTTTACTGCCGAAGATACAATTACAGGAGCATTTGTGGTTGATGGCGATGAGATTGAAGAAGGCGATACCGGTTTTGATTTTGAACAAGAAGAAAACTTTGATGAGACCAGTGGGACCTCGATAGTAGAATCAGGTATGAATTAATACGGTATAGACAATTAATCAATATATTAATTTAAACTAACTTAACCTTTGTCTTCATAGTTCGTCCTTCGTCTTTTGATAACATGCCCTTGTATATCCGCTTTGTTGCAGTATTCATTGTCATATTTCACTTGATCTTTTTGGTGGAAAGCGGTGGATCGATTCTCATTGAATTTTGTAATACTCTACTGTCTCTCTGTGATATGTCTGGCGCCCTTCCACTGACGATCAATAGCTTGAAGCATAAGACAGGATTTAACATGGCAACAGACGGAATGACAGTATACATTGCATGCTCACAATGTCATTCGATTTATCCTCCGGAAACAAGTCAAAGAGTCTGTACATTTAAGAAATTCTCTCAATCTGCCATTTGCAACAACAATCTCTTTAAAGTGTCAACCGGAAATCGTTCTCTTCCAGCAATGGTATATCCATTCAACTCTCTGAAGTACGCCTTGCAACAAAAATTTTCCAAGCCAGATTTCGTGTCCAAGATCAATTTGTGGAGAAGTCGTCAAATAATTGAAAACACCAAACTTGACATTTTTGATGGTGCAGTTTGGAGTGATATTAAAGACATCAATGGCAGACGGTTTGTTGATGATAGCCAATCTTTAATGTTGACTCTGAATATCGATTGGTTTCAGCCATTTGATGGACGAACACATTCCAGTGGTGCGATATATCTCTCTATCAACAATCTCCCACGGAGTGAACGCCTTAAGTCTGAAAATGTCATTCTTGTTGGTATGATGCCTGGGCCGAAGGAAGCAAGCACTGACAGCATGAATCATTACTTGAAGCCGCTTGTTGACGAATTGTTGGAGATGTACATTGGTGTAGAAATGACAGACTCACAAAATAGAAATATTGTTGTTCGTGCTGCATTGATGTGTGTTGCCTGTGATATCCCTGCCGCTCGCAAAACCTCTGGATTTACTGGCCACATGAGCACATGCGCCTGTCACAAATGTCAACGACAATTCACGACTATAAGGAAGACCAGCAAGCTTGACTACTCTGGATTCAAGTATAGCAATTGGGTGAGACGCACGAAGACAATGAATCTGGAACACGCTGTCAGCTGGGCAAATGCATTGAACAATACTGAGCGAACACGCCTAGAAAAAGAAAACAGCACTCGGTGGTCAGAGCTTCATCGGTTATCTTACTTTGACCCAGTCCGCTTTACAGTTATAGACCCGATGCATAACCTCTATCTTGGAACTGCAAAGCGAATGATTCAGATATGGCGCGAGTGTAACTACATCAATGAAAAGAATCAGTTAACTATGCAAGAGCTTGCCAATGGTATTGTTGTACCTTGTGGATATGCGCGTATAACAAAGAAGATTGCCGATGGGTTTTCGTTCATGAAAGCTGACGAGTGAAAGTCGTGGTGCGTCATATACTCTCTATTTGTTCTGAAGCATGTGCTCCCAGCCAAGAATCTCGAAAACTGGATTTTGTTTGTTGACGCATGCCGCTTACTCACAAAACCTTCGATCAATGACAAAGAAATAGACGAAGCCCACAGTAAACTCCAATTGTTTTGTACAAGATTTCAAACACTGTATGGAAAATCGGCCGTGACACCGAATATGCATCTACATCTTCATCTTGGCGAGTGTGTTCATGACTTTGGGCCAATTTATGCTTTCTGGTTATTCATTTTCGAGAGATACAATGGTTTGTTGAAGAATATCGAAACAAATCAAAAAGGCGGCTTCGAATCAACAATGATGAAGAGATTTTTGGAGAGAACATACATTGGCAGCTTCATACAATCTTTCGTCAACCATCTCCCCCAGTTCGCAATTGACTTTCTGCATCGCATTTCAAATAGTCAAGATCAATTAGCAGCATTGCATCCATCTTCTACTGCCAGTACCTTTTCTCTGTCTGACTTTGTTGAATATTCGTTAAACCCTCGTCATTCTGCTTTGGGTTGTGAGCCGTTGCCCCCTTCAGTGTTTCTGATTAAACTCGACCAAAGGATTACAATGTGCAAGGGACATTATGAATGTTTACTGGAGTTTTACAGACACGCGTATGGCAGTCACGATCTTTTTGGCCATTATTCAAACTGCGAGTCTAACCAGATTTTTGTCAATAACCGAATTGAGAAAATGAAACGGATATCTCTTCTTGGACAGGAATACTCTTCTGGATCTTATTTCCGCGCCTATTATCTTGAGAATAACAGTGAAGATAAAGCAGCGTTTCCTGGCCGTATACTGTATTTATTTCAACATTTAATAACCATCAACGAAACTGTCATCACCCATACTTTTGCGTTTGTTGAGTGGTACTCTAGTTATTCTTCGGGGAGTTACCAGCCAATGTTAAATGAAGGCATTGAGCTCTGGAATGAACCTTCTTCTGTACTTAATTATGAATGTATTATTCCAGTACATCGTTTATATTCACCAATCGCAATTGCTAAATATAGGTTTACTATAACTAGTGAATTTAAACGTTTAGTAATCCCTTTACCCCAAAAAATAGAAGCTTAAATAATATTAATAAAATACCACTTTGCACTCTTTTATCAATTTATTAGAAAATGTTTGATTTATTGTCTTATTGTTTCTTTGACCATGATGGCAGCTTGTTTGCCTTGGTCTTACTAAGCTGCTTATCTCTTATTCCTTTAAATTTATGCTCGAATGGACGGATATTATTTTTCTTATCATGAGCTGCCTCATAATCCGCATCAAGTTCATCAACGAACCTATCTCCCTATATGTCAATGTAAGTATTATTACACACCATCCAAAAAAATAGTTTTTTGTACTATACCTCTTCGCTTCTCCAGCTTGGGCGGAATCTCCAAAAAAAACTCTTTCTGAGGACGAATCCTGTTCCTCTTCTTCTCTTTCATAATCACTCTCAAGGTCTGACATGTAATCAGCATGGAGAATACTGTCAACATTCTCTCCAAAGCTGTTCACAAAGTGTGCCCGATTGGCTTTCAAGGCAGATTGTCTTCTTTCACACGACTATATATAAATATATAATATTTCTAATTTAATATCACATCTAGTATATTGTGTGCGTGTGTTTTTTACCTTTACACGTCGCTGACAAAGACAGGCCCGTCGATTCTCTTCCTGCTTCTTTTCTCCTGTTTTTTTTTCTTGCAACTTTCTGTTGCCAATGTGCCGCACAATCTTAGTTCGAAGAGTTGGCAAGTCCACCTTTTTCCCCTCTTCTTGACGACGAAGGTAATTGGTAACAGACTTCAGAACGAGTCTGTTTCCCTCACTGTTTTTATTTTCATTGGTATTGTATTGGTCATACAATTTCTCTTCACTCAAATAATCGCGCAACAATTGCTATAATATGAATGTATATTAAATTCTATCTACATAAAAACATATTATGATTACTTACATCCAATGTTGGTTGACGTCCAGGCGACATGTCTTGCTCAACTGCATTACTAGCAGTGGCTTCAGCTTTCTCAGAAGATGTGTTCTTCAAAACAGTGTTTAAGACACCATTCATGGTATCAAGTTTCTCGTACACATCATGGATGTTACGAGTTCTACCTGACGAATCACCTTCAAGATTCAACCGAGCTCTCTTTGGTGCTAGTGGTCTTTGATTGCTCACTGTTCCCTGTGAGTGTTGCAACATTATCGTCCTTATATCATTGGTATTTCTTGGTGGGCTTTTTTTTGATTTTTATAAAAAACGAAAATAAAATTAATATAAGAAAATTGAAGACTGCCTGGTTTTAATCTACCTTCCCACAGAAGGTTCTTCACCAAAAGCATTGTTAACTGAATTGTTATTGAGATTTCTTGACATTGTGAATAATAAGAATAGCTTGTTTTTTTTTAAATCCAAAGGGTCTACTTATATTATGTTTAATTTGGGCTTTAAGTTTTATTCTTTCTCAGAGAACACCATGATCTATTACGTAACAAGAACAGCTTTGAATGTTTCCACTCTTGTTGTGAGTATTTTATGTGTTTCTTTAATTTAATTTTCAATCCATGTTTTATTCTTATATTATGTATTAGTATTCGAATAATATGATTTTATACTATACTCTGTTTTTCATATGTATTAGCTGCTGGCATAGTGCAACTGCGTTTTCTTTCAATTCTAAGTTACAGACAAAAATTATTTTTTGATTTATTTATTTTTAAAAAAAACCCCGAATTCATATTTAATAGAATAACCGCGCCCCTCTTTTTTATTTTCTCTTTCTTTAACCTGCTCTTCTCATTTTGTCTCTTTTTATATGTCTTGGTAAGCTTACTCTTAAGATCTCAACTTTTATTAATACTTTTGGCTTTTAGAATCATCTTAATATATATTAGATAAACAATACACTCAACAAGCATTCAAAACAGTACAGGTAATAAACAATCTCCTAACTAAAATGAAACACCTTGCTGACTAAATATTTTTTATTTTTAAAATGATAGGGCTTCTATCCATTTTGTAATAAAAGATATTTTGCTCTTGACACTATATACTTTCTGGTATTGTCAGTCTATGAAAAGGTAATATATATATAACTCAACTTAAATAATGTAACTTATCAATTCTTCTTCTCAGATAAATATGTCACGTCTTTTTTTCAAGTCATACTGGTTTGCCCCCTTTTGCAAATGCGTGTCTATAATATGTAAGTAATTCAAGTGTCTTTACAATCAAAGCGTACATATTAATAAAGTTGTTTATTTTATTTCTTGCTTTTTATTTAAAAGAAAATATCAATCAAACGGATTTTTATTCTATCGCAAGATTTGTTATGAACCCCCATAAATGATCTAGTAAGTATGTTATTTCATTTTATTTCATAAAGAAACCTGTATTAATACTTCTGTATCTTTTTTTGCTCTAAACTAATGTAGTTCCAAACAAACGTATTCTCCAAGAAAATACCAAGGATTTCATTTTCAGTTAAAGAAGTGTAAAACCAAAAAACGCGCCGAATACATGAAACCGATAAGGTAGGGAAGTATAGTATAAGTTAGGTCATCCAATGTATTCAAGCCGTCCAATAAATGAAAGTATAACATGTATACAAGTCGTACTATTCGGATACACACTTTTAAAGAAGTATTAGCGGTCCATATTAAATAGCTAAATATATTTTCCAACCATTCAAAAATCAATAAAAACCATTTTTTCCATGAGATTCTATTTCAAATGCGTCATCTCTTGATGATGTCAACAAGATCTATTTAAGTTTTTTTTTACAATCATTCATTTGAATGCTGGTTCCTGTCAGATTTCAGACTGATTCTAGGTCGATTTTAGTGAGGTCTATCCAATAATATCATGTAATTAAAGCAAATAAAATTTTTTAAGAGGTAGAGAGTTCAAAGCCAATTCCTTAACAAGTAGGGTTTAGGTACGGTTTGAAGTTATGGGTGAATACATAACCAGAATTACAGACAATTATAACATTTCAAGAAAAGGGGGAATTATAACTCTCAATTTATCTATTGATTTTAGTATCTATAATCTCATCATTTGGTTAACTAAATGAACCAATTTTTGTAACAAATACCGGACTATAATTGAACATAAACCACCAATTTTTGGAGGATTTAAACAAAAATTAAGCTACTTAAATCGGTTGTCTTTTGCAGTGTTAGAGCACTTGCATTCTGAATTGTTGTTGTTGTTTGACATATTGTATGCGTATGTTTTATTTTTTAAGTCTTTAGAATTGACAAGAATAGAAAATTGTTCAGGAACACAATTTAATATATATCTTTCCAAATTATACCAGCTTCCAAAATGACATAGTTTATTCCAGTTGTTAAAATAGGCAGTTCTCTAAACAGTAATTGATTGCCTCATTCTAAAATACAATAATACACGCTTTTGTTAAAACATGCTGTCATGTACATTTTATTGGCTGTAGAGCATATACAACAAAAATATTTGTAGTAATATCACGACCATTAACCTCATCATACTTATAAATAAATATTACAACAATAAAAAGCTTTATTATCTCACTCAAAAGATATCATTTGGTTTAAGTTCCCTACAACTATTGACTCTGCGACATGGCTACAAGTCCCAAAAAGAAATCTTGCAGACATTTTTTACAAAAAAGAGTAAACTCGTTTTTTTATCCAATAAAACAGACCGAACATTATCATCGCCGTCGAAAATAAAAAAGACAAAAGTGATGGAAATTTAAGCTACCACTCCACAAATAATAGTACCCTACGCCATAGATGAAATTACCCTATTTTTCCAGTGTACTTTGTTCCATTCAATCCTTAAAAGATCAATATGAAGTAAATTTTCATCAATCAAATAATCAATAAAAATATAATTATTTCTCTTTTTTTTAAAAAAAAAACCTTCTGTAAATTGAAACAATTTTCAAAGTGACTTAGTAAATTATGAAAGTTCTTATTTTCTGGTATGTAAGCTTCTTTTTTGGTTAAATATTTATGACCTACCAGGAAATATAGACGTTCTATATAATTCCCAAATATCAATCATTGGGATTATCCCCAATAGTAACATTATTCAATACTTATATAGCAATTAGCAATTAACAAATAGTATAAATATCATTCAAAATATCAATCAATAAAGACTATCTTTTGCTTACTATTGAATTCTCTTCTCTTACTATTTGTATCTCTGCTCTGTCACGTCTGGCACACAACAATGATGCGTGTGGTACTTTGTTATATGTATGGTATGTACAAGAAAAGCAAGATATGGGTAATAATAAGGATTGAATTCCATAATGAGATAGGGTTATTTGAATTGGAAAATGATTATAATAAAATGTAAATTAAATAAGAGAAATTACTTCTAGAAGGAAAAATAGAAGAAATTTTAGAAGAGAAAGAATAGCTAGAACTAGCAAAAGAAAATGATTAATACTAATGTAAAATAAACTAAGTTAAGAGAAGTATTTAAAGAATAAAATATTAAAAATTAACTAAGAGAATTTCTAAGATAATTTTAAAATGAAAAATAAAGGGAAAATTTAACAAAATGAAAATTGTAAAATTTGAGGGGAAGAAAAATAATAGAAAAATAATAGAAAATAGTCAATCTTTCATGAAGACTTGATAAAAAAAAATAGTAAATGGAAGAAAAAATTTACAAGAGAGATTAGGGAAAGTAGACAGTATCTTTAAAGAAAACTTTTGCATCAGAAAAATTTGTCAATTGTTTATTAATTGATTTTGAAGGGTTATTTATACTACTTCCTGGATAAAATTTATAGCAAAAATAGATTGTATTGATGTCTAGAAGATAATTGTGATAAAAAATAGATACAATAATTGTAATCAGGATTCGTCATAAAAGAAAAATAAATAAAGTTATAATATATAACTACAGAGGATGGAAAAGATTGGGAAGAAGTATGTTATAAAGAAATAAAAAAACTACAGTTAATAATTTTGATAAAGTGTTATTGAGAGGAAAATGTTGTATTTAGTGTGTAAGAAAAGTAAGAAAAACAAAAGAGGGAGAAACTAATTTCGGGAAAGAATAAAGGGAAGGGAAATTTGTTTTCAGAAAATTGAGAGAAGAATAAAAATAATATAAATAAAATTATAATTGGAGGTTTGAGACTTTGAGCCTGATTAAAAAGGTTGAAATCGATTGAAAATGGGACTGGTATTGCGGCCGATCAATAGCACAACGCACCATGTCAACTCTATAATTATAGCTGAATAGCGCAGAGGAAGCGCGTTGGGCCCATAACCCAAAGGTCGGAGGATCGAAACCTCCTTCAGCTACATTTTTTAAAAACATTTTATTTTTGTATTTGTGTCAGAAATTATTTTGATGAATCCGAGAAATCGGGATAATTGACTGCAGCAGTTCTGTGTGTCAAAGATACCTCATAGATAACAAACCGCAGTAATGTCTTGTAAAGATTAACCACAGTAACATCTTCTGAGCATCAACCGCAGTAAAAGGACTTCTCTTGTAATTAAATAGAGTATAATAGTTTACTGCAGATAATGCACAGTATTAGTTTAGAAAACTATATAAGACAATTCAATTCCTATCAATAAAAAGTATCTTTTATCCTCTCTTTGATTTTACATATACTCTCCGATCCCCAGTGGGTTTAACCTTTTGACTTTGCCATAGTAAAAGGAAGACCATCCCAGATCAGAAACGACATTTGTCAGAGTTGACATTGGTGAACAAAATTGGAAGTTACAAGCAACCAGTAATAGAGAAGGTGTTATCCAATGAAAAAAGGGTGACTGCTAGAAAATAAAGATTGGACAAACCCAGTAAAAAACAAAAATACTCTGACAAAAGTTATGGAAATGTATAAATTCATGCAGATAATGATATACAGATCTCTAACAATGCAAAAAAGAAAATATTTCTCTCTCTTTCTTTTTCTTTAATTAATTTTACTAATAAAAAACACTTCTTTAAAAACGAATATTAACAATACTGCAGCTATTTGCTATCTTTTTTGCCACAGAAAGAGAAAACCCATTACTAAAAGAAAAAAGAGAACTGTTTACAAACGTCTCAATCTTGAGACATGGTCAGATGCAAAATGCAAGATTGAACTTTGTTTTACTTTTTCAGAGGTAGCTTACCTTTTAGAAGCTATGATTTGCTATAAGCCAAGTCTCAAGAAACTGCTAATTTTTTTAGTTATGTATTTACATATTTAAATTAGATAAAGCAAATATGTGCTTTAATGAAACTCACTCCTGTGCTAAGCTTTAAGCATACTCAAATCTACAGTATCCATATGACATGCGAGTTTGCTTTTGCTCTTTTATTGTACTAGTATGCCTTTCCACGTCACTTAATTTCCATAGAGACAGTTTGGGGAATGTCAAAAGGCAACATTGATTGTATCATCAATGACTTCTTAGTGATACTTTTGGATAAGTTTAAATATGGACTTGAGTTTGATACTTGACAGTTTTCTGCAGAGAATTGCAAAACATTTGCTGAAGCAATTTATGAGAAATGTAAATATACAAACTTCAATACTCTTATACAATATTTTCTGTTATTTTTTTTTAAAATATCTAATATAAACCTAATCAATAAATGTATATTTCTTTCTAGCTTGGGTCTACAAGCATATAGTCGGTTTTGTGGATGGAACAATGCAAAAAATTTGTTGTTCACAAGAGAAAGCAGACCAAAAGATTATATATAATGGATGGAAAGTAAGTTACTTTTTTGATATTTAATTAAAGTATGCATCTGTATAGTAAAACATTTGTATGTTTTTGTATTCGTCTTATGATTTGAACAGCACATCCATTGTCTTAAGTATCAGGCAATTGTGACACCTGATGATATCACCAATAGCCTTCTTGGTCCTTTCACTGGGTTCACTCATAATGTAAGAATGTTTGATGAGTCCAGGACATTGGATTGTCTCATCTTGCATCTGAGTACTTTAACTCCAGAAAGAAATAGTGGTTTACACTATGTAATTTATGGTGACCAAGCATATCAAAAATTACTATATGTTTATAGACCATTTACAGTATATGAGATAAAAGACCATCGTGAGTTATTTGATATAATGCTTTTATACTTTTGACTTACAACTTCCTACTACTATGTTATATATAGCTTCTTTGAAAGAAGTTAACAGAAAGATGTCACAAACAAGAGTGCAGGTCGAGATGGAGTTTGGGAAGGTATCACAGTACTTTAAATACTGCAAATATCATTAATCTTTCTCAATTGAAAGAGGTACAAAGTCAGCAATAATATACTTTTTATCAACTCTTTTCAAGAATATGCATACGTGTATAAATGGTTCAGCAACCACGGCAATTTTTGGGCCGCCACCACCAAAAATTGAGGAGTACATCACCGGACTCATACGTAAATGACAACCAAGAGACACAATCAATAATGTGAATACTATTTTGGACAATTTGCCTAACTTAGTTTAGTCTTAGAACTATATAAATAAAAAATGATAGTTATAAACCTAACAAATCTTATATATTAAATTTTATTACAGTATTTTTGACATATTATTATCAACAAAATTGTTTTTACAAGCTGTTGTAGAAGAATCAAGCACTTGTCAAAAAAAGCCTCTTGCTTTTCCATGTGCTGGTCTTGTTTTTCAAGATGGTGATCTTGCTTCTTCAGAAGAGATAAGATCTTTCTGTTGATGATGGCCTCAGAGTAAACATCATCACTGTTTTCAAACAGCACATCACTGCTGTCATCATATCTCTCAACTCTCTTATCTTCTCTCTCATCTTCCTCATTTCCAGTCAAGGTTTCAGCAACAGCTTGTTGTCTAGAAGAAGAACTATTTGTGTTGAGCATCTCTGGTTCTGAGTGACTATATAATGCTATGTGCATTATTTCATCTCCTCTATTCTTGGCCAATATTGTCTTGGCAAAATCTGATACTTTCTTCAGAATTTTTCCTTCTTTAAATTTATCTTTCTTTAAATATAAGTATTAAGTTAATAATTATTTTATTGTTTTCTATTTTACATATATGAAGTACTTACTTCTTGCATTGTTTCGTATGTAGCTCTTCCAAGTGTGGTTTGCAACATGGAATCTAACTTTGTCCATCTTTTGCTATGAGATAAACTCATAACTTTCTGGTACTCTCTGAACATTTTGTTCTTTTTGTTTTTGATACATGACTTCTTTAATTTCTTTGGGCTTTTATCACCCATGGCATTGACAGCACTTATGATTTTGTTCCATTCCTGTGTTCTATTTCTGTATAGCTGAGAGTAGGGATGGAACTCATGATAAGCCTGCATCAATGCAAGCTTTCTTTTGTTATCCCATTTTCCTCGAGATGAAACTTTCATTAGCACATAATTAGTGAGTAGTTAAAGTAAGTTTTATGAAAGCCTCTCAAATTTGATGATGTTATTCTTTACAAAATTATATATCATAAAAATGCTATTACCTTTCTTTTTGATAGCACCGGAATTAATAGAAGATGTATTGTGATTCATAGCTAGGTAAGTATAGAGTTTATATTAAATGTTTTCAAGAGAGATATAGTTAAGAGTATAAGAAGAGTTGATATGTGACAAAGTAAGATTAAAGGAAGATTAAAATATACTTTTATTAATGTTTTTATGTCTTTTATATTAGCAAGATATATATCATGTATTATCATTAATAAAGTGGTAAGAATAATATAATAATATACATAAAAGTCTAAATTAAATTCTGGCAAAAAAGTACTTATTGAAAGGACTAAAACTAATAAATCATATCAAATATGCACCTCTTTTTTTAAATAAACTTGTTCTTTAAAGATCAAATAAATTAATTACATATACAATAGATATCTCTGGCTACCCTATCCCTTGATTTGAGAGTGAAAGAATAGATTTAATTTTGAGGAAATAATTAATAGAAAATGTTAGTGGAAAATTAGGAAATTTGTAATTTTCCACATACATTTTTCACTAAATTGCGTCAACCAAAAAAATTGTATAATAATCATTGGAAATTAAATTGCCGTCTAAATTGAAAATAGATAAAATATTCAATTTTTCACTAGATAACACCCTTTCTAATGGTTGACTTTTTAGAATAAAAGATCTTGACTTTGCCAATTGGCCTTTCATATATGTTTTAGATGTTTAAGATGGTGAATATACTTATAGAAGATATTACTGAACAACAAGCATCTAAGACATATTATCATAGCTATTCTTTTAGCCAGAAATCAATCATCATTTTATATAAGTAGTTAAGAATTACATTTAATAAAAATCATCTTTATTCTTATCTAAAAACTATTCTTAAAAACTTAACAATCACCAGTGGTATTGTTTCTGTGACTTAATTACAAGTGGAAAACCTTTAATTTCTCAAAACTGGGAGCAGTCACGTAGACAGCCAAACTTTGTTAGATCCGGGTCAAACAGAAAAAAAGCAGTTTTATAAAGCACTTTGATTTTTTTTTCAAGATTATCAAAAAAAAGTCAATAATTTTATTTTTTTTATTACTATGTTTCCATCAAAAAAGTCATAAAATAATATCAGAAAAGTATGTTTAAATAATTTTATTATTTTTTTATTGCTTTTTATACTTTTGCTGAGGAGCAACACCGGTTTCTTCCATTAGAGACAAGCAATCTCTCAAAATCTGGGATGTTATGTCCATCCCAGAACCATTCTTCAAGTTTTTTGAACAAGCTTTCAGAAACTTCATCAAGCTCAAGCAAATGCAACTCATTTTGTGCTGTAGCACTCTTCTCATTTCTCTCAACTACCTGAACTTCTGGGTTCTGGACTATAGGAAGCTTTTTAGTTAAAGAGTATTGAAGTCCCATCATTCTGCAGACCAAAAAATATGTTTGCACAAATGATTAGGGTCTGGACAAGAGCAGACTGACAGGAATTCCTCTTTAACCAAGAGCTCGTACCAAACTGAATTGTCAGTAAAGGAGCGACACTTGTACATCTGTAATAAATATATAAAAATTGATATTAGTATGATTGAACTCAATGCATTATCAGTTATATAGTCTTACCAAGTTGTCTTCTACAGTTTCAATCATGCAAAGAGCATCTTCGTGATCAACGTCAAAAGCCTTCTTCTTCTTAGCCTTCTCAACATGAGTGAGAACAAGCTTCTTGAACCCATACATAATCTTGAGACCCTCTTATCTATAGTCATGCTCAACTACTTGGGAGAGCATGTAAACCAACCGGTCAACCCAGAAGTTTCTTAATCTTCCCAAGTAGTAAGCTTTCAAGATATGATGATAGGATTCAATAAGACTGTTCGTGTGGAATCTGGGATCCTAATAAAAAAACAGTAAAAACAGTTCATAAATAAAACATTATAATTATATTAGCTTTACCAATCTCCAGGCCATTAACCAAAGGTCACACTTAGCATGCCAGTGCATAGCAAAGTATGCCACAGATTTCTCATGGCCAGCAAACTTGGAAACAAATTCCTTGTATTGCTGGTCAAACGCCTCCTTAGTCTTGGCATACATCAGTAAGTTGAGGGCCACCCGAACTGCATCTCGCTCATGCTTGCTTTCATAGGTGGCTCCAGTAATTTTTACCTACAGCATTAGTAAAATATAAGTAATTATTAGTAAACTTTAAGAATGAGTGTATTAACATAATTTACATCTTTTTTGATATGCATCTCCCATGCTCTCTTGATGTGCCAGTGGCACAAAAGGACCTGAACCGACTGGCCAAAGACTTCCTCCAGGGTACTAATCTTGACTGGACTGCAGTCAATCATCACGAGCTTGACATGCAGGCTACAGTTGGATTTAATCCTACTGAGCCATTTTGACAAGATTGTGATTAATTCTGCATTAGTCACAAAGAAACAGACTGGGACACCCTTGTTCTTAATGTTGCTTCTCACAACAATCGTATACAAATAAAAGTGCTTGTTGGAATCCACCAAGGATTTGCAAGTCTTGTGAGTGAAGTCAATGCACCACTTGTCTGCTGACTCAAGAATCTGCTTAATGCACTGCAAAAACAGATCAATTTTGCATATGTAAAGTATACCTAAGTTCTGATAGCCAGAATAGGTAAAATTGTAGTTCAGCTCACTTTTGTGAGTAAAGTATTTGAATAGTACTTTAAGCTACTCTATTGGCTACTGGCAGCTGTGTAGCATTAGAATGCAACATCAAACTCAAATAAAATAAAAGTGTGTTTTCTTTGGTCTCTTTCTTTACTATTAAATACTATTGTAAACCTTTCTTTTCATTTTAAAATGGTTCCTATTCGCAAACCAACTGTTAGAAAAGAGTGTCGATGCTCTATCTGTAAAAGCAAGACACTAGGATTCGATTGTGTATCTGTTAAAACATTTAAACGTCATCAAGAAAAAGATAATCATGATATTACACATGTTCAAACGCGTATATTTAATACATTTGCTTTACTTTACTATATTTTATTTTATTTTATATCATTTCCTTTTTTATTATTTTATATAATAATAATAGTACTAACACTAATAATAATAAATGTGTAGCCCATGAAGACACATGCAATACACTTAGTAGTACTGTTTCTGAGCCTGTAAATCAAGAGGGAGATAGTTTTGAATTTGAGCAGGAAGATGTTGAAATGAATTCTGAGCTTAGAAGTAAGAAAACTTATTTTATTACATTGATTTATTTGGGTCTAACATTCCGCTTTTGTAGACCTAAATGACACAAATACCATTTTGGATATACGGACAAGAAACCAACCTTTCTCTGAAACAGATTGTGTGTTTGGCCCTGAAGATAATGTCCAGTATACAAGTGACACTTACAAAGAAGAAGAAGAATATGAAGATGAATCCGATGTTGAGATAGACAATGATGAAGGTAGGTACACAGCTTTAGATAATATTATATCCTAGAAAATAGAGAGTTAATCAACATTCTTTAAAAAAAATCAAATTAAAGATTCTTCATTAGAATCAATCTCCGAATTGAATTTGATTCACCGATTCATTGTTATTTCAGTTGCTCTATTTGTCTCACTATACGTCATGAATGAAGGAGCTGTAATCCTGATTGTCATAATCAATAAGATCCTGCAGTTTTTGTTTGACCATTCTGCCTTCCCATGAGTGTTGCTGGCCTCAAAAGTTTGGCCGGATTTGAAGCATTGACAAGTGGTGTCAAGAAGTGTGTTGCATGTAGCAAATGCCATGCCATATATGATAATGAAGCCGCCCCTTTGTGTTGTATATCACCCAATTTTGGTAAAACCTCCTTGTGTGGCAACAGCTTGTTTAAGTCTGATCCCGGGTCAAAAGCACCCAAAAAGACATATGTATTCCACTCTGTCAAGAAAGCCCTAAAGACGTTTTTTCAATGCCTGGATTTTGAAAACAAGATCAACTCATGGAACCGCGGCCCAAAAATAGATAGCACTTTGTTTGACATGTACGATAGTGCGATGTGGAATAATATAGTAGACGTAGATGGTATACCTTTTGTTGATACCAAGCGATCACTCATGCTCACGCTGAACATTGACTGGTTTCAGCCATTCGATGGTATTACCTACTCCTGTGGTGCCATATATCTTGTAATCAATAATCTTTCATGCAGTGAGTGGTTCAAGAAGGAGAAAGTGATCCTAGTTGGATTGATGTCAGGGCCCAAGGAAGCGAGCACATCTGATATCAATAACTATTTGAAGCCTTTGGTCAATGAGTTGACAGAGCTGTATACAGATATTAAGATCAAAACTCATCAATGTCCAAATGATACAACTATCTGAGCAGCCCTTCTCATGATTGCCTGTGATATACCTGCTGCAAGGAAAGTATGTGGATTCACATCTCATACTAGTACAAAGGCATGCCACAAGTGTAAGTGTCAATTTTTGATGTTGGCTGGAACGAGTTCTGTTGATTATTTTGGATTTGATTTCTCGAAGTGGCTCCTTTGCACTAAGAATGACAATCGTAAAGATGCAGAGATCTGGAGAAATGTAACCAAACCAACTGAGAGACAGCATCTTGAAGTTGCACATGGTGTTTGCTGGTCCGAACTGCATTGTCTTCAGTACTTTGACATTGTCTGCTGTACGATCATTGACCTCATGCACAATCTTTTCTTAGGCACTGCCAAAAGAATGCTGGAGAGATGGGTTGTGGATGGATTAATCGATAATAAAAAACTTGTTGCCATGTAAAAGGCTGTTGAGAAGGTAGTGTTGCCGCCCGATTACATGTCACTTGGGACAAAGATTGCCAAGGGATTTCCCTATATGAAGGCTGATGAGTGGAAGTCTTGGTGCCTTGTGTACTCTCTTGTGGTTCTAAGGGATGTGTTGCCGTTGCCAGAGTTCAAGAACTGGATAGAATTTATTAACGCATGCAGATACTTCACCAAGCCTAGCGTTTCTGAAGAAGACATTGAGAAAGGACACAAATGCTTAGAAGAATTCTGTAAAGGGTGTGAGACATTGTACGACCTGGACCTTCTCTCTCCCAGCATGCACCTGCATCTGCACTTACGCCAAACAATGATTGACTTTGGGCCCGTTTATGGCTATTGGCTTTTCAGCTTTGAAAGGTACAATAGTGTTCTGAAAAATATCAAAACCAATCGAAGAAATGGGTTCAAATCGACATTTATGAGACAGTTTATTGAAGAGTCATGGAGGGGAGATTATGTTCGTCGACTTCTGAAACCTATGCATGCACTTGCATGTTTTGAAATTTTTCGATAAGTTCACCACCAACAACAACAACACTAACACCAACACCTACCTCTCTCACTCTTTCTCAATTTCCAAATATCTTGAAGCTTCACAGAATCTTTCAATGACAATTCGTGGAAACGAGCCCCTGCCACCATATGCCTTGCCATTGAAAACAAGACCATTATCATTTATGCCAAAACATGAATATGATTGTCTTGTAGGATACTATCAAGCTGCATACAAGAATCCACAGATCTCAGGTTGCAAAAATGTAATTGATGACTCACCTTTCGTCAATGACTGGATCGAAATGGTGAAGTCCGTTGATCTTCTTGGGCAAAGCTACAAAGGGTGCATTGGCACGAATGGCCATGGATCATACATACAAGCATATTTGACTGAACAAACTGGGTCGGAACATGCGTATGTTGGAGAGATTCAGTACCTTTTTGTTCACAATTTTAGGCCAACTGTTTCTTCTCTAACATACGGAAATTCCCATAGTAGTCAGCATGTATTTGCATTTGTCAAATGGTTCAAATCCACTTCGGACAAAACAAGAGAATTAGAAGAAGTTGAGTTGTTACAGGATGAATTCTACAAGCAAGATTTTCAAAGCATTCTGCCAGTACATCGGATTCTCCTAACCGTTGCAATAGTAGATTACAAAACTACAAAAAATGTCAACAAAAAACTCGCGATTCCTTTACCAAAAAAAAATTACTATTAATTCTCATACACACACTTGCTTATATATTTATACTCTATTATTATTATTTCCTTTAATCAATTCAATTTCAATTATTACTATTTAGCCCTACAACAGAACATAGTAAAAAAGAAAATGTTTATTCATTGTTGATTGCCCAACGAGGCAATGACTGGGACAGGGTGGCAGGAACAGAGCAAGACAACAATGTTGCTGGATATCTGTTCATTCTTGACTTTGTTCTCACACCCACATTTGACATGTGATGGGTACGATCAATGTCGTCAACCATTGTCAACAATCAGTTGAACTGTATTTATTTTTATTAGTTCTTTATTTTTCTTGTTATAAAACTTATTTATTTATTCTAAATATTATTTACCTCTTCACTTCTCCAAGTGGGGCAAGCCACATGCAAACACCGTCGTGGAAGATTGTCCACAATCTCAATATCCGACTCACCATCAGACATTGCATCCTTCTGAAAGAGTTTGAGATAAGCCTTCTCAACAGGGTTTCCAGTCTTATATCCCATTGCAGCATCAATGGCTACCCAGTTGTCCATGTATGTCGACTTGTGTTGGATAGACATCTGGTTATATAGATTGTAGCTTGAGAAAATAGTAATATACCAATTAATTCTTATATAGTATATACAAGCCTGAAGAGTACAACTGTTTGCTCTCCCCTTGCTGTTTTTCTTGGCCTTCTGCTCAGGAGACTCGTGAAAAGTACTATGACTGTGCTTGTACCTGTTCTTTATTTTATCACTTATCACCCGTGGGTGAGTACCAGCTAGACGAGTCTGGGCACTAATGTAGCTCTTCAAGTAGTTGATAACAGCTATGTTATTGCGGTGGTTAATCTTTTTGTTCAAGTTCCACTTCTTCTTACTCTCGTTCTCAGCAACAAGAGCAGGGTCGTCAGACTCGAACTTCCAGTCCCACAACTTTTCCACAAAAATTTCCTAAATACAGGTTGTTTAATAAGTTGTTGATACTAACATATATTAATATTAATTACCAAGATAATGACAGAAACCCCGGCATCACTGAGGGAGATCTGGGGGACATAGGATGGCATCAGAGATGGTTCTAGACTAGTCATATGAGTCTGATTGTTGGCATAGGCAGTTGCAAAGTCTGCAAATGCCGTATGTGTCTTTCCAGATGTATCAACAACAACGCCCATCCTGTTTTTAAAGGCTGTCATGTTGCTATTGACAGCAGCAATGTCATCCTTGACACCATTGATACTGTTGTTTACTTTGTTAAACATTTCAATAATTTCCGTGTATTGCTGATCTTGGATAGTTGCAGATGAGAAACTGGGGGCAATTTCTCGAGGTCCAACACGGCCAGCCAAAACACGGTTTGCAGAGGTAGATATACTTGCAGATGCTTTTCCTTTTCCTTTACAGTCTGTTTTTCTGCTGCTATTGGAAGACATTTTTTCTTTATTGTATTTTTATTAAAGTTTTATACATTAATAAATTATTAAAATAAAATAAATGTATGGGTTGAAATATATTTATTTTTGTTTAATCAAAGATATACATACAAAATAAGTTAATATAAAGTAAATTTATAAAATAGCTGAGAAAATGAAGGGATTATATATTATTTTCTATAAAATCCTTTATAATCTTAAACAACTTCTTTAATATTCAACATAGAACTTAGTGTTACAATATAATTTTGGACTATTCATTTTATTACTATTGTATTTTACTAGAGTCAATTCTTATCTAAACTGCCTTCTGTTTGAAAGCCCATTTTTTTTCTGCTTTTTCTTTATTTTTTTCTTATTTCTTTTTTTTCTGTTTCTTTTCCGCTTTATTTACTTTTATTCTGATTGATGTATTTGAGTTCACACCCTGGTAAGCAATTTGTTTTTATTATTATATTGTTATATTTATTCTTAATGTTTTTTCTTTTATTATTATTGTGGTTGCTGATAGTATTACAAGTCTTTGCCGTGTTGATTAATGGACAAGAACAAAAAGATAAAACGCGGTTATTGTGTATGTGTTTCTTTATTAATTATTTTTTTCTCTCCTCAGCTCATTAGCTCTTCAGCTCATTAACTCCTCAGCTCATTATAAAGACATATCAACAGCAGAAATTTATCTGGTAAGTCTGAATAATTTATTTATTTATTTTATTCTTATATCTAATTTTGTTTATTTTCTATCTCTGTTAGTACTGCCAACATTTCTATGTATCTGATTGAATGGCTTGTCTTTGAAAACTGGTTTTCTTTGGTAAGTAATAAAGCCAAACTTTATTCCATGATCTTTACTAATGTGTTTTATCAAACCTTTCAGAACAACAGTCAATGTGGACTATGCCTGGTTCTGACAAAAGTACTGGTAAGTAATCATACTATTTAAATTAAAGAAAAATAAATATTTATATAATCTAATATAATTGAATAATTTTTTAGCCTTCTCTTACTAGTGAAATACCATAAACACGCGTTTCTTTTTAGGATTCAATTGTATTGGAAGTATTTATATATTATAATATATGAAAGGGTTTGTTATTATATTAATTATGTAGTAGTCTATATATTAGATAAAACTATATATTGTCAAGTCATATATATTATAAGCAAGAAGTTTTTTTTTAAATAAAAACAATTTTTCCAAAACAATCCCTATAAAAATATTTGAAATGAAGTGCAAGAAGTATTGCAGTAGTATGGCATGTGTGAATCCTATAGTTTAGCCATGCATAATTGTCCAATAAAAGTGTTTAGATTCGGAAGACAGTATACATAAATTCTGTTTCTTCTGTTAAATGATCCAATAGAATATCATTATTTCAGTAGACAGTTTTCTCTGTAAAGTAATCCAATAGAATTCTACTATTTCAGTAGACAGTTTTCTATCAAAAATAGATTTTTTATTGGAATCTCTGTTTCAAATCAAGTTTAATTTAATGTAACATCCAAGAAAAAAAAGATGCCATAATTTGATTATTCTCTCTGTGATTAAATAGTTTAAAAGAACCTTACATCTCTATATGGATCATTATAAGTTCAGAAGTTACATAGATAACTCACAGGTAACATAACATATTGCAAACAGAATCTATAAATGCCAAATCTCAGAATTTAATTATTCTGTCACTCAGAATTTCCCATACTATTGCATATGTGTAGAAATCTAATTCCTCAGTGATGGTTAGTAATATTCTATCTTTTTATTGAATAAAATAATATATCTTCTTCTGCCAAGGAGAGATTCACGAAACAAGATATGGCCCATTATCTTGATGAAAGACAATGTGAACTAGATAGTTTCTTTCTTTTTCCAAGAACTCGATCCATTGCTCAACACTTGCCTTATCAATAGCGTTTTTTCTTGAAAGCTTGTTCAAACGAGTATTGATGATATTCTGCACATCATGGTAATTGATGCGCAGACACCAGGAAACTGGAAACGCCAAGACCAGCTTCAAGCTATAACACAATTTAGTTAGCAAGTTGGATAAAAAGAAAGACTATTTAATACCTCTTCTAAGCACTGAGGATTGATGCAAAGGAGCATCTTGATGGCCTTCCAATCCATGTTATTGTCCGCATGGGACACAATCTACTGCCTTACCTCAGCAGGTAGTCTTGAACAGACCATGTCCTGGACTTTCTCAGGCTGATGGGTGGGATGCTGCCACAAGTAGTCTATGACAATGTTACTATTTCGCAAGGTCTTCTTAGTGATTTTGGACTTGCAGCCATCCTTAATTAATTTGGTTTGAACCCTTTTGGCTTTCTGATTGCCAGCGTCTTTGACTAGTTTGATCTTCTTGGGTAAACCCTGGTGGTCACAGACAAAGTAACCAGCTGTTACAACGTCTTTGGGACTGGCAGTGCTGGTGGCCTGGGATACATGAGTGTTGGTCATGTTCCAGTTTGAGTGTCTTTTGGCCGAGTTCTCAAACCAAAAAGAAAAGGCCTCTTCAATAGCAAAAGTCTCAGTTGCTTTGGGGTTAGCACTATTGTAATTGGATGCAATGCAGATCATGTGGTTATCGTTGATCTCGTTGATGCTGAAGTTAGTGTGGTTGGAGCTCATTATAAGTGTAAATGTTTTATTTTTTAGATAAAAGTATAGGGAAAGGGAAAGATGTACCTGAAAAAAAACAATAATAATAACAATAGAATGTGCTGGACCAAAAACAATCTGAGAAGTCCAGTAAATACAAGACTGCTTTCAGTTTTAAGAATTTTAACTTATTGATTACAAGTGCCAGAAAAGAAATACCAGATTGAGACTTGACACAACAAGCTGACAAGAATTCGGGTATGACAAATGCCTGACAAAAAGTATATTTTTCAAGATGTTTTACTGTGATACAGACAGTTGCCTTGCCTTCTGCCAGAATTGAACTGGCGACCTTCTGCTTACTAGGCAGACGCTCTGCCAACTGAGCCAAGAAGGCACTGCTCTTTCGCTTAAGCATTTGATTTACATGGTTCCACAATTTATTTTTGACGAATCCACATATAAAGTGTACCTATCCATCAACATCTTTATGCAAAACGATCCATCCGTCACAAAAAACGCACCTCCCATTGCCAAAAGTAGTGCAGTCCTTGTCCTTGGTATCCCAGCTGTCAGCAAAAAAAAAATTCAGCTCAATCAGACAACATCACACCATCTGCATTCTCAATCCCAATGGTCAATTTGCAAATTGGCAACATGCAGGGATTGCCTACTGAGCTTACCTCATTCCTGACAACATTGCAGGCCCAAATCATGCATGTGCAAAACAGAACTGACCAGTTAGAGCGACTTGCAGCAGAGAATGCAAGATGAACCACTGAATTGGATCAAGCTAGAACAACAATTGCTAATCTGCAGCGGCAATTAAGATCCCAGATTATCTCCTTATTTTATCTTATAGAGAGTTTGAATTAGTATTTAATTTAGTCATATGGCTTTCTAACTTTAATGACAGACAGTGGCTTTTGCATCCCACACATGGCATTTTTTTCAACAAATAATCACTTCCTTTTTTCTTAAAAACAAACTTCAATTATGTCTAACAACAATATAAACAACACTATTTATGATATTTCCACCATTCAACAAGTCTTGATCAACTCACCTTTGGAAGGAATCAAGATGCTTCCTTTGAATTTGACAATATTAGTAAAAGCTAGTGAATGGGAAAAGTGTCTGGAGCGAATCAATGTCTTATGCTCAACAAAATGGAATAAAAAGCATAAATATTCTGGAAAAGGTTTAGTTTTTGGAGAGACTAAAAAATGCCACCGTGCTGGCCAATATATAACAAACTGTCAATTACGTCTTGCCCAGAAAGATACAAAGGCATACTCTTGTACAGCTGCCTTAAAAATTATACAGCATCTCGACAACCCCAATGTTGTTACATTTTGCCAAACAAGGGCACATGTAAACCATGTTCCTGGAGACTGGGACGAAGTCAGAACTCTTCCTTTGCCTTCTGAAGCCGTAAAGATTATTGAAGATCAGTTGAAAAGTGCCAGCAGCTGTAGAAGTACAAGAATTTCAGTTCTTAGACAGATTGATAGTTGGGGAGTTGGTGTTAGAAAGCCTAATTATGAAGAAATTTACAACAGAATGAGAAAGGTTTGTCAATAAATATAACAGAGCTTTCGTATTAAATTAATATTTATATATCAAATAAATACTTGTATATGAAATAGATGACTACTTTGTTATATATGTTTGCTTCTGATGAAAATGCATCTATTTCCATCTGGTTAAATGTAAAGCTAGCAGAACAAAACTATTGCATTTTTGAAATCAATCTTTCTGTTTATAATGACAGTAAAAAACAATTTGCCTTTGGATTTCAATCACCAATGCAAGTTTCAATCATGAGAATCTCACAATCTTTTTGTCTCGATGCCACCCATTCCATTTCGTCCAGAAGCGACGAAGTATTATATACTTTGGTCACTTGCCATCCTCAAACAGAAAAGGGATTCACTGTTGCATACATGGTAACAAACAACCAGACAGCCATACCCATCAAAATTTGGCTTGACTACCTGTGCATCAAGAGCAGCTTCGTACCAATGAATATCACTATTGACTGTAGCATTATGGAGGTTAATGCAATCAAAGAAGCATTACCTCATGCTACAATTCACTACTGTGATTTTCATGTTTTTCGCGCTTGGCAGCACAACCTTGACAGCAAGATTAAACTTAATGCCTCTTATACATCAGAACAACTTGGGAATTATAAGACTGCACTAAAGAACTACCTGAGACACATTCTCATTGAGTCCAATGAAGACGTGTTCCTAAGAGCAATTGAAGATTTTAAACTGATGGTTCAGGATCAATCTCAGTTTTTGAAATATTTTGAGAAGAAATGGACCGAGAACAAAGAATTGTTGCAAAGATGGGGGTGCCCGTACGTTAGCCAACAACATCAGAGATATGTGACAAACAACTATGTAGAATCATGGCACAATCAACTCAAGACAATCTACTTTGGTCGTGCATGCATCAGAAGATTGGATCGACTGATTTTTATCTTGACAAATGATGTGGAGTTCTATTTTGAACAAGAGGTTGAGCGTATTCACTTCAACAATGGTAAGATAGGTCCCATTGATAATGAGTTAGCAAGAAATTCTTTTGTTGCTTCAAAAATCCAAAATGACATGCTCCCTTCCATGATTCTCAACCCTTTGGGTGAGACTGGTAACAGCATGGATGATTATAATGGTGAGTGGCAAATAAGATCTTTTGTAACAGAAGATAAGTGGTATACCATCAATATATCAAATGACTTGATACAAAGCTGCACCTGCCCAAACTTTCTGACCCACCAGATCCCATGCAAGCATTCACATTTGTTGAAGCATTACTGTGGGGCAAAATTCAGCTTCATCGAGTAACAGGAGATAGCAGGAGTGGTATTGAACCAACAAGACGCTGTAAATGCAAACAAGAACGAAGTTGAGGAAGAAGTAGAAGAGGAATTAGAGAGTGGAGGTACTGCTGAAGATAGAGGTGTATATGTCTTTGACAAAATTGCAGCTTATTCTGCAATGATGCATCACGGCTTTGTAGATTTTCAAACTTTGAAGACAATTCCTGGCTTAGATCAAACAAAGGCAGATCTTATAAAAAGAGCACTCGCAGATACTTTGAGGTTGATGGATGAATATAGAAGTAAGAACCCTTCATATTTTAGAAACATGAATACTCAGAGATAATAATAATAATAATAAATATATATCATTAAAAGATCTTAAAAGTATAAGAAAAAATATTTCTGATTGATATAAACAAATACAATTCTAATTGAATTTACCAAAAGTAAAACCTGTCACTACCTCAACGGATTTTCAAAATTCAAACTCTCTGTAGGATAAAATAAGGAGATACCAAAGTTGTCAAAGCCAAATCTGGACAGGTTTTGAGAGTAGCATCTTTTACACAGAAAATTTGATGTCAAATGCTTCAAGCCAACAAGTTCAGTATGTTGGGCATTATTGGCTGTGATAAAGAGCAAGGAAGCACATACAGTGATAGTCTCGTCATATGTTGATGAGTACATATCAACACCGTTTTCTAGTGCCTTTAGATCTGTGGCTTGAATGGGCATCAGATGGGTCAACTTGAATCTGGCTTGCTGAGAAACGGCTGTGACAAAGAAATTGTTCTTGCGTCTGTTTCTCATGCTGTATGATATTGCAGGGAAGTTGACTAGCATATTGCTGTACATTCCATGCGTTTTTGTAAGGTTTCCAGAAATATCATCAGAAAAGATGGCAAGTGGAGTGATAAATGATCTTCTGAAATTGAATGAACTGGTTGGCACGGTTGAATATTGGCTTTTTCATAGAATGACTATTAAACAACAGCCCATGGTGCATTGGATTCAAGGATGTCTCACCAGAAGAAGACCAGTTCTTGGGATAACTATAGAATATTGAAGAGAGCCAAGCAGAAACCAGATACTTGATTCCGTATGTGACAGAAGAGCTTTGTACTTTATGTAAAGCATAGCCTTCACTGTCAGAGCCTTGTTCAATAAGATATCCATCAAAGAGAGCAAGCATGTCTTTCATATAGAACCTTTCAATTAGAATAGATTGCCTACTATATAACACGGTAACATCTCTAATCCAAAAGTCTTTGCCAATTGTTTGATCAAAAGGATGTTGAAACAAAGGATTTTTTTTTCATTTTTCTTCTTGCTGGACAGAAAGACACTGATTTTTGGTGTAGTCTAGAAGGGCTGAAAGATAAGAGGCCTTTTGGGTGTTTGCTAAGAGAACACGCAAGTGATTCAAAGGTAAGTTGAAATGACAGTCTATGGTTTTCACTTGACCAGTGATTCCTGAACCCAAATTCGAAGTAGCTTTGATAGTTACTTTTTTGATAGTAGTAGGGAACAGAGGGACCTTGTTGAACTTATTATGCTAATAATTCAACAAAGTTCTGACTTTTGGCAGCTTGAAATCTACTTTGGTCTTGTCTGCTCTTTTCTTCAACTCAAACAACAAATTGATGGTATACATGACCTTTGTAAGCATTGACACTGAGATCATGCTGTCATTGCCATCAACAAATGCTTGCAAAACTAAGATCTGAAGATTTTAAAAAGGGAAAAAGGTGGGCATGCTTCGATTCCATTCACCTGAAGCAGCAGAACAATCCAAAAGGGATTGGCAATCTTCAAAAGCCAGGGTAGAGATATCTGATTCCTTGTTACTGTTAATTTTCAATGATGTCATGTTGAATATTCTTTCTCTAAGAGAAGAGATATTTTCTCCCATGGCTTCTTCTTGTTCTTCTTCAATCATAATCAAAATATCAGCTGGAAACAATGCTTCTTGATTATATTTGACAACATTAAATTCTCTCTCAGAATTAGGAATGCTTCTAACATTAAGGCTGGGTGCGTTTTCAGTCAAAGAATCCGAAGAGATTGCTATGTCATGTGTCTGAATGTGTTGCTGAAGGTTATATGATGTGCTGCACTCTTGCTAGCACAAATGACTTGTGAGCTTAATTTTACTCAAATTTTACTGTATTTCAGTTGTTTTTTTCCCATTATAAAGTAAGATTACTTAAATGAAAAGAAGTAAAGAAAGGTGACTGACAATAATGAAACTAATGCAAAATTAAATAACCTTCTGAGTCTTAAATTTCACTTATTATTATTTTTCTCTATTTTCTTTTTTATTAGTTAATTTTTTCTCTTCTTTATTTTTACTTATTGAACAGAATTTGTAATGGCCAATAATTAATACTTTACTCTTATATAGAATGCTCAAATCATGTTTGTAATCAGTTTAGATAAGTGAATGAAACTGTGTATTACTTTTTCTACATATTGACTAATCCAAAGCTTTTTAATCAAGTAGTTGCCAATGTGAGGTAAGCTTTACAAGAAGAAACAAACTGCTTCAAGTTAAAATACTGCATACTAACACATAGTTTACATTTTAGATAAGTAAAGTCATACCAAACAGCATAGCTTTCTACCTATAGTAAAGATATTTTATTATTTAATTATAAGTGTAAATACAGCTCCTAACTCTTGTTATTTTTCTATGTTAGCTATGAATATCTCTATTTGTATTTTTATGAATAGCCTGCTAGTATCTTTGTCTCTTCACATTATAATCTTCTTTTCTATATATCATGTCAGTGAGTCTCAATGAAATCTATGTAGCTTCAGTAGTCACGTAAATTCTGGGTTTCCATCAAGCAAAGGCCAAGTAAAATCTAAGTATCAGTCCAATGGTAGTCTAGTAGCAGTGACCTAGTAGTAGTGGCCTTGTCTAGCTTGATTCCCACCCTAGTAAAAGTAGAATCCCCCCAATTTTTTTTCTGAATAAAATTGCTGCATTTCAAAACCCATTTTTCACAAATTTGTTTTAAAAATTGGAATTCAAAACACACTCTGTAGCAAAATTACTGTATTCTGTATAAGGCAATTATATTGCTTCCAGCAAATGCTGACAAAACAGTGCTTAAAATCTGTTCAAATGTGGATCCTGATTTCTTTTGGTGTGATCTTCTTTACATTTTCTCTTTTATCATTTGCTAGATATCTCATTTCAACATCTACCCATCGTTTCTCACTTTATTATCTTCATTTTACCATACTTTTGTTTACCATATTTCTAGTCTTACTCTTTCAACAATGACTTATTCTATTATTTTATTTTCTTCTTCTTTCAAAAAAACTGTCCTTCTTTAAAATATTTTTGTTATAAGATTGTCTATAAAAGCAATTAGTTTTTTCTAAGTAATAAAAATTATCCATATCTGTGATCTAATTTGTCTTGAAAGACTTAAGTTGATAATATAAACAGATGATTAATACCAGTATACAGATCTGAGGTCCCCACATGTTGCAAGCTATTCAATTTTTTTCATATAAGAGAGAGAAAAAAAAGTGAGTAATACTCACAATTGTTTTTTTTTCTATGTAAATTGCAAGAATTACTCACAGTAATCCGAGGTTTGGGTCTAAAATCAAGAAGACATTTAAATGGACCAATAAACTACGTAGAATAGGGACTTAATAGGAATTAGTAGCACAATAATTTTCTTTTGGAGAAAAAAGTAGTATTCATGTACTAAATTGGCTTTAATAAAAAACACAAAAGACATATAGAGATGATTTAAAAGAAATAATTGATAGTAAAGATGTGTTGAAACCTTGATATTTATACAATCAATATCTGCCAATAATATATATTGTCTTTATAGACATGATGGGTAGTTAATTATAAAACATAGAAGCTGTGGCAGATGTGTGTATAAAAAAGAAAAGTCTAAAGATGGCTACAATATACTTGTCTTTTAGATATATAATACTTATTTTTGGAAGTGTGGTGCAATGACTTTCACAAAGGAAAGTTAACAAATGGTGACTGGAATGCCAAGGCTTTAACTATCTGACAGCTCACGTCTTGATCTGATTACATTTCCACTACATTGATTAATATATTTGAATATAGCATTGAGCTATAATTTAATATCAAAAAGTATAAATACAAGACAATTTCTTTTTTTCTTTATATCCTTACTATTTATAATAAAACACCCTAGACATTTTCATCATGAACTACACAGAAGCCAGCTTCTCTATTTAAACCAATGTACTTAACAATGAATATTATCAGTGCAACATGGAAAACCAGCTGCTCCACCACAAGAACACAGCTCATGCATACCTACCAGAGCAGAAAGAGTGAATGGTAAGTTGAATAAAGTACCACTTCTTCATGATTAAATATATCATTATTTTTTCATTTATCTAATGTAATATATAAAAATTAGAATTGATGTGTTGAAACAAAAAAAATTGCTGATGGCATAATTGTCTCTGATGAAAAACTTGCCTTCTTTCTCACTGATTTTGTTATGGTTCATGGCCACAAGTTCAAAAGAAATGATGATGACACTCCTGTTCCTCTTGGAAGAAAATCAATTCAGGCTTACATTAAGATAATAACAGATATTTATTACAAGCAAGTAGCTTTGGACTTGAACAAGAACCCCCATTTTAGAGGACCAATTGTAAGACAGTTTCTAGACACAAACACGAAGAAGGAAACAAAGCACAAGAGAGTCAAGTATGAAGACAGAAAAAAAACACACTCAATGATGGATATACAAAAAATGAACTTCTTCTTCTCAGTCAGTACTTCCTCGAGCAAAATAGTACAGTGAGAGTTAGAAATCGTCTTTGTTTTCTAATGAGTCATGCAATGTTTTTCAGAAGTGAAACTGCCCTTGGTACTCAATATCCCGACCTTTTCAAAATGGAACTAAAAGATCAAGGTACACTGACCTTGAATAAGTTTACGTATATTACCAAAAAGAAAATTTTGAGAAAAAGTACCCATTGTTGTTTTTATTTATTTTTTCATTCTTCTTCTCAATCAAATCTTTTCATGTCTCCTAAAATTATTAAACAATCTCGTAAAAAGAGTCCCAAACTTTCAGGTTACATGAAAGGCAAGATTGTGGATACTTATGACTTTGGAATTTCTATGACTAAGATTGTGTGCAAGTATGAGCTACCCTACACAACAGTGATAGCAACCATTGAGAGAGTGAAGAAAACGGGTACTGCCCTTACCAAAAAAACGTGAAAGGAGACCTGTTCTCTTGAATGATTGTAATTTGAAAGCTCTGGGAAATATTACACATAATGAAACAACTGCAACATTAGATATGATTACAGCTGAAATTCAGAAATCCTGAGGTGTACCCATCAAGAAAGATGCTGTTCATAATTCCTTAAAAAAGATTGGTTTATGCTCTTGTCTTGCTGCAAAGAAGTCTTTGCTAAAGGAAAGGCACATAAAAAACAGGTTAAAGTTTGCGAGAGATGCTCGTTGTCACAATCAACAGTGGAATTAGATAATCTGGAGTGATTAGTCCAGATTTATGGTCTATTCAAGGGCAGGAAATGTGCGTGTTTGGTGCACTCCAGCACAGATATATAGAAGAGGCTATGTACGTCCAAGAGTACAAGGCAGAGGAGGCTCTGTGGTGGTCTGGAGTGCATTTGGGCTGGTGGAGTGGGAAAACTTGTAATTGTTGATGGCATGCTAAATCAGACGAAGCACATAAGACTCTTACAACTTCATTTTATGCCCTGGTTTTGACATCTTAAGCGAAGGAAAGATGGCGAGTTCATTTTCCAAGAAGATAATGCACCCTGCCATAAAGATATTTTAGCAAAAGAATATAAAGAAGACGTGAATCTGCCAGTGATGACATGGCCAGCAAACAGTTCTGATCTGAGTTCAATAGAAAACATTTGGGCATACTTGGAATGCCAGCTGAGAGCTAGAAGGATAACGCCAATGAATTCACACTTGTTGGCCAGAGCTCTTCAAGAATAATGAAAAAAAATACCAAAGAAAGTAGTGAAAGCACATTGCATATCAATGCTAAATTGAATCAAAGAACTTAGAAAAAATAATGGATTCCATACCCACTATTATACTTTCTAATAAATTACATATACCTATTTACATAGCTAATATATATTACTCATAATTATTTCAGAGCTCTAGCTATATGTTAAAATGATAAAAAACTGTAAAGAAGTTGCATATTTTTGTTGGAAAAATCAGGATTTTAAAAAATAGTTAAATTAAATATGGGTCAGTGTATTTCTCCATGTGTTACATTAGTAGCTACAATTACATATAGAAAAACCAACAAGGATAGAAAAATCCAATACAGATCTGCTCTTTGCCATGCCAATGAAGAATTATGTCCTGTTGATGCACTAGCTCAACATTTTTTTCCGAATTTCACCATGAAAACAAATCGTTTGTTGATTTTTCTATACGCAAAACATGGTACAACAGCTACTTGTTTCCCGGCCATAACGAAAGCAAACCAATGAGTTACGATGAGCAATCAAAAGCATACAAGTTGGCATTTGAAGTAGTTGGGATCAGTTTATCTAAGGTTATCCATATCAATTGAAAGAGTGCTATCAACATTGTATCCAATCAAGACGTCTCCAGTGATCAACAGAGACAAGTCGGTAGATGGGGATAGGACCAAATGGTGGGATATTATCTTTCTGGTCTTCCTGTTGATGCAATCAAAATTCTAGCCAGGTTTTCTATTCACAGAGGAGACTATTTCCTTGACCGTGCTACCATCATTCCCCCAATCGAGTTGCAACAAATTATATTCCCAAGCATTGAATCATAGAAAGCTAAATTTCATAAGAAAAAAGTTGAAGATGACATTGCTGGTCTCAATTTTTTGGATCTTTCGGCCTATTTAAAAATCGTTTTTCTTCAGGTAAGAAAATAGCAATAGTGCTTAGATAAATGATTCTCTTTAATAATTTATAAAAATAGGACTCTGTGGTTTTGCAAAAGAAGTACCCAAATCATTACTTGTAAATAAGTGAAATATTTTCAGCAAGCCTATACCAAGAGTTTGAAGCACAATTTTCTGGTGCCATTGGTGAATCAACCAAGAAGTTTCAAGTGAGCAACCATATTCAAGTTGTTGCACTAGAGATAGCTGCTGCTATGTGAGTCGGATTTGATGCAATGATCATCTCCTTCAATACAATGCAAGCCCAAAACCATTTTGAATTTGCAAATGCCAGAAGTGTAGGCCTAGAGACTAGAAATGTACTAGTTGAAACCTTTTTACAGGCTTCGTTTCATCTATGCAATTATCCTTCTCAAATCTGATAATGCCTTGGAAATGTTTTACAGACACAATCTCCCTCGTCCTCTGGCTACACTGCTCCTTCTGTTCTCTCTGTTACTTCTGCTTCCCTTGGTTCCTCAGTCCTGTCTGTCCCGTCTGCTCCCTTAAGCTCTACCCGAGTTACATATTCAAACAACAATGAATAGGTACCATCATATTATAAAATGAGCCGAAAAATTCTAACTGTAACAAATATGTGGCGCAAATAATCTGTTGGAATATCTGGGAGCCCATAAATTAGGTTTCTTGAACAGAACTTCAGGGCAAAGTGGAGAATCCACAGTGATAACAGAATAGAATCACAATTCTTTAGCAGAAGAGCTCATATATACAATGAGATGGAATGGCTTGCTAGAGAAAGACATTTGACAGAATAAGTTGCCCTGCTTGTTGAGAATAAGTGCCATGATTTAAAGATATCTTTAAATGAACTTGCAAAAAGAATTGCTGATAGTAGCATTACTTTCTAAAAAAACATCCAACACATACATACATACATATATATTTAATACTTTCCATCTAATTTAGTCTTTTTTTTATAATTTTATACAATTCTTCAATAAATGTTTTCTCTTATGCTTTTAAAGTTAATATAATATGATCATTATATCTTTGTATTTAATATTATTATTTCATAATATCTTTTACACAATTCTCCTTAACAATCTTTATCAAAAATAATAATGTATTTTGTCAGTTTCAAGCTTTCTTAATACACTTCAAAAAGTTGAATTCTGCTCAAAAAAGCTTAGTAAAACTGTTACACAAAAAGATCTGATTTTCAATTTTTTTAAAAAGAAAGTATTCTACCCTGTGTCTTTCTCCAATTACAAATTGAAGAGACGCTGTCTAAGACCATGCTTGTGCCCAAACAATACTCACTCAGTATTATTATTTAAAATGCACATGTGTTCTGGTCTCAACTTCCCAATGATTTGGATTGAAACATCAGTAGTTATCTCAAAGGGACCACAGGATTCCTTGTGCAATGCGGAAATTAGGATTTGATTGCCATTTGCTTGAAGATTCAACTTGTTTGCCAGTTTCTTACTGATGATGGACACACTTGCTCTGGAATCAAAGATTGCTTGTACAACCTGACCATTGATCACCACTGACTCTTTTAATGGCTTGCTGTTACTCATGATTCTGTGACTGTAGGGATAGTGGTAGATGGTATTGTTGCTTGCATAGCCTTTGGAGTCAGATGTACCAGTACCAAAAGAACCTTCATCTGACAGATAATCAGAATTTTCTGACTCAGAGCCCTCCAAAACTTCGTCAAGAGAGTCTTCCTCATCATCTAATTCTCAGAAAATGATATTGACTTGAACAATTGGTTTTTTAATCTTTCGACTGTATAGATAATACAGTTCATACCGCATGTCTCTTCCAAGAGAACGATCCAGAGCAACCCAATCAGCCATACTGAGTCCAGCGTCTAGCTCCTTCAATTGAAACCAAAAGTCCTTCCAACAAAACTCGACAGGCAGAGAATGAGATAACTTACGTTTCCTCTTGACTACAGGGGGAGTCAGACCTACTCCATGAGAAACTGCAGACCAACCAGGTGGAACCATCGAAGTGCCTGGCGGAACTGGAGAAATATCATAGAGAGTCATTGACCTACCAGGAGAAACCATAGAAACACCAGAGGGACCCATCGAAGAACCAGGAGGGACTATTGAATAATCAGGAGGAACCAAAGAAACATCTGAGCGTTCAACACCTTCCATTGCTAACAAAAGAGGAGGACCAATAGGAATCTCAACTGCCTTGCCCTTCTTCCTGGTAGATGGCTGCCTAGAAGAAGTTGCTTTGGATTAAGTTCTTTTTTGTGCTGTAAAAACTTCAACACCCTCCACCAAATTGATTTCAGTTGCCAATTGACCAGTTGTTGTGACTGGTCGTTGAGATGATTGCTTGCTGTTATAGTCAATAGGACTCTTGCTCACTGTTGACTGCTGCCTTTCTCCTGCTCATTCTTTTGGGGGCAAGTGTTAGACATATGGTCTTCCGATCTGCACTTCCAACAAACACCCTTCAGCTTTGCTTTGACCTGAGGTTGAGAAAACTGACCCTGAGAATGACCTGAGGAATGACCTAAAGAAGTTGGCTGAGACTGAGTATGAGTTTGAAAAAATGACCTTGGTTGTTTGACAACGTGAACCTTGAGAGTCTTGAATTCCTTGACCAAGTCTTGTAAAGTAGAAACATTGCTGTCATCTGACGTAGAAGAACCAAATATAACCAACTGCCAATCAACCAAATTACATGCATATTTTGATTTTACCAGCTCTAGCTTACGTGCCTTTTCACTAACACTTTCAAAAGTTTTAGGCATATTGTCTCTCTGTTCTAACTCGTATGCAACTTGTGGATCAATTGCCTGGAGAAGACTGTGGATCTTGAAGGACTCGTTATCAATCTTGACCAGGGTAAAAAGTTCTCTCAGTTTGTAAACAAAGTTATTCACTGACTTGTCATGCTGTTGTCTTGTATTTTGTATCTCTTTTCAGCAAACATTGTCCAATTGGTGTGAGACAAAACAGGAATAGGAAATCTTGTAAAACTGATCTCATGTCTTGGTGTTTTCTTTGATACTGTCCCACCAGAGTTCAGCTGCAGCTTGAAGATAAGATGCCACCACCAGAAGAGCCTTGCTGTCATTCATATCAACGGCCTGACGCAAATGGTCTATGCTCTTGAATCATGCTATTGCACACTTGCCCTTGCTACCGCCTTGGAAAGGCTTGGGATTGGCCAAGAATTTAGTTGAATTGATCTTGTTTTTTCTGTTGACCATGTTTGATTGAGTACATAGTACAACACATTCATTTTTCGGGATAAGTTGACTTCGAATCCCACTCTATTCATCAATATGATGCGTGTAGTACTTTGTTGTGTGTATGGTATGTACAAGAAAAGCAAGGTAAGGGTAATAATAAGAATTGAATTCCGTAATGAGATAGGGTTATTTAAATTGGGAAACGATTATATAAAGATGTAAAATAAATAAGAGAAACTACTTCTAGAAGGGAAAAATAGAAGAACTTTCAGAAAGAAAAGAATATATAGAACTAGCAAAAGAAAATGAATAATGCTAATGTAAAATAAACTAAGTTAAAGGAAGTATTTAGAGAATAAAAGATTGAAAATTAACTAAGAGAATCTCTAAGATAATTTTAAAATGAAAAATAAAGGGAAAATTCAATAAAATAAAAATCGTAAAAATTTGAGGGGAAGAAAAATAATAGAAAAATAATAGAAAATGTTCAATCTTCTACAAAGACGTGACAAAGAAAAACAGTAAATGGAAGAAAAATTTACAAGAGAGATCAGAGAAAGTATACAGCATCTTTAGAAAAAACTTTTGTATCAGAACAATTTGACAATTGTTTATTAATTGATTTTGAAGAGTTAGTTATACTACTTCTTGGATAAAGTTTATGGCAATAATAGATTGTACTGATGTCTAGAAAATAATTGTGATAAAGAAGATAGATAAAATAATTGTAATCAAGATTTGTTATGAAAGAACAATAAATGAAGTTGTAATACATAACTACAGAGAATAGAAAATATTGAGAAGAAGTATGTTATAAAGAAATAGAAAAACTACAGTTAACAATTTTGGTAAAGTAGAGTTGAGAGGAAAATATCACATTTAGTGTGTAAGAAAAGTAAGAAAAATGAAAGGAGGTAGAAACTAATTTTGAGAAAGAATAAAGGGAAGGGAAATTTGTTTTCAGAAAATTAGAAAAAGAATAAAAAGAAAAATAACGAGAAGTCAAAATTTTAGAATATGAAATAAAAATAATACAAATAAAATTAAAATTAAAATTAAAATATAAAATTATAATTGGGGTTTTGAGACTTTGTGACTGATTAAAAAGATTGAAATCAATTGAAAAAGGGACTGGTACTGCGGCCAATAAAAGCCACAACATACTGCATCAAAGATGTTGCATGTGGTATTTGCTTGTGTGTAGAAGATGTACAAGAAAAGACAAATGTATATAAGAAGAGAAATTGAAAAGAGAAATTGAAGAATTGGGTTTGATATCAGATAAATTAGGGTAAGAAAATAGTCTCTTTGTTACCAAACAGACCAGTTGAAGAAATTAAAAGGGAAACTAACACTAAAGTAAGAGTATAAGTAATTTGAATGATTAGAAAAATAGTTAAACTAAAAGAAAAGAAGTAAATAATAATAATTCTAAAGAGTTAAGTACAGGAAAGAAAATGTTTACTAGAGTAAAAAATTTAACAAAAAGGAAATTTACTATGGTAAATTTACTAAGAGAAAAATAAAAGAGAAAAATCGGGACAAAATAATAAAATAAAAGGGGATGGTCAATCTTCCACGAAGACTTGGCAGAAAAATAAATAAAACAGAAGAAATTTCACAAAGAGATATCAGAAATAATAGACATCATCTTAAATAAAACTTTGTATCAGAAAAATTTGACAGTTGTTTATTGATTGCTTTTAGAGAGATATTTATACTACTTTATGGATAAAATATATGACAAAAGTAGGCTAGATAAAACTCGATGATATAATTGTAAATAAAAATATAAAGAAAAATAATTATATAAATATTTTGTCATAAAAGAAGAAATAGATGAAGTTATAATATATAACTACAAGAAAAGAAAAATATCGGAAAGAAGTATGTTATAAATAAAGGGAAAATCTATTTAGTTAACAATTTTGGTAAAGTAGTGTTTGAGAGGAAGCGTCAGATTTAGTGCGCAGGAATAAAATAAAAAGAAAAGAGAGAAAACAATTTTGGGAAAAATAAAGGGGAAAAGATTTTCATTTTCAGAAAATTGGTTTTTGGAAAAAGGCGATTTTGTGAAAATAAAAGAAAGAAATTAAAATTTTGAAGAAAAAATTAAAAAGGGGCTTTCAAAAGAATGTCTGAACTTGGTAGGATATGGTTTTTGGACTGCGGCTGACAATATAACCATACCACATGTCAAAGTGACATCTGTGGTGCTTGTATTTGTGGTAAACGTTGACAGATAATATATTATCACTGTTTTTCAAGGTTTGTATGGGTTTTTAGATGTGAAATAATCTCTCTTTTTTACAAGAGAGAAAAAGATAAACTCAAAAGAGAATGTAGAATTAAAGATAATAATATCAATAAGAGAAAAACAGTACTATTGATCAATCTCAATAGACTTGACTCAATATACTCAGATAATCAAATAAGTCAAATATCAACAGCGTTAAATATTAAGAAAACTTGTTGTCAGAAAATAAGATGAAGAAAAGTCAATGTTTATTAAATACAAGTATTGTGATATTTATAGTTTTGCAATTGACTTGTTGAATAATTAAATAAATAAAATTATTGAAAATATAATAAAAAGTTGTATAATTGACAATCTATTAAATGTGATTTGTTTTTTACTATTATTAAGTACAAATAAAATAAAATAATTATTCAGTCATAATCATGAACATAATTATACTTGTAAAGAAAATATAATAAAAATAATGTTAATTCCAAGTTGATTCGTTCAGTTAAATATAGCAAGAAAATAAGATATGATGTGTGGTTGAGTAAAGTTATTGTTGACAAGATGATGTTTTTTTGTTGTACTTATTAGTGTTTTGGTCTACAAGTAGAAAAATTGCTTTCTATCTTGTCTCGGCTGCTGTTGGAAAATAAAAAAATAATAGAATATAATTTTTCTAGAATTACAAAGAATTCTGAAATGTCACCGCACTGCCAGACAGCCGAAATTTTGTTGAGAGCTGACCATTCTTACAACACCCTGTGTCAAAAGTGATGTGTAATGTGTTAGGTTTGTTGTAGATTGTAACGGATCACTTGGCAAATAAAATACAATGATAATAGAATAGAACGGAAGACAGATACAGTAAAAGGCAGCAAGCAGCAATAGTTGACAGATAAGAAAAGAGAGAACAACTGATAGAATCGTTGTTAAAAGCAAGAGATAGGGAAATGTGTATGAAAAGAGAATGATGAAACAGAAATGTAATAACTGACAAGGAGATCGAAACCAACAAACAACCTTCCTAAAACCAAGGAACCAATATGTTATATTACAAGATGATATAAATCACAAAAAGAAAACAAGAAAAAGATACTGAATTGGAGCAAAAAATAATATTTTATTAAATGAAATTGCTTCTCTTTTATAGTCAACGAGATTTAGAATTGATAATAGAAGTTTGGAAAAATAAAGATAGTAAAAATGGAATGATGAGTAATTGATATGACAAGGATAAAATATATGAATAAAGATACGGTAAAAATATAATAATAAAAATACTGATGTTGCACAGAGATGTTGGCAAGATGAATTGTGTGCATTGTAGAAGAGGAATGTTACTAGCATGAGTGACCATGATTTCAAATGAGTACAATGTAGACAAATAAGTTAACAAGAAAAAAGGAAAAAGTATTGTGTGTAGAAGGAACAGGGAATGGAAACAAGATTTTCCCTATGCACAGAAAAATCTCCTCTTACCACTGAGGGCACAGCGCCACATCAACAAACTGTTGACGTCACCCTCTCATAACTGGGATGACATGTCATGACAAACCGCTGGACAAACCCACCGAGCAGACTGATCTTCTGGTACCAGACATCACAACATGAATAAACGCCAGACTTGCTTACAACACGTGACAATAGAGAAGTGTCTGGCTAGCTCAGGTTAAAGATTATTTTTAGTAAAGGAGATATTGCTGGCAATCTATAGATTATATAGCCTCCAAAGTACAAAAAAAAGATATAAAAAAGTCCCAAAGGATCACAAAAGACAAAAAAAAGAGAGGTGAAAGAGAAGATCAAATCATACTAGCTTTGATGGCTGAACCTGCTCTCTACTTTGCAGCTGTGAAAATAGTTGTAACAGTGAAAGGGATAAGACAAAATTTCAGAACAAAGAACTTTTCCGACAGAGAAGGACAAAAAAGAAGAGAGATGAAGAGAGTAAAGAAAAATGAAAAGTAGAGAGCTATGAAAGAAAAGAAAAAAGTCTAAATTATATCCAAAGAGTACCATGTTCAGTTTCATATGAATAGTCACCATCAGGATTACATATAACATCTGTGTGCCAGAGAATAGTCATCAGTGGTATCCAGTAGACAGGTCGTAGTTCTTGAGATGATAAAGGCAAGGATGTAATGGCAAAATCAATGCGGGGTATCTGGACATGATCTGGTTGAGGCAACTGTTCAAATAGTGCTGAAGGAACAAGTGGACAATACAACGAATGGCAGCATGAGGTGTGATCAGATCTATAAGAACATTCCTTTGGTTTACCTGGTAACCATCCCATTCTCCAACGAATCAAACGGCCACGTTCCACACGTGAGGCTGACAGAAACAAAATTGGATCAACTCCAAGAACTGGGCAGCATGCTTAAATGAGAACTTGTGTATTAGACTGGAGGAAGATTGCAAATCCAGCTTCTCTAATGCTTTCAAAATGGTTTTTTACTGCACTAGGGCTTTGAAGTTTGAGTGTTGAAAGAAGATGTGACAGAAGGTTGGTTTTTCCCAAGGAGACAAGTGAAGAATAGATGGTATGATGATGGTGTAAAAGAGACAGAAGGCACTGGCCAGACAGAAAGCGTCATCTGATACAAAATTTGGCTATGAGAACATTTGCACAAAACTTTATACTTGGTAGATTGCAGATGTGCTTCAACACAATTGTGGAGAACATGGCATGCCCCCCAACAATCATGCAAAGACACTTATCTTGAATGGACTCCAGAACTTTAATATCTTGCTTCAGCAGAATGGAAATAGCCAAATCATATTCAAACTTTGGGCAAACAAAAGTCTTGTACAGTTGTGAACTGAGCAGCAGAGAAAAACCAGACCGACAAGCCCCAACAGAGTTTAGTGTTGCCATTGTAGCAAGTGTACCAGAACGTCTATGTGTGGCAATGGATTTGGAAGAAATACCCTTATTGGCAAAGGGGACACCCAGATAAATGAACTGATCAGTGGCAGGAAAGACTTGACCATACAGAAGAAGTGGAACTGGAGAACTTACCCATGTTTTGGGATATATAACTTTGCATTTTGTAGGGCTCCATCAGTACCCAAGAGAAAGGGAGTGTTCTGCTGCAAGATCCAACATGACCTGAACATCTGAGAGAGAGCCAAAAATAGCCACATTGTCTGCAAAAAGCAGAGAATTGATGGGCGTTGAGAAAGAGACATGTCCAAAGCCATTCACACCTGAAGGAGCAAGAAGAGCATTGTATGCATCCAATGAGGTAGGAGATGGTAAGGGAACATAGGTAGTAGTATGTGATTGAGCAACTGTGCAGAGCAATGGGGGCAGGGAGTTGATATATATTGAATACAAATGTGGGCTGAGAACAGAACCTTGGAGAACTCCAGTGGCAGGTGAAAACGAGTGCGATGAAAAGTTATCCAATAGAACAGAGATAGAAACATTGTCAAACACGTTAACCAAGTGACCCAAAAGTGCAGGAGTATAACGTTTTTGAAGAGCATGCCAGATGATTCGTCGATCTACAGTATCATAGGCAGTCTTGATATCCAGAAATACAACTACAGGGTAGTGCTTATGACAGTGATAATGGGCTTTCATCAGATAATGAAGGCAGAGAGCTTGATCTAGAGCACCACGACGAAGACGAAAACCACCTTGAGCCACATGCAAAGGAGGAGAGTACTTGTGCAATTGGGGGGCTATACACATTTCAAAAAGCTTACGCAGAACAGAGGTCAAGGAGATTGGCTGGTAGTTAGCTGGGTCAGTTGGACTACCCTTCTTGAAGATAGGAAAGACTTGTGCTTGGCACCACAAACTTGGAACATATGACCATTGCCAGCAAACTATAAACAACAAAACAATAATAGGGGAGATATGGGTTTTGACAGGTTTCAGCATTTCAGCTCTAATATGGTCAGGCCCTGGTGCCTTGCAGTTAGGCATAAATTGCATGAATTCCTCCACAATTGATGAGTTAAATAGAGAGTCATCAGAGGCAAAAGGCACACTGTTAGAGGTGGTCAGTGGTGGTGCTGGTCGAGTTACTGGAAGTATTTGTCTACTGTATACTGTTGCTAAATGATCACACATTGTTGCTGCTGCTACGGCTGGTCCATCATTATTTTGAAAGGTGTGCTGTGGTTGTCTACGTCGTTTTAGTTGCTTTATCTTTGAAGTGACTTTGCTGAAATCACGTTCCATGGATTGACAAAATACATGCTAAGACTGACGTTTGACTTGCTGAACTTGGGATCGGAATTTGGTCTGTGCATGTATGTGTTTAGTCCACCAAACAACTTTGTCAATACCTATTGCTAGACGCCATTTTTTGTAACATTTGTTATGATGGTCTGCTGCTGTTTGCAATGCCACATTCCAGAAGGATTTCCAATGTTTTGGTCAAGAGGGCCGATGTCCAATTGAGCTATTTAGTGAGTTATAAATGAGTGAAATGAACTCATCAGTGATAGCATCAATGTTGGGTCTAGTGAGTGGCGGATTCTGTACAATGTCTTGCAATGTGGAAAGTAGAGAGGTTGAGTTTTGATTGAAGATATGAGCATAAAGAGCATGGACATCAGGTTCAGTGAGGCGTGAGAGGTTCCATGTCTTGTGTAATAGTGATAGCATATTGGTAGAGTGCTGTAGGTCATAGGTAAAGGAAAGTGATAAAAGGCAATGATCTGATCCAAGGGACAAGTCAGTAGCAATATGAAGAGAAGGATTGATGAGTGGTATATTAGTTATAAAGAGGTCAATCATACTGCTGATTTCATAGTTGTTGTGGAAAGAAGTATATGTTGGTATGCAAGGTGCAAGATCTGCATTTACAACTGATAGAGATCTCTCTTCTATCTAAGAACATAGTGCCAGTCCACAAGAATTTGATGCATAGTCACCAGTAACAGAGCCAAATCTTGCATTGAAGTCACCACAAAGAATGGTATCATGTGTTAAAGGAATGGAAGAAAGTACATGTAGGACATTGTGAGTAGGCATATTTGGTGGAAGATATAAGCATACAATTCTGAGTGAGCCAATTTTGACAGCCAAAACATATTTTAAAGGCATAGGTATTTGAGTGACAGAATAAGGACAGTGAGGTGGGAGGAGAACAGAAACACCCATAGAGCTCCTATAGGTGCCAGCTACAGGAGAATTATATAAGTGGATTTGTGACCACAATGTGGGGAGACGGAAGGGAGAGAGGAGCTATGTTTTGGTAATAAAGAGTATATGTAAGAATTGACAGTGTTGAAGGGTATCTTGAATGACTCTGGGTTGCAGACCATTAGCATTCCATAATCCAATGTTTAGGGTACTCATTCAGACATAGTGATTGATGAGCTGCACTGACATTTGAACGAAGACCCACCAGTGGCATTGGTAAGAGTGGTGCGTGTGAGTATTTCATCTTCACTGATCCACCCTTCCTCACAAAAGAAGTGACCAACTGGGATAGCAACATGAGAGTGCAAGAACTGGAGGGCCTGAAGAAATCTATCATGGTTAAGCATTGCAGCAGTGTTTACATGTTTGTGTGTAAATAGTACTGTATACTTGCGATCAGTGACACGTGTTGAGTTATGAAGTGTGGTGCAACTAGTCAGAAATATAATATATATTATATGTATAGTTATATTCTTGTGATTTCGCTCAGGACAATCCAACAAGAAGGAATTTAGACAATGAACGGGACTTGAAATAGATAGAAACAGATATATGGACAACAGACAGATGGACAAACAGACAAACAGACAAATAGACAAACAAACAAACAGACAAACAGACAAACAGACAAACAGATAAATAGACAAGCAGACAAACAGACAAACAGTGAGACAGTACTTGTAGATCCTAACAGTGTGCAACTTAGTATTTCCCACAGGACAATAGCTCAAGCTCAGTGACAATGTTCAAAAGAAATATAGAGGAAAACTGAATGTATTTTATTGAGATAAAAATGTCTCTCTTATATACTAATTGACAACTGCGTACAAGGTGACAATTTAGATACATCTTATACTAAATAATGATTATTTAGAAGAGTGTACAGGTCTTTGGGCATAATCACAAAAGGAAATAATCAAAAATAATCAAAGATAAAATTAATCAAACTACTAAAAAATATGAACTCTCGGGAAGCATACTAAAGAAATAATATCAAGAAGTGTAAAGAAACAAGTGCAATGCAAAGGGAAGCAAGCTAAAAGGGAAATAAAAATCAAGGAAAAAATAGAAAAAAAGGGAGAGAGAAAATAAATCCAAGAAATCGGATTTTGTCATGTCTGGAGATGGAGTCACAACTTTGCACTGTCCATAACTTAATAGTCTGTCCATAAGTTGACGTCACATCAAACAAATATACATTTTTGGTCGATGCTGAAACATTCTACAACACTTGTGTTATCCGTGACGCATGATGTATTTGTTTGTTGTGAATTTTAACAGTATCACTTGGCAAATAAATGTAATGTGAATTACGAAATACAAGAAGAAGAATACAATAAGAATGGAAAAGAATGGGTAATTTTACATGTAAGAATTGGTGACAGGCAGGTAGAAAAATAGGGAGAAGATTAAAATGGAAATTGTGACAACAACAAAGTCTGAAAAAAAACAGAAAAGGGAAAACAGAGGAACAAAATATATCAAAATCGACAGACAACACTCTAAAGAACAAGGACACTGTGTATGAATGAAAAATAATGATAATAGTAGACAAAAAAAATAAGATCAAGAATAGAATGATAATTTTATTGATTGATAAGGTTATTCCTTTTATAAACGAAAATATTTAGTTAAAATAATTTTTTGAGGAAAAGAAAAGAAAGTCAAGTGAAAATTTTTACTACATATAACTGGTGTTGATAGTAGAAGTAGAATAGAAAATATAAAGAGAGTAAAATAAAAGTATAGTAAAAATATAATAATTGAACAAAGATAAAGTAAAAATATAGTGAGGTAGAATAGAAGTAAAGTAATAATGTAATAACGATGTAGTAAAATAAAGTAAAAAATATAATAATAATATAATAATAGAATCTAATAAAATGTAATAAAAAATAGTATAAATAAATGTTGGCAATGAAGAAGTATATAAAATTAGGGGAAAGAGGTATAATGTTTTTAGTGGGTGACAGGTGTTTCTGAGGTGACAATGATTAATTTTAAGGAATGAGATTATATTAGTGGTTTAGGTATAGGGGTATTGGGAGCAAGATTTCCCAAGAAACCTGGGGGACCACTCTTGTCCCTCGAGACACGTCACTCGGTCGACTCACCGTCGACGTCAACACCCACGAGTCTGGTACCACCCGTCACAGCTCACTGCCAGACCAAATCACTGAAGGAATCCACCGTCCGGTATCCCTCACCAGAAATGGGTTAAAGCCAAATTTGTTTACAACACACGTGATAAAGTAACATGCCCGGCTAGCTCAATCGGTAGAGCGTGAGACTCTTAATCTCAAGGTTGGGGGTTCGACCCCCCCGTTGGGCTGTTCTATTATTACATTTTGTAATGCTTAAGTTTTGTGATGCAGTGTCAGAGTTAACATCAGTAACCAAAATCAGGATTTACAAGCAACCAGTAATGGTTGACTTTTTAGGATAAAAGATCTTGACTTTGCCAATTAGTCTTTCACATATGTTTTAAATGTTTAAGATGGTAAATATACTTGTAGAAGATATTACTGGACAACAAGCATCTAAGACATATTATTATAGCTATTCTTTTAGTCAGAAATCAATTATCATTTTGTATAAATAGTCAAGAAATACATTTAATAAAAAGCATCTTTATTCTTATCTAAAAACTATTCATAAACTTGACGATCCCCAGTGGTATTGATTCTGCAACTTAGTTACAAGTGCCAGAAAAGAAATACCAGATCGAGACTTGACACAGTGTCGGACATTTGTCAAGTCTCGACTGGGTGTATCTTTCTATTATTTTAACTTGTATAAGTTTTGATAATAGGGAGGTTTGTGCAATTTTTTTTAACAAAACTAAAAAGGAAATTGCCCGCCTAAAAAGGAATAATTTGTTTCATACTTCCAAAAAAGATTTTGTCAAAAGGGCACCTGTTCCAAAAATTTTGTAAGCCCAGTTTGGGCGTTACAAAATGTCTTTAGCCAATCATTGAAAGTTATTTTATCCTTACTAAACTGCCTTTACATTGGGACTGCCTGGATGTTAGAGGCTTGAAATATGTTTACTCAAAATAAATAAAAAGAAAATCAAAATAGAGATGTATCTTCCTTAATAAAGATGTAAATAACTAAGTAGCTTATGCAAAGAAGCGCAGCAGAAGTTCTATAAAGAGTATCATAACTTGTTTTGCAGAATATAATGGTTTAGTGAATTCAAAATAATATTTTTTGTTAATATCTGGAAAACTATATATAATGCTGCTTTTAACTTTTTTCTTATTCTTCTTATACACATCTTTTACAAAGCCATACCTGAAACAATGAACATTATTCAATTTACAGCAGAAGCATCTGAAAAAACACCCAAGTCCCCAAAAGCTGATCAGAACAGCAAAACTGGCAGAAAGAATAGGTCCTTCACTGAGAAAAGGGATCTTGCATTGGTTGACGCCTTGTTAGCCAAGCACCCATGGAACCCCAATCTTGGAAGAAGAGGAAAACTTTGAGAAGAAGTGAGAACTGCTGTGAATAATGGTGACGAAGATGTCAAAGGTGTTTTGCTCAACACTGTCAAGAATCGGCATAAGCACTTGATAGAAATATATAACAAGAAGGAGAATAAAGAAAGATAGTCAAGTGGCAGCAACGAGCTTTTCTCAGAGCTTCATATGCTTGTTGGTGAGCTTATCAATTTGGTAAGTTAAATACAATATTACATACATTATACAATACCTGTTGTTTAACAAACTTTTTCTTACAAAGGAGAGAGATTTGAAAGACGAGGACAATAAAAAGGATGCCACCAAGCAGGTGGAGATACAGAAGAATAAACAAGCCAAGACGTTGGTCAAGAATGTTGCAGGTGGGGTGCACTCAATCACCCATCAGAGTGCAGCCCCTGCTTTGAAAAAAAGAAGAGTCAATGTGGAAAGTACAGGCCCATCAAATTCTGGTGCTGAAAAGCAATTTACAAAAGGGGGAAATGTGCTGTTCTTTTTGAAGAACTTCAAAGATGAGATGGAAAACGTTATCGACACTGAAGTCAAGTATAAGCAGCTTGATTCTGCTTATCACATGGAGGACAAGCTGGACTCGATTGAGAAAAGCAACAACAGGATTGCAGACACATTGGAGTGGTTGGCGGGTGCTGTTATGAATATGAATGACATGCTTCAACAACTCCTTGCTGCAATAACCCATCAACCCTCACTTTGATCCTGTTTTTTTTTGAATAAATAAATTAAGAAAACAAAATATATGTATTAGTTTCTCAATAGACCAATAACATACTCCTCCAGTATAGGAGAAGCAACCTTAAATCTTATGTTAGTCTGATTTCCTCCATTACAGCAAGTATAGAAATTTTTTAAAAGTATTACTACAATATAGTAGGTTCCAACAGGGCTAAGAAACATTTGCTGGGATTGTGGATATTTGACAAATGCAAAAAGATTCGCAACATGAGCAAACTCATTTTCTACTACGACATGCACTTTTGACATTCTATCATTTACAAATCTCTGGTAGGTGTCTTGTGTAACTAAAACACATCTTATTAAGATTAAATAACATGTTTACATTAAAGTGAGTAAGTTTACAGGACTTACACCAACTAAATGGGCACTTGATATGCTGGGAGTTTGTGTATGCTCTGTCTCCATACAGACAATAGCAAGAGCCACTCTGGCCTCTGAAGTCAAACATTTCTTGCATTCTATCTTCCAGTCTACTCTTTTTGTAAACAAACAAATCGTGATGTCTACCAACAATTGGGCCATAAAATGAAGACGTAATCCCATCTGGTGTCACCACAGCTTGATATCTTAATCCATGGTGTCTATAAACAAACATATGCACTAAATTAATAAACAAAAAACAAAGATAACAAGGTACTAAAATTTTTAGCTCACATGATGCCCACTAAATACTATCTGTTGAAAATCTCCTGGCCTTGTTGTCTTATGAAAGGTTCCGTCTAAAAACCCAACACAATTATCTATAGGAGCATCTTTTTCATACAATCAAGAGACAATAATATAAGTTTTGAAAAATTCAGTGGAGTACAAGTCGCCTTTACTATGGGTGTGAATTGCTTCACTGAAGATTTGGAGGTTTTCCTTGCAAAATTGATTTTGATCAAAGTAAAGACCAGATCCAAATTTCTGCATGAGCTTATCTAACATGCTATTAAAAATGATACTAAGAGTATCTTTATCTTTGCCAAAAACCATTGCTAGCTCATTTAATCTAGCAGAGTATGCCATTCGACTAAGTAGAATGGCAAGTACAGTCGTGGTTGGCAAAGAGAAATGGGATCAGGTCTCATCATGGAAATGTACCCTCTCCCCTAAATCAATTACTATAGCAATTGATTGGATCTGGGTATGCTTTTTATAGATATATATATATATATATATACTATTGAAATCTCTTAGCTTGAAATACACTGTTGATTATATCTGGAAGTATGTAAACCAAAAGAGAAATTGACACTTTTTTTTTTAGTATTTTATTGATCTGCTGTCACGCTCTGCGTGCAGCTTTTAAAATGCCATCAAAGTGGACTTAATTGAACAGATAAGACATAGAGAAACAAGGGGGAGGAAATACGAAAATATAAGAAAAAAAAACGGAATGAAACAGGAGAGGAAATTAGACAGGAAATACTTAAGCTAGTGTACTGATGTGTTTTTCTATTACAGTGGACGCTTTCTGTGCCACAACGCCTGACAGAAAGGGTTGGTCATCAAAAACAAATTTCCAATGAGCACTCCAAATCGCTTTAGCAGTGACAGCGGAAAGGATAATCCAAAGGCCTTGATGGGAGGAACGTGGTGGGAAGCTGCCTCTGGTAAGGAGAAGGCAGATTTCAGCAAGGTTCCAGGCCAGGCAAAAGTGAGAGAGAATGACGTTCCACACCTGCTGATTGATAGAACAGCCAAAGAAAAAGTGATACTGATCTTCAGTAGCATCTTGACAAAAGATGCAAGATGAGCTGAGGAAGCGTCGAGGTATAAATAGATTGAGACGTTTTCGGGTTGGCGTTCTATCCCAAAGCATTTTACACCAGACTGTGCGACAGTGGTGGGGGATAGCGACAGACCAGAATTTACGCCATTGGACAGACAAATTTAGAGATGAGGGCACTTGCAGGTGAAGATGGCGTTGAAGAGATCTGGTGCTAGCTTTACCCAAACTAGTGCTGTCCAACTGTACCAAAGAAAGAAGTGAGGAAAGATCGGGGGAAGGGGTGTCAGTAAAAGGTCGATGTTCAAGGCAAGAGATAAACCAAGGACAGAGGACCATCCTGCCAGAATCAATCTGTTGGAAGAAATGACCGATACAATTACATGCCCGAGAAAATATACCATGAACCTTGCAGACAAGACGGTCATCAGTCTCCAGAGAAAATGCATCAGAAACCAGAATTATTTTCAGGTTCAGAGAAGAGTCAACAAAGGGTGGCACGTTCATCCATATTGAAGTTAATGGGAAGTGTTGGACCACAGTTGGCGGCAATTGCAAGTTGGATGGGAGAGAAGCTGGAAGAAGTGAGGTACAAGTGCGATGCAGTGGAAGAAGTGAAGTCGGGCAAGTTGCACTACTACAGGGAAACAAAAGTGCAATACTGGCAGAAGGCGCGCGAAAGTTTAGAGGAAGTATAAATTCGAGGTATGACAGTATAAAGGAAGTAGAAGAAAAAGAGTGAGAATGCAAGATAGGGAGAATCCAGCGCAATTGAAGAGCTCATTGTTGATGATCAGGATCAATCAGGCCCAAACCGTCTGATTTGCGTGGCAGACAGAGAAGCGGCCAGCCAGGGCTACCAAAACCCAGTCACAGAAACAAGCGAATATGAGTGCGAATGGCAGCAAAGAAAGATAGCAGTGCAGGAGTCACGTATAGCATATGCCATACTGAGCTGAGAAGAAGTGAGTTTGCCACAATACTTTTACCACGAATGGACAAGCATCTTTGAGAAAGTAGCGTGCAATGGTTCCTAATCTTGACCAGTAAAGCCGCATGGAAGGTCTCAAGCTAGGATGGATGTGAGCTCAATGGGAAGCCTAGGTAACGGATGGCAGTGGCGGAGTGATGGTCATGTCGACTGTGAATATCAGCAGCATCCAATACAGGGCCCCAATCCGGATGAAATTGTCCAGACATAGCAACAGCAACTGTCTTATGAAGATTGACTTTCGCATTAGAGGCTAAGCCAAATATACGCAAAAGATTGAGTAGACCACTCATCTTGGCAAGCAGAGAAAGAAAGGCGAGAAGGTCATCGGCATAAGCAAGAAGTTTGAGTGGAGGTGGTGAGAGCTCAGGAGAGGACGATGAGAGAGATGGCAGAACCAGAAATCGGAAACCATGGATGGCAGGAGAAGCAAGAATGGATCTAAGCAAAGATTCGAAGGCCAGGTTAAACAGCAAGGGAGAGAGAGAATCACCTTGACATAGCCCCCGGCTTTGTAGAAAAGAAGAAGATATGTGCCTATTCACATTCACATGAATTTGAGTAGAAAAGAAGAGACCACAGACGGAGTCAACAAAAATTGTGGGGAAACTGGCTCTGGCCAGGACAAGACGAAGATATGCAGGGTGGACACGGTCATAGGCCTTCTCCTGATCCAAAAGAAGGGCAACACATGGGTCTTGGGTTATTTGTGCATGTGACATGGCAAGGCGTGTCAGCAAAACATTGTCAGCAATAAACCAATCTGCCATAAAACCCGTTTAGAATGGTGTTATGAGTGTGCCAATACCATATTGCAAATGGGATGTAAGCATTTTGGTGAACAACTTGGCGTCACAGTTTATAAGAGATATGGGTCGCCAGTTGCAGAGAGAGGTAGTGTCGCCGGCTTTTGGTAGGAGAACAAGTATGGTTTCCAGCCAAGATGGAGGAAAAACATCATGCAATGCATTATTATAGACTTGAACTGCAAGATTTTGGACCATTGGGTGACAGAAGAGCCGAGCCCATAATGGGTAGGGCAAACCATCCATCCCAGGACTAGAGTTGATGGGGGTGGCTTTAAGGACAGACAGAATGTCATCCAAGGTGACATCAGCAATGAGGTAGGCAGAGTCAGTGGAAGACAGACAGGCAGAAGGTGGGAATTTGTTGATAAGAGAGTGTGCAGCAGGATAGTCAATGGGTTCCAGTGAGTAAAGAGATTGGTAGAAAGAGCAAGTATGGCCAAGCAAATCGGCGGGAGAGGTGTAGATCGCACCAGTGACAGGGTCGACAAGAGAGGAGATAGTTTTTGCAGCGGCTCGCTGTTTGAGCACATGAAAGAAATATTTCGAAGAAGTCTTGCCAGCTTCACACCATTTAGTACCAGATCTGGCAGCCAAGGTGGAGGCCCGAGACAATTGTATGGTGGCGAGCTCATGTTCAATGTGGAGAAGTTGAGGAGAATGAGTATGAATTGCAAGTTCATTTCGAGCACGATGAAGATGATGTTCCTGATTTCGGAGTTGACGGTGAACTCGTTTAGAGTACATTAGGGCGAGCTGTTTGATAGCATGCTTAATATGATCTCACCAAGAACTGGGAGACATGTCAGGAGAGAGAAAAGAGTTGGCCTTATCCAGAAAGTCGGTAATGAGAGCATCAAATTCATCATGCAGGAGATATTGCGTATTAAACCTCCAGACTCCAGGACCTGGTGGGCGAGAGAAAGGAATGGAGACCGCAAGAAGGCAGTGGTCAGTCCATAAAGGCTTGATAAATGTTACATCAGGGCGTTTGGTAACAATGCTGTGTGGACAGAAAATGTAGTTGATGCGTGTGCGGGTGCGAGAGCTGTGGAAAGTGGGTAACGGGGGTGAAGAAAAATTAGTGATGGCATCCACGCAATTACTCTGAATGTATCCTTTCCAGTCCGGTGGATGGCTGCAACGATGGCTAAGATCACAGTTAAAGTCCCCCAGAATAAAGGCAGGCAGGGAAGGAATGACAGTAGGGAGAGTGCGTGCTAATGAGGAGAAGAAAGTATGCCGGTGGGAAGGAATGTTGGGTGCATAAATAACCACAACTACAAAAGGATTAACACAATGATTGGTATGTGTAATCTTGACAACGAGTGCACAGTTGTCAGGAGAAACATGCAGTTGAGATAATTGGAGGAGGGGATCGAAAGAGACGAGGCCGCAATGTGGGGTCCATAGGCTGGCTTGTGCTTGGAATGTAAGGTGAATAGATGAGTGATATATAGGGAGTAAATGAGTCTCTTGGAGAGCAAGTAATGAAAGGGAAGGGGAAAGGGTACGAAGGTGTCGGATGTAAAGAAGTTTTGGGGATTGCGGGTTATTGATGGTAGAGAGGAGACCTCGAACATTCAAGGTTCCTATGCGAAGATGTTGTACAGCCATTTATGAACTTGGCTGACCTGAGCGGTCAGACTTTTCAGTTCCATCAGTCATAGGTGTGTTACCATCCAGATCAGTGTACGGGAATGCACCTTGGGCGCGAGTCCGGAGAGTGGCCCTAAAAAGAGATTGTCGAAGTTTGTCATCAGTGTAAATTGCTGGGTTAATGCCATCATTGTGACTATGTAGGCCTCGGGCACCTGGTGAGTGCTTGCTGGCATTGAGCCCATGGCCAGTCAGATCATACATAGTTGTATCAAATGGAATTAGGGGATTGTCATTGTGTGGGGTCCGGTTTCTGGTCGTCATGGCGCGAGTATTCATCACTGATATGGAATGGTGACATATTGTGTGTGTAGCAGGTGGGTTGAGAATGGGTGAAGCATGGGTAGGAGTCAAGGTTGATGAAGTGACTGGTGAAACGGGTGTCTCTATCATAGCGACCGAGTATTGGTGTGCTCAAAGGGGCGCAGTATCAGCAAGTGCAATCTGCTGCTGCTCTTGGATAGCCCGCTCGGCTTCAATATTGTCTGGATGAGTGGGGCACTCGCAACTGTCTATGACATGACCAAGAACACTGCATTGTTGGCAGCAAGGTGCGCGGGGAGGACGTTTTGTGCAGGAGCATAGATAATGCCCTTCCTCTTGGCAGTATCCACACACAGGTGTGATATTGGTGGAGCAGAGCTCAGCAAGGCAGGAAAGAGACCCACCAAGGTAGAGACGGCTTGGGAGACTGCGGACTTCATCTTGTCTAGAGGTGTCTAAATAGATAGTGGCTTTGCCACGGAAAGTACCACGGTATGAGAGATAAGCTCTCAGCTGAACGATTTTGCCAAAAGGCCGGAATGCATTTTCGATGGGCTCAAGTAGATCTGTGCTAGGATCGCAGGTGTTAATATGGTAAAGATTAACCTTAACAATGTGGCTGTTAGAAGGCAATCTTGGTGTAGCAATGATTCGGGTGTTCTGATAGGTCAACCCATTGGACGTTGCTTTGGTGCGGGAGGAAGGGTCAGTAAAGAAGGCTTCTGCCAGAAGGTCTTTTGAGCAAGTATAACGGAGAGTGAGAGAGGTCATCCAGCCTACACGGTCAGAGAGAACATCATCCATGTCCCTTGCAGGAACGAGTTTTCCAAGATTAAACAAAACACTCATTGGATGGATGGTACTAGCCCATGCAGTGGATGCAAGATCCACAATCATATTCTTGTCAAAGTTGGGAGCAGTGAAGATGTGCAAAGATTTGTTCTTTGGACGTAGTGTTGTAGACTGGGCACGGTAAGGTGGGTTACCTTGCCATAATGTGTGTGCCCTGTCCTGTGGGTTCAATCCCTCAAGGGTACTCATGTCAGAAAACGTTAATTGGTATTAACTCGTATCAGTTATATGAATTTCCATAAAACTATTTTTAATGGAGAAAAGGGTGAGAAATTGACACTTGCTATTCTCCAACAGTCTAATATCAAGTGGTTCTGCCTCACGTAATCTAATGAGTCTACGGTCACCTTCTTCCTGAAGCCAGTTGTTTTTATTTTCGATCTGTTCATTAATCTGCATTGCTGATGCATACGCAATAGCTGCATTTATTAAATTGTTTATACAAATATTTTGTGACATTTTTAAAAATTAAAGAGATGTGTTATTCATGCAAAGAAAAAAATTGTTTTTATAAGCCATATAATATTGAATAAAGACTTTTTTGTGATTTTAGTCTCAATATATTCTCCGACCGTGACGTGCATCTTAATATGGAAATGAAACTTCAGAAAATTGGTAAGAAATTTCTGTCCATTTTAGTACATTGGAAAAGAGATTAGTAAAACAAACTTGCACAAATCTCTCTAATGTCTTTGTGTTGTTCCCAATCTGGGTTGGTCTTCCTTTTACTATAACAATGTCAGAGTTGACATCAGTGACCAAAATCGGAAGTTATAAGCAATTAGTAACAGTTGACTGCTTAGGATAAAAGATCTTGACTTTGCCAATTGGTCTTTTGACTATGTTTTAGATGATGGAGATGAGGGATATACTTGTAGAGATATTACTGGATAACTACCATCTAAAACATATTATCATAGCTATTCTTTTAGCCATAAAACAACAATCATTTTGTATAAATAGTCAAGAATTACATTTAATAAAAATCATCTTTATTCTTATCTAAGAACTATTCATAAAAACTTAACGATTCACAGTGGTATTAATTCTGCGACTTAGTTACAAGTGCCAGAAAAGAAATACCAGATCGAGACTTGACAACAAAGTCAAAAGGTCAAACCTACTAGGGATCAAGGAGTATATGTAAAATCAATGAGAAGATAAAAGATACTTTTGTCAAGTTTCAATCTATTATTTCTTTTTTTGCACTTGTAACTAAGTCGCAGAATCAATACCACAAGGGATTGTCTAGTTTATGAATAGTTTTTAGGTTGAATCAAAGATACTTTTTATTAAATATATTGCTTGACTATTTATACAAAATGATAATTGATTTCTGGCTAAAAGAATAGCTACAATAATATGTCTTAGATGCATGTTTTCAAATAATATTTTCTACAAGTACGTTCACTATTTTAAACATCTAAAACATATATGAAAGACCAATTGACAGAGTAAAGATCTTTTATTCTAAAAAGTCAACTCTTACTGATTACTTATAACTACTAATTTTGTTCACCAATGTTGACTCTGACACGTTTTATTAATATGAATTGAATTGTCTTATATAATTTGCTAAACTAATACTGCTCATTATCCACAGTAGTTCTTATATTATATTTAAATAAAAGAAGAGTCATTATATTGTGGTTAATACTCAGGAAAATGTTACTGTGCATAAAGAGGTACTGCAGTTAACCATTTTCAGCTTTTATGGATTTATCAAAAGAATGTCTGACAGTTGTCAAGTCTGAACTGGGTATATCTTTCTATTATTTTAACTTATATAAGTTTTGATAATAAATCACCACCAACTAGAACGTTGTAAATAAATAGGAACAGATAGAAATATAAAGAATTGAATTGTTTTTTATTGATATAAATCTTGAAATATGTATACAGATTTCTTAAAAGTGAAACTATCTAATCTAATTATTTCACTCAAAACATATTGGTTTTATTTTTATGGAAGGCAATATAATATGTCTTAGTTAACAAAATAAAAAATCAATTCATATAACATTGAGGGTATACATTAAAAGGAATAACCGATTGGATATCTTACTTAAGAATTTCTATTTACGATTTCAACTCTGACATCATTTCCAATCTGGATTGTTGTCTTGTTAAGTCTCAATCTGGTATTTTTTTTCTGGCACTTGTAATCAATAAGTTTAAATTCTCAAAACTGAAAGCAGTCTTGTATTCACTAGACTTCCTGATATGTTTTTGGTCCAACACATTCTATTATTATTATTGTTTTTTTTTCAGATATAACTTTTCTTTTCTCTATACTTTTATCTAAAAATAAAACGTCACTATGGTTAAAAAAGTGGCAACGTGTTACCACTTTGGTAGCATAACTGCCATTTTTTACATAATAAAAAATAGTGGATATGAGTCTGTATAGCACGATTAGAGGCACAGTTTCCACTTTTTTTTTTAAAAGACCGAGGTTCACTCCTTTTTTTTGGTTTTTTTTGGTTTCCTTTCACGCCCCCCCTTTTTTTTGCTCTACTGTATCCAATACTAGTATATCATTTCGCTTTTTATTTGCCATATTAAATAAACCATTTATTGAATTGAATTAAAATGAATTGGAATGAATTGAATTGAATAAGATTTTGCTTCAATTTATGTTTTATTATATGATAGTAATACTACTTAAAACCCGTCTATTGGAACTTGCAAAAAAGACATAATATTATTTGGCTACTGCAGGGTATGTAGTAAAAACCCTTTATTCCAAAAGCATTTCATGTGTTTTGAGTACTTCAATATAGACTAGACGATCTTTAATTATTACTGGTTTCTATAAATATATCAATGTTAGAGAGAAAATAAATAAATAGACATAATAATATAGTGCTTACTTTTATGTAACATATTTAATAGCTTTAAAGAATTTTTTTGCTCTAAAAATATATATTAGAAAATAATATTAATATGTAAGCTTCATATGTTATTAAAAAGTGTTAGTACACTATGGGAAAAAATGGCAGTTTTTTGCTTTTGTGACTATGTTTTCGGCCTATAATAATTAAAAAATCACTAAAAATCCAATTTGAAACTAGAAAATCTCTGTTTTTTGAAAAGGTTGACAAAAAGCAAATTGACCACCTAAAATTAAATCTCCTGATAGACAAAAGTAAGCTTTAACTACAGACTTTACATTTTTAGTAAATGTAGATCGCATTTGATGACTATTAAAAGTCAGAAGAAAAAGAGAAGAAAATATCTAAACTTTCTGCTGAGACAATAAAATATGTTAAGACAATTTGAAAAAAAAATGTATTACAAAAAAAAAACAAATTATAGGTCTGCAAGAGAACCAAGTGACAATTTTGAGCCGCAGTTAAGCTCTGACCACACTATGTATGTTGTTGTTGTTGTTGTTGTTGTTGTTGTATTTATAGTCGCGTCCAACTTCACCAAACCAACCAATTCTTTGACATCTGCCAGGTGAACTACCTTTGGCTTCATTTGCCCATTGTTAACAACTGGTATACCATTTACCAAACGGACTGCCGCAATCTCTACAAGAGCAAGTGGCCATCTCTTGTTGTTGAGCTTGTGCTAAAAGAAGACAACAACTTTTCCGAAGAAATCCTTGTAAACTGGGGAGTATGCAGAATTTATGTTTCGGTTTTCATCAACCTGAATCTGTAATCTGATGTTATGTGCCTCCCTTACACAATTTTGGTCGAGTGCAGAGTCAATCACACAACCATTGACAAATGCCTTGCGGCTAGTTTGTATAGCTGCTTCAATCATACTACACTCTTCCCCCTTTGATTCGTAGAAGTCTTCAAGAAGTTCTGAAAGACAAGAAATGCCTTCAAAACTATCTCGGATCGTTCTATTTCTCAAAGGCCCCCAGAACTCAATATCAGACCCAGCACCAACACGCTCACCCTCATCTGTCAATGGCCAACCAGCAGTGGAATCTTCATATTGTAAGTGTCGTGCTGTTCTTTCTTCTGTAATCATGACAGTGGCTCCGGCCTCTGCTTGTTGTATTTGTGCTAAGCCAAGCATTATATTGCCAGTGTTAACATTTATAGCAGAATTACTCTTGATAGCCCTTAAGTATTCACCAATTGCCTGTTCCACGGATCTGGCACTATATGCATGAGGTGGGCCATATGCGTCAATCATGAGAGGATAGTGCTGAAGAAGATGCTGGTTTATAGTGAAAATATTGATTTTGATTTTTCCACTTGTAAGCAGCGATTCCAGGTACATGTTCCATATTTCAAGTTTACTGAAGAAAAATAGTTAGAATAAATAATAGAATAACACATAGCTTTTACTAAAATATACCTTTTGATAGAGGTTTGTTCCTCTGCTGATAACTCCCAGCTCATGAGTAGGTTACATGGTTGAACCAAGCCAAGTAACGCGTTCCGGGCAGTTGCATCTCCAATACGCTCTGCCACCAGCATAGGGACGACGAACAGAAGAAAGTCTGCTCAATCGACGGCCTTGAACGACCCGGGGTTCTTGTATACATCTCTCCAATCGCCATGGAAGGATGTAGGGATGGTATTTCTTGTTTTGTACATTGCTGTACCGATCTCCTTCCGAACACCAGAAGAAAGAGCAAAACAATGGTCTGTTCCGTAGGTACCAGAAACCAAACCCCAGACTTGCTTGCTTATTCCATGGCAAAGTCCATGCATCTCATTGAGGGCAAAAAACAATGGTCCAGAGAATACCTTCAATGTTGCCAGGGGGGATTGTCCGTTTAACCCTTTGCGGCTGGATGCACTGGCCTGGGAAAAATTCTGGAAACTTTCCAGTGTACAGATATTGGTGCTGGGCAAAGTTCTGAAGTATTGTCCATGCTTGGGACATTGGCCGACAACATGACAGATACGGCAACCGTCTTTGCTCATATGTCCAGAATGACATGCCAACTTTGCTAAGGTGGGAATGTCACCAGTGACCATTAAGACATGTACCTTGGCACGAATGGTCTCGTTTGGTGTCTTGACGATCATCCCTTCGCTCTCCAACACCAGGAGCTCTTTCATCGTTGGTTTCATGAACGACCAGAAATTGGCAGGTGCACCTGGACCTGAGATCATTGCGATCTGGAGTATTCTGCTTCTCTCATACCGGACCATGGGATTCAGGTTAAGAATGGTGGCATGGAGGATCGTTACAGAACCAGGAACATTGTGTGGTGTCAATCCATCAACAGACAACAAAATTGCAATTTCATCTTTTCCAGAAAACAGATGTTTTGCTTGCTGGTAAACCTGGCCATCAAACACATCGGTTTTACTTCCATTCAAGCTTGACTCATAATTATGGTGGTAATGCATATCTGCTCTTGTATTCTCGTTGGCTAACACAAGAGCAAGTTGTCTCACCAATGGAAGCTGTATCATTGTGGCAGTAGGAACCAGATCACCACCCTCAGTTTCTCCACGTCTTGTTTTGTACTGGCTTTGTCCACAGTTGGAGCACTCAGTCTGGGATAGACTGGTAAAGAGCATACATCCCCTCTGACAGATATCATGGACTGTCTCTTCAACACCAGAGAAACACTTCAAAAGCTTTTTGCCAAGATGAGGAGTATATGCTCTGTATGTAATACAAGTTGACGTTTCCAAAATGCTGTTGAAATGCTTGACTATCATTTCATGGGCATTGTGGGAGATACCAAAATCCTTAATGATCTTGAGAAACTCAAGGTTCTTTGCGTCGTCTTTGTCAGGGGTAGGTGCAGGCTGACTGAAGTCAAAAACCAAAGGAGATGTTTTGTTTTCAATGATATCCATGTCGTTGCCAAGTTCCGCATCATACTTTAACAAGGTAGACAATAATTAGCATTATATAATAAGACATGTATATCTATATATATATCTTACCATAGACTCATCATTATCATCATTACTAAAGATATTCATAATTGGATCATCGATATCTTCGCTGTTGAGTGTATCCATGATCTGATCTTTGATTGCATCAGCACGTTCTCTGCTTGTTTATGAAGGTAATACAATTAATTACACTCTCTAATAGTATGTATGTGATTTGTAGATTTACTCGATAGTGTCATTTGAGACAGTGTTCAAAACAACACTGACTTGTCCAGGAACAAGCGTGGTCTGTGAAGTCTGGATATCATTATGTCTTCTATGACGGTTCTTAAAGCATTGAGCTCTACAACTCTTGGCTTTTTTTAAATTGGTGTGGCGCTCTTTGTATTGATTGCATTGGTAACTATCAAGGATTGAATTTGAAGACATTTTTTAAGTTGGAAATAAACACTTAAGAATAAAGGTATGAATATTGATAATTCCTTTTAAATAATATGCCTTTATACTTAATAGCGTTGAGATTTGTATAGACTTAATGACTACAAGTAGGCAATGACATAGATGATACAAATATAAACTCAGGAACAGAAGCTAAAACATTGCGTAATAGCTGTTATTAGAACTACAGTAGCCCAATAATAATATTGGCTGGACCAATAGGTTAAACTCGTTTATATGAAACTAATAATAGACAATAGAAAATTTTTTCGACCTTTATCTTTCTTTTACAACAATCCTTTTTCTCAGGTAAACCAAACTCTCAACATGAATAACACAGATAACAATTCCATCTCTTTGCTACACGCCATGTACAATGAGATACTCTCTTTGAAGGCAGGCCAAGAAAAGACCAAACTTGAAATGAAGGCACAGATCGAAGAGTTGAAGCTCAAAATGAAGACGAGCATTGAAGATTTGAATTTGGAGATTACTGCTCTCCAGAGCCAACTGGAGAATAGAAACATTTCCAACCAACACACTTCGCCTTCTGTCTCTGCCATTGTAAGACAAAAAAAAAAACGAGTTGAATATATATTAATATGTCATTTAATAGTCTAGTGCTAATACCATCCGCAAACCAGTGAGCATATTCCGTGAAATAACTTTAAAGCATATCTTCAAGATGATAAGTGAAGACCTTGGCATTGAAGTAACAAGTAACGAAAAGGCCACACTCAATATGTGTACAAAGCTTATATGTGATGATATGGCTGCCCATCCTTCAGTGATAGCTCTTGGTCCTAATCCTAGCTGGGGGTCTATACCAGTAGCACTTAAGAAAGAAATGTGTGCCAGGCACGCAAATATAATGAAGGATTTTGGTATAGACTTCACTAGATGTCTCGGAAACTGGGCATCAACTGCAAGAGTTGCACATCTCTGGAGGGACCGCCATAAAATATTACAGTCTTGTAAGTAATCCAGTGTAGTGGAATTGAATAGAATATCTTACTATAAAAACCTAGAATATTAAACAGTAAATAGCCAATAAAATGTATCTATAGATTTTTTTATGCTTTAACAGCCAATAAAATAAACAATATTATTTATTTTTCTGTCATAATAACCAGTAAAATAAACAATATGATTTTTTTTCTGTCATAACAACCAATAAAAATGATTAATAAAAATGATCTTCTATTGTAATAACTAATAAAAATTTGTATTTATTAAAATGATCAAACATTTACATGTATATTATCCAATAAAAAACTGTTTTCATAAAAGTAACATTAAAAAAATTACTAGTGTCCAATAGAATTCCTTTCTAAGCTAAAATATTAAAGTAATAAATGACATTTAAGAGAGTACCCAATAAAAGTAATCGATTATATAATATACTTTATACAATAAAGAATGAAACACTGTCCAATAGAAGAGCCAACAAAGGAGAATCAGAAAGCGGAGATCTGTAATATGTATTTAAACTCCAGGGGGCAAAGTGGATATTTGGCAAAAAACCGCCACAAAGCCGCCCTGTCAAACCGCCATAAAGCAGCCATAAAACCCCACTTTTTTTCCCGTAGTGGTATATCTACAAGACAAGTGAAAAAAGCAGTGGGTATCACTCAAAATTATTACCAAATAAAACCCGAAAAAAAAGATTTGAGTCATACAATATGAAGTCAACTTGAATCTAGTTGAAAACTGAATGAACATTATTTTAACATGAGATGTATATTATATCAAGATACTTACATAGAATATAAAACCTATCAAGTATAACATAGCAGCACAAGAGTATTATTAGTTTTTTTTGTTCTTTGAAAAAAATCTATTATGCATCATTCAAAAATTAATTGTAGCAATGCTGCAGATGTTGTACATTAGTTTTCAATGTTGATGACTATATAGATACCAATCACATAAAAAAGGACAACGTATCTTTATTTTAAGAGAAAGAATAAAAAAAACAAGAGAAAGAAAGAGAAAAGAAGAAAATAAAAGACAAATATAAAAACCGAACTAAAAATACACTAAAAAATATTTTGATCCAACCAAAACCTCCTATGATCTTCAGCTTCTGTTATGTGCTAGTGCAACACTCATTTCTGCCAGAGGAGAACTTTATAAAAAAGTAAAAAGTTTATATTAGTTTCGTATTGACAGCACCAAACCAGCAGAAACCATGGTAACTTACAGCACATCCACCATAATAGGCGACTTACTACCATCAGTTTCTGATATATTATCAGAAGACAGCAAAGAATCATTTGCATCTTGCTGTGCCTTATAATTTTTTTAAAGGTTTATTAAAACATATGAATGAAATCGTTTAATTAATAAACTTACAATGTTCTTCTCTACCATTCTTCTTTTTTGCTTCTGGCTGTCACTTTTGAAGCTTTCCCGGAGGAGGCTTTTGGTATATCACATGCTCTTGCACTTGTAGATAGCAAAGCCATTATCCTTTGTCATTCTCTCTAATTGCATCCTGTAGTATTCCCAGTGCTTTGCCAGAATACCTTTCCATTCTTTACTTAAAGCAGAAAAGTCTTTGTCAATGAGATCGTGCTTGATCATGCGGCTCAACGTCTTGAGCTGCAATCATTTCATAGACAAATCGTTGTCTGAAAGAAGTATCAATTGGGACAAAAGTTGCCCTTCTGAGATTTCTTTGCAACGATCTTTCTACTCCTGCTCATGAAGCAACTGCAACAACAAATTGTATTTCTGGGCTTCATTTTTCCCTTTGAAATCGCCACCTGTACCAATTACTTGCTTGTCAAGCTGGTCAGGATACTCAGTGAAATGAGACCTTTTTACAGACTTGGCAACACATTCAAGAGCTACCAAAAAGGAAGTTGTATACCATCATATTAATAAGACAAGTAAATATACAGATATATAGTAAATGTATCTTACCACTTTGCTCAATGATGCTTTGTTGCATTATACTAAGATCTTCTGCACTAACAGTTGAAGCAAATTGTTTGCTAAACTGATCTTGAAGCATGCGTACCATTTGCTTTATTTTGGCAATATCAATTTCAATTTTTCTGATAGAGTTTATGAGTGCGATGTTGATATCAGACATTTTTGAATTATTATTTTTTAAGAAAGATAAAAAGAATAAAAGTTGTACTTCCCATTATATATTTCATAATGTTTACTTGTTTAACTTTTTGAAAAAAAGATAAATCAACTTAACTATAAACATATGATTGCTACGACATTATTTTTTTAATTTTCAATGCCAGAATATTTTACTGGTTAAAATAATGACATCAGTGTAAATGGACTTTATAATAGTAACACAATGTTTAAATACGATATAATTAATTAAGCATTCATCATTGATCTTGTAAAGTAAATGTTATAATAGTTATACTTATATAATACTTGTTGTCATTGTTGATCAAGATGTGCTTCGCTAATATTATCATCATTTTTATTATTGTGATATCATTGCAAAAAATAAAATAAAAGAAAATAAGCAAATTATCCTGAGATGAAAAGTATATAAAGCTCTCTTTTATGTTGTGCAGATATAACCAGAATCTTTTTTACAGTTTCATTTTATATACTTAATACTTACTAAAGCAACCAATATGTCTTCCTCCAACATCAATCAGCAGAGAGATAGATTATCTACACAAACACACAAATGCAATCAATGTGCCCTGTCGTTCAACATTTACCATCAGCTTCAGAACCATAAGAAAGGTTATGAAAGCAACTTGGCATCAGCAAATATCATTTCACAATATATTGCAGAGGATGTTGAACTGCAAAATGATATTAGAAATGACATTATTGACAATAATAAATTAGTTAGCAATTCAGGTAATAATAATCAGTATAAAATTATTAATAAGTGATTGGAATACTCATTTAATAATGCATTATAAATTATGCTGTGAATGCAATGGAGATTCGCGAGGCCATTTCTTACAAGGGCAGTTTTAGTTTCGAGGACAGTGAGGGTGAAGCTCGCATTTACAATAGCAGCAGAATCGGTAGCAATACCTTTACAAAGGCCAAGTTGATGAGTATTTATCTCTCTCAATTGGTGCTTCAGCACGGAGTTTCCAGGGCAGCTTATAGAGACATTGTCCGATTTGTTAATACAATCATTCAAGATCACAATGAAATTATGTTGGGTAAAATAGAATATTTATGTTACCTTACACTTTAATTTCAAATTTCTAACATGTAGTGATGTTGTTCCTTTTTTTTTAGAACCTGGAGCTAAGATCAGCCATGGCAAAACTGCTGATGCTTTGCTCAAATCCAAGTCAAGTGTCAAGGGCCATGAGTATGATGTTTGTCCTAATGGTTGCTAATTGTATAGCATTAATGACGATCAGGAATCTTGTGTTGACTGCAGCAAACTGCGATACAAGACTGATACTGAGCAAAGTCAAACACCAGCTGCCAGTATGAAGCTCATGTCAGTCAGTGACATGCTTTCTCAAATGCTGGCTGATCCAGCCACAAGAGAACTCCTTCATTACAGGGCTAACCGGGAATCTGTAGCTGGTCATCTCACCAATATTTTCGATGGTGAAAATTACAAGCAGTTGGTGCAGCAAGGCTTGTTCTCAAATTCCAACAATATTGCCATTGGACTATATACCAATGGTTTTGTTAACCAAAAAAAGGGCAAGAGTTCGTACACCATCGTTCATGCTGTTGTATTCAATCTTGACCCATCAATAAGGTAATAAATCAATTAATATATAAATTTCAAAAAAAGTTACTAATAAAAAGCTTAGATACACAAATGAATACCTCTTGCAGCTGGCAATCTTGCCTGGCCACAAGAAGCCTACCCACTTGGACTCTTTTCTGATGTCAATCATCAGTGAAATAAAAGATATTGAGGTGCATGGCTTGGTGATCAAGAGCAATGGAGTTGAGGTTTGCTGTGCCAAGATCCACTTGTTGCTTGCTTCTGATGACATCCCAACTGTGGCTGGCATGGCGCACATTGGCTCACATGCCAGTTTGTTTGGTTGCCAAATCTGCAAAACAAAAGGAAAAGCCTCAGACAACAGACGGCACAGAATGTACTTTGAAGATAGTTCCGCTCCTTTGCAACCTTTGGAAGACTTCAAAACCGGCAATCCTGTAAGTATATAACAGTTTAATTAGATTTTTCTTGTACTAAATAATTGCTTATAATAGATAAAAAATATATATCTGCCAAGCATCTTTCATGAACTGTCAACCTTCTCCGGATCTTCCTTCTTCGCACTAGATGAACTTCATTTAGTTGCAAAAGGAATCAGAAAGCACATTTACAGCTTGATCACTGTGTCCCTTACCAAGGAGACATAATTTTTTTATACCCGCCCAGATGATACCTTCTCTACCACAGAATATCCATTTTTCATACCAAGAACTAGACTTGTGACAATTGGCAACTGTATCACAAGTTCAAGACCATATATATCTGTATTATTCCAAGGCAGTTTTGATAACATCTTCTCCAAGATTGATGGCACTCGGGCAGTAGATTGGCTTGATTTTCTTCTGTACATTGTTCCCACTCTTGTTGTCCTATTCTTACCGAACAGGGCAGTGAAAACTGCGGTGTTGTCACTTGTCAAAGGTTGTGCACTGGCATTGCAATAGACAATGACTTCGGAGTTGCTGAATGAGATGAATGTGTAAGTCATAATGCCTCTAACACTATATCACTATACAAAACTAATCACAACCTTTTTTTAAAAATAATAATAACAACAACAATAGACATTTTAAACACTAGCACCACTATCTATCACAACAAGTCCAGAACAAGAGTATATCTTATAGTGTCTTCAGACCAGTACAGCACTATCTTGTGCATATACCATTTATTGTCAAGCAACTAGGTCCACTTCAATGCTACTCCACTTGATCAATGGAGAGAGTAATTGGTGTCTTTTTTAAGCTAATCAAGTCTAAGTGCAAGGGCGGCCGTAATGCCAGTTTTCTTGTGAAACAAGTTACATTGCATAACTATGTCAACACAGCCATCAGTATTCAGAACGAAATTGATCTTATTCAGCCCAAGTCGTATGCTAAAGAAAGTTATATGAATCTTTCTAATGATTCTAGTGGTGCACAGTTGTGGAAGCCATTTTATTGATTTGCTCATTTGAACGATGATTTGGTGGAAGGTGTAAGCGGCCCTAGTGTGAAGGATGCCTTAACTAGATACTATCAACGAACTTTGGGTCTGATGATTTCTGATATTGGTGATTCTACGATTGTTGTTACTGGTTGTTTATGAATGAGTTCAACTGTATATTCATCTTGCATGTATTGACAAAGAAGAAATGAAAGAAGCTGCAGTAATCATTATGTGATGTTTATCTGTCCTTACAGAAAGTAAGTGTATCATTTTTCAATATAAAATCAAAAGTTGCTTACATTATATTTATTTATTTACTTTAGCAACTGTAACATAATTGTTTACAGCTGGCTCGTTAGTGTGGTATTATTCTTCTTGCAGCATGAGGATTCACTTGGCTCTCTTCGTTTCTTTGCTTTTGTTGAAGTAATGAAGGAACATGACGCGGCTGCCCACAACTCTTCCATACCAATTGTCAAATAGCGGTCACAAAACAGCTCAATAGGTTGCCAAACACAACCCAAATATGCAGTATCTGATTCTTGAGACTCACACAAAACTCAGGTATTTTTCGGTGGGTTTTTAAAAATTGGCAGTACTTTTTTGAAAAAAGAAAAGTATTTATCTGTTTCCATATAATTTTCATAAAAATACCATGACAAATACCATGATATATCGCATATCGGACTCATATGAAACGCAAGCTCAGATACATCCAATAAACAACGACTTTTGACTTTTGGTTACTTATTATAGTCAATATTTATTTTTATATTTATTTTACATGTTACACTACAATATATTAGGAAGAGAAGTATTAATCCTTAGTGGTTCATCTAATAATAAAAAGATATCTTTATTTGCAAGGCATTTGAAGTCTATGATTGGTTTACCTTTAACAAACAAAGACATTGGTTCCTGACAATGTCTTCTATACTTCCAATACACTATTCTACTTGAATGTGATTAGTTCTCTTCATAATATATTTTTAGTACGATGTACTCTGATAGTTTTCATTAAAAAAAGGATATAAAGAGTACTACAATTAATAGAAAAAGAAACTACCTTTATAACAAACCAAACATTCTCATAAAGAGCTGTAAGTATATCTTGCCATAATTAATACGTTATTACTTCAAATTTTCAAAGACTTTATGAATAATGTTGTTGATATATTATACATTATTTTATTTCTATTTATTCAGCCTCAAATAAACAACGGAAACAACACTACCGTCAATGATCCAAGTCTTCAGCATATGATAGACAACACATCAGCAATGTACAGTAGCAACCAATTGGTATTAGCTCAAAACCTGGACCAGCGCCCTACAAATATGACGAAAGCATATCTTGCAAAGCAAGAAGAATGGAGAGTATGTATAATATAGTTTTCTGTATAAAAAAAATATTAAAAGTGTTTTTATACATTTCAAACAGCAATGGTGTCTCAAGAAAGAATTCGGAGATGGTGAACTTGTGAATGATCAGAAACTAAGCTTTTTCATGATGGATCATGTCATGAATAGAGGACGTAAATTAAAGAGGGATGATAACAACTCCCCGATTCCATTAGGCAAAGAATCAATAGCGGCCTATGTCAAGGCAGTAGCCGATATATGTAGCAAGCAGAAAGCTCTTGGATTGAATCCCAATGGTGTAGCAAGAGGACCACTTGTCCGTGCTTTCCTTGATACCGCAAATAAGGCATGCGCACAGACTGTTAGAAAAAACTTCGAAGATCGTGGAAAGAATACACTTAACGATGGATACACCAAGCAAGAATTAGAAAGAATCAGTCAATATTTCATGGAAAAAAACGATACCCACGCATGTCGAGATCGACTTTGCTTTCTTATAAGTCATGCAATGCTATGCCGAAGTCAAACAGTTCTTGGAATGCAATTTGCCGACCTTTTCTCTTTGGAATTAGACAACCAAGGCGCCACACAATGCATTGCTCTGGTGGCAACCATGACCTTTGGAAAAACCAATCAACACGGAAAGATTGAGTATGGATCGTCAATCCGTCATCGTCAATTTGAAGTCTGTTCCGTCGGTGCATTGGCCATGAGTTTATTCTCAAGATTTTATTATGAGAATGAGCCATTTCCCGACTTTTCTTCCCATGAAAAATGGTATGAAACAGCTCTTTTTAAAGGTGACAACCGCTTCAAGCCGATACAATACAAGACGCAGCATAAAATATACCTTGAGGCATTCAAATCAGTTGGGATCCATACTTCAAAGGTCACCCATGCCAACCGCAAAAGTGCTCTCAATATGATTGCACAAGAGAACGTTTCCGGCGACCAACAACGAATGGTTGGAAGGTGTGGAACAGACCATATGGTGGGATGTTATATGTCAACATTGCCTGTGGAAGCAATGAAGGCTTTAACAGGGTTCTCTGGAAACAGTAGCAACTTCTTTTTAGCACAAGCAGTGGTTCAACCTTTGGCTTCTCTACAAACAATGGTTTTCCCAAATATCGAATCTTGGAAACAGAAATTTGCAAATGGAGATGTCCAAGAGGACATAGCTGGCCCAAATTTTTTGGATTTACTTTCGCGACTTCGAGTGGTATTTCTACAGGTACATGTTGTTATTAAAGCACTGTTTGTAATATTTTCTCTAAGTAATATTTCTTTGCTGCTTTTTTTTAGGACTCTGTTCTTCTGAAAAAGAAATTCCCAGGTTATTATCTTTGGACATGTGCTATCTTCAGCTCAGATGAATACAAAAGCTTCGAACAGCAAGTTCTCTCCGCAGTACAGCAAGAAGAAGAGGTGTTCATGAGCAATAACAGGATGGATATGGTTATGCCAGAGATGGTAGATAGTGTCAGAGCTGGTTTCGGAACAGTTCACGCCACCATGAATTCGATGCAGTCCATGATATATGCCCACCTCTCTTCACACGCCGCCTCCATTAATAGATTAAACAACAATTTTACCAATTTTTTTGCTCTTGGATACGATCAATTCAGTAACTCTACAATTGCAACACCATCGAACCTACCTTTACAGCGTAACATCATTACATCACAACCTCTACAGCCACCACCCCAAAGTACTCCATTACATAGTGCCGTAACATCTCAACAGCCAACACACCCAGAACAGCCAGAACAGTATACAATGAGCCAAAGAATTTTCTCTGTTACTGATGTATGGAGAGAATATGTTTTCGGCTTTAATGGCAGCCCATCCATTCAATCCTTAGAAAATAAGTACGGAACTGCATGAAGAAAAGATCGTAAAGAGTCTAGATTTTTTAGTAGAAGAAAAGAGTTGTACGATGCAATTAATGAAAGAGCAGAGTTAGAGAATATATCCCCTGAAGAAGCTGCTCAAAGAATGGAGAATGACCAAGTTCAGCTTGGAATTTCTCTAGATAAATATAGAGCTTGATTATCGTAAAAGATATAAAACTATCTTCATTTAATTATTTTTCTACATAAATACTTCTTATTATATTCAATAAATATGTACTACTTTCACTGTTATATCAAAATATATGTCTTTATTTTATGGCTTTCCAGAAAACTGTATGAGTAATAAATCATTACAAATACAAGTAATTCCAATCAATAATCATATATATTAGAGCATTATAAGGTAGGAAAGCTGTCAAGAAAGGTCCATTCTAGTAGTAGTAGTAGCTAGCCTTGAATTATATAACTTTTAGTCGACATATATTCATGTTAAAATAAAGACATACATTATGATAAAAATATCAAAATCGTTCTCTTTTTATTAACAAATTTGGATTTTTTTTCGGGAAATGAACCTAATTTTTTGAAAAAGGGTATCTCTACGCTCAATTTCATCGCACCAAAAATAGCAAGAATAAAACTCAGTCAGACTATGGCCCACCAAAAATACCCACTCAGTATTAGTTTAGAAAACTATATAAGACAATTCAATTCCTATCAATAAAAAGTACCTTTTATCCTCTCTTCGATTTTACATATACTCTTCAATCCCCAGTGGGTTTGACCTTTTAACTTTGTTATAGTAAAAGGTCAAACCCACTGGGGATCAAGGAGTATATGTTGTTGTATCCAACATAATCGTAGATTCAAATAGAGCACACAGACAATAAGACAAAGACATATTGAATAAGCAACCAGTATCAATTATACATTATTTCTCACACTATCATTAAATAAAGAATATACTGATAATAAGGTCACACACCTTAGTCAACATCACTAATCACTCAAACAAGAGTGTGGGTAATAACTTAACAATATATTATCTATGATATAAGAAAACAGACATCAGATGATATACTCATATCATTATCACTACGGCGGAGAAAATGGTAACATGTTACCACTTTGGTAACATAACTGCCATTTTTTATTAAGTAAAAAATGGCAGTTATGACTCTGTATAAGGCCAAAACAGGCACTGTTACCATTTTTTACATAGTAAAAAATGGCAGTTATTTATTATGTAAAAAGCCAAAACAAGCACTGTTACCATTTTTTTCATAATAAAAAATGGCAGTTATTTATTATGTAAAAAGCCAAAACAGGCACTGTTACCATTTTTCAAAAAAAAAAATCAAGCGTCCTTCCTTTCCTCTATTACATTCTTTCTTTTGTTCTATTGCTTTCAATTCTAGCACAACCTCTTGTTTTTCCTTTGCAGCTTTAACAGAATGGTCTGTTTTTTATTATACAATATTGAATCGGGTTTAATTGAATTGAATCTTTATTTCAATGCATGTTTTATTAAATGAAAATGATAATAATAATAGTAATAATGAAAAACCAATTCCATCAGCCACTCGCAATAAAAAATGGTTCTGTTTAGCTACTGCAAAACGTATGCAGTAAAACACTACTATTCAAATTGTATTTCATATACTTTGGGTATTCTAATATATCTTAGATAGCACTTATTATTTTTTACTGATTTCTACAAATATACTAATATTAGAGAAAAAACTTAAAATAAATAAATAGATATAATATTATTATAATGCTTACCTTTATATAATATGCTTACTTGTTCAGTAAAATAAGCATTTACTCTAAGAATATATATATATATTAAAGAATGTATTAATATTTAAGATCTATATATAAGAAAAGCAATAAAATATAAGCACTATAGAAAGTCGTTATCGTAGAAGAAGAAAAACTTGAGCAAATATTCAAGTCATGTAACATGAAGCTAATTCGAATCTGATTCATACAACCAGAATGAGCATCTTGTTAGAAAGCTTAACGTGTTTATTTTACTCAATATACTTACATATAATAGAACGACTCCCAAGTATAATATATCAGTACAAAAATATTACTATTAATTTTTTTCCCAAAAAAAAGGCTATATACTATTTCCTTTTATATTTGAATGTAGCGGAATTGTAGATGCTGTACATTAGCTTCAAATTCTTGTAATCACAACATTAGCAATCATATGAAAGAGGACAATAAATTTGTTATATGAAAGAAAAAAGGAATAAAAAACATAAAAAGAAAAATGACAAGATAAGAAAAAAAATGCACTAAAGACAGACTAAAAAAATCAAACTCGGCCAATCACAGCAGCCAAACTACGATCTTCGGCTTCTCTTGCAAGCAGGCTCGACACTTGCTGTGGGTGGAGGAGACCTACATAAAAGAGTAAGAAGTTTATATTAGTTTTGTATTAACAGCGCATGAGAAAAAGCAACAATGGTAACTTACAGCACATCTGCCATTATGGGCAACTCAACATCACCAGTTTCTGACATATCAGGAGAAGAAAGCGAAGAATCACTTATGTCTTGCTGTGTCTATAGCATAATAAAAGGAAACAATGTTAATTAAAGTTTACAATATATAGATTTGTTAATTGATAAACTTACTTTGTTCTTCTCTGCCATTCTTCTCTTGTGCATCTGGTTGTCGCTCTTGAAGCTTTCCCGAAGAAGGCTTCTTGCACACCACATTCTTTTACATTGGTGGATGTGCAATCCACCATTCTTCGCCAACCTCTCCAAATGCATCATGTAGTATTCCCTGTTTTTCTCTGGGATATTCTTCCATTCTTTTGAGGCCGCAGGATAGTCTTTGTCAATGATATCATGGTTTACCGTACGGCCTAATGTTTTGAGATGCAGTCTTTTTACTGTCAAATCATGGTCTGAAAGAGGGACTAATGGGGGCAAAGGCTGCCCTTGTGGAACTTCTTTGCAGCGCGCCTTCCAGTCCTGCTCGTGAAGAATCTGAAGCAACAGATTGTATTTTTGTGCTTCATTTTTTCCTTTGAACTCGCCACCAGTATTGATTACTCGCTTACCAAGCTGATCAGGGTACTCTGTGAGCTGGGCTCTTTTCACAGACTCGGCAATGCGCTCAAGAGCTACAAAAAATGTATGACAATATTAATAAAGTAAATAAACATCTAAGCACAGAATATATATGACTTACAACTCTGCTCAATAATGCTTTGTTGCATTGTAGTTAGATCTTCCGCACTGACTGCTGGCGCAAATTGATTGCTGAATTGCCTTTGAAGCTCGCGCAATGCTTGCTTGATTTCAGCAAGATCAACCTCAATCTTTTGAATTGAGTTGAGGAGAGTTGTGTTAATATCGGACATGTTTAAGTTTTTTTTTAGCTATAAGCAGTGAGTTGAAAAGAAAAGGTGATAGTTTAGACAAGTAGAATAAGAGCGATTTGAGTTTGAGAAAGGCAACGATTTATTACAAGCAATTGATAGCTATTTATATGAAAAAGATACAGACAGATGTACAAACAAAACATATAAAAGAAGGGATGCTTATGCACTTGTATGCACCTGTCTGCACCTGTCTGCAGTAGCTCATGTGAACATGATACAGTCTTTTCGTGTCGACACAACAAAACTGTAAGAAATATAAAGATAAAATGAATTAGACTTTAAATCAATATTATATGTATAAATGTTCATACTTTGCACCGTCTACATATTAAACGTTTTAAAGTATATGATATAATAATATAACTCTATACATATTGCAGATATAGCATGAAATTTGGTTAAAGTTCTCGATGACAAAACCCTGTACCAGTTAAAATTATAACTTTAAATATACTCTACAGTAGCTATATAACATCTGAACATCATATAGTTAATTAGCCCCTTTTTATCAACATTAAAGTAAATGTTATGATACTCAAGTTCATATCATACTTATTATCATTATCGACTAAAACTTTTGATTGATGCTGTCATCAAAGGTAAAAATAATTTTAACTGTCATTACTATTATTTACCAATGGGCATTTTTGACTGAAACTGTACATTTTTGAAAAAGGTGTGCTTTAACTCACATCGGCACTTTCAATTAACACCCCTTTCGATCAGTAGTGCTTATCTTGATGATGTCAGTAAAAGAGTATCAGACTATAGCCCTCATTATCTATATCTATTTCTTTAAGTTTTATACATAAACAAGAAAATAATGCTATTAGCTAAATATATATTCACTATCTCAAAAATATTATTAGTACAACACAGATAATATAAATATGTCTTTTCTACCAATGTGTTTAGACAGTACTACTTTTTTTTAACTGTTAATTATTAGAAGGCTGTTTTTCTTTGCCTTTGGTATTAGAGAGTAATTGATAATTTATTTAAAAAAAAACATAAATTATTTGGTCATTAATTATCCTAAATATACATATACCTCTTTATAAAGCCCAAAGAATATCTAATCGCTCACAAGTAAAGAGTACGTATCTGTTTCACCGGTGCTCTTTTAATGGTACCCCCTTGTCAACCAAGAAGTATTTTAACTTACATCATAATTATTAATGAAGAAGAATCTTTCCAACCACGGGAATTATTTACTGACAGGTGTTTCACCTAGCATTGTCATTACTGTAATCATTGCTATATCATCATTATGAGAGAGAAAAAGAAAAAGAGCCGCAAGCATTTTAGTTAAAAAATAAAGAGTATATAAAGATGTCTTTTACATTTAATAAATAGCACCAAAATCCTCTTCGCAGCTTTATTTTATATATTACATACGTACCAACCCAACCAATATGTCTTCTTCCAACGCCAGCCAGCAGAGAGATAGAATATCTACACAGTAATACCAATGTGATCAATGTGTCTTGTTTTTTGATAACTACCAGAAGCTGCAAAACCACAAGAGAATTCACAGAGAAGATTCAGCAACAATGACTGAAATTGACCAGTCTATTCTGAATGATGTTGACATGTACCATGACGAAAATGATACTAGTAATGAAGATGAATCTGTTAGCAATTCAGGTAATGAAAAGAGCTGTAATTGTATTATTTATTTTCCAATTACTAAATAATGTATTACAGAATATACTATGGAGTCTATGGAGCTTGATAATACTATTTCATATAAGTGCGCATGTAATTTTGAGGACAGTGAGGGTGAAGCTCACATTTACGACAGCAGCCAAATCAGTACAAATACTTTTATCAAGGCCGAGTTGATGAGTATTCATCTGTCTCAATTGATGCTACAGCATAGAATTGCTAGAGCAGCATATAGAGACATTGTTCAATTTATAAACACTGTCATCCGAGACCATGACGATATAATGATGGGTAAAATATTATATTTTCTGTTACCTTGTATTTTAATTCCAGATCACTAACATGTAGTGATATCGTTTTTTTAGAACCTGGGGCTAAGATCAGTCATGGCGAAACTGTTGATGCTTTGCTCAAGTCAAAGTCAAGTGTCAAGGGCCATGAGTATGATGTCTGCTCTAGTGGTTGTCAATTGTATGGCATTAATGACGACCAGGAATCTTGTGTTGACTGCAGCAAACTGTGATACAAGACTGATCCCGATCAAAGTCAGACACCAGCCGCCAGTATGAAACTTATGTCAGTTGGGGATATGCTTTCTCAAATGTTGGCAGATCCAGCCACAAGAGAACTCCTCTGTTACAGAGCAAACCGGGAATCTGTAGCTGGTCAGCTAACCGACATTTTTGATGGTGACAATTACAAGCAGTTGGTACAGCAGGGCCTGTTCTCCAATCCCAATGATATTGCCATTGGGCTTTATACCAATGGGTTTGTCAATCAAAAGAAAGGCAAAAACTCATATACCATCATCCATTGCATAATATTCAACCTAGACTCATCCATCAGGTAATTAATTAATTTATTACTATTTATTATTATTATTACATTTTTTTAAAAAAAAATTACTAATAAAATACTTAGATATACCAACAAATACCTTTTGCAACTGGCAATCTTGCCTGGCCCCAAGAAGCCAACTCATTTGGACTCCTTTCTTATACCCATCATCAATGAATTGCGAGATCTTGAGGCACATGGCTTGGTTGTCAAGCACAATGGAGTGGAGCTTTGCAGATCCAAGGTCTATCTTCTGCTTGCTTCTGGCGATATTCCAGCTGTAGCTGGTATGGCCCACATTGGTTCCCATACAAGTTTATTTGGTTGCCGTTTTTGTGAGACCAAAGGCAAATGCCCTACTAACAGACGGCATGGCATGTACTTTGATGACATTTCCGCCCGGTTAAGACCTTTGGAAGACTTCAAAGTAGGTAACCCTGTAAGTATACAAATGTTCAATTAGCCATCTTTTTTTCATACTAAATAACTGCTTGTAATAGTCGAAGAACATATACCAGCCGAGCATATATACCCAACTCTCAACCTTCTCTGGATCATCATTTTTTGCATTAGATGAACTTCATTTAATTGCAAGAGGGATTGGAAAGCTTGTGTATGACCTGATTACCGTCACCCTCACAAAGGAAACCAAATTTTATTATACCCATCCAGACAATACCCTCAATACCACCGAATACCCTTTTCATATACCAAGAGCAGACCTTGTAACAATTGGAAACTGTATTACCAGCTCACGAAAATATATACCCACCTCATTTCAAGGTAGTTTCGACAACGTATTTGCCAAGATCGATGGTACTCGCGCAGTAGACTGGCTTTACTTTCTCTTATACCTTGTCCCCACTTTGGTTGTGCCTTATTTACCAAATAGGGCTGTCAAAACAGCTCTATTATCTCTCGTGAAAGGTTGTGCGCTTGCCTTGCAATGGACGTTGACATCAGAATTGCTTGATGAGATGGAGTCGTAAGTTATTATACATCTCATATATTATCATTACAAATAGCTGATTGTTACCATTTTTTAAATATTAATAATAGATACTTCAAGCACTGGCACTCGTTTTTATATCAACAAGTCCAGAATAATACCCTGTCTCGTAGTGTTTTCCAACCAGTGCAACATTACCTGGTCCATATACCCTATATCATCAAGCAGCAAGGCCCCCTGCAATGCTACTCCACTTGCTCAATGGAGAGAGTAATTGGCGTCTTCTCGAAATTGATAAAGTCCAAATCAAAGGGTGGCCGAAACGCCAGTTTTCTTGTCAAGCGATTTGCGATTCACAATTATACCAGCACGGCAATCAGCATCTGTGATGAAATCAACCTCATTCGGCCAAAGCCATATGGAAGAGAGAGCTACATGGACCTTCCTAATGATCCTAGTGGTGCGCAGTTGTGGGAGCCGTTTCATCAGTTTGTTAATTTGAACAATGATTCGGTGGAAGGTGTAGGTGGCCCTAGTGTGAAGGAAGCTTTATTGAAATACTACCGGAGAACAACAGGCTTGACTGGCCACGAGTTTGGTGACTCTGTTGTTGTTGTAGTTGCACGTCTGTGGATGGACTCAACTGTATATTCCTCATGCATGTACTGAAGAAAGAAAAATGAGACCAGCCGTGGCAACCATTACATGATGTTTACTTGCCCCTATAGAAAGTAAGTATAATATTTTTCGATATACAATCAAAAGTTGCTTACATTCTATTTATTTATTTATTTTAGCAACTGTAATGTAATTGTTCACAGCTGGCTCGTTGGTACAGTACAGTTCTACTTTCAGCATGTAGATTTCTATGGCTTCCCACACTTTCTTGCTTTCGTGGAGGTCATGAAGGAACATGACGCGGCTGGTCATGACTCATCAGTACCTATCGTCAAACAATGGTCACAAAGCACCCATACACTAGGCCACCAAATGCAACCGACTTATGCAGTTATAAGTGTAAATGACATTTGTCATCAAGTTGGTCTGGTCCAATACCCACCGAATGGAAACCAGTTTTATGTAATCGCGCCCTATTATATCTTTAACAACAACATGTGCATTACTAAAGGCAATCTTTCCATTCTGTAATCCTTTTTATTTTTATCTTATTTTTCTATATGCTCTATATCCTTATATCTTTTATATTTTTTATATCATCCTTGTATCTCATATTCTTTTTTTAATATTCTCTATTTCTTATGTTTTTTTAATCTCTATATGCCCCGTCTTTCTTTTCTTCTTTATATACTCTGGTTTTTTTTCTATTCTCTATAAACCTTATGCTTTTCTCTTCATTCCCTATATGCTCTATACGCCATTACGCCATTTAAATAAAATCAAATTGCCAATTCATCAAGATAAAAAGAATATCTAAAAAAAAAAGAACATAGTTTAAAAAATAAAAAATGGCAGTTATGTTACCATTTCGTTCACACATTCCAAAAATTATTGATCTTAATAATTGTTGACATCTTTGATATTCAATAAAACATATATTTCAATACTCAAAGTGGTCATTACAACTTACAAACATTTTTTACAGTATTGAAAATATTGTACAGCAACAAAAAAAGTGTTTTCATGTTACTTTTTTAAATTGCTACAAATGACATTACCATCTTACAACAAACAGCGGAGATTTTATTGGGTTTCGACCAAAAAAATGGCAGTTATGTGCCTACTTTCGGCCCAACTGTCATTCATCCTGCTGTAGTGAATCTGACATTTTTTATTATGTAAAAAATGGCAGTTATGCTACCAAAGTAGTAACATATTACTACTTTTTTAGCCATAGTGTTTCATTGTACTTATTGGTATTTTGTTCTACGAATAGAAAAATTGCTTTCTATCCAGACTCAGCCGCCATCAGAAAATAAAAAAAAAATAATAAAATATAATTTTTCTAGAGTTACAAAGAATTCTGCAACATCAACACACTGCCAAACAACCAAATTTTTATTACATTTTGCCTGTTTTTGCAACACTTTATATCAATAATAAAACCTCCTCAATGGTCTAGTGGCTAGGATCCGACGCTCTCACCGTCGTGGCCGGGGTTCAATTCCCCGTTGGGGAAGTGTAAAACTTGTTACGTAAATGTATGTGTGTTTTTTGGTCATGTGTCGTTCCCGTGTCGGACATTATTTTGATGAATCCGAGAAATCGGGATAATTGATCGCAGCAGTTCTGTGTGTCAAAGATACCTCATAGATAACAAACTGCAGTAATGTCTTGTAAAGATTAACCACAGTAACATCTTCTGAGCATCAACTGCAGTAAAAGGACTCCTCTCTTAATTAAATAGAGTATAATAGTTTACTGCAGATAATGCACAGTATCTGATTCTTGAGACTCACACAAAACTCAGGTATTTTTCGGCGGGTTTTTAAAAATTGGCAGTACTTTTTTGAAAAAAGAAAAGTATTTATCTGTTTCCATATAATTTTCATAAAAATACCATGACGAATACCATGATATATCGCATATTGGACTCATATGAAATGCAAGCTCAGATACATCCAATAAACAACAACTTTTGACTTTTGGTTACTTATTATAGTCAATATTTATTTTTATATTTATTTTACATGTTATACTACAATATATTAGGAAGAGAAGTATGAATCCTTAGTGGTTCATCTAATAATAAAAAGATATCTTTATTTGCAAGGCATTTGAAGTCTATGATTGGTTTACCTTTAACAAACAAAGACATTGGTTCCTGACAATGTCTTCTATACTTCCAATACACTATTCTACTTGAATGTGATTAGTTCTCTTCATAATGTATTTTAGTACAATGTACTCTGATAGTTTTCATTAAAAAAAAGAATATAAAGAGTACTACAATTAATAGAAAAAGAAACTACCTTTATAACAAACCAAACATTCTCATAAAGAGCTGTAAGTATATCTTGCCATAATTAATATGTTATTACTTCAAATTTTCAAAGACTTTATGAATAATGTTGTTGATATATTATACATTATTTTATTTCTATTTATTCAGCCTCAAATAAACAACAGAAACAACACTACCATCAATGATCCAAGTCTTCAGCGTATGATGGACAACACATCAGCAATGTACAGTAGCAACCAATTGGTATTAGCTCAAAACCTGGACCAGCGCCCTACAAATACGACGAAAGCATATCTTGCAAAGCAAGAAGAATGGAGAGTATGTATAATATAGTTTTCTGTATAAAAAAAATATTAAAAGTGTTTTTATACATTTCAAACAGCAATGGTGTCTCAAGAAAGAATTCGGAGATGGTGAACTTGTGAGTGATCAGAAACTAAGCTTTTTCATGATGGATCATGTCATGAATAGAGGACGTAAATTAAAGAGGGATGATAACAACTCCCCGATTCCATTAGGCAAAGAATCAATAGCGGCCTATGTCAAGGCAGTAGCCGATATATGTAGCAAGCAGAAAGCTCTTGGATTGAATCCCAATGGTGTAGCAAGAGGACCACTTGTCCGTGCTTTCCTTGATATCGCAAATAAGGCACGCGCACAGACTGTTAGAAAAAACTTCGAAGATCGTGGAAAGAATACACTTAACAATGGATACACCAAGCAAGAATTAGAAAGAATCAGTCAATATTTCATGGAAAAAACGATACCCGCACATGTCGAGATCGCCTTTGCTTTCTTATAAGTCATGCAATGCTATGCCGAAGTCAAACAGTTCTTGGAATGCAATTTGCCGACCTTTTCTCTTTGGAATTAGACAACCAAGGCGCCACACAATGCATTGCTCTGGTGGCAACCATGACCTTTGGAAAAACCAATCAACACAGAAAGATTGAGTATGGATCGTCAATCCGTCATTGTCAATTTGAAGTCTGTTCCGTCGGTGCATTGGCCATGAGTTTATTCTCAAGATTTCATTATGAGAATGAGACATTTCCCGACTTTTCTTCCCATGAAAAATGGTATGAAACAGCTCTTTTTAAAGGTGACGACCGCTTCAAGCCAATACAATACAAGACGCAGCATAAAATATACCTTGAGGCATTCAAATCAGTTGGGATCCATACTTCAAAGGTCACCCATGCCAACCGCAAAAGTGCTCTCAATATGATTGCACAAGAGAATGTTTCCGGCGACCAACAACGAATGGTTGGAAGGTGGGGAACAGACCGTATGGTGGGATGTTATATGTCAACATTGCCTGTGGAAGCAATGAAGGCTTTAACAGGGTTCTCTGGAAACAGTAGCAACTTCTTTTTAGCACGAGCAGTGGTTCAACCTTTGGCTTCTCTACAAACAATGGTTTTCCCAAATATCGAATCTTGGAAACAGAAATTTGCAAATGGAGATGTCCAAGAGGACATAGCTGGCCCAATTTTTTTGGATTTACTTTTGCGACTTCGAGTGGTATTTCTACAGGTACATGTTGTTATTAAAGCACTGTTTGTAATATTTTCTCTAAGTAATATTTCTTTGCTGCTTTTTTTTAGGACTCTGTTCTTCTGAAAAAAAAATTCCCAGGTTATTATCTTTGGACATGTGCTATCTTCAGCTCAGAGGAATACAAAAGCTTCAAACAGCAAGTTCTCTCCACAGTACAGCAAGAAGAAGAGGTGTTCATGAGCAATAACAGGATGGATATGGTTATGCCAGAGATGGTAGATAGTGTCAGAGCTGGTTTCGGAACAGTTCACGCCACCATGAATTCGATGCAGTCCATGATATATGCCCACCTCTCTTCACACGCCGCCTCCATTAATAGATTAAACAACAATTTTATCAATTTTTTTGCTCTCGGATACGATCAATTCAGTAACTCTACAATTACAATACCATCGAACCTACCTTTACAGCGTAACATCATTACATCACAACCTCTACAGCCACTACCCCAAAGTACTCCATTACATAGTGCCGTAACATCTCAACAGCCAACACACCCAGAACAGCCGGAACAGTATACAATGAGCCGAAGAATTTTCTCTGTTACTGATGTATGGAGAGAATATGTTTTCGGCTTTAATGGCAGCCCATCCATTCAATCCTTAGAAAATAAGTACGGAACTGCATGAAGAAAAGATCGTAAAGAGTCTAGATTTTTTAGTAGAAGAAAAGAGCTGTATGATGCAATTAATGAAAGAGCAGAGTTAGAGAATATATCCCCTGAAGAAGCTGCTCAAAGAATGGAGAATGACTGAGTTCAGCTTGGAATTTCTCTAGATAAATATAGAGCTCGATTATCGTAAAAGATATAAAACTATCTTCATTTAATTATTTTTCTACATAAATACTTCTTATTATATTCAATAAATATGTACTACTTTCACTGTTATATCAAAATATATGTCTTTATTTTATGGCTTTCCAGAAAACTGTATGAGTAATAAATCATTATAAATACAAGTAATTCCAATCAATAATCATATATATTAGAGCATTATAAGGTAAGAAAGCTGTCAAGAAAGGTCCATTCTAGTAGTAGTAGTAGCTAGCCTTGAATTATATAACTTTTAGTCGACATATATTCATGTTAAAATAAAGACATCCATTCTGATAAAAATGTCAAAATCGTCCTCTTTTTATTAACAAATTTGGATTTTTTTTCGGGAAATGAACCTAATTTTTCGAAAAAGGGTATCTCTATGCTCAATCTCATCGCACCAAAAATAGCAAGAATAAAACTCAGTCAGACTATGGCCCACCAAAAATACCCACTCAGTAATAAGTGTCGATTATATCCATCATCAAGTTGGCCTTATACAATACCCACCAAATGGAAATAAGTTCTATGTAATTGCATCTTATTATGTTTTCAACAATAACTAGCATTTAGCATCTATGCTACACTTTGGTTAAATGTGTTGCCCTGAGAGGGTTTTTACTGCCACTTTGCTTTGGTAAAAACCCGACCCAGGGACCCTGATATCCCTGACCTTACCCTATCCTCTTGAGGGTTGGGCTCTTTGCTGCTTCGCTTTGGTAAGCCCAACCCTCAAGAGGTCCCTAACGTTACATACCCTTACCCTACCTTATATTACCTACATGTACTTTAGCTAAATAAGATCTACCTAAAAAACATAATGTCTCTTTACTTATAATGCTTCTTCATTATGACTATATTTGTTGTTTTTGAAAGAAGAGTATATAATTAGTAAAATACTGAAATTGGTATTGATATAATATATATATAAAACAATCGAAAGCTTACAAAAAGAAAGTGTTAGGATACTTGTATAAGATTATATATTATATGACTTAGTCTGTTGGTTCGTCAAATACTTCATGATATATGACGTTGTCTGTATAGACAGTATTTTGAGTTGTGCTGGCATCAGGGATATCCACCATGATTTTGATTCCTGACGGTTTTCTGATACGGGATAGGGCAACATAAAGCTGACCATGTCCAAATACTGGTGAAGGTAAGTATAGACCAACATGATCAAGTGTCTGCCCCTGTGATTTGTTGATTGTCATTGCAAAAGCAAGGCGAACAGGAAACTGGCAGCATTGGAAGTCTATAGTTGATGTTGATTCAGATGGATTGAGCTTGATTTTTGGGATGAGAGCAATTTTTCCAGCGTGAGATCCTGTTACTATTGTAGCCTTTATGACAAATCAGTGAAAAGAATTGCATATCAGGCAAGTGCCATTACATAGGTCATTTTTTGGATCGAGATTTCTAAGTAGCATAATTGGGCACCCCTTTTTAAGCTTGAGACTGTGAGGGGGCAGAGATCCAGAATCAAATTTGTTCAGCAGTTCAATTGGGTATGCCAGAAGATTATCATCAGTGTTGTCTCGATCAATGCTTTTGAATTCGCTGGCTACTTCAGGAAATTGGTCAAGAAGAAGGTTGTTAATTGTTTTTACATCATAGTTTTTTGGAGTAAGTATTGCATGACACATGAGAAAATCAGTATTTTGTGAATTTGTATTCAGATCAGTGAATACAGCATTTGCAAGGTGGAGGAGTCTACAGCCGGGAATTAGCATTTGCTCAGGGATTGGAATGGTGTTTTCACCACCAGAACTGAGAATAGTACTACTGCCAACACTCAACAAAAAGGCTGCAAAGTCTCTGAGCTCAGTTTCTTCTTCTGGCGTTGTTGCTTGAGAAAGTCGCATGTTGATTGTAAGGTTCAGGTGGTTGACATGTCTCCATACGTGGGTATGATTAATGCATTGTTCTACGATGTGCGATCTTGATGCTCTTGGAATTACAGGAAGAACTTGTCTAAAATCTCCTCCAAATACAAACAATTTTCCACTGAATGGCACTGTTTCAAGTAAGGGATTTACAGACTTCATAATGTCTTGCATAGAGCGGTTCACAGCATTACAAATATCTTTACTGATCATCGATGCTTCATCCCAAATAATTAATTCTGTTGCTCTCAGTAGATCGGCTGTTTGAGAGTTTGCTGATATAGAGCACATCGAATTAATATCAACTTCAAGTGTAATTTTGAACTGCGAATGTGCTGTGCGTTCACCAACCAAAAGTAGTGCAGCAATACCACTGGTAGCAACAGCAAGGGCGATCTTTCCTTGATGACAAACATGACACAAAAGAGCATTGAATACAAATGTCTTTCCTGTTCCGCCTGGCCCATCTATGAAAAATAGTCTTGATGTAAGAGTAGTTACATTCAATGCTTCTATGATTGAATTGTATGCCAATTGCTGATCAATATTAAATGGCAAAGTGGCAGGGTCTGGCAACAAAGCAGCTTCATGGCAAAGGTCTTCTTGCTCATGCATCAATGTTCACAATCCATGTCTACGCCTAGTTCGATTTGATGCTGCAGAAACTGGTGGAAGGGTGAAGCCACTGAAAGATACTAATGATAAAGAATTGACAGAGAGATGGTTTTCAATGTTCCACATACATCTATCATACATTTTCTGGGTAGGCTGCAAGGAAGGGTTGTCGGTTTCAAGTCTTTCAGCATTTAGATAGTCTTCTATCATTGATTCTTTGTGGGATATCCGTAGAGCAAATGGATCTGACACCAAACAGAAAACCAAAAGAATTGCAAATAGACGTCTCAATGATGATGGTAGCTGATATGATGCTGCTTCTTCCATATATTCTTCCCATTCGTTATCATCCATCAAGAGTCCTAATGCACGACACGCAGCTTGGTTTGTTTCATGCAGTTGGTCTTCTACAGTCTGGAGATCCTGGAAGCATATAGCCCCATAAAAATTATGGAGCAGAATTCTCAAGAAGTACTTTTCTGCATCTCTTGGTGATATGATATATATTCTACCAATTGTTTCTCTGTCAAATCGTACTCTTTTTTTCCATTGTTGGTCTTTTAGATTCCAAACAAAGTTTGTAGGAGAGTCTATATATAAGTGTTTGTGTGCATCTGCATTTTCCACATTGTACAAAAACCATGCCGTCAATGTTGTGTGTGAATTTTTGTTTGCTACTGCAGCTGGATTATCAGTTCCAGAGAAAAAAACTTGCTGAGAGTCTTCGAGATGAATGGCCAGTCTTTGGTGTGTTGGATGCTCTTTATGTAGCTTGAAGGAGAATATTCTCCAGCATGCTTCTGAAGCAGAGACATAGCATGCATCCAAAAAGTTATTGACTTCATTAACAGGCTCTTGTTGGTTGGTAGAGATTATGGTAGTGGTGGGTTAAACATTTACCATGGCTCAATCATGACCTTTATATATATATTTGTACAAATATTTTACAGCTGATACAGATGTACATACTTCAACATTGATATGGGCATTGTATTTTGCGCAAACATATAGGTTATGAGGAACTACTAATCGATTGTCTAGTAGCTTTCCACCTTTTACCACTGTCCTTCTATTATTGCGTCTTCTATACTTTGGATATCCTGTTCCATCCTCAACAGTGTTTTCATAAAAGAACTTTGGGTAATTCTTTTTGCATTTACCATTTATCATACATGGTGCATTTGGATAGGCATCTCCACATGGGCTATACATCATGGTTTTACAGACCGTGTTATATGCAGTGGATGTGTGTCAGGGTCTGGAATTTCTGCAGATACAATGCTGTGGTGATCCAGACACCCGGATGTTGGATTTATCACATATAAGAACATATTCATATTGGGATAGTGTAGTAGCTATCATCTTGTCAGTATAAAATATATATAAACGATTAAGTAATCAGCCCAATAATTATTATAGTTAGTACTGTAGATAATATCTTAAAGATTGTTAAGATAATTATATCATACTGCCAGGTAAACTGTGTCAGATCGATATGGAGCTAATTTAGTAGGAAGTCCTAAAGCTCTAGTATAAAAGAGAAAAGAAAAGCTAAAAGCTAAAGAAGTACGATTTATGACTTGATGTCATAATTGTAACACCGACACTAGTTAAGCAGTAAATACACTCTAATAACCAAATATAGTAAAGGAAGAAAGCCTTAAGAAACTAAGACGTAATGACAAGAGCAGATTGTGTTTTCTTATAAAAAGGGACACTTTTTATTTATGAATAAAGACAACTTATATACAGTCTCAAAGTATTTCTATACGTCTCTATTATCAAATATTTTATTTTTCTATTGTTTCGTACCTGAAATACCACAAATGCTATTATAGTCTTTTATTGTTCTTTGTGTATCTTCAGAACAAAGAATCAACAGAATATGGGCATGTGGAAGGCCGCGTTTTTGAAATTCAATGACATAAACAAATGCAAAAACCTTTCCCAAAACATTTTTCTTTGTAAGATCATGCATGAGTTCTTTGAGCTTTAGGTTGAAAACACGGGAACAAAGATCAGGCCTGTCATTAACTTTTTGCCCTCCCAGTAAAGCACTTGTTATTTCTGGCCAAGCTGTGTTGCACGTAAATGTGATAAACAAATCTGGCTTTCCAAAGCAATGCACAATACCCATCGCATCTTGATACAACTGGCGCATATGTCGTGGCAAAGCAACAAAAGAGGAAGGAAGAATGACTCGTCTTCCAAGATTATTCAAATTGCCATCATTAAGATTCATTGCGTCTTGTACGCCACTGTAGAGATCTACTCGAAGTCGTTTTTGGTTTTTTGCAATAAAGATAATTCTATTATGCTCAATCTTGGCGTACATGTCAACAATATACTGCTGGAACAGTCGACCAAAGAGATGGAGTAGGTGAAGACTATTTTTGCAATACATCAGTCTGCTTGAATACCATTGCATTGCAGTAACTTTTTTTCCTGAAGTTCCACATGAAGTGATTGTCCAACCATCTTTACCAAAAGGAAACATCAAAACATAATGGAGAGAGTCGTATGATCTATGGTATTCGTTTATATGCTGTAGCCCATTAGATTGCGTGTGAAGAACAATATCTCTTGATGTCCCAGGCTCATTATTCATTATCAAAACAGCTACTTCTTCTGCTGTTGGTGCATTATAGCGTCTTTGATCCTGTTGACTATCAGCAACCAAACGAAGGGTCAAATTCACAACTTGGTTTTCTGTTCTACAGTATTGCTCCATTGATTTAAAAAGAGAAACAAATGGGTTTACTCTTATGAGCATACTCTGAATCTGCTCTATTATATTTTGGTTGAGATGTGAAGCATTGTTGTGTTGGAAGTTGACTTGAGAGACAGGATCATAAATATAAAGCTGAGCATATCTTGGCTTAATTAAGTCTTCAGCAGTGGATGGAAGAACAGACCCAATATTATGGCATATTGTGCCGTGTATTCTGAAACAGTATGCTCCACTTCTGTTATTTGCAACAGAATGATTGATTTTTGCACCCAACAAAGTAAAGCTTAAAGTGCTATTATAAGCACGAATCTTTTGAAAGAAAATGTTTGATGCGGCTGTACCATGCACTAAAAGACTGGCCATTTCAGACGGTGTTGGCTCAAAATCTAGAAGAAGAACACTACCCTTGTTACAGCACATGGAAAACAGCGGATTTTCTACAGATGAGCGAGAAACTCTCTCATTTGTTCACATCATTGCATTACAAAACTGACACTTGGCAGTCATTGAATCTTGATAATCAATCCCAGGTTCTGTTGTAAAATTACTGCGAGCAATTCCATGTGATTGACTGTCATCTGTCTCGTCTTCACTTTCTGTATCATCACTTTCAATGTCTTCATCATTCTCATCAGACTCATTAGAGCCATTAGACTCAAGTACATGTTGAACTTGAACTTGAGTTGTTTCTTCAGAAGATACTTCGTGTCTCAATCTCAATGCGGCAGCTAAATGGTTATAATTTAATAGTTAAATATAAGTATATTAATTTAAATTTAAGTTATAAATATTACATTGGCTACTTTCTGCAGAAATCTCTTCATTAGTAGAGATGCCTTTATAAGTTCTTTTTTCAGGCACGTAAAGTCTCGTGTTTTTATTGTTTAAAGGACAAAGCATATTTGATCTACGCTTATGTCCAGATAGTCTGCATGAGGCACAAATGCTTTCAGAAGGCTGCATTTTTTATTTTTTGTTTTGGTATTTTGTAAGTATATAAATATTGATGAACCTAGAGAAAAAATATTACTATTATTGCTATTTTTTCTTAACATATTAATGGAGCAGTTATTTAAAAAAAATGTAAATCATGTGATCTGTACTGAATATATAATCATATAATCATAAAAAACCAATGTAAGTCATGTGATCTGTAATGAATGTATAATCTGTATAAAGTTATAAAATCAAGTAATAAAATTTGGATATTTGGTGTATTATAACATTGGGCAGCTTTGATCACATGACTTACGGTCAGAGAGTGGTTACTGATACATTTTAATAATACAGATACATTAATATACAAAATAAATCCAAAAATAATTGTGTTCCTTTCTTAACACACAATAAATACAAGGACCAGTTCCTCTTTACAAAAAAAATAATATACAAAATAAATAATATTGTTATATATACAGAGAATAAAAAAATTTACCATATCAATGGCACTTGTATGAAATGAAAGTTCTTGATTTGCAATGTGCTCATGAGAGGGAGGTTCATCTATAATAGAAATATTATTAAGTCATGTGCTTATTAAAAAGAGATAGATTAAAATAAAATAAAATATTACCATGTTCATAACCATGTTTAATGATAGAGAGTAATTTCAGCAATATGATCTATTTAAAAGAAAGAAAAAAATCAGACTAATTTTATAAGATGACAGCATAAAATATATTTACTAACCTTAGCTAATCTGGATAGATATTGTGAAGGGGATACATCAGAAGGAAACAAAATGCAAGCATCTATATCAATAGAAAACAATTATTATTATTTTATTTATATATATATATAATATTAAAGAAAAAGATATCTTACCAAAAAAAATTGTTAATATAATAAATGTTAGAAAGAAAGAAAAGAGAGAAAACTTGTAAATGAAAAAAAAACAAAAAGAACAAAAGACTAAAGGACCAAAAGGCTGAAAGACAGAAATTATATATTGAATTGAGTTAAAAAAAGAATGTTCAAAGCCAATTTGCACCCATTAATTTCAGGAAGTATTAATTGAGATACACATATTAAAGAAATCCTGAGTATTTAAAGCAACAGATATAATATAATAAATGATTTCTTGCTTTTACTTTTACTATCTTTCCATTAACTACACTTTATTCTTTTGCTTAATATCTAACTTCTTTTGTATGTTAATAACATTCTATATATACAATGAATATATATATAAAACAAATGTAATTAACAATCAACTCATGTATAATGTTTTATTTATTAGCTTTCAGACCATGGCCAACAACTGTCAGTCAATTGCCCTGGCTTTATTTCTGGAATATGCTGAGCTTTTAAGAAGACTCATTGCTATAGAGGAAAGTCTCAAGACCAATGATTTGAACATTGATATTGTCATTAAGGGCAAAACAGATTCATTGAAAATACTTGATAACATTGCCAATACCTCTGGACAACTTCTTGCAATTATTGCTCCTACTACTGTACCTGCTTCTGCTACTGCTTCTGTTGTTCCTTCTGTTGTTTCAGTGGTTCTTACTGGTGTAAACGCTGGTAAACTTAGTAAACAGGATCGCAGTAGAGTTCTAGTAAGTGTTGAGATGTACAGTAGTTCATCAACATAATATCTCACACTAAATATAGGCTCTTATCCAAAGAGAGTTAAAGAAACACAACTTCAAATCGAATAAGCTGGAACTAGTTGCAGTTAATGACAGCAAGCACAGTTGGGATATTAATGTTGATTACAGACTTACACCCAACAGACAGCTGATACATGACCTTCATGCATACCTGGCTCCAAAGGTTGTTGGGACTAGTGTTTGACAGGCCAATATTAGCAATTGTATATACACAAACTTTTGTGGAACGAGACACCAAATCAAGGAATCATATGAATCGCACAAAAAGACAAATTCTTGGTCAAGAAAAGCAGGTCAAGAGACCAATGTATGTTAGACGTATATTTTGATTGCAAATTAAATGTATTCATATTAATACATTTATTAAACTAGCATTTTGACCATTGCGAGCTGACCTACCATACATTCAAGGCTGAAATTTATGTGAAGATGGGTAAGAGCTGCAACAGACTCTTACAAAAAGAAGCAATGTCTGAGGACGAATCTGAAGACGATATGCCTGGAGACTCATGCAACCATGCGATTCGTACAGTGCGTCCAAGTTGGAGAAGCGATAAGATAATTTCTTTTGTTTACATTATTGTATATAGCTTTTTCTGTTTTTTTATGGATTTAAATGAAACAGAACTTTGATTAATCACTTATTTGTATTTAGTACAATCACTTTCTTGCAGTTGTTGATGATTTTATGCATAATCGCATGGACTTCAATTTGCGTCAGATGTTGAAGAGGTTCTTCAGTAAAGACACTGTTTTAGTAGTCCCGCCTAGATTGATGTCCCTTTTCCCTCACTGGGCTTTTAGAGATAAGTTTCAATGAATTTTGTTTTCTTATCCTCCACATTCTCCATCTGACAATGATGGACGTACCAACGAATACAAACACTATGATTATTTTTTTCTGTCTGCCATTGAAAAAAGGAGTTATATTTTATTATTTTTTAAATGTATTGTTTTTTTTTGGCAAAGGAATAATCAGAATCTTTTTTACTTTTTTGCATGTTGTATGCTCAGCAGTTGCTACTTCTAATATAATTTTATGCATGGGCAATACAAATTGGAAATCGTCAGGAGAAAATGTTGAAAAGCAGATTTCAATGTGTTTGTACTCTCGCCATTTATTGTTTTTGGGTGTGTACCATTTGATAAATGCAAAAGTATGTTGAGAATTGTGAAGGAGTTGCGTTGGGCAGCGATGGGTGCAGAGCAAAGGGGCAAGAGATGAAGAGGAGGGTGAAAGAGTGAACGAATGAGTAAAAATGTACTGTATTTGACCCGTGTATGCAATGATATGCTCACCAGTACTTCCAATGAACTTTGCTTGTACAAGAGAGCCACGACTTCCAGATTCACCTTTACCCTTGTAGACCTGCCCAAGGATGTTGATGTATTTCAGCAGGGTGATTGTATTGTCAACAAAGTATGGTGATTCCGATGCTTGTTGAAAGTGAACTAATTGTTCATTCTTGTACGCAACTTTGTAGTATTGTAAGAGATGAACATAGTGAATGTCACTCATTGTGGTAGCAGATTTTAATGATAGAGGGAATGCGGAAGGAGGGAGAGGTTCGTTGCCTTTTACAAGTACATTTGGATCTTCAGAAGCCTCGACAAATGACTGTATGCGGAAGGTACGTTGATGGATGGATGGAATGGTGGCGAGTGTAAAGGAAGAAGTGAGTTTGGTAAGGAGAGGAAATGCAGATGTCTGGCGGGTACTCTGAAGGAAACTGTTGACAAGATCGTCTTTGTGCACATCTTCAATAAATTTCTTCATAAATGTTTCTTCAAACCCGATCTTCCTGTTTGTCTTCAAATTTTTTAACAACCCATTAAACCGCTCAAACCCGAATAGCCAATAACCATACACTGGTCCAAAATCACGAATTGTATCTCGAAGATGGAGGTGTAGGTGCATATTACAGGTGAGGATTTCGGCGTTGTACAGCTCATCACATCTGGTGCAAAAATTTGAAGGAACTGATGGGCAGTGTTGACTTCATCGAACGTGATCGTTGGCTTGACCAACAGGTGGCATGTATCAACAAAGTTAATCCAGTTTTCGAATCTGTCTTTTGCAAGAACATCTTTCAACAGAACTGGCGAGTATACGAGCACCCATGACTTCCACTCGTCTGCCTTCATATACGAAAATTGCTCTCCTATTTTTGAGTTCAACGAGATATATCTACCAGACACAATCATTGTTTCTGCAGTCTTCTGCATTGCCGCAAAATCGCCATCTTGAATGTCTTCATCTTTGATCCAATGATCAATCAATCTTTTGGGTGTTTCCAGGAATAAATTATGCATGGAATCAATGATCGTTTTACATACTAGATCAAGGTATCTAAGGCGATGCAACTGCAACTATCGAACACCATTTTCAACCTTCAGCCAATGCTTTTCTGAGGGGATGCAAGCACTTTTTCACTCCTCAGCATGCAACCTGTTTTCTACACTGTCACGAAGCACCCACTGAGGAAAGTCAAACCCACAAAAGTCAACATTGACACCATTTTCCAAGCAAGGGAAATGTCTATTACACTTGTAACATGGGCATGTACTGTTGTACAAGGTGAACCCACTTGTCTTTCTTGCTGCTGGGATGTCACAGGGCACCGCCTTATTTTCTGCCAGTTCAAATTTGAAATTGACCTTTTGAGGCTTTTTTTCTGTTGGAGGCTTTGCAAGTGGCTTTTTGAAAAAGTTAATTTTCTATTGGGGATTTTTTTTATTTCTTCCCTTTTCCTTCTGTTTTCCTTCTCTTTATTTTGAATACAAATTAAACACCAATCTCAACATTTCCAACCCAATTATTTACGATATTTCAAACATTCAAAATGTTTTAGTCAACTTGTCTTTGGAGGGGATTAATATGCTTCCTTTTAAAGTAGTTGTATCTGTAAAAGCTAGTGAATGGAGACATTTTCTTGACCAAATCAATACTCTTTGTTCAACGAAATGAAATAAAAAAAGACGTCTTGATTCAAAAGAATATATTTTTGGAGAAACGTGTCAGTGTCATCGTGCAGACATATATATACCAGAGCGAGATTCACGCCCTGCACAAAAAGAATCAAAGGCATGTGGATATAATAGAGCTTTGAAAATAAAGCAGTTCAAAAAGTCTCCAACTATTGTTACGTTTTGTATGACAAGGGACTATAACAATCATGTTCCTGAAGACAGATCAGAGATTAGAACTTTGGCCTTGCCTTTTGAAGCTATTAAGTTGATTGAAGATCAACTGAGAAGTGGAAGCAGCTGTAGAAGCACAAGAATATCTGTTCTTCAACAGATTGACAGCTGGGGTGTTGGTGTTAGAAAGCCAAACTATGAAGAGATATACAATATAATGAAGAAGATGTGTTAAAAAATGATAAAAGGAAGTTTGTATTTAACAGTTTTGGTAAAATGAAATAAAATAGATGACAAATTTATTGTATATGTTCAACTCTGATGAGAAGGCATTTATTGCTATCTGGATGAATAAGAAATTGCCAGAAAGAAATTATTGCATTTTTACCAGAGACCTTCGTGTTAACAACATTGAAAGCAATCTTTTTGCCTTTGGCTTTCAATTGCCTGCCCAAGTGAGAGTTATGAGAATAGCTACATCATTCTGCCTTGATGCTACTCATAACATATCAGCAAGAAGTGGAGAGGTCATATACTCTTTAGTGACTCAACACAACATAACTGGAAAAGGGTTTCCTGTTGTTTACATGGTTACAAATGACCAGACAGTCAGGCCAATCAGCCAATAGCTTATGCCACTGCAAAAACAGATCAATTTCGCATATATAAAGTATATCTAAGTTCTGATAGACAGAATAGATAAAATTGTAGTTCAGCTCACTTTTGTGAATAAAGTATTTGAATAGTATTTTAAGCTACTCTATTGGCTACTGGCAGCTGTGTAGCATTAGAATGCAACATCAAACTCAAATAAAATAAAAGTGTGTTTTCTTTGAAGTCTCTTTCTTTACTATTAAATACTATTGTAAACCTTTCTTTTCATTTTAAAATGGCTCCTATTCACAAACCAACTGTTAGAAAAGAGTGTCGATGCTCTATCTGTAAAAGCAAGACACTAGGATTCGATCGTGTATCTGTTAAAACATTTAAACGTCATCAAGAAAAAGATAATCATGATATTACACATGTTCAAACGCGTACGGTTAATACATTTGCTTTACTTTACTTTATTTTATTTTATTTTATATCATTTCCTTTTTTATTATTTTATATAATAATAATAATAATAATAATACTAACACTAATAATAATAAATGTGTAGCCCATGAAGACACATGCGATACAATTAGTAGTGCTGTTTCTGAGCCTGTAAATCAAGAGGAAGATAGTTTTGAATTTGAACAGGAAGATGTTGAAATGAATTCTGAGCTTAGAAGTAAGAAAACTTATTTTATTACATTGATTTATTTGGGTCTAACATTCCGCTTTTGTAGACCTAAATGACACAAATGACATTTTGGATATACGGACAAGAAACCAACCTTTCTCTGAAACGGATTGCATGTTTGGCCCTGAAGATAATGTCCAGTATACAAGTGACACTTACGAAGAAGAATATGAAGATGAATCCGATGTTGAGATGGACAATGATGAAGGTAGGTACACAGCTTTAGATAATATTATATCCTAGAAAATAGAGAGTTAATCAACGTTCTTTAAAAAAAATCAAATTAAAGATTCTTCGTTGGAATCAATCTCAGAATTGAATTTGATTCACCGATTCATTGTTATTTCGGTTGCTCTTTTTGTCTCGCTATACGTCGTGGATGAAGGAGCTGTAATCCTGATTGCCATAATCAACAAGATACTGCAGTTTTTGTTTGACCCATTCCGCCTTCCAGTGAGTGTTGCTGGCCTCAAACGTTTGGCCGGATTTGAAGCGTTGACAAGTGGTGTCAAGAAGTATGTTGCATGTAGCGAATGCCATGCCATATATGATAATGAAGCCGCCCCTTTGTGTTGTACATCACCCAATTTTGGTAAAACCTCCTTGTGTGGCAACAGCTTGTTTAAGTCTGGTCCCGGGTCAAAAGCACCCAAAAAGACATATGTATTCCACTCCGTCAAGAAAGCTCTAAAGACGTTTTTTCAACGCCCGGATTTTGAAAACAACATCAACTCATGGAACCGCGGCCCGAAAATGGATAGCACTTTGTTTGACGTGTACGATGGTGCGATGTGGAATGAGATAGTAGATGTAGATGGTATACCTTTTGTTGATACTGAGCGATCACTCATGCTCACGCTGAACATTGACTGGTTTCAGCCATTCGATGGTGTTACCTACTCCTGTGGTGCCATATATCTTGCAATCAATAATCTTCCACGCAGTGAGTGGTTCAAGAAGGAGAACGTGATTCTTGTTGGGTTAATGCCAGGGCCTAAAGAAGCAAGCACTTCTGTCATAAATAACTATCTGAAACCGCTTGTGGATGAGTTGATGGAGCTGTACAAAGGTATTAAGATTAAGACTCACCAATGTCCAAATGGTACTTCTATCCGAGCAGCCCTTCTCATGGTTGCCTGTGATATACCTGCTGCAAGGAAAGTACGTGGGTTCACATCCCATACAAGTACAAATGCATGCCACAAGTGTAAGCGTCAATTTTCGAGGTTGGCTGGAACGAGTTCCGTTGATTATTCTGGATTTGATTTCTCAAAGTGGCTCCTTCGCACTAAGAATGACAATCATAAAGATGCAAAGATCTGGAGAAATGCGACCAAACCAACTGAGAGACAGCGTCTTGAAGTTGCACATGGTGTTCGCTGGTTCGAACTGCATCGTCTTCAGTACTTTGACATTGTCTGCTGCATGATCATCGATCCCATGCACAATCTTTTCTTAGGCACTGCCAAAAGAATGCTGGAGAGATGGGTTGCAGATGGATTAATCGACGATAAAAAACTCGTTGCCATGCAAAAGGCTGTTGAGAAGGTAGTGTTGCCGCCCGATTACACGTCACTTGGGACAAAGATTGCCAAGGGATTTCCCTATATGAAGGCTGATGAGTGGAAGTCTTGGTGCCTTGTGTACTCTCCTGTGGTTCTAAGGGATGTGTTGCCGTTGCCAGAGTTCAAGAACTGGATAGAGTTTGTTAACGCATGCAGATACTTCACCAAGCCTAGTGTTTCTGAAGAAGACATTGAGAAAGGACACAAATGCTTAGAAGAATTCTGTAAAGGGTGTGAGACATTGTACGACCTGGACCTTCTCTCTCCCAGCATGCACCTGCATCTGTACTTACGCCAAACAATGATTGACTTTGGGCCCGTCTATGGCTATTGGCTTTTCAGCTTTGAAATGTACAATAGTGTCCTGAAAATATCAAAACCAATCGAAGAAACGGGTTCGAATCGACATTTATGAGACAGTTCATTGAAGAGTCGTGGAAGGGAGATTTTGTTCGTCGACTTCTGAAAGCTATGCATGCACTTGCATGTTTTGAAATTTTCGATAAGTTCACCAACACCAACACCAACACCAACACCTACCTCTCTCACTCTTTCTCAATTTCCAAATATCTTGAAGCTTCACAGAATCTTTCAATGACAATTCGTGGAAACGAGCCCCTGCCACCATCCGCCTTGCCATTGAAAACAAGACCATTATCATTTATGCCAAAACATGAATATGATTGTCTTGTAGGATACTATCAAGCTGCGTACAAGAATCCACAGATCTCAGGTTGCAAAGATGTAATTGATGACTCACCTTTCGTCAATGACTGGATCGAAATGGTGAAGTCCGTTGATCTTCTTGGGCAAAGCTACAAAGGGTGCATTGGCACGAATGGCCACGGATCATACATACAAGCATATTTCACTGAACGAACTGGGTCGGAACATGCGTATGTTGGAGAGATTCAGTACCTTTTTGTTCACAATTTTAGGCCAACTGTTTCTTCTCTAACATACAGAAATCTCCATAGTAGTCAGCATGTATTTGCATTTGTCAAATGGTTCAAATCCACTTCGGACAAAACAAGAGAATTAGAAGGAGTTGAGTTGTTACAGGATGAATTCTACAAGCAAGATTTTCAAAGCATCCTGCCAGTACATCGGATTCTCCTAACAGTTGCAATAGTAGATTACAAAACTACAAAAAATGTCAACAAAAAACTCACGATTCCTTTACCAAAAAAAATTTACTATTAATTCTCATACACACACTTACTTATATATTTATCCTCTATTATTATTATTTCCTTTAATCAATTCAATTTCAATTATTACTATTTGGCCCTACAACAGAACATAGTAAAAAAGAAAATGTTTATTCATCGTTGATTGCCCAACGAGGCAATGACTGGGACAGAGTGGCAGGAACAGAGCAAGGCAACAATGTTGCTGGATATCTGTTCATTCTTGGCTTTGTTCCCACGCCCGCATTTAACACGTGATGGGTACAATCAATGTCATCAACCATTGTCAACAATCTGTTGAACTGTATTTATTTTTATTAGTTCTTTATTTTTCTTGTTATAAAACTTATTTATTTATTCTAAATATTATTTACCTCTTCACTTCTCCAAGTGGGGTGAGCCACATGCAAACACCATCGTGGAAGATTGTCCACAATCTCAATATCCGACTCACCATCAGACATGGCATCCTTCTGAAAGAGTTTGAGATAGGCCTTCTCAACAGGGTTTCCAGTCTTATACCCCATTGCAGCATCAATGGCTACCCAGTTGTCCATGTATGTCGACTTGCGTCAGATAGACATCTGGTTATATAGATTGTAGCTTGAGAAAATAGTAATATACCAATTAATTTTTTATATAGTATATACAAACCTGAAGAGTACGACTGTTTGCTCTCCCCTTGCTGTTTTTCTTGGCCTTCTGCTCAGGAGACTCGTGAAAAGTACGATGACTGTGCTTGTACCTGTTCTTTATTTTATCACTTATCACCCATGGGTGAGTACCAGCTAGACGAGTCTGGGCGCTAATGTAGCTCTTCAAGTAGTTGATAACAGCTATGTTATCGTGGTGGTTAATCTTCTTGTTCAAGTTCCACTTCTTCTTACTCTCGTTCTCAGCAACAAGAGCAGGGTTGTCAGACTCGAACTTCCAGTCCCACAACTTTTCCGCGAAGATTTCCTAAATACAGGTTGTTTAATAAGTTGTTGATACTAACATATATTAATATTGATTACCGAGATAATGACAGAAACCTCGGCATCACTGAGGGAGGTCTGGGGGACATAGGATGGCATCAGAGATGGTCCTAGACTAGCCATACGAGTCTGATTGTTGGCATAGGCAGTTGCAAAGTCTGCAAATGCCGTATGTGTCTTTCCAGACGTGTCAACAACAACGCCCATCCTGTTTTTAAAGGCTGCCATGTTGCTATTGACAGCAGCAATGTCATCCTTGACACCGTTAATATTGTTGTTTACTTTGTTAAACATTTCAACAATTTCCGCGTATTGCTGATCTTAGATAGTTGCGGATGAGAAACTGGGGGCAATTTCTCGAGGTCCAACACGGCCAGCCAAAACACGGTTTGCAGAGGTAGATATACTTGCAGATGCTTTTCCTTTTCCTTTACGGTCTGTTTTTCTGCTGCTATTGGAAGGTATTTTTTCTTTATTGTATTTTTATTAAAGTTTTATACATTAATAAATTATTAAAATAAAATAAATGTATGGGTTGAAATATATTTATTTTTGTTTAATCAAAGATATACATACAAAATAAGTTAATATAAAGTAGATTTATGAAATAGCTGAGAAAAGGAAGGGATTATATATTATTTTCTATAAAATCCTTTATAACCTTGAACAACTTCTTTAATATTCAACATAGAACTTAGTGTTACAATATAATTTCGGACTATTCATTTTATTACTATTGTATTTTACTAGAGTCAATTCTCATCTAAACTGCCTTCTGTTTGAAAGCCCACTTTTTTTTCTTCTTTTTTTTTATTTTTTTCTTATTTCTTTTTTTCCTGTTTCTTTTCCACTTTATTTACTTTTATTCTGGTTGATGTATTTAAGTTCACACCCTGGTAAGCAATTTGTTTTTATTATTCTACTGTTATATTTATTCTTAATGTTTTTTCTTTTATTATTATTGTGGTTGCTGATAGTATTACAAGTCTTTGCCATGTTGATTAATGGACAAGAACAAAAAGGTAAAACACGGTTATTGTGTATGTGCTTCTTTATTAATTATTTTCTTTTTCTCTCTTCAGCTCATCATAAAGACATACCAACAACAGAAATTTATCCGGTAAGTCTGAATAATGTATTTATTTGTTTTATTCTTATATCTAATTTTGTTTATTTTCTATCTCTGTTAGTACTGCCAACATTTCTATATACCTGATTGAATGGCTTGTCTTTGAAAACCGGTTTTCTTTGATAAGTAATAAAGCCAAACTTTATTCCATGATCTTTACTAATGCGTTTTATTAAACCTTTCAGAACAACAGTCAATGTGCACTATGCCTGGTTCTGACAAAAGTACTGGTAAGTAACCATATTATTTAAATTAAAGAAAAATAAATATTTATATAATCTAATATAATAGAATAATTTTTTAGCCTTCTCTTACTAGTGAAATACCGTAAACACGCGTTTCTTTTTAGGATTCTATCGTATTGGAAGTATTTATATATTATAATATATGAAAAGGTTTGTTATTATATTAATTATGTAGTAGCTTATATATTAGATTAGACTATATATTGTCAAGCCGTACATATTATAAGCAAGAAGCTTTTTTTTTTAAATAAAAACAATTTTTCCAAAACAATCCCTATAAAAATATTTGAAATGAAGTGCAAGAAGTATTGCAGTAGTATGGCATGTGTGAATCCTATAGTTTAGCCATGCATAATTATCCAATAAAAGTGTTTAGATTCGGAAGACAGTATACATAAATCCTGTTTCTTCTGTTAAATGATCCAATAGAATATCATTATTTCAGTAGACAGTTTTCTATCAAAAATAGATTTTTTATTGGAATCTCTGTTTCAAATCAAGTTTAATTTAATGTAACATCCAAAAAAAAAAAAGATGCCATAATTTGATTATTCTCTCTGCGATTAAATAGTTTAAAAGAACCTTACATCTCTATATGGATCATTATAAGTTCAGAAGTTATATGGACAACTCACAGGTAACATAACATATTGCGAACGGAATCTATAAATGCCAAATTCCAGAATTTAATTATTCTGTCACTCAGAATTTCCCATACTATCGCATATGTGTAGAAATCTAATTCCCCAGTGTGCATCTTTGTGAGAGAAGCTACTTCCGTCCTTTGAATATCACTATTAACTGTAGTATTCCCAAAGTTAATGCGATTACATCTGCATTTCCTTGCGTTGCAATTCACTATTGTGAATTCCATATTCTTTGTGCTTGGCAAACAAATCTCAACAACAAAGTAAGACTTGATGCATCATTTACATCAGCCCAGCTGGCAGCATACAAGCAGGAGTTAAAGAACAAGCTGAAGTATATCTTGACAGAGTCGAACGAAGAAGTATGTTTGACAAGAATCCTTGACTTCAAACACAATATACCCAACCAGTTACACTTCTTGAGATACTTCGAAACATGATAGACTGGAAGCAAAGTATTGCTGAAAAGATGGGGGCGCCCTTATGTTGATGACTCGCATAGAAGATATTTGACAAATAACTATATCAAGTCATGACATAACCAGCTCAAGACTATCTACTTTGGCTGTGCTAGAATCGGAAGACTGGATTGCCTCATGTTTGTCCTTACAAACGATGTAGAGTATTTCTACGAGCAAGAAGTGGATTGTATTCACTTAAATAATGGAAAGATGGGGCTGGTAGAAAACTAACTTGCAAGAAATGAATTTGCTGCATCTAAGATAGAAGATGACATACTCCCTTCTATGATCATCAGTCCATTAAATGTGATTAGTACTAGTATGGATGACTCTGATGGCGAGTGGCAAATCAAGTCTTTTACAAATGATACAACATGGTATTCTATCACTGTTGTAAATGATTTAATTGAATGCTGTTTGTGCCCCAGATACATCTCCCAACAAGTGCCTTGCAAGCATGTATTTCTTCTCAAAAGATACCATAAGATTAACATCTTATATACAATTCAAAGAGATGTCAATCACTTGGCAATGCAAAGACCAGCAGTGTTAGCTGAAGAAGAAGAAGTTGTGATTGTTGATGAAGAAGATGGCAGAGAAGATGTTGTGGGTGCTCAAAATAATGTTGATACGTCTATTACAGGCCTTATTACTCACACTACCTTACTTCATCATCAAAGACTCAATCTCAAACACATGTAAATGATTTCTGACATTGATGTGTCTGAGATAAATGATATGACTCATCGTGTTAAAGAATTAATAGATAGAATAGATAATACTAGAAATAGAAATAGAAATAGTTTTAGAAATATGAATAGCCAACGTCAATAAAAAAAAACATTACACATGTATTATTTTGTATTTTATAAAGAAGTGTTTTTTTTATAAACAAACACTGTTATTTAAAAAAGAAACAAAAGAAAAAGCGGTCACTCATTCCTTTGCATCTTTTTGTCTCAAATTTGAACTGGCAGAAAATAAGGCGTTCTGTCACAGGTCACTATCATCAATGTGGCTTAGACGTAGACACTACCAGGACACTCGAAAGTTGGGATTTCCAGTCCCTTATAAAATCTCATCAGATCATCTACCATAAGCCGGAGATAATGTTTTATTTCTTTGTCTTTGGGTTCCTTCAGACCAAGCATCAGTTCTACAAGAAGCATGTTCTCTGGTTTGTATCTTTCATTGCAAGGCAGATTATTTACTATCAGGTATATGACACCAGCTAAGTGCATGACATTGTCAAAAGGTGGAAACAGTCAATGTTGAGAGTTAACATTAATGAACGTGACTCCTTTGTAAATTGCATGCCATCTTTGTTTTTGAGTTCCTTCCACATGGCACCATTGTATATGCACACATCGTATCTACCATCTTCAGCTCATGATTCCAATGTTTAATTTTATCCTTGAATCCTTGACAAAGAAAAAACATTTGTAAAGTCTTAACAACAGACTGGTGCATATATAAACGCTTGGTCACCAAAGAACCCAATGCTGATGTTTTCATCAATTCGCAGTTGCAAAATTAGTGTGTACCAAGCTTTACAAAATCGCAATGGGACAGAACAGATACATTTTCTTTGTACACCTTGTGACAATCCTGACACACAACAAATTTCTTTATGCTTTTGGTTATGACTGAGAAATCTGTCATGCATTGAAGACCAGGAAGGCTCAAGGGCAGTTGGAAATTCTGCTTGTAAATTGTTAAGAGTCTGTTAATGAACTTGATCAAGACAATAGTGCCCTTGTCAACCACATATTGGGAAGCAAACATAAACACAAAAGTAGCAATGAACCTGTGCACTGGGTTCTTGGGCATATCAGAGGTGGCAAAAGGGTCTATTATAAAAATAATAATGCTATTTTTTTAAATTTTTTAACACTAACTGATCTTCACCATTCAATTCATTGTTGTCAAGCTCAATAATATCTTCTTCGCTTTTCTCTTCACTGATTTCATTGCTGTTGCTTCCACTATCATCATTGTCACCATTGCTGATTGCGTCATTAGTAATATAAACATCTTCAGTGTCAGACATTGAAGCTACTTCCCAAACAGATGAGTATGTCTGAGTGTACAATTCTTTCAGGGCCCTGAGTTGATGAGTTAAGATAGCTACATTTAGAATATATCACTTGGTTAATATCTAATGGTATCTGAATTAAATAAAACTTACATTTATCATTGACCTCCATCATATTTCTTTGGATAAACATGTCTATTACAACACGTTATTTCATGGATTACAATACAATTAAATAAATTCAAATATTGTACCCCTTTCACATCTTATGACATTTAGTCTTGCCCTTTTGTTATGACGTTGAGCAGTTCTTCTGACTACAAAACTATAGCCAAGATTGTTCTGACTACATCCAACATAAAGACACTTCTTGTTGTAGAGTTCAGAAATTGTGGACATGATATTTATTAATTTTTACTTTGAAGTGTTAAGAGAAAAAGAAAATAAGTAAAATATTAACTAAATTTACTATGTCTTTATAATGAATTGCTATGTTTTTATAATAATAGTAATAAATAATATTTTTGTCTGTTGTATCCAAGCCAATAGAAAACAGAAAAACAGTGTTTTTATCTTGAACACACAAAAAAAGCTGAGATGAAAAAATACCCCAGATTTTCTATTGTTATAATTTAACTTTGTACATAGTAATTTCTATATGTTTTTCTAGTGTTATTTTTCATTTATTCTGTTTATCTTATTAGGCTCCCTTAGAGATTGACTGAGTTATATTATTTTTCAATTTTCTGTATTTCTAGTAGTAAAATTTCCCTTTCTTTTATATTTTCAATAATATAAATTTTCTCCTACTTGTCTATCTAGCTATAGTATTCCCCAATTATATTATATTCCTAGCAATATCCCTTCTCTTTTTGATTAGCATCCCTAGTGATATATTTTTCTATTCTATTTCACATCCTAACTGTAGTAATTTATATTTTAGTAATATTCTCACTTTTACAAACTTCCTTTATTACTCTTACCTTAGTGATAGTAATCTCTCAATTTATTTCCTTTCTCACAGTCTGTCATTGTTGAATAGACAATTCTTTATTATCCACCCTTTCGAGTCCATTTCATTTCCTCATTTCGGATTTTAGTCCCCATGATTACCCATATCTTTTATTCCTTGTATACCTTCTTTACATCTCCAAGTACCACATGTGACACTATTACCAGTTCATCAAAAATGCTTTCAAGATTCTTTTTAATCATTTAGGCTTCAAATAAAAGATATATCAATGGAATACAGAGCCAAAATTAGTTGACACAATGTGTGACATGTATAATGGTGCAGTTTGGAAAGAACTCAAGAATAGTAATAGTATTTCATTTGTTGAGCAACCTTGTTTGCTGATGCTGACACTCAATATTGACTGGTTCCAGCCATTTGATAAAGTGACATACTCTTGTGTTGCAATCTACCTGACCATCAACAACTTGCCTTGCAGTGACCTGTTTAGAGCCAAGAATTTAATTCTCATAGAACTTATGCCTGGTCCTGAGAAGCCTAAAACCAACAAGATAAATAACTAATTTGAGCCAATGGTAAATAAGTTGTTGTTGTCAAATTAAATTCTTGTGACAATGAGTTCTAGTCTCTTGGACTACACACACAGAGAGATCTGAAAATGCTGTGATCATCAATTCATAGCTTTTATTTGAATGTTTTTAAAGAATGTTTATAGTATATAAAGAATAGATTATTGATTATGTTTTAAGATCAATCATCTTTCTTTTGCTTCCTTGGTTATAACCTCATACAAAAGTCGTTTTTCATTGTCTCTTTATTATGTCTGACAAAATCTTAAACTATATTTAATCTCTTCTTTACCAGTTGGCTGCTCAAAAACTAGAAATTGCTAGACCTAAAGGCTACAGTCACAGATACTGCTATGGCTACTGACAATGAGTTACATAGTCTATCTGTACGATCATGCTATGAATGAGTACCTTTGGAGGATCTTACAAACCGCATTCCTGCTCAGAAACTAGATCTTTTAAGTCAAATCTTGACAGATAATAAAAATAAAATCATAATGGACTGCTATCCATCAATTGCAGACATTCAGTACTCCCCTCCCCCTACGGTCCCAATAGCTTTACAAAAATTCTCTACCATGCAAAAATCCATGCATTCTATGTTGCAGGCTATACAATACAATTCTACAGCTGTATTCTGTCTGTTGGATGTTCTATCCAATGAGTTGATGACTTTGATTCCCATAACAGAACGGGATCATATTTTTGCTATGTTGCATGCTATTCGTATTCTTGCTATGCACACCTGTGGCAGGCTGAACACTGCTTGCAATAATCTTGCCTTCAAGGTAGCAAACTCTTTGTTTTTGGCAGATTCACCAGATAAAACATATATCATGACTCAGACATCTTTCTAAGCTTTCATTACCTCACAAATGGTTGTATCAAAGGCCTTACAGGAAGTCTCTGCTTGCCCGTGTTCGTCGTTTTTTTAGAAGTCACACCACACAGATCTGGCAGTCATTCCACAAACATGCAATCAAACCAGTTCTCTCTCCCTCTCTTGGGTTTTATAGCAATCTCTTTGTTATTCCCAAGAAAGACAGAGGTGCTCGCCTGGTTTTCAATCTGAAGGGTCTCAATCAGTTCTTGGATGCTTCCAAATTCAAGATGAAGACTCTCTGCAAAGTGGTCAAAATGATGTATTCAGACGATTTCCTCACTTTGATTGATTTATCTAACATATTTCTTCCCATTCTTATCTATCACATTCATGCATATTCCTTTGGTTTAGTTGGGAAGATCAAGTGTTCCAGTTTTGCACAACGCTTTTTGGCTGCTCCATAATATCATGACTCTTCACAAAGATCACTTGTCTGGTTTTTATTTGGGCTCATGCTCACAGAATTTGGGTGTCAGCCTATCTTGACAACTGGATTTTTATGGCTCTAACTGCACAAATTGCACAAGATTATACTCGCCTTCTTCTCTAGTGCATGACATCTTTAGAATGAATTGTCAATATGAAAAGTCTCATCTGACTCCCACCCAAGAAATTGACTACCTGGGGTATGCGTTGGATACTGTTTCCATGACAGTCAAACTTCTGGGCAAGAAGCTGCACGATCTGCAAAAGTCAATCCATGGCATTTTGCTTGCCACCAGCCACACTCCTCGTCTGATACACAGTGTTGCCATGTGAATCTGTGCTGCTGTCATTGTCATGTTCCCTGTCAACTTGTATACTTAGACATTGATGTTCTTCAAAAACAAGTAGATCAAAATCTCCAACAACTGGGACACTCCAGTGTCTCTCCCTCTTCCTTGCCACAAGAAACTTACTTGGTGGTTACACAACCTTGCCAAATTGAACGGCCGCTCTCTGCTCCCCCCTTCTCCTCAACACACCCCACTGAAAAAGACTGTCAATTTAACAATTTAATATAGTTTTATTAGCATTGTTAAATTTTCAAAAAAAAATAAAAATTAAAAATTATATTTTATTTTTGGCTATAATTTTTAATCTGTTTTTTTAGCTGTAAAATTATACCAGCAACACTTTCCCCTCTGCATTTTATGTGTCTTTAATATCATCGAAAATTACACTCAAAAAAATATTTATATTAAAAGTATTATATACTTAAAGAAAAGTAAAATATGTTTTATATAATACACCTTTTTTAGATAAAATAAAATAAACTACATTTTTTCTTTTTATTTTTATATAATAAATGTAAATGGAAGAGCAATTCTTTGGATGAAAGATTTGTAGTGATATTATTTTGAGTGTGTACCAAGAGGTTATGTAATTTTATATTTGCTGCGGTAGTATTTTTGAGTGATTCTTTCTCTTAATGTAAAGGAGCAAAAAGAGCAATTTTTTTAACTCACATGTTGTGAGATGTGAATATTCCTTTTTCAGAATTTTTGCTTTAATGGACAATTCTTATCCTTCCAAATATAGTTTTTTTTAAAAAAAAAAGAGAAGTCAAAAAGAGTGTAACTTTAATGAAGTGCGCAGTAAATGTCTTGGATAATGACTTAGCAAAGTGTGAAGGTAGTTATAACAAAGTGCACAGTAGGTATCTTGAAGTAATACTTGGCAAAGTATAAGCATGACATGGAGCAGTATTATATTTATTTATAAGTTATTTTTCACTGTATAAAGACCTCGGTAAAAGCATTTCAAAATCTATATCTTTTTATTATTTCACATATTCACCATGTCTAACAATCGAATTAAAAACGATTACGTTTTCTGTCAATGTCCTGAATGCATAGCATCCAGCCCTTCTGGAAAGCGCCAAAGAAAACAAAATGCAAGACAACATAATAAAGAACATGGTCTGCTAGTTTCTGCAGCCAACACAACAGGTAAATAAAAAACCAATAAAACTAAGATTACGTATATAGATTTGATATTAATAAATATATTATATAGACATACAAAATGAAGATATTGATATAGAAGACTTTATCTTTGATAATGATAATGCAGACAATGTAAATTCTGATGATAATGATAATGAAGAAAGTAATAAAATAATATAATTTTTAAAAAAAGTTTATTAAAATCTATTACTTTTTATTCTTATATATGATGCTAATGTATTATTCTAACTCATTAATAATAAATATACACTATCAGCTTTCATATTGGCACATCAAGAAGAGTCGATATTTTTTCTGAAGACACCAACCTTGAATCACTTGTAATTGATAGCAATAAAATTGAAGAAGGAAATGCAAGTTTTGATTTCGAACAAGGCGAGACTTTGGATGTTGACACTGAGAGTTCTGTAACTTCTAGAGATATGAAATATTATGATATCAATATTTCTTTTTTGTTGCAAAGCTGGATTGTGAATCTAACTTATCATTTGTCTTCATAGTTCATGAGTTTTCAGTAAATAGCATGCCCATCTATATTCGTTTCGTAGCTATTTTCATTGTCATATCTCACCTGATCTTTTTGGTAGATAATTGTGAATATATTCTCATTGAGTTCTGCAACAATCTTCTCTCCATTTGCAACCTGGCTGGTTCTCTCCCTTTGACAATCGACAGCCTAAGACATATTACTGGTTTTGACGAAGCAACAAAAGGAATGACAGTGTACGTGACATGTTCGAAATGCCATTTGATATATCCTCCAGGCACAACCATAAAGAATTGCAATTTTAAAATTTTCCTGAATCAAATACCTATAACAATCCGCTATACAAATTCTCAACTGCCAGCTGTTCTTCTCCAGTAATGGTGTATCCATACAACTTACTTAAGCACGCATTACAGCAAAAATTTTTCAAGCCAGATTTTGAGCAAAGAATTAATCTTTGGAGAAACCGCCTAACAATAGAAAATACAAAACTTGATATTTATGATGGTTCAATGTGGAATGAGCTACAAGACAGCAATGATGCAATGTTTGTTGATGATTTCCAATCTCTGATGCTGACGTTAAATATCGATTGGTTTCAACCTTTTGATGGCCAAACCCACTCGAGTGGTGCAATTTACTTGTCCATCAATAATCTCCCACGAAGTGAACGTCTCAAACCAGAAAACATCATTCTTGTTGGCATGATGCCAGGACTAAAAGAAGCAAGCACAGATAGCATGAACCACTAATTGGAGCCCCTTGTCGCCGAATTGATAGACCTGTATTCCAGTGTATCAATGACAGACTATAGAAATACCCAGATAACTGTTCGTGCTGCCTTAATGTGTGTTGCTTGCGATATTCCTGCTGCCAGAAAAACGTCTGGATTTACTGGTCATATGAGCATGTGCGCTTGTCACCGATGTCAACGCCAATTTAAAACTTTCAAAAAAACCACGAAGCTCGATTATTCTGGATTTGATTACAAGACGTAGATAAAGCGTACAAAGGCAACAAATCTCAGAGATGCTCTCATATGAAAAACAGCACAAAACAATAATGGAAGAACAATTTTGGAGAGAGAGAATAGAACCCGGTGGTCTCAGCTTCACTTATTGACATACTTTGATCCAGTTTGGTGTACCATTATTGATCCAATGCACAATCTCTATCTTGGAACTGCAAAGCAGATGATCAACATTTGGCGTGATTCCAAACTGATCAGTGACAAGGATTTTTTGACCATGCAAGAACTTGCCAATGGAGTTGTTGTACCTTCTGGGTATGCTCGTATTACAAAGAAAATTGGTGATGGATTCTCATTTATGAAGGCTGACGAGTGGAAGTCGTGGTGCATAATATATTCCCCATTTGTTTTGAAGTGCGTAATTCCTGCCATCCACCTTGCCAATTGAATGCTTTTTGTAAAAGCATGTCGTCTGCTAACTAAGCCATCCATAATTGTCAAAGAAACCGCAGAAGCTCACAATTATCTTCAAGAATTTTGCACCAAATGTCAGGCTTTTTATAAAAAAAACCAGTAATTACTCCAAACATGCACTTGCATCTTCATCTTAGCAAGTGTATCAATGATTTCGGCCTTGTTTATGCGTTTTGGCTGTTTAGTTTTGAGCGTTATAATGGTTTGCTGAAAAACTTCGAGACAAATCAGAAGGGTGGATTCGAGTCAACAATGATGAAGCAATTTCTTGAAAAAGCATACATCAGCAGCTATATCAGAGCCTTTTCAACCAGTCTTGACAAATTTATTATTACTTTCCTACACAGCATTTCCAACAGTCAACCTCATTTGCCTTTGCAATCTGATAGCAGTGCTTTCAAGTTACCTCAGTTTGTCAAGTTTTCTTCAAACCCTCGCAAGTTATCCTCAGGATGGGAATCTTTACCACCAGCAACATTTCCAATAAAGCTTGAGAAGATGATTACGATGTGCAAGGAACATTATAATTGTTTACTGGAATTTTACCGTCACGTGTATAACAGTCACAATCTTTTTGCCCATTACTCAGACCACCATTCAAGCCAAATCTTTGTGAACAACCGAATTGAAAAAATCAAGCGCATATCACTTCTTAGACAAGAATATTCCTCTGGTTCCTATTTCCAAGCCTTTTTTCTTGAACACAAAGGCGAAGATATTTCAGCATTCCCTGGCCACATTCTCTACCTCTTTCAACATATCTTGAACATCAATGGCAAAGATGTTGTTCATACATTTGCTTTTGTAGAATGGTATACGAGCTATGCTTCAGGAAGTTATCAACCATTGATGACAGAAAAGATTGAGTTATGGAATGAGCCTTTAACCACTCTGAAATATGATTGCATTCTTCCAGTACATTGTCTATACTCACTAATAGCAGTTGCTAGATATAAACTTAATATAACCAGTGACTTTAAACGTTTAGTAATCCCTTTTCTTCAGAAAATAGAAGCATAATATAACTAAATAAACACAACCTTTGATTCTATAAAGATTTTTATGAATCAGGTTTTTTTTTTAAAAAAAAAGAAAGTTTATTTGATTTTTGACCAGGATAGCAGTATATCCGTTTTTTTCTTTTCAAGCACCTTTGCTCTTCTTTCTTTGAGCTTGTGGAAAAAAGCCTTGGCATTCTTTTTTTTTGGGAGAGACTCATAATGTGTATCAAGTTCATCAACAAACTTGTCAGCCTATAAAATCAAGAATATATATATTACTGAACAATTCTTCTATTTTATCTCTTTATATAGTACCTCATCGTTTCTTTATGTTGGCCAAAATTGCCAAAAACAACTTGATGAACCAGAATCATTGTCATTGTCAGAGTCCAGATCTGACGTATAATCAGCCTGAAGAAGTATGTTGCTATCTTCTCCAAATGTCTTCACAAAGTACTCTTTTTTTGAGGCAAAAGCGAAGAGCCGCCTTTTGCTAGTCTATATATTTATTTCGTTTTTTTTTATTAATATGGTTACATTTATAAGAGATGATGTATTATCTCTATGCACCTTTGATGGTACTGTGAAGATTTGTTGTCAATGGTCTTCTGTTCTTTGGACCTATTCTCCTTTGACTTCTTGTTGGCAATATGGGCCACAACTTTTTTATGCAGAGTGGAAGGTAGTAGATTCTTTGCTTCGCTTTAGTTGCTAAGGTAGGTTTTTACAGACTGAATTATTTGTCTGTTTCCATCAGAGCGACATGTTTCTGATCCATTGTACTGACTGTACAAGCTCTCATTAAACATGTAGTCCTACATCAATTGCTATGATTTATATATTAGATATTTCTTTAAAAAAATACATTAAATACTTACATCTACAGTAGAAATACGTCCAGGAGCAAGGACATTTTCTACGACCTCACTTGCAATAGTAGCAATTGTGTTTGAAGCTACATTTTGAGCACTACTCAAAAGGAAGGTGCTCACCTGGTCAATTTTCTGATACACATCTTCAATTGTATGAGTGCTCTCAGATGGATCATTCTCATTGTTTGTGCGTGCTCTTTTGGGTGATGGAGCCATTGGAGCACTGCTTGGAACTCTGGTTCTTTGCTCCATAAGATCCAAAAGTTCCCCTACATTACTTGGTGAACTAATATGATATTTAAAAAAAGAGTAATAAGTGTTAATATAATGATAATAATGAAATCTATATAATTACATCTGCTCAGCAGATTCATAGCCATTGGTGCTGGTGGAGTTGTTGGATTTGTTTGAGCGGTTGGTCTTTGATCTTAGCATATTAAGCAATAAAGTCTATTATTTTAGAAATACAATTTATTCATTTTTTATATACAATTTTTATTTAAACTCAATGCTTTACATTTTCTTGGGGAACACAGTGAACTTTGATGTTCACTATAGACTTGGTAAAAATAAACATACTTACTATCATTATAATAACATTATTTTTATAATAAGTGCATATGAGTTAATACCAATAATTGTTTGATATAAAAATATACAATATTTATTTTATTTATCATTATTAGATATTAAAGATTATAAAGATGTGTGATTTTATATTTGATTTTTATAAGAAAACACTTGCCCTAATTTTTGTTTGTTTTTCTTTTTCATATATTTCTAAATTTGTATTTAATAGAATAACTGCGTTCCCTTTTTCTTTTCTTTCACTTTCTTCTCTTCCACATGCTTTTTTTTGGCTTCCTTAATAATTTGGTAAGTTTACTGCTCACACCCGCACTTTTATTATCCAACGTGTGTTCTATACTCTTCTTATACTGCTTACTCTATAGGTTTTTCAAGAAAGCAAGTACTATTAGCAAGTATTCAAAACACTATGGTAATATTCTTTGAATTTTCTACATATAACCCATTGACTCATTATTATCAAAATATCTCAGAGAATATTTGAATAGATAACCATGCCTCACTGTACTTTACAAAAGATATATTAAGATATCTATGGTTCAGTCAAAGGTAATATTAACTACTTTGCAAAGTTGGAATATATTATTATTATTTTTATATATTTTAAATAAAATATAATTTTAGTTCAAGCAATACACTTAACAATCTATCTTGTAAACATGTGTCTATAATATATAAGTAAAATACACTCTTATAATTTTATATATTAACAACTGTATATTTATTTTGTGTTTTTTAATGATTTATTCAGTATCTAAAAATCAAAATGGTGTTATTATTTTCTGAAAATCCTACCCGTAGATATTCTAAAATGTCTTTATATGTAAGTATTCATATATATATCTATGAAGCAATATATATTAATGATAATTTCTTTTTTATCTTAAATGTTCAAAATATAGCTCTCACAAAAGAAGTCTAAGAAAGTCTAAAAAAGTCGCAACAAAATTATTTTTGGTCAAAGGAGTATAAATCAGAGAAAAAGGCATTGGATATATGAAAGCAATAAGGTGGGAAAGTATATTATAAATCGCGTCATCAATATCTCTCATTTTATCCAATGAATGAAATTGTAACATGTATACAAATGCTACTATCCAAATATGTGTATGTAAAGAAGTATTAGTGGCAAACGTTAAATAGTTAAATTGTTTTTTCAACCATTCCAAAAATCAATAAAAACCATTTTTTCCATGATATTCCATTCCTGAATCATCATCTTTTAATGATGTCAGCAAGCTTTTTGAAAGTAATTGAGAGTCTTAATCTTCCAAAAATCCTATTTAAATCCTATTTAAATCCTATTTAAATCCTATTTAACAAAGCTTTTTACTATTAATAAATGTGAACCCAAGTTTATTTTGTTTTAAAAGGTGGTTATTTAAAAAAACAGATTCATATAAAGATATATTTGAGTAGGATTCGTAACTATGGATAAATATATAACCAAAATACTAATGAATTATAGATTTCAATTCTGCATGAATGTAAATGTCAAATGTAATTCATTATCTAATAGTATGTAAAATATTATCATTGACAAATTCAGGAGTCCATTTTTACAATCTTGTATGGAATTCATATAGGCTTACTATATTATATTTAAGTCTGCTATTACAGATATTTTATATATTATTATAGGATGTTTTTTGCAGTGCAGTTGCTGTGTCATGTTCACCAGAAGCCAATTCTGCTGGTTACTTTATTCAATGAAGTTGTTGAAAGAGTTTTCAATTTTCTCAAATCAGCTGTCTTGTTGTTGCTGCAATTATATGATCCGATGATTTACTTCTGTCACTCTGTTGGCTACCTCTTTGTTCATATTGACAATGTTAGGAACAAGGCTTTTATACTCTTCTAGTCTACCAATGGAAGGGCTGGTAATGGCAGCTATAATATCCTCTTGAAACATTCTGAAGCTGTTACTTGAGAACGGAAGGTTTCTTGTGTGAATGTGCTTGTTTTCTTTGTTCAAGTACAAGTAAATGGCTGCATCTTGTAAGATTATTCTTCTGCATCATATTAAGAGTTGTAAAAATTTGCGCTTTGCTGTATTGATACTGCTTTGAGTTGCTCTTTGCTTTTCTTTTCTCTTTTTTTCTTTCGACTGCAATCTTCCATCTTCCTCCACGAATTCTACGGAATCTGCTTTTTCATCTATCTCCAAATTTATGATGTTTTCATCCTCATCCTCGTTCTTATCAACTTCATTCATCTCCTTCTCACAGACAGCTATTCACTCTGCATTACCAACACTGAAATAGTCTTCGATCCAAGGAAATACCATCTTTTGTAATTCCATTGGCAGTGACACGCCATTTCTTGCTAGTGAGAAAGGCTTTTCCCAAAAGCCAGCCATACCTCTGGCAAAAGGAGATGGGAGTTTACCCAAGTAATGGGTCTCCAAACGACCAAGTCGATCCTTCCATCCTCCTTCTTGCTTGATCAGATCAAAAGATATCCTTAAGCCCTCAGCTTCCATTGACCCAGCATGACGGCCACCATGTATTACTTGTGTGGTGTATATCTCTTCATCTGCAAGTGCCTTTTTTGCAGTTTTCTATTGAGAAGCGCCAGTTAAACTCTTCTCAGGGCTAGTACGTCTATGCAATACCTTCCAGTTCTGTTATCTGTCTTCGTTCAAGAAGTCACCACTGGTCTATAATTTTTGTCAAGAAAGTTAGAAATTATTTTAAAAAAGTCCCTTTTTTTAGCTGGCCAAGCTACTTGAAGCAAACTGAACATAAAAAAGGCAAATGCACCAAAAGGACATCTGAATACGTTTTCATGGCAAATGGCACATGCAAATTTGACTTTTCCTTCCTTCAGAGTCTTGCCCTTGTCTAGACTAAAAACTAAAGCAAGAGCCTGTTGCATTTCTTTGTGCTGTTTCTTTGGAATGATTGTGCAAAAGCAATACGCAAAGTTTAAATTTCTCAAATCCTGATCCCTAAGTAGTATATGGTGGCAGGAAGAGATAGAAAACATCTCGCACAAGCCTGATTTGCTGTCAGAAGTCCAAAGGCTCTTCAGGACTCTTATAAGTTTGCCAGACTTATAAGAGTCCCGAATCACATAATGGGCTGCTCTATCTATGTTTGTTTGTACTTTGTCGTAAACAAGGTCGTGTTTATACTTGAGCAATTCAATCGCTTCTTTAGTCTTCTTGGAAGATGGCCATCCAACTTCTCGACCTTTAGACTAAAATTTGTGCAAGAACATCAAGACTTTCTTGTATTGATTGACAGATTCAATACCTAAAGGAACTTTGATAACTTTCTTATTACCATTCTTGTTAGAAGGAGCATTCTCAGCAAATATAAAAATGGGTTGATGATTAAGTATAATTGACGGATTTTTTTTATATATTTCATGCAATTTTGTATTACTTTGGAGCAAAGTCAATTGTCTTTCTTTGTTATCTTCTGTTCTTAAGCCAATTTGTGTTCTAACATCAGTCTCTACTGAAACACTTTTTATATATGTTTGCTTGAAAACAAATTCTTTGAAGGAGGCAATAACAAATTCAGTGGGCCCAACAGTGTATGGATACTGAAGATCAACAGGATATCTGTGTCAGTTGTTTTGCAAAAGTCCTTCAATTTAAGCAATATTAAAAAATGAATACAATCAATACAATATAGATTCTTATTCTATTGAGTTGAGACATACCTTCCAATGTTCTAAGGGCATTCTGTAAATTGCGGCAGTGCTGGCATGTACTTTCATTGGCAAAGCCTTAAGTGCAAGCTCAAACTCAGACACATTGATTGACGAGCTACTTTGAAGAGCAACAAAGACATTTGAGCCAACAGAAGTAGACAAATTGGCTGAACTGGACGATTCAGCTGTTGAATTTTCAACCAGCATAATCCTTTTTGATGGTCGACTCCTATGAGCTTTTTAGGCATCTCTTCAGAAATTGCAGCAATACTAGTATGCTATAAAGATATATTGTTAATATTAGTGTGCATTTTTTGCATATAATTTATTGTCTATATTGTTTATACTTGAACTCTGCTAAAAAGCTCAGCTTCTTATTACTCAATTAAATGCTCTAGTTTTTCTAAATCATGCTTGTTAACAAAGCGTCTCTTAAAAGCAGTGATATTAGTAGGCAAGGGCAACATAATAAATAACATTGCAAAAACACCTTAAAATAATTGAATTCTACTTACCTGGAATTATCGATAACACACCTACTGACATTTCTTTCATTTATGGTAATTTCTAATGGTACAGCTGTTTCTATTGGTTTAGAGTTCCAATTTTAAGTTGAACCTGTTAAGGCTCAGATTTGGGTGTACGAATTTGATATAAATGAGCCAAAAGTGGATTAGTGTAATGTTTTAAGTGTCATGATAAAATTTTAGATGGTACAAAAATCTGAAATGGGGGGAGAAGCGAAGAGAGCTGGAAAAGAAGAGATTTTATTGGACGAACCCCATTGGGAAAAATACTTTTTTTTTTGATAAGTCATTTTTTTTAATAGATTTTTGCAATGTTCATCAACATCCACCAGAACATGCCGAATTTTGCAACGTTGAGGAACTTTTGGTTATTGGAAGACCCGACGGACAAGTGAATATCAACAGCCTGAACGATGTTGATGTCATCTTTGTTGACTTCAACCAGGCCTCCAAGGGGCAGAACCACAATGTTGTTGTAATTGTCCGTTACCACGGCTGGGGTATAGATGCAATTTACATTGCTGTTCGGAACAATTTGGTACTTTTGCATAAAGAACGCCTTCCTCATTCTGTCTGCAGAGTCTCTTGCTTGAACGATCTTTACCTGACCAAGGAATAATTGACCATTTGATTGAAAAACACCTGCAAGTGTATCGCACAAAGTGGGAGTCGACAACCTAGAATTGTCACTGTTGACACGAGAACCAAAGAAATGGAGATTAAAGCCTGGGAAATTGACAGGGGCTAGCTTGACAAAATCACCAATTGAACTTCTCACAGATCTTGTTCCATTACCAGCTGGTTTCTCTACGACATACGATCCTCCATTACAAAGATGCCGACAGATGAATTGCTTGCCAAATCTTGTAGCGACGTCTCGAGAGGTGGAATGGCGGTTGGTCTTGAATAAATGTTCGCGGATGAACTTATTGAACTGTTCACCGTTTTCAGTTTCGTATTGCAGCACGGAACCGAAACGAACAATGTCATCAGTGATATGATGCAGAAGGTGGACCTTTGGCTTGAACGTGAAGTCTTGCTTAGAAAATCCTTTTTGGAGAATCTGGACATCCAGTTGAAAAAGCAGATCCGTTACATCAGTGACAGCGTGTTTTATCTGGGCAATATAGTAGTCGAAGCACCGGTCGACTCCACGCATGTACACCAAAGACGACAGGCGGCCTAATGCATGCAAGGCTTTAATGAACAAACTTGCCAATGGTTTGTCACTAAAGAGCTTGCTCATAATTCCAGGCAGGACTTGAATCAATTCCTTGAAATCGCGTCCAACGAACGAACCAGTGTGGCGAAGCTTGTTCCTGAATGTTCGGCTGTAACTCTTACAAGACTTGTAAGAGTTTAGAGCTTCCTGGAGTCTCCCCTTTTCACTTGTAGTCAGCATCTTCTGTTTCCAGAGAAAAGTCATCAAGTATTTCGTCAGGCCAAGAGGAATAATGTGGAGAATTTCGACAGGCATGTCTTTGGTAGGGTCAAAGGCTTCGAGTCTAAGAAATTCCTCACTTCCATTCTTGATATAACTCAATTCGCACCCATTGAGATATAGCTCTGACTGGGAATCGGCATTGGCAAAGGCGCACAAGAAATCCCTTGTTCTTTCTTCTGACCCACGGTGGTCAACTGGAGAATACGGCGGAGCATCAGGGATGGAACCCTGTTCAATACGAGGCGAAGGTATGAGGCATTTTCGGCAAAACTTCTTGGCAGATGTTCCCTTATGCATGGCAAGCTGAGATTGACGAGGGTTGTCACCCATAAAGAGCAACAGGGGCGCAACAACAAGAACTACTTCACCATGATCCTCAGAATACATCTCAATACCTTTCTCCAGCCTAACGAGGTCATCGACGATAGGGGGCAACATCTCAATGGCATTCAGTGTATGATTCGAGGTACAAATGAAAAGAGCATTTTCTCGTTTGTTTCTCGTCTCAAGTGGCAACGCAGCAAAGTACATTAAGTAACTGTCATACTTGTTGTACTGCTTTGTTGAATTACCGGAGGTATCGTCGGAATAGAGATTAAGTGGGCAGACAACCACTTTCATCAAACCAGAGCCTGGAAGTCTTCTCTTGAATTCTTCAACACGGGATTTGTTGAGCCACAAGTCAGATTGAACACCAGTAAGAGCATAGGTGACAATTTTGGCAGGGCAATAAGAAACAGAGAAACCACGTCCGAGGAAAAGATCGCTGTCTTTTTGAACAGTAGACATAATCCTATCAACTTCAATGGTATACTTCAGGGTAGAGACAGCAAAGTTCGTAGAGTTTCCAAACCGCAGGAAGTGAGTATCATCAGGATGGTTCAGCCAAGGATCGTGGCCACCATAAACCTGGAACGCATTGGCAAGTATGGATCCGTCCTTGGTGAAGAACTTCTCAAGGAGATACCGGTTCGGGGAGCCTTGGACTTCGACGACATCACCCACCCAGTAGTCCATTCCGTTTGAAGTGATCATCGGGTGCTGGAGCAATGGGTTCTCCTTCCACTTTTCGCCTTGGTTGAGATTCAACCGCTGGTTTTCCGTGAAGTCAGGAAGGGCCGAGATTTGAGATGATTTTCCGGGACATGTCATGGTAAACTTGATGTAATCGGACGGTTTGTTCATCCAAAGTACATGTCGTTCATTGTCTTGGTTCACAACATCGAAACTGGCAGTAGGAAAAACAGGGATCTGGTTCTTTTTCTGCTTGTGATAGTTAATCACAGCATTTGGTGTCGGAAAATCCAGTGCTACTCCAGATTCTTCACGGACGTCCAAGACCATCTTCATGGCAAACATGATCTTCTTGATAGATCTTTCTGAGGCAAGATCTTCATCGCCGTAGAAGAGAGCATGTAAGATAAACTCTACTTTCGATTTAAACGGACGGGTGGGTCCAGTAAAAATGTCAGCAAAGTCATCGGGCCGGTACGATGTCTGTCTGCTGCTGTCTTCGTTCGAGTAGGCATTCATGGCATGAGAAAGAGATTGGAAGGTTCTCATTTCTGCTGCCATTCTAGCGATATGATCCTGGCTATCATATTCTACTCTGGTGTCCATGTCTTCGTCGTCAGTGGTCTCATCATAGTCATCTGATGAATCACTGTTCAGCAAAAAAAAACAGGTTATTATCTATTTCAATATTGCATTACTAATTTTTACTTACGATAGAATGTGATCATCACTATATTCGTCTTCGTCAGAGATTTCATGGCCATACGTGTCCTGAGGGTTTTCAATAATAAATTCCATTGGGGCAGGTTCATTATTACTGTTCAGGTTGGTAGTGGCAGTGGTAGTGGCAGTGGTAGTGGCAGTGGTAGTGGCAGTGGCAGTGGCAGTGGTAGTGGCAGTGGCAGTGGCAGTGGCAGTGCTTGCAGAAGAAGAAGGGCCATCAAACATAGCAGGTCTAATGTTAAGGTATGCTCAATTTCAGCTTTACATTACATAGTATTTTTCATCCTACTTTTAGGATTAACTTACCTTCTTTTTAGAAGTTTCTCATACTCCCCCATTTCGTTTGGATGTTTTTTTGTATAATGTCTTCTGAGGCCTTGCAAGGACCCTAACACTCTTTCGGTTTCGCAGACGGTGCATACAAATGTTCAGTTGTCTGTAGCCGTCGGTGTGAGGAATGTGTTCCTCTTTGTTGTGAAGTGATTTTCCATGTTTAAAAATCTTTGGAACGAAAGATGTAGAAAAGCGTAAACTAATTCGAGGTACCATATCTTTAATCATGCAAAAAATGACTGCTAAAAAAATCATGTGAAATAATGTGAGCTATTTTTTTTTGTTTACTTGTTTCCTTCTTTTTCTTTTTTTTTCTCATGACTGAAAGGTAAGTTTCAAGCGTAATCTAACAAGATGATAGCGTCCATCATACCGAACACCCTCAGTAAGTAATATATTTATTATGCCCTACTTCATATTGATACTAATATATATTTTTTATTAGATTCTATGGAGATTCCAACATGAGATTGTATTAGGAAGTTACTTCAAACTATGCCAAGCTGTCTGTCGTGGTATTATAAGGTATCTACTCCTAACATAACTAAACAAGCAGTCTTTTCCTTTACTTTTGTTAATAACTTTACCCTCATCTCTTTAGGTAAGTCTCATATATCACTGTCTGTCTAGTATAAAAAGGTAATTTACCATATTATTTACTTCAAAGGTCATAACACTAATACTGTTTCTGTTTAATAGTCGTTCTTCTTTACTTTTACCATGTCTATCTCCCAATCTATTGCATAAGAGAGGCTGCTACACTAGACTAGCTACTAGTATATAGAACGCGTAATCCTAGTACTATTTTTTTATTGAAACCAAAATAAAAACATTTTTTTGAAACATTTTTTTTTTAAATATTTTTTGAAACCCTATAATTGCAATTATTGGACCCCCCATTTTTCAGATTTTTTGTATCCATCCTTTTTTCCATTCACGGTAAATTCGAGCGGACACTTCATATTCCGCTTTAGGAAATTTTAGTCAGGCCAACTTTAAATCTAGCTTGGACATTGAGTTTAAAAAAATCTCAGTGGGTGTGAATAGTAGCCAAAAAATTACAACCCAGGTCATTTCCTGTGTTTAGCAGCGAGAATATATTTAAAGACATATCATTGGCCTAATATATATCAGAGTCCCTGAGAGAATTTTTTCAAAATAATAAAGACAATTATAATAAGCAACGGCTGTTACACACTTCCTTTATTATTAAAAAAAATTAAGTGAAAAAATGTTTTCCATTGCCAATCCCGATGAAGTTCGTTGCAAATGCACAAGATGCAATCGCAATCCTCTTGGATACACCATCACTACGGCGGGATGAATGGCAGTTGGGCCGAAAGTAGGCACATAACTGCCATTTTTTTGGTCGAAACCCAATAAAATCTCCGCCGTTTGTTGTAAGATGGTAATGTCATTCGTAGCAATTTAAAAAAGTAACATGAAAACACTTTTTTTGTTGCTGTACAATATTTTCAATACTGTAAAAAATGTTTGTAAGTTGTAATGACCACTTTGAGTATTGAAATATATGTTTTATTGAATATCAAAGATGTCAACAATTATTAAGATTAATAATTTTTGGAATGTGTGAACGAAATAGTAACATAACTGCCATTTTTTTATTTTTTAAACTACGTTCTTTTTTTTTTAGATATTCTTTTTATCTTGATGAATTGGCAATTTGATTTTATTTAAATCGCGTAATGGCATATAGAGCATATAGGGAATGAAGAGAAAAGCATAAGGTGTATAGAGAATAGAAAAAAAACCGGAGTATATAAAGAAGAAAAGAAAGACGGGGCATATAGAGATTAAAAAAAACATAAGAAATAGAGAAAATTAAAAAAAGAATATAAGATACAAGGATGATATAAAAAATATAAAAGATATAAGGATATAGAGCATATAGAAAAATAAGATAAAAATAAAAAGGATTACAGAATGGAAAGATTGCCTTTAGTAATGCGCATGTTGTTGTTAAAGATATAATAGGGCGCGATTACATAAAACTGGTTTCCATTCGGTGGGTATTGGACCAGACCAACTTGATGACAAATGTTATTTACACTTATAACTGCATAAGTCGGTTGCGTTTGGTGGCCTAGTGTATGGGTGCTTTGTGACCATTGTTTGACGATAGGTACTGATGAGTCATGACCAGCCGCGTCATGTTCCTTCATGACCTCCACGAAAGCAAGAAAGTGTGGGAAGCCATAGAAATCTACATGCTGAAAGTAGAACTGTACTGTACCAACGAGCCAGCTGTGAACAATTACATTACGGTTGCTAAAATAAATAAATAAATAGAATGTAAGCAACTTTTGATTGTATATCGAAAAATATTATACTTACTTTCTATAGGGGCAAGTAAACATCACGTAATGGTTGCCACGGCTGGTCTCGTTTTTCTTTCTTCAGTACATGCATGAGGAATATACAGTTGAGTCCATCCACAGACGTGCAGCTACAACAACAACAGAGTCACCAAACTCGTGGCCAGTCAAGCCTGTTGTTCTCTGGTAGTATTTCAATAAAGCTTCCTTCACACTAGGGCCGCCTACACCTTCCACCGAATCATCATTCAAATTAACAAACTGATGAAACGGCTCCCACAACTGCGCACCACTAGGATCATTAGGAAGGTCCATGTAGCTCTCTCTTCCATATGGCTTTGGCCAAATGAGGTTGATTTCATCACAGATGCTGATTGCTGTGCTGGTATAATTGTGAATCGCAAATCGCTCGACGAGAAAACTGGCATTTCGGCCACCCTTTGATTTGGACTTTATCAATTTCGAGAAGACGCCAATTACTCTCTCCATTGAGCGAGTGGAGTAGCATCGCAGGGGGCCTTGCTGCTTGATGATATAGGGTATATGGACCAGGTAATGTTGCACTGGTCGGAAAACACTACGAGACAGGGTATTATTCTGGACTTGTTGGTATAAAAACGAGTGCCAGTGCTTGAAGTATCTATTATTAATATTTAAAAAATGGTAACAATCAGCTATTTGTAATGATAATATATGAGATGTATAATAACTTACAACTCCATCTCATCAAGCAATTCTGATGTCAACGTCCATTGCAAGGCAAGCGCACAACCTTTCACGAGAGATAATAGAGCTGTTTTGACAGCCCTATTTGGTAAATAAGGCACAACCAAAGTGGGGACAAGGTATAAGAGAAAGTAAAGCCAGTCTACTGCGCGAGTACCATCGATCTTGGCAAATACGTTGTCGAAACTACCTTGAAATGAGGTGGGTATATATTTTCGTGAGCTGGTAATACAGTTTCCAATTGTTACAAGGTCTGCTCTTGGTATATGAAAAGGGTATTCGGTGGTATTGAGGGTATTGTCTGGATGGGTATAATAAAATTTGGTTTCCTTTGTGAGGGTGACAGTAATCAGGTCATACACAAACTTTCCAATCCCTCTTGCAATTAAATGAAGTTCATCTAATGCAAAAAATGATGATCCAGAGAAGGTTGAGAGTTGGGTATATATGCTCGGCTGGTATATGTTCTTCGACTATTACAAGCAGTTATTTAGTATGAAAAAAAGATGGCTAATTGAACATTTGTATACTTACAGGGTTGCCTACTTTGAAGTCTTCCAAAGGTCTTAACCGGGCGGAAATGTCATCAAAGTACATGCCATGCCGTCTGTTAGTAGGGCATTTGCCTTTGGTCTCACAAAAATGGCAACCAAATAAACTTGTATGGGAACCAATGTGGACCATATCAGCTACAGCTGGAATATCGCCAGAAGCAAGCAGAAGATAGACCTTGGATCTGCAAAGCTCCACTCCATTGTGCTTGACAACCAAGCTATGTGCCTCAAGATCTCGCAATTCATTGATGATGGGTATAAGAAAGGAGTCCAAATGAGTTGGCTTCTTGGGGCCAGACAAGATTGCCAGTTGCAAAAGGTATTTGTTGGTATATCTAAGTATTTTATTAGTAATTTTTTTTAAAAAAAAAATGTAATAATAATAATAAATAGTAATAAATTAATTAATTACCTGATGGATGGGTCTAGGTTGAATATTATGCAATGGATGATGGTATATGAGTTTTTGCCTTTCTTTTGATTGACAAACCCATCAGTATAAAGCCCAATGGCAATATCATCGGGATTGGAGAACAGGCCCTGCTGCACCAACTGCTTGTAATTGTCACCATCAAAAATGTCGGTTAGCTGACCAGCTACAGATTCCCGGTTTGCTCTGTAACAGAGGAGTTCTCTTGTGGCTGGATCTGCCAACATTTGAGAAAGCATATCCCCAACTGACATAAGTTTCATACTGGCGGCTGGTGTCTGACTTTGATCGGGATCAGTCTTGTATCGCGGTTTGCCGCAGTCAACACAAGATTCCTGGTCGTCATTAATGCCATACAATCGACAACCACTAGAGCAGACATCATACTCATGGCCCTTGACACTTGACTTTGACTTGAGCAAAGCATCAACAGTTTCGCCATGACTGATCTTAGCCCCAGGTTCTAAAAAAAATGATATCACTACATGTTAGTGATCTGGAATTAAAGTACAAGGTAACAGAAAATATAATATTTTACCCATCATTATATCGTCATGGTCTCGGATGACAGTGTTTATAAATTGAACAATGTCTCTATATGCTGCTCTAGCAATTCTATGCTGTAGCATCAATTGAGACAGATGAATACTCATCAACTCGGCCTTGGTAAAAGTATTTGTACTGATTCGGCTGCTGTCGTAAATGTGAGCTTCACCCTCACTGTCCTCAAAATTACATGCGCACTTATATGAAATAGTATTATCAAGCTCCATAGACTCCATAGTATATTCTGTAATACATTATTTAGTAATTGGAAAATAAATAATACAATTACAGCTCTTTTCATTACCTGAATTGCTAACAGATTCATCTTCATTACTAGTATCATTTTCGTCATGGTACATGTCAACATCATTCAGAATAGACTGGTCAATTTCAGTCATTGTTGCTGAATCTCCTCTGTGAATTCTCTTGTGGTTTTGCAGCTTCTGGTAGTTATCAAAAAACAAGACACATTGATCACATTGGTATTGCTGTGTAGATATTCTATCTCTCTGCTAGCTGGCGTTGGAAGAAGACATATTGGTTGGGTTGGTACGTATGTAATATATAAAATAAAGCTGCGAAGAGGATTTTGGTGCTATTCATTAAATGTAAAAGACATCTTTATATACTCTTTATTTTTTAACCAAAATGCTTGCAGCTCTTTTTTTTTTCTCTCTCATAGTGATGATATAGCAATGATTACAGTAATGTCAATGCTAGGTGAAACACCTGTCAGTAAATAATTCCTGTGGTTGGAAAGATTCTTCTTCATTAATAATTATTATATAAGTTAAAATACTTCTTGGTTGACAAGGGGGTACCATTAAAAGAGCACTGGTGAAACAGACATGTACTCTTTACTTGTGAGCGATTAGATATTCTTTGGGCTTTATAAAGAGGTATATGTATATTTAGGATAATTAATGACCAAATAATTTATGTTTTTTTTTAAATAAATTATCAATTACTCTCTAATATCAAAGGCAAAGAAAAACAGCCTTCTAATAATTAACAGTTAAAAAAAAGTAGTACTGTCTAAACACATTGGTAGAAAAGACATATTTATATTATCTGTGTTGTACTAATAGTATTTTTGAGATAGTGAATATATATTTAGCTAATAGCATTATTTTCTTGTTTATGTATAAAACTTAAAGAAATAGATATAGATAATGAGGGCTATAGTCTGATACTCTTTTACTGACATCATCAAGATAAGCACTACTGATCGAAAGGGGTGTTAATTGAAAGTGCCGATGTGAGTTAAAGCACACCTTTTTCAAAAATGTACGGTTTCAGTCAAAAATGCCCCTTGGTAAATAATAGTAATGACAGTTAAAATTATTTTTACCTTTGATGATAGCATCAATCAAAACGCGTTTTAGTCGATAATGATAATAAGTATGATATGAACTTGAGTATCATAACATTTACTTTAATATTGATAAAAAGGGGCTAATTAACTATATGATGTTCAGATGTTATATAGCTACTGTAGAGTATATTTAAAGTTATAATTTTAACTGGTACAGGGTTTTGTCATCGAGAACTTTAACCAAATTTCATGCTATATCTGCAATATGTATAGAGTTATATTATTATATCATATACTTTAAAACGTTTAATATGTAGACGGTGCAAAGTATGAATATTTATACATATAATATTGATTTAAAGTCTAATTCATTTTATCTTTATATTTCTTACAGTTTTGTTGTGTCAACACGAAAAGACTGTATCATGTTCACATGAGCTACTGCAGACAGGTGCAGACAGGTGCATACAAGTGCATAAGCATCCCTTCTTTTATATGTTTTGTTTGTACATCTGTCTGTATCTTTTTCATATAAATAGCTATCAATTGCTTGTAATAAATCGTTGCCTTTCTCAAACTCAAATCGCTCTTATTCTACTTGTCTAAACTATCACCTTTTCTTTTCAACTCACTGCTTATAGCTAAAAAAAAACTTAAACATGTCCGATATTAACACAACTCTCCTCAACTCAATTCAAAAGATTGAGGTTGATCTTGCTGAAATCAAGCAAGCATTGCGCGAGCTTCAAAGGCAATTCAGCAATCAATTTGCACCAGCAGTCAGTGCGGAAGATCTAACTACAATGCAACAAAGCATTATTGAGCAGAGTTGTAAGTCATATATATTCTGTGCTTAGATGTTTATTTACTTTATTAATATTGTCATACATTTTTTGTAGCTCTTGAGCGCATTGCCGAGTCTGTGAAAAGAGCCCAGCTCACAGAGTACCCTGATCAGCTTGGTAAGCGAGTAATCAATACTGGTGGCGAGTTCAAAGGAAAAAACGAAGCGCAAAAATACAATCTGTTGCTTCAGATTCTTCACGAGCAGGACTGGAAGGCGCGCTGCAAAGAAGTTCCACAAGGGCAGCCTTTGCCCCCATTAGTCCCTCTTTCAGACCATGATTTGACAGTAAAAAGACTGCATCTCAAAACATTAGGCTGTATGGTAAAGCATGATATCATTGACAAAGACTATCCTGCGGCCTCAAAAGAATGGAAGAATATCCCAGAGAAAAACAGGGAATACTACATGATGCATTTGGAGAGGTTGGCAAAGAATGGTGGATTGCACATCCACCAATGTAAAAGAATGTGGTGTGCAAGAAGCCTTCTTCGGGAAAGCTTCAAGAGCGACAACCAGACGCACAAGAGAAGAATGGCAGAGAAGAACAAAGTAAGTTTATCAATTAACAAATCTATATATTGTAAACTTTAATTAACATCGTTTCCTTTTATTATGCTATAGACACAGCGAGACATAAGTGATTCTTCGCTTTCTTCTCCTGATATGTCAGAAACTGGTGATGTTGAGTCGCCCATAATGGCAGATGTGCTGTAAGTTACCATTGTTGCTTTTTCTCATGCGCTGTTAATACAAAACTAATATAAACTTCTTACTCTTTTATGTAGGTCTCCTCCACCCACAGCAAGTGTCGAGCCTGCTCACAAGAGAAGCCAAAGATCGTAGTTTGGCTGCTGTGATTGGCCAAGTTTGATTTTTTTAGTCTGTCTTTAGTGCATTTTTTTTCTTATCTCGTCATTTTTCTTTTTATGTTTTTTATTCCTTTTTTCTTTCATATAAAAAATTTATTGATCTCTTTCATATGATTGCTAATGTTGTGATTACAAGAATTTGAAGCTAATGTACAGCATCTACAATTCCGCTACATTCAAATATAAAAGGAAATAGTATATAGCCTTTTTTTTGGGAAAAAAATTAATAGTAATATTTTTGTACTGATATATTATACTTGGGAGTCGTTCTATTATATGTAAGTATATTGAGTAGAATAAACACGTTAAGCTTTCTAACAAGATGCTCATTCCAGTTGTATGAATCAGATTCGAATTAGCTTCATGTTACATGACTTGAATCTTTGCTCAAGTTTTTCTTCTTCTATGATAACGACTTTCTATAGTGCTTATGTTTTATTGCTTTTCTTATATATAGATCTTAAATATTAATACATTCTTTAATATATATATATATTCTTAGAGTAAATGCTTATTTTACTGAACAAGTAAGCATATTATATAAAGGTAAGCATTATAATAATATTATATCTATTTATTTATTTTAAGTTTTTTCTCTAATATTAGTATATTTGTAGAAATTGGTAAAAAATAATAAGTGCTATCTAAGATATATTAGAATACCCAAAGTATATGAAATACAATTTGAATAGTAGTGTTTTACTGCATACGTTTTGCAGTAGCTAAACAGAACCATTTTTTATTGCGAGTGGCCAATGGAATTGTTTTTTCATTATTACTATTATTATCATTTTCATTTAATAAAACATGCATTGAAATAAAGATTCAATTCAATTAAACCCGATTCAATATTGTATAATAAAAAACAGACCATTCTGTTAAAGCTGCAAAGGAAAAACAAGAGGTTGTGCTAGAATTGAAAGCAATAGAACAAAAGAAAGAATGTAATAGAGGAAAGGAAGGACGCTTGATTTTTTTTTTGAAAAATGGTAACAGTGCCTGTTTTGGCTTTTTACATAATAAATAACTGCCATTTTTTATTATGAAAAAAATGGTAACAGTGCTTGTTTTGGCTTTTTACATAATAAATAACTGCCATTTTTTACTATGTAAAAAATGGTAACAGTGCCTGTTTTGGCCTTATACAGAGTCATAACTGTAATTTTTTATTAAGTAAAAAATGGCAGTTATGTTACCAAAGTGGTAACATGTTACCATTTTCTCCGCCGTAGTGCATGACAGATAAAAGAACTGCCAAGTGTCATGCCCAGAATGATAATGACAGGAATATGGATAAAACCATTAATGGTAAATTAAGTTATCAATTTTTCATTTATTTATATGATGTATTCTAATCCATTAGAACAAATAGTTTTGACAGCCGAAGTAAACACTGGTGAAGCTGATATGGACGTAGATCAAATTGAAGAACATATTGAATGTAATAGTATTTTATTTTTTATACCCAATGCGCACTCTATTTAAACTCGGTACCAATAGATGATAATTACTCCGATGGTGCACCCTCACCAGAGCAGTATGTCAATACCCACTTACCTCTTTTGGTGGAAGAATCTCTTTTTGAAACAGAGGAGTATACCTCAGAGTATGAGTCTGAATATGAGTCGTTGGATGAATTTGAGCAAGAAGAACAGAACAGAGAGCAAGAACAGGGTAAATATTAAAAATAAACTATGATTGAAGAAAAAAGGTTTGACTTAAAGAAACAAAAAATTAATATTATTTTATGATAACTTACAGAGTCTACAGAAAACCTTCCAGAGAATATTTGGCATCAAGTAATTGCGGTTTTCACTGTGATATTTATTTCTAGCTTCATTGTAGATGAAGGCGCAGTAATTTTGATTACATTCATAAATACAATCCTCGAACATTATGGAGAGGATTTCCGACTTCCCACAAGCATTCCGGGTTTGAGGAAAATGACAGGATACAATGACTTGACAAATGGCGTATCAAAATATGTAGCATGCAGTAATTGTCACACATTGTACGATTATAGCAACAACACACATACATCCTGCAATTTCAAAAGAGTTGGTAGTAAGACGCATTGTAAGAATGATCTCTACAAGTCTAGTATGAAGAACGCCATGATTCCAAAGTGCACATTTGTTTATAACTCGTTGACAACTACCTTGAAAAAAATGTTTACACGTCCTTCTTTTGAGAGTATGATCAACAGATGGAATTGTGAACCAAAAGTCGACGGTACTTTATTCGATGTATATGATGGAAAGATGTGGAACGAATTAGTGGATGAGGATGGTATCCAGTTTGTTTCGAAGGAACGATCATTACTATTGACACTGAACATTGATTGGTTTCAACCATTTGATGGAGTAACATATTCTTGTGGTGCGATATACCTGACAATTAACAATCTGCCGAGAGAAGAGCGGAACAAGGCAGAAAATGTCATTCTTGTTGGATTGATGCCTGGACCTAAAGAAGCAAGCACCAACGAGATCAATAACTATTTGCGTCCTCTTGTTGATGAACTTATGCTATTGTATAAAGGTATCACAATTGATACATATAACTGCTCAGGTGCTCTGGTGCGTGCTGCTCTGTTGATGGTTGCATGCGACATCCCTGCTGCAAGAAAGACGTGTGGGTTTACATCTCACAACAGCACATGTGCATGCTACAAATGCAATCGTCAGTTTGCTCATGTTGATGGGACCACTGCTGTAAACTATTTTGGGCTTAAGTTTTTGGAATGGGTAGGCCGCACAAAAGAAGAAAATCGCAGACATGCAAACCTGTGGAAGAATGCAAAGACATTGACAGAGAGAAAGCGATTGGAGATTGAGAATGGTGTTCGTTGGTCTGAGCTTCATCGACTTGTGTACTTTGAGCCAGTGCGTGCAACCATTATCGATCCCATGCACAACCTTTTTCTCGGGACTGCAAAACGAATGATGGATATTTGGATTGCAAACAATTTGCTTGATGACAAAGATTTTGTAGAGATGCAGGAAGAGGCTAATAGAATGGTACTCCCTGTAGGGTATACGACTCTGAAGATAAAGATTGGAAAGACATTTCCATTTATGAAGGCAGATGAGTGAAAATCATGGTGCCTGATATACTTTCCTGTTCTGCTTAAGACACGCCTGCGAGATGATCTGCTTGGCAATTGGATCCATTTTGTCAATGCATGCAGAGAATTGACGAAGCCAAGTATCACCAAAAATGGGATCAAAAAAGCTCACGAAAGTTTGGAGAAGTTCTGTGTTGGTTGTGAAGACTTTTATAAACCAGATGTATTCACGCAAAACATGCATCTCCATCTCCATCTAAAAGAAACGATTGAGGACTTTGGGCCAATTTACGGATTTTGGCTATTTAGCTTTGAGCGCTATAATGGTGTATTGAAAGGGTTTGAGACAAACCAGAAGAGTGGGTTCGAGAATACCTACATGAAAAGGTTTCTTGAGAGTTCTTACAATGGTGACTTTTGTCAAGCGCATCTCAGAAATGTTACCAGCCCTTTACTCCTCTCTCTCTTTCTCAAGCTGTCTGGTCGTAAAATCTATAATCCTGCACTTTCGCCACATCCTTTGATACCGTCATTCTTTCACTTGCCAACGTTCCTACAATCCGCTGAAAAGCCTTCAAAGCAAACATTTGGCAACGAACCTCTACCTCTTTCCGCTCTACCATTGTGTTTGAAGCCACCAACAACAATGAGAAAATCTGAGTATGATTGTCTGCTCGATTTCTATAAAATTGAGTATGACAATGATTCTCTTTGCAGTGCCAAGACAACAATCAGGAATTGTTGGTTTGTGAATGACCGAATCCAGAAGATTTTGTCCATCAATCTTCTTGGACAAGTTTACACAGGTGGAGAAGGCTTGGTCATTAGAGGATCGCATATACAAGCGAAATTTATTGAAAAAAGTGGAGACTCTGAGGAAAGATATGCTGGTCGTATTAAGTACTTGTTCTTGCACGATTTTACACCAAACCTCACGCACACCAACCTTTCCCCTTGTCACAACCCCCAACACGTATTTGCCTTCGTTGAGTGGTACAAAATTCCTCGCCATCAACCTAGAATCAAGCAGGGCATCGAGTTGTATGAGCCAGAATTTCTGAAGTATGACTACGACAACATTCTGCCTGTCCACCGTATCTTGTCGCCAATTGCAATTGGAAGTCATATGTCTGGTAGTGGTGCGGCAAAAGTCGTTGTTATTCCTCTGCCAAGAAAGCTGTACGCTTAATAAAATACTCTATCTTTTTTTTAAACTAATAATAATAATATAAAACATAGTTCATAGACATAAAAAGAGATGTGATAAAGAGTGCAACTAAAAAGACAGAAATTTTATTATACGCGTTTTGACCACGTAGGCATTTTTGTGACCAAGCCACGAGGAATTGTCTCGTGTACTAACACATGACTCCGCGACTTCAACTGCGTTGCTCTTTTTCCCAAGTCATCTCTGGCGAGCTCATCAAGAAAGTCAAACACAGTATTCAACTATAAATGTATATATACATCAGGAATCAAACAACAGAAAAACCATTTTATATAAAACATTACCTCATCACTACGCCAATCAGGACGAGATGCAACAACAGAAGTATCGGTTTCTGTCTCATCACCAGACATTGCATCTCTGTAAAAAACGCCATTATAATCCCGATTAAACTTTTCAGTGACAGCATCCTTATGCTTTGTGTACGTTCTTTTTCTCCTTTTATTAAGCTACTATATATATAATATTTTAAGTATACTTGTCAAAATAGAATTATTATAAATAGAAATGCTTACAGCAGTCTTTCTATTTCCTCTTCTGTTTGAGGTAGTGTTTGTCTGTCTGTCTTCTTCAGTAAGCTTACTAGCAGCCAAGCGATTGTAATAGCTGTTTACAATTATACCACATAGCTCTTTTGGTGGTACCATAGCTGCTACAGGTTGACGACGAATGTAAAGCATCAAATCACTTGCAAGATTCTTGTTAAACTCGTCAGACAAACCAACATTGACATCCCAAGTTGGTTTATCATCATTCTCTCTGATCAACTCCAAATCATCTGTCTTAAGATTAATATCTCTTAACCGCCCCCGAATAATACTCTATTAAAGGTATATTGATGTTAGATTTAAAGGGAGATTGTTTTTATAATTTTAGTATTTGAGCTTACTGAGATCTTTGGGTGTCTTGCGCTGCTTATGATGTCCTGAGGATCCATATCAGAATCCAGAACGGCTTGCATGCCAGTCGATTGAGCACCCACCTGGCATTGTACTGTTCAAATAGTCAGTCTATTGGAAAACAATATAGTTTGTGTTTAATTACCTTTCAATTCACTAACATCGGAACTAACGGCTGTCATTTTGTTATTGAGTGTAGCGAGAAGACTGACTACATCATTAAACTCTGACACTGGAATTGACATATTTTCTGGTCTAGGAGCAATCATTGGATTTGACGATTCTATACGCCCAGTGTTGACTGCGTTGATCAATGGCCTAGATGTTGATCCATTGGTACGTGCGTTCTGGTTGATGTTAGTTCTTGGAGCCATTATCTGTATTTTTATATAATAAAATAATAAGTTTCTGGTATATATTGCTTGATATTTCTATTTTAATAAATTTTTAAGAGAGTACTTTACACGTAAAGAATTGTAGAGTAATTGAGTGATTAAACAATTATGTTAATGATTAAGTGAGCAAGTTGAGCAAGTGTATGAGTGTGTAAATACTTCTTTATTTAAATGATCGAGGAGATCGAAATATATTATTTTGAAAAAAATTGAGCTAGAAAACAACTTCTTTAGGTATATAGTAAGTAACAATTGTTTTATGAAACATATAAAGCTATAATTAGTAGACAATTTTTTTTTCAAAGTAAGAGAAACAGTCTAATAACTTTTTCAGGGTCTACGGCTTTTTCAAACACTGTTTTTTATTTTCCCACCTTTTTCTGTTTTTCTCTACTCTTTAATAATATTAATAAAAATAACACTCTTTTAATCCTACTATGTTTCACTTTAGGCACCCTTAATATATACATATGATGCAGGTGTCTTTCATTATACAAGAGGTACTTTACTATTAAATATATCATTATTTTACTAACTATAAATTACTTTAAATAGCCATTACATATATTTCTCTGATATAACCGGTGCAGACAAAAAAAAACACAAAAACATATTGGTGGCATGTACGTATATATCTATATCAACATCTTCTTCCCAGTATTAAAAACAATATCTAACATCTACTTTAAATATAGCTCACCCTTGATTTACATATGGTCAGTAAAAACAAATCATTTAAAGAATATAAGGGTACGTGTTATTCATTTTATTATTGTGTTGTTTTTATTTTGTTTTGTTTTTTTATATCAGCATTCTCACTCTCCTTTTTTATAGTTGAAATGGTTCTTCACATTCTTATATGACCGGTACTCAAGGACAAGACATGTTCCTTTAGTAAATATGTATGTATATGTTTTATATTCCTTTCTTTGTAATATATACTTGAATGACGCATTGGCTCGTAGCTTTTGATAATATAAATCTGTGTTTTATTCCATTATTAACAAATTATTCTAACAGTATGTAAGTATCTTTCTACTCCCTTTAATCAAATAGCTTCAGTAAGCATATATACTCACTATCCAAGTTTATTAATTCAAAAAATTCTGAAACAAAATTTATAAGAAGTACAATATAACAGATTAGTGTATTTAATAGTAATACTATATAGAATTCTTATTATTGCCAAAAAAAAAGGCTTTTTTTATCCAAAATAAAAACAAATAAAAAACCATTTTTCAAAACAAAACAATATCCAATTGAGTAACTCGTGCTTAGCATTTGCACCTATGAGAATTTTTTCTTCGATTCATTTAGCCAATAAACATTAAAGAAGTGCCCTGTTATTACGCCTGTTATTACAAAAACAAGGCCTACATCAAATTACAGGTATAATCAGCGGTAGATAATACATTGTTCTGCATTTGGAATAGTCTATATAATTGATCCCCGAGAACAGTTGATACACAGACCTTATACCTAAACTCCCGGTTTTTATTTTTGGAATAAGATAGTATTCAATTATTTTTGACACTTTATTCAATAACTTGTCAACTATGATTTCCTTAATATTTACGAGTAATTCATTTTTATGTGACAAAATATCCCGATAATCAAAACCTATTATTATAATAATTCCCAATGGTTTTTGCAGTGTAAGTTTTTGAAAAAGAAAGAAAAATTTAATTTTAAAAGTTAATCAAACTGTGGGCAAACCAGTAATTTCAACTCACAAGTTGATAATACTAGAAAGTTCCAGCAGAATCAATAGTATTCTCAACTCGACTTTCAGTTTAATCAACTTGCTACTACCATATTTAGAAATTTCGGAGTAAAAATAAAGACATTTCATTGGAGGATCCCATTTTTTATTTCCAAAAAAAATGAGTTATGATACTATAGCGTTTATAACTCTTGCACATACAGTGCTAGATGATCTTAAAACCTAGTGGAAAAAATATCAACTATAGTATATCATGTTATTTCAGTACTGTTTACCCATATATATATGTCAGTATTTTCTTACTTTTTTCCGGTGTTTGTTTATTAGGCGGTTTAATTTTAGGTGATAAATTTACTTTTTGTCAATCTTTTCAAAAAACATAGTTTTTTTAGCTTCAAATTAGATTTTTAGTAATGTTTTAATTATTATAGACCAAAACAAAGGTACAAAAGCAGAAAACTGCCATTTTTTCTGTAGTGTAAATTAAAATTAGATGTTCAAGACTTTATTACTAATTAAAAAAGTTGAAAACAATTGAAAAAGATAATATTATTACAGCTAATAAAAATAATAAAACACAATTTAAAAATTGATTTGTAATGTATTAAGTTTGTTGTGGATTGTAATGGATCACTTGGCAAATAAAATACAATGATAATAGAATAAAGTAGAAGACAGATACACTAAAAGACAGCAAGCAGCAATAGTTAACAGATAAGAAAAGAAAGAACAACTAATAGAATCATTGTTAAAAATAAGAGAGAGGGAAAGGTATATAGAAAGAGAATGACAAAAACAGAAAAAAGTAATAACTAACAAGGAGACCAAAACTAACAAACAATCTTCCTAAAACCAAGAAATCAATATGTTATGTTGCAAGATGATATAAATTACAAAGAAAAAAAAACAAGAAAAAAATACTGAATTGGATCAAAAGATAATATTTTAGTGAATAAAATTGCTTCTTTTTTATAGTCGATAAGATTTAGAATTGCTAATAGAAGTTAAGAAAAATAAAGATAGTAAAAATAAAATGATAAGTAATTGATATGGCAAGAATAAAATATATGGATAAAGATACAATAAAAATATAATAATAAAAGTACTGATGTTGCGCAGAGATGTTAGAAAATGAATTGTGTGCATTGTAGAAAAGAAAGGTTACTAGCATGGGGAACCATGATTTTAAATGAGTACAATGTAGACAAATATGTTAACAAGGGAAAAGGAAAAAGTATTGTATATAAAAAGAACAGGGAATGGAAATGAGATTTTTCCTGTGCACAGAAAAATTCTCCTCTTAATACCAAGGGCACAGCACCACATAAACAAACCGTTGATGTCAGCCTCTTATAACTGAGACGGCACATCATGACACAGCACCAGACAAACTCACTGAGCAGACTGACCTTCCGGTACTGGACACTACGACATGGCCAAAAGCTGGACATGCCCATAACACATGTGATACACTGACATGTGTGATACTCTATTGTATGTATGGTGTGTACAAGAAAAGCAAGGTACGGGTAGTAATAAGAATTGAATTCTGTAATAAAGTAAAGTTATTTAAATTGGGAAACAATTGTATAAAAATGTAAAATAAATAAGAGAAACTACTTCTAGAAGAGAAAAATAGAAGGAATTTTATAAGGGAAAGAATATCTGGAACTAGCAAAAGGAAATGAATAATGCTAATGTAAAATAAACTAAGTTAAGGGAAATGTTTAGAGAATAGAAGATTGAAAATTAACTAAGATAATTTTTAAGATAATTTTAAAATAAAAAATAAAGGGAAAATTCAACAAAACAAAAATCATAAAATTCAAGAGGAAGAAAAATAATAGAAAATAAATAATAAAAAATAGTCAATCATCCACAAAGACTTGACAAAAAAAATAGTAAACAGAAGAAAAATTTATAAAAGAGATCAGAAAAAGTAAACAACATCTTTAGAAAAAACTTTTGTATTAGAAAAATTCAACAATTGTTTATTGATTGATTTTTGAAGGGTTATTTATACTACTTATTGAATAAAATTTATGGTAAGAATAGATTACATTGATATCTCAGAGATAATTGAAATAAAAAAGATAGATAAAATAATTATAATCAAGATTTATCATGAAAGAAAAATAAATGAAGTTATAATACATAACTACAAAGAATAGAAAACATTGGAAGAAGTATGTTTTAAAGAAATAAAAAAACTACAGTTAACAATTTTAGTAAAGTAGTGTTGAGAGGAAAACGTCACATTTAGTGTGTAAGAAAAGTAAGAAAAATAAAAGAGGGAGAAACTAATTTTGGTAAAGAATAAAGGGAAGAGAAATTTATTTTCAGAAAATTGGAAGAAGAATAAAAATAAAAATAATGAGAAGTCAAATTTTAGAATAAGAAATAAAATTAATATAAATAAAATTAAAATTAAAAATTAAAAAAACAATTATAATTGGGGGTTTGAGACTTTGTGACTGATTAAAAAAGTTAAAATCGATTGAAAAAGAACTAATACTGCGGTTAATACATTTTATAGCGCACCAGATGAAAACTATAATTACAGCTGAATAGCGCAGAGGAAGCGCGTTGGGCCCATAACCCAAAGGTCGGAGGATCGAAACCTCCTTCAGCTACAATTTTTAAAAAGTTTTGTTTTTGTTGTCGGACACTATTGTGTCGTACCCGAATTCTTGTCAGCCAATCAGAATGATGATTACACAGAATTCTCTGTCAGGTCTCGATCTGGTATTTCTTTTCTGGCACTTGTAACTAAGTCACAGAATCAATATCACTGGGGATCGTTAAGTTTTTAAGAATAGTTTTTAGATAAGAATAAAGATGTCTTTTTATTAAATGTATTTCCTGACTATTTATACAAAATGATAATTGATTTCTGGCTAAAAGAATAGCTATGATAATATGTCTTAGATGCTTGTTGTCCAGTAATATCTTTTACAAGTATATTCACCATCTTAAATATCTAAAACATATGTGAAAGACCAATTAGCAAAGTCAAGGACTTTTATCCTAAAAAGTCAACCATTGCTGGTTGCTTGTAACTCCCGATTTTGGTTACCAATGTCAACTCTGACATTATCCCCTCCTGGCTTTGTGATTGTCCATGAGCACCAATGTCATCAGGTGAAGCCACAGGGTCAACCGCGTCATTTGGAATTTTGGTGTCAAGGAGTGTCATGGCAGCAAGCCAGGCTGAGCAATAGGCGGTTGGATTGTACCAAGTGTCATTAGGGGCATCACCATTTGTCTTGTATAACCAGTCGACGTGAACCCATGATGCAAGAGGTTTTCCTTCCATGGTTTTGAGCTGATACGTACCATATTTGTTGTTCTTGTTCATCACAATAAATGGACCCTTGAACTGTGGCTCCAAACCAAAACGACCTTCATGCGTGAGCTTGACGTGATTACCAATCTCAAACAATACTTTCTTGATCACTGCGTCCCATTTTTCTTTGTCCTTTGAGCTCATGACGCTCATGCACAACTCAGCAGCTTCCCTGGCTCTACCAACATTTTCCAGTTGGTCTGCTGTCTGGTTGGCTATGACATGTGGGTCTTTTGAGATAGTCTTGTCGAGGTAAGCACTGGAAAAATAACAATAAATACACATGGGGAAATTCAGGCATACTATTGTGAATATTCCGCATTTTACAGTGGGGTTTTGCCTATTTCCACTGGTACCAAAGCTGATCTGGTTACATGTGCACAGACCTGCTATCTACAAGTGTAAAGTTCGATAGCACTAGTGAAGTTGGGGTCAATAGTAATTTTATATCTTTGTATATAATAGAGTACCAAGAAAACTTTATTTCAAACTTTGTTTTTTTGCTGTAATACAATCTGTTTCCATGTTAAAGGTTAATAATCAGGGACTACGTCGCATGTGTATTGTTGAACTATCCCTGGGTGAATAGTTAGAACCATGGACATTTTATTGCTTATAAGCCAATCATTAACACTCTTTATTATGAGGTCATAGATTATCTGCTCCACCAATTACTTGATATTCAATTATTATTGGTTTGAATTATAGTTTATTTTTGTATTTATTAGAAAAAATAGAATGATTCTAGGTTGATAGTATTGGAATAATATTATATGCCTCGGGCCGTCTTCACTGGTATCCTTCATATGACTCAAATCAAGCAGTGCTTTATATATAATGTTTGTAAACCCTCATATTCAGTAGTTATCTTTGGCACAGATACTATTTAACATAATAGAAGAGAAGTTAGATGTGTACTTAAATATTTACATGTTGTGAGTGATATATTAATTTGAGGATACATACAATATAATGACTGAAGAAGATAAAAATAAAACTTTGAGAGTTCGAGGCATGGCGCCAAGTATAATTTCTTTAACAATGAAAATAATATAGAGAAGTTAGTTGGAGTGAATTGGGTGACAGAATATGTAATGAACGTATCCAAAGAAAGTCAATTTATTTGTAGACCTAGATAGTACTTGTCAAGAGTTGATATAACCTTTAGTAAAAAACATATATTAATATACAGTATAAATAATACTATCATACATATTAAGAGAATAAAAGAAGAAGTCTTACCATGTCAATGATGGTGCCAAGAGATAGAGGTTCTTGATGCATTGCATGTTTGGCAGATGAACATTCATCTGTAATAAAAATTATATTCTGTCAGATAAATATTAAAAGTAAATAAAAAATAAAATATTACCGTGTTGATGGTCTTGTTTAATTGTAGGGAATATTTTTGGCAATATTGTCTATAAAAAAGAAGGAGAAAAGTCAGAATAATTTTATATGATGATGACATGAAGTATAGTTACTAACCTGGACTAATCCGGATAGCCATTGTAAAGAGAATACATCAGATGGAAAAAACACGCTAGTATCTATGACAACTGAAATAATAATTATTATTTAGTTACATTTGAAGAAAAGAATTGCTTTAAAAAAAAAGAAGATATGTTACCAAAAAAGTTTGCAAATATAGTAAAACACTAAGAGAGTATATATGTATCTATGACAACAGAATGTGTTAATCTTGTTGTTGTCTGTACAGAAGTATTTTTAAGAAGAATGTATCTTACCAGTAAAATTCACAGTTATAACAAAAATCAGAAAGAGAAAGAAAAGAAAAGAAAATGGTTGATAAGGAAAAATATGGAAAAATATGGAAAAATAAAAAAAATAAGTAAATAAAATACAAAAAAAACAAAATAGGTAATTAAAAAAAATGAAACTCAAGAAAAATATCCAAAAAGCATAATAGATATAATGGTGTAGTATCTAAAAGCAATCTTTGTATCAATTTACACAGTGTGTGTACAAGAAGTTACTTTAGATATATTCTTTTAACCAAGATCAATCAAGACTAGACATCCTTTTTTTGGAAATATAAATATACGTTTTTGCTACAATCTTACTCACCCTTGCTCACGCACTCTTACAATTATTCTTACTTATACTCACACTTTCTCTCTCTATCTTCCCATCTTTTTCTGTCTTTTATTTTGGTATGTTTGATAATAAATATAATTGTAGTGTATAATAGAAATTTATTCAAAGAATATAAAAGCATTAACAGTTAATACATATTTGAACTTATATTTTTTAAATTAATAGAATATGTCTAACCAAAATGAAAGCTATCCCACTCGACGCACTCCTGCTGAGAGAGAGATGACAAACTCTCTTGCCATCTTGCGTCGTGACATGACCACTGTCATGAAAGACGTTGCTGATATCAAAGCAAAAACTTTGAACACTCCTGTGTCTGCTGTTTTGCAGAGTCAGCCGATGGCTTTAGTGCATGCTGTTGCTCCTGTGAGCATGGAAATGAATGTAGCTGGTTCTCCCACCATGGCTTCTGATGTAAAATCAGTCAACAAAACAAAAGCCTATGTATGTATCATACATATAGTAAGTTATATCTTTAATAACTTACCAAGATTCAATAGAGACTTCTTCGGGAGCATTTGTGGGACCCTAAGTTCAAGTCAAAACATTTGGCTGAAATTCAAGCCAACAATGGCAAGCCAAGGTGGAACACGGCTGTCAACTTCAACCAGTCGCCAAACACTGAGCTGACAGAAAACCTCGTTGCCTACTTGGAAAGAAATTTTGTAGGAGCAGGACTGAGAAAAAGTGATGTTCGTGACTTTGTCTACACGAACTTCACTAGCAGAAAGCGTGCAGCTAATAAGTCTCAGGCTAAAAAGAAGTCAGACAATGCTCGCAACAGAAGGAGTAGCCGCGAAAAGGAGGTAAGTTATACTTTATTTATTTATTATTTGAATAATTCTTATCTAAGTCATTAATTTAAAGCAAAAAAAGAAAACTAATTTAATATTTTCAACAGCACTTGAAACGTCGCAAAACAGCGTACCAGTCTAACAAGACTGCTATTGATGACGAGATGAAAAGAGATTGCTCTGGTCTCATTATAGAAGAGGCTATGTCTGTTGGTGAGTCAGACGATGGCACTTCGCCTCATGTTTCTTATAGTGGGCTTCGTCTTCGTCGTCCAGGTTGGAGAAGTGATGAGGTAATTAGTTTTTTGAAAGTTGAAATATTGAATTTAGTTAATATATTATATTGTATTATACTGAATAAAATATTAATGTCTTTAATATAGTACAACCACTTCATCACACTTGTTGACAAGAAAGTGATAGCTGATTTAGGCTCAAATAGCCATCAATTGCTGTCACATGCTTTTGGCAAAACCATTGAAGGACCAGTTTCTGATGCAATTGTGTCACAGTTTCCTCAGTGAGCTCTTAGAAACGGGCCCTAAATAAAGTTTATATTTTTGCTCTTTTTTTTTCATTCATAACGTCTTATATTTTAAATAACCAAAAAAATGCATAAAGAGGCATTACTTTTACTTTGTTTTTTATTTAATTATTCTCATAAAAAATCATAGTGCTTAATTATTCATAAAGGCTTCAGGCATAATATTTTTTGGCATAGGAATGACCAGCATTCTTTCTTCATTCATATCAGTTACATCTACAGCAGTTGCGACCTCTAAGTGTATGCGATGTACAGGCAAGATGCTGTGATAATTATCAGCAGAGAAATCTGGCAAGTAGATTGCAATACCTTCATCTCTGTGTTCATTGTCATTTGTCGAATTATACCATTGGATATATGCAAAAACATGCTGGTCTTGATGTAATGTTGATGCTCGGTGGTTTGGATGAAGAGGCAGAGTAAATGAATGTATAAAAAGATACTGAATTTGTCCGGTATATAGGCTTGAAGTTTGGCCATTTCTGCTATGGAAGAAAGCTTGAACGAGTGACCCGCGCTTACCAGAACTGTTATTTCCAATATATGTTCGGCCAAGGAGATCAATTAATTTCAATTTTGTGATTCGGTTATTTATAAAATATTGTGACAATCTGGCATCATGATAAGAAATGAGATTGGACATGGCATAGGCAATTTTATAATAATCTAACAATTGAGGATAATCAATATCACTCATTGTTAATTCTTTTAAGGACTGTAAAGGAAAGGTGGACGGCGGGAGTGGTTCATTGCCTTTGATAGGTGCTGCTTGGCTTAAGGATGAGTCTATAAATTGTTGCAGTCAGAAAGGTTGTTGGTTGGTTGGAGCATAAGTGGCATAGGTTGTTATAGATGCAGTCGTAGAGGTAAGTTTTTCGAAAAGAGGAAGGAATGGAATGAGGCTTGGACATGATAACATATTTTGTACATAATCAGCTTTGTATGCGTCTGCAGTGAATTTTGTTATATAGGTTGTTTCAAACCCGTCTTTTCTGTTTGTCTTGTTATTCTTTAACAAACCATTGTATCTCTCAAAACCAAAGAGCCAATAGCCATACACGGGTCCAAAATCACGAATTGTGTCATGAAGATGGAGATGCAGGTGCATGTTGCAGGTGAGGGCTTTTGGTTCATATGTATCTTCACAAGATTGACAGAATTCTTGTAGATATCTGTGTGCTTGATCTATTTCGATGAAACTGATTGACGGCTTTACAAGTATACGGCATGCTTTTACATAGTGCATCCAGCCATTGAACATATTGGACGGAATAACTGGTTTTAGAAGCACAGGAGAGTACACCAATACCCAAGACTTCCACTCATCTGCTTTCATGTGGGAAAAGCCCTTTCCTATATTTGTTTTTAGCTTGGTATAGTCACTAGGCAATATCATCGTTGCTGCAACTGTCTGCATTGCAAGCAGATCATTGTTTTTCATTTTTTTGATTTTTGTCCATGTTTCAATCATTCTCTTTGGTGTTCCCAGAAAAAGATTATACATGAGATCAATGATTGTTCCATGTACTAAATCAAAGTATCCAAGGCGATACAACTGCGACCATTGAACACCATATTTGACCTCCAGCTGCTGCCTTTCTGAGAGTGTACTCGCACTATTCTACTCCTCAGCATGTACACAGTTTGCTCTATCACTTCGATGGCGCCACTGGTCACAATCAAATCCACGGAAATCGACAGAAGAAGTGCCTGGTAGTCGAGAAAATTGATTGTTGCATTTGTAACAGGCACATGTGCTGTTGTGCGCGGTGAACCCACTAGTCTTTCTGGCAGCAGGTATATCGCGTGCAACCATCAATAAGGCTGCACGAACTGTTGCACTGTCTGTTTGCTGGTAGGTAGGTATCTGTATTCCAAGATAGAGCTGTATCATTTCGTCGACTAATGGCTTGAGATAATGATTGATTTCTTCTGATTTTGGCTCTTTTGGTCCGGGCATGAGGCCAACAAGGATTGTATTTTCTGCTTTAAACCGCTCACTTCTAGGCAGGTTGTTAATCACCAGGTAGATAGCACCGCAGGAATAGCTAGTACCATCGAAAGGCTGGAACCAGTTGATGTTTAATGTCAGCATCAATGAACGAGGATGCTCAACAAAAATTTCATTGTCATTGTCCTTCAAATTGGTCCAGGCTTCACCATCGTAAACATCACACAATGTATCAGTGATCTTGAATTCTTGGTTCCAGTGCATGATCTTTTGCTCGAAATCGGGATGGAGGAAAAGAATTTTAAGAGCACATGTGAGAGACTGATATACATAAGACTTCTTTGCAACCAAACCACCAGATAATGATTGGACCATTAATTTGCAATTACAGACAGTATGTGCAACAAGCTTTACGAAATCATAATTCAAAGGAGCAGGTACACTTTCCTCATACACCTTGTGGCAGTCCTGACACATGACAAATCTCTTAATCCCTTTTGTCATAGCTGAGAATCCTGTCATGCTTTGGAGACCAGAAAGACTCACAGGCAATTGGAAATCCTGCTCGTAAATCGACAAGAGCTTGTTGATGAACTTGATCAAGACAATAGCACCCTTATTGACCACATAGCGGGAAGCAAACATTACCACAAAAGTAGCAATGAATCTGTGTACCAGATTTTCAGGCATATTTGGGGTGGCAAAAGGATCTATTGTAAAAAAAAACAAAAAAAATTAACCCCCCCCCTTTTTTCAGATTTTTCTTTTTTGGTTCTTTTGATTTTTTTTGGGTCTTTTTTTATTAGTTAATTAACACGGGCTGACCTTCAGTATCGAATTCTTCGACTTCAATCTCAACAATATTCTCTTCATTGTCTTCACTTTCTTCACCGCCATTGCTTTCTTTGTCATTGTCATTTTCATCACCATCACTGCTTTCCCCATTCGACTCATTGCTAAAAGCAACCTCATCGTCAGAAATTGGGGCTCCTTCCCAAACAGGCGAGTTGGTCTGACCGCCCATTGCTTCCATGGGTCCGGTTTGTTGGTTTGATGTAGCTACATATAGAATTCAATTTTTAGTTTACTTCTCTTTTTATCACAATTAACGTTTCTTACTTTCAAAATCAATATCTGTGAGATTTCTTTGAACAGATACATCTATTGAAATAAAACATTATATAAAATAACCAAAATGAAAATGAAAATAAAAAATAAAACATACTTCTTTCACTTCTTTCCATGTCTTCATATCTTGCTCTTTTATTGTGACGCTGGAGGGTTTGTGTAGAAACAAAGCTGTAGCCTTGTTGATTATTGCTGCATTTTGTGCAATAGCACTTCTTATTATAAAGTTCAGAAGTAGAGGACATGGTGTTTATTTTTTTATAAATGTTAAGATAAAAGGGAAACAAGTGTTACATTTACTTTATTTGTTCAAACTTTATAATAATAATAATAATAAAATAACTTGGATGGTTATTATATCCGAGCCAATAGAAAATTACAACATGACTTTATGAACATGTACACCAAAAAACATGCTGAGATAAAAAATTGCTCTAAATATTCACATGTAACCATGAACCTTCACACAAGGGTATTCAGGGTCATTTCTCCAGTGAATGTCTGGTGATGAGACAGAAACTGACACTTCTGTTGTTGCATCTCGTCCTGATTGGCATAGTGATGAGGTAATGTTTTATATAAAATGATTTTTTCTATTGTTTGATTTCTGATGTATATATACATTCATAGTTGAATGCTGTGTTTGACTTTCTTGACAATCTTGCCAGAGATGACTTGGGAAAAAGAGCAACGCAGTTGAAGTTGCGGAGTCATGTGTTGGTACACAAGACAATTCCTTGTGGCTTGGTTACAAAAATGCCTGCGTGGTCAAAACGCGTATAATAAAATTTCTGTCTTTTTAGTTGCATTCTTTACCACATCTCTTTTTATGTCTATGAACTCTGTCTTATATTATTATTATTATTTAAAAAAAAGATAGAGTATTTTATTAAGCGTACAGCTTTCTTGGCAGAGGAATAACAATGACATTTGCTGTACCACTACCAGACACATGACTTCCAATTGGAATTGGTGACAAGATGCGGTGAACAGGCAGAATGTTGTCATAGTCGTATTTTAAAAACGCTGCATCATACAACTTGATACCCTGATTAATTTTTGGCTGATGGCAAGGAATCTGGTACCATTCAATGAAAGCAAAAACATGTTTGGGATTGTGGCAAGCATGGAGGTCGGTGTAGATAGGATTGAGTGTAAAATTGTGTGTAAAAAGATACTTGATACAACCAGCGTATATCCCTTTACTATTATTGTTGGTCTCTATATACTTGGCCTGTATATAGGACCCTCTCATGATCAAGCCTTCGCCGCCTTTATAGACTTGTCTAAGAAGATTGATAGATGCAATCTTTTGAATTCTGTCATTGGCAAATATTCTGTGCCTTAGCATAGTTTTTGCACTACATAGAGTCTCATCATCATACTCAATCTTGTAGAACTTTAAAAGACAGTCGTATTCTGCTTTTCTCATTGTTGTTGCTTCTTTTAAAGCCAGTGGCAAGGCAGAAGGTGGAAGAGGCTCATTACCAAATGTTTGTTGTTCTGGATTGGTGGCGGATTCCAGGAATGATGGAAGATGAAAGAATGATGGCGAGTTTTGATGATTGCCAAATGGAATTGTGCCAGTTATACTGTTGGTAAGTTTGCTGAAGAGAGAAATGTAAGAGGGGTTGGTAATGGTGCTGAGATGTGTGTGATAGAAATCACCCTTGGAAGAGTTCTCAATGAACTTCTTCATGTACGTTTTCTCAAAGCCACTTTTTTGATTTGTTTATAATCCTTTCAAGACACCATTGAAACACTCAAAACTAAACAACTAAAAACTGTAGATTGGTCCAAAATCCTGAATCGATTCTTTCAAATGAAGATGAAGATGCATGTTTGGCAGCAGTAAGTCAAGCTTACAAATTGTTTCACAACCACAGCAGAATTTTTTCAAACTGAGATGGACTTTATCAATCTCTTCTTCAGTAATGGCTGGCTTTGTTAGTGCCCTACACACATCAGCAAAATGAATCCAGTTTACAAAAAGATTACTTGGCAGGCACGTCTTCAGCAGAACAGGAGAGTATATCAGACACCAGGATTTCCATTCATCTGCCTTCATAAATGGAAATTCTTTTCCAATCTTTGTTTAGAGAATTGTATACCCCATTGGGAGTGTTATTGCATCAGCTTCCTTCTGCATGTCTGCAAAGTCATTACTGTCAAGCAAGCCACATGCGATCCAATTGTCCATCATGTGCTTTGCTGTCCCAAGGAAAAGATTGTGCATGGGATCGATTACTGTTGCACGCACTGGTTCAAAATAGGTGAGTTGGTGAAGCTCGGACCAATGAATGCCATTCTCAACCTCCAATCGCTTTCTTTCTGTTAGTGTTCTGGCATTCTTCCACATTATGGCATGCTCAATATTCTCTTCCTTGGTTCTGCTTACTCAGTTGGAGAACTTAAACCCAGAGTAGTTAACAATAGTGGATCCATCAATGCGTTTGAAATAGCAGTTGCATTTATTACACGCACATGTGCTATTATGGGAGGGGAACCCACATGTTTTTCTTGCAGCTGGTATATTGCAAGCAACCATCAGCAAAGCAGCACGGATAAGAGCACCAGGGCAGTCATAGATATTTACTGTTATACCCTTGTAGAGAACTATGAGCTTGTCAATAAGAGGACGCAAATAGTTATTGATCTCGTCAGTACTTGCTTCTTTGGGTCCAGACATTAACCCCACAAGGATAACATTTTCAACCTTGTTGCACTCTTCTCTTGACAGATTGTTTACCATGAGATATATGGTACCACAAGAATATGTCACCCCATCAAAGGGCTGGAACCAATCGATATTTAATGTCAAGAGCAATGAATGTTCCTTTGCAACAAACTGGGCACCTTCATTATCAACAAACTCTTTCTACATTTTCCCATCATAAACATCAAATAAAGTATCATCAACCTTTGGCTCGCAGCTTCACTGATTGATATTCTTTTTGAAAGAAGGACGCATGAACAATTTCTTCAAGGAAGCTGTCAACGAGTTTTAGACGAACATACGCTTAGGAACCATTGCATTTCTTATACTGTGCTTGTAAAGATCGTTTCCTCAAAAGGTCTTGCTGCCGACTCTTCTAAAATTGCAACATGTTTGTGTGGTGTTGCTGTAGTCATATAAGGTGTGGCAATTGCTGCATGCTATGTAATTGGATACCTCATTCATCAAATCATTATACCCTGTCATTTTCTTCACTGCAAAAGACAACTGATTTAAGTAGCTTAATTTTTGTTTAAATCCTCCAAAAATCGGTGGTTTATGTTCAATTATAGTTCAGTATTTGTTACAAAAATTAGTTCATTTAGTTAACCAAATGATGAGATTATAGATACTAAAATCAATAGATAAATTGAGAGTTATAATTCCCCCTTTTCTTGAAATGTTATAATTGTTTGTAATTCTGGTTATATATTCACCCATAACTTCAAACCGTACCTAAACCCTACTTGTTATGGAATTGGCTTTGAACTCTCTACCTCTTAAAAAATTTTATTTGCTTTAATTACATGATATTATTGGATAGATCTCACTAAAATTGACCTAGAATCAGTCTGAAATCTTACAGGAACCAGCATTCAAATGAATGATTGTAAAAAAAAACTTAAATAGATCTTGTTGACATCATCAAGAGATGACGCATTTGAAATAGAATCTCATGGAAATATGGTTTTTATTGATTTTTGAATAGTTGGAAAATATATTTAGCTATTTAATATGGACCACTAATACTTCTTTAAAAGTGTGTATCCGAATAGTACGACTTATATACATGTTATACTTTTATTTATTGGACGGCTTGAATACATTGGATGACCTGACTTATACTATACTTCCCTACCTTATCGGTTTCATGTATTTGGCACGTTTTTTGGTTTTACACTTCTTTAACTGAAAATGAAATCCTTGGTATTTTCTTGGAGAATACGTTTGTTTGGAGCTACATTAGCTTAGAGCAAAAAAAGATATAGAAGTGTTAATACAGGTTTCTTTATGAAATAAAATGAAATAACATACTTACTAGATCATTTATGGGGCTTCATAACAAATCTCGCAATAGAATAAAAATCCGTTTGATTGATATTTTCTTTTAAATAAAAAGCAAGAGATAAAATAAACAACTTTATTAATATGTACGCTTTGATTGTAAAGACACTTGAATTACTTACATATTATAGACACGCGTTTGCAAAAGGGGGCAAACCAGTATGACTTGAAAAAAAGACATGACATATTTATCTAAGAAGAATTGATGTTACATTATTTAAGTTGCGTTATATATATATTATCTTTTCATAGACTGAAAATACCAGAAAGTATATAGTGTCAAGAGCAAAACATCTTTTATTACAAAATGGGTAGAAGTCCTATCATTTTAAAAATAAAAGATATTTAGTCAGCAAGGTGTTTCATTTTGGTTAGGAGATTGTTTATTACCTGTACTGTTTTGAATGCTTGTTGAGTGTATTGTTTATCTAATATATATTAAGATGATTCTAAAAGCCAAAAGTATTAATAAAAGTTGAGATCTTAAGAGTAAGCTTATCAAGACATATAAAAAGAGACAAAACGAGAAGAGCAGGTTAAAGAAAGAGAAAATAAAAAAGAGGGGCGCAGTTATTCTATTAAATACAAATTCAGGGTTTTTTTTTTAAAAATAAATAAATCAAAAAATAATTTTTGTCTGTAACTTAGAATTGAAAGAAAACGCAGTTGCACTATGCCAGCAGCTAATACATATGAAAAACAGAGTATAGTATAAAATCATATTATTCAAATACTAATACATAATATAAGAATAAAACATGGATTGAAAATTAAATTAAAGAAACACATAAAATACTCACAACAAGAGTGGAAACATTCAAAGCTGTTCTTGTTACGTAATAGATCATGGTGTTCTCTGAGAAAGAATAAAACTTAAAGCCCAAATTAAACATAATATAAATAGACCCTTTGGATTTAAAAAAAACAAGATATTCTTATTATTCACAATGTCAAGAAATCTCAATAACAATTCAGTTAACAATGCTTTTGGTGAAGAACCTTCTGTAGGAAGGTAGATTAAAACCAGGCAGTCTTCAATTTTCTTATATTAATTTTATTTTCGTTTTTTATAAAAATCAAAAAAAAGCCCACCAAGAAATATCAATGATATAAGGACAATAATGTTGCAACACTCACAGGGAACAGTGAGCAATCAAAGACCACTAGCACCAAAGAGAGCTCGGTTGAATCTTGAAGGTGATTCGTCGGGTAGAACTCGTAGCATCCATGATGTGTACGAGAAACTTGATACCATGAATGGTGTCTTAAACACTGTTTTGAAGAACACATCTTCTGAGAAAGCCGAAGCCACTGCTAGTAATGCAGTTGAGCAAGACATGTCGCCTGGACATCAACCAACATTGGATGTAAGTAATCATAATATGTTTTTATGTAGATAGAATTTAATATACATTTATATTATAGCAATTGTTGCGCGATTATTTGAGTGAAGAGAAATTGTATGACCAATACAATACCAATGAAAATAAAAACAGTGAGGGAAACAGACTCGTTCTGAAGTCTGTTACCAATTATCTTCGTTGTCAAGAAGAGGGAAAAAAGGTGGACTTGCCAACTCTTCAAACTAAGATTGTGCGGCACATTGGCAACAGAAAGTTGCAAAAAAAAACAGGAGAAAAGAAGCAGGAAGAGAATCGACGGGCCTGTCTTTGTCAGCAATGTGTAAAGGTAAAAAACACACGCACACAATATACTAGATGTGATATTAAATTAGAAATATTATATATTTATATATAGTCGTGTGAAAGAAGACAATCTGCCTTGAAAGCCAATCGGGCACACTTTGTGAACAGCTTTGGAGAGAATGTTGACAGTATTCTCCATGCTGATTATATGTCAGACCTTGAGAGTGATGATGAAAGAGAAGAAGAGGAACAGGATTCGTCCTCAGAAAAGAGTTTTTTTGGAGATTCCACCCAAGCTGGAGAAGCAAAGAGGTATAGTACAAAAAACTATTTTTTTGGATGGTGTGTAATAATACTTACATTGACATATAGGGAGATAGGTTTGTTGATGAACTTGATGTGGATTATGAGGCAGCTCATGATAAGAAAAATAATACCCGTCCATTCGAGCATAAATTTAAAAGAATAAGAGATAAGCGGCTTAGTAAGACCAAGGCAAACAAGCTGCCATCATGGTCAAAGAAATAATAAGACAATAAATCAAACATTTTCTAATAAATTGATAAAAGAGTGCAAAGTGGTATTTTATTAATATTATTTAAGCTTATATTTTTTAGGGTAAAGGGATTACTAAACGTTTAAATTCACTAGTTATAGTAAACCTATATTTAGCAATTGCAATTGGTGAATATAAACGATGTACTGGAATAATACATTCATAATTAAGTACAGAAGAAGGTTCATTCCAGAGCTCAATGCCTTCATTTAACATTGGCTGGTAACTCCCCAAAGAATAACTAGAGTACCACTCAACAAACGCAAAAGTATGGGTGATGACAGTTTCGTTGATGGTTATCAAATGTTGAAATAAATACAGTATACGGCCAGGAAACGCTGCTTTATCTTCACTGTTATTCTCAAGATAATAGGCGCGGAAATAAGATCCAGAAGAGTATTCCTGTCCAAGAAGAGATATCCGTTTCATTTTCTCAATTCGGTTATTGACAAAAATCTGGTTAGACTCACAGTTTGAATAATGGCCAAAAAGATTGTGACTGCCATACGCGTGTCTGTAAAACTCCAGTAAACATTCATAATGTCCCTTGCACATTGTAATCCTTTGGTCGAGTTTAATTGGAAACACTGAAGGGGGCAACGGCTCACAACCCAAAGCAGAATGGTGAGGGTTTAACGAATATTCAACAAAGTCAGACAGAGAAAAGGTACTGGCAGTAGAAGATGGATGCAATGCTGCTAATTGATCTTGACTATTTGAAATGCAATGCAGAAAGTCAATTGCGAACTGGGGAAGATGGTTGACAAAAGATTGTATGAAGCTGCCAATGTATGTTCTCTCCAAAAATCTCTTCATCATTGTTGATTCGAAGCCGTCTTTTTGATTTGTTTTGATATTCTTCAACAAACTATTGTATCTCTCGAAACTGAATAACCAGAAAGCATAAATTGGCCCAAAGTCATGAACACACTCGCCAAGATGAAGATATAGATGCATATTTGGTGTCACAGCCGATTTTCCATACAGTGTCTGAAATCTTGTACAAAACAATTGGAGTTTACTGTGGGCTTCGTCTATTTCTTTGTCATTGATCGAAGGTTTTGTGAGTAAGCAGCATGTGTCAACAAACAAAATCCAGTTTTCGAGATTCTTGGCTGGGAGCACATGCTTCAGAACAAATGGAGAGTATATGACGCACCACGACTTCCACTCGTCAGCTTTCATGAACGAAAACCCATTGGCAATCTTCTTTGTTATATGCGCATATCCACAAGGTACAAAAATACCATTGGCAAGCTCTTGCATAGTTAACTGATTCTTTTCATTGATGTAGTTACACTCGCGCCATATCTGAATCATTCGCTTTGCAGTTCCAAGATAGAGGTTATGCATTGGGTCTATAACTGTAAAGTGGACTGGGTCAAAGTAAGATAACCAATGAAGCTCTGACCACCGAGTGCCGTTTTCTTTTTCTAGGCGTGTTCACTCAGTATTGTTCAATGCATTTGCCCAGCTGACAGCGTGTTTCAGATTCATTGTCTTCGTGTGTCTCACCCAATTGCTATACTTGGATCCAGAGTAGTCAAGCTTGCTGGTCTTCTTTATAGTCGTGAATTGTCGTTGACATTTGTGACAGGCGCATGTGCTCATGTGGCCAGTAAATCCAGAGGTTTTGCAAGTGGCAGGGATATCACAGGCAACACACATCAATGCAGCACGAACAACAATCTTTCTATTTTGCGAGTCTGTCATTTCTACACCAATGTACATCTCCAACAATTCGTCAACGAGCGGCTTCAAGTAATGATTCATGCTGTCAGTGCTTGCTTCCTTTGGCCCAGGCATCATACCAACAAGAATGACATTTTCAGACTTAAGGTGTTCACTCCGTGGGAGATTGTTGATAGAGAGATATATTGCACCACTGGAATGTGTTCGTCCATCAAATGGCTGAAACCAATCGATATTCAGAGTCAACATTAAAGATCGGCTATCATCAACAAACCGTCTGCCATTGATGTCTTTAATATCACTCCAAACTGCACCATCGAAAATGTCAAGTTTGGTGTTTTCAATTATTTGACGATTTCTCCACAAATTGATCTTGGACACGAAATCTGGCTTGGAGAATTTTTGTTGCAAGGCGTACTTCAGAGAGTTGAATGGATATACCATTGCTGGAAGAGAATGATTTCCGGTTGACACTTTAAAGAAATTGTTGTTGCAAATGGCGGATTGAGAGAATTTCTTAAATGTACAGACTCTTTGACTTGTTTCTGGAGAATAAATCGAATGACATTGTGAGCATGCAATGTATACTGTCATTCCATCTGTTGCCATGTTAAATCCTATCTTATGCTTCAAGCTATTGGTCGTCAGTGGAAGGGCGCCAGACATATCACAGAGAGACAGTAGAGTATTACAATATTCAATGAGAATCGATACACTGCTTTCCACCAAAAAGATCAAGTGAAATATGACAATGAATACTGCAACAAAGCAGATATACAAGGGCATGTTATCAAAAGACAAAGGACGAACTATGAAGACAAAGGTTAAGTTAGTTTAAATTAATATATTGATTAATTGTCTATACTGTATTAATTCATACCTGATTCTACTATTGAGGTCCCACTGGTCTTATCAAAGTTTTCTTCTTGTTCAAAATCAAAACCAGTATCGCCTTCTTCAATCTCATCACCATCAACCACAAATGCTCCTGTAATTATATCTTCGGTAGTAAAGATGGACTCTTCTTGGGACAAAGGTAAGTCAACTGGAAAGAAATAATTGTTGTAAAGATGTAGAAATAAAAATATAATTACAATTATAATCATATAAAAAATAAAAAATAAAAAAAAGATATATCAGTTTCAATTATTATTTTGTTCATTTATTTTATTTTATTTTCTTACCTTCTTGATCAAATTCAATGTTTTGTTCTTCATTTTCATCTTCATATTCGCCTTCGCCTTTGTTTTTGTAATCATAATCATTGTCATTGTCACTGTCAATACTATCTACTTCCATGTTGTCAAAATGTTCTTCAGGAACATCTATTTTATGAATTAATTTATATTAATTTTACATGTACAGCTCGAGTTATTCTTGTTATTTACCTATTGCATCGTCTTTGGCAACAGGCACTATATGTTTCTCATAGTGTCGTTGTGCATTTTGTCTTTTCTGTTTCTTTCCACGGCTATCCAACTTTGTACAGTCTGGAAATTTACAGATAACATAACTGTCTTTCTTTTGATTATTGGACATGTCGATTGTTTTAAATTATAAAAAAAATTATATAGATTTGAAGAGATCTTGATCAAGGTCTTTATATACCAAAAAAAAATTATAAATAGATAAAATACTGCTCCATGCCATGACTATAGTATGCCAAGTAATTCTTTGATACATCTACCACACATATCATCATAATTATACTCATATATCGTTAAGTCATTAACCAAGTCAAATACTGCGTACATTACTAAAAGTGTACGCAATTTTTTTTAAAAGTCTTTTTTTAGAATTATAATATTTGATATGACAATGATTTGACCATGACAAAAAATAATCCAAAAATGGAACATTCGCCTCTCACAACATGTGAAATAAAAAAATCTGATATTTTAGTTCCATATATCAAAGGGAAAAATCACGCAAAAATATTGTCACAGTAAAAATGAAATCACAACCTTTTGTCTCGTTCCCTTGAAATATATTGATTAAATATTTGTTCTTATATTCACATTTATAATATATAAAATATATTTAAATGATTTATTTTGAAATAGAAAAAGTGAAACCTTAAGAATATATATAATTTTTATTAAATATTATATTAACTTTTGTATAAGTGTTTTTTCAGTGTAATTTAGAATTATATCAAAGAAGTGTATAATATAAAAAAAAACCCACTTTTGTAATTTTATGGCCAAAAAAAATGACGGTAGTGTGATTTTACAGCTTAAAAAGAGCAATCTGAAATCACAACAGAAAAAAATAGAAATTATTTGAAAAAATTAAAAATCGAAAATTGTAGTAAAATTTTTGCAGATTTTCAGGAACTAAAATCAGTGGTCTTTTGCAGTGCTTCAGACCAGGAATACTTATAGGAAGTTTGAAATCCTCTACGTAATGTTCAAGTATTGTATTGATGAACGTGATCAAAATCACAGCGCCATCATCCACAATGAAAGTCAAAATAAATATCATAGTGAAAATGGCAATTACTCTATACCAAGAATTTTCCGGGAGGTTTGCTGTAGACTCTATAGATTATCATGATATAGTATTAATTTTTGTTTTCTTGGTTTGATCTAGATCAATTCATTTTAATTATCATTTATTTTTAATAGTTACCCTGTTCTTCCTCTCTGTCTTGCTCTTCTGGCTCAATATCATCCGACAATTCATATTCAGACTCATACTCTGAAGTATACTCCTCTGTTCCAAAAAGAGATTCTTCCACCAAAAGAGGTAAGTCGGTATGGACATACTGCTCTGGTGAGGGTGCACCAACAGAGTGATTGTCATCTATTGGTACCAAGTTTAAATAGAGTGCACATTGGGTATAAAAAATAAAATACTATTACCTTCAATATATTCTTCAATTTGATCTATGTCCATATCAGTTTCACCAGTGTTTACTTTGGCTGTCAAAACTATTTGTTTCAATTAATTAGAATACATCATATAAATAAATAAAAAATTGATAACTTTAGTTACTATTAATAATTTTATTCATTTTCTATTGTTGTCATTCTGGGCATGACGCTTGGCAGTTCTTTTATCTGTTGTGATGTATCTGAGAGGATTGCGATTGCATCTTGTATATTTATAACAAACTTCATTGGGATTGGCAATGGCAAACATTTTTTTACTTATTTTTTTTAATAATAAAGGAAGTGTGTAACAGTCATTGCTTATTATAATTGTCTTTATTATTTTAAAAAAATTCTCTCAGGGACTCTGATATATATTAGGCCAATGATATGTCTTTAAATATATTCTTGCTGCTAAACACAGGAAATGATCTGGGTTGTAATTTTTTTACTACTATTATTGATAATTTTAGATAAGTGGAATTCAATTATTTTAAGATGTTTTTGTAGTGAAAGATACAGTAATTCTGTAATGGTAACTTCTCACGCATCTAAATATCCAGAGACTTATTTTCATCAGGGAGAAACTTATACAGTAAATTCTTCATCTATATTTTTTATTTAACACTTTTTAAATAACTTCTATCTTATAGTATTCTTCACACATCTTTCTCATTTTGTTATAGATGTCTTTATAATTAGACTTTCTAATGTCTATACCCCACTCTTCAATTTGTTTCAAAACTGAAACTCTAGTATTTCTACAGGTTCTGCCCCCTTTTAACTGATCTTCAATAATTTTGATGGCCTCAGAAGGTAAAAGCAATGTTCTAATTTCTGAAGCGTCACCAGAAACATAGTTGGTATGATCTTTAGTCATACAAATTAAAACTACTTCAGGGTTGTTGACGTATTGCTTGATGAAAATAGTGGCTTCGCAATAACAAAGCTTAGTGTCTTTCTGAGCAAGACAAACATTTTTGTCTGATATATAAAATCTTGCTTGGTGACATTTTCTTGTCTTTTCATACATCAGTTCTCTTACACGAAGTTTTCTACATTTATTCCACTTTGTTGAACAAAGTGATTGAATGTGATCAAGACATTGTTCTCATTTACTTGCTTTTACTTTTACTACAACATCCAAAGCAAGCAGTTTTATTTCTTCTGTAGATGAGTTGACTAAAGCATTCTGTACATTTCAAAGATTGAATATAATGTTGAACATTAGCAAGCTTGTATTATGATAGTATATGTAATTAAAATAAAGAGGAGAGAAGAAGAAAAACATAGCAAAAAAAAGTTTTAATAAAAGCCACCTTGAAAATTCTCTATATGAAAAAGCCACATCCTTATAATTTAAAGCCCTTTGCAACATAAAAAAGTAGACTCTCTAAGTAATTTAAACTTGGCATGCAAGGAAATATATATGTACATTTTTTACATCATTTTATGTCATCACATTGTCACGTGTGATATGTGGTTATGTATAAGAGATGTACAAGAAGAGATAAATGTATGTAAGAAGAGAAATTAAAAAGAGAAATTGAGGATTTGGGTTCAATTTTGGATAAATTGGAGTGATAAAATAGTCTTTTTGTTATTAAATAGATCAGTTAAAGAAATTAAAATGGAATCTAACACTAAGATAAGAATGTAAATAATTTGAATGATTAGAGAAATAGTTAAACTAAAAGAAGTGAAGTAAATAATACCAATTCTAAAGAGTTAACTTCAAGAAAAAAATGTTTACTAGAGTAAAGGATTTAACTAAAGTGAAATTTACTATGGTAAATTTACTAAGAAATAAATAAAAAAGATAAATTGGGACAAAATAATAAAATATAAGGGGATGGTCAATCTTCTATGAAGACTTGACAGAAAAATAAAGAAAACGGAAGAAATTTTATAAAAAGAGATCAGAAATAATAGACATCATTGTGGTGATCCAGACACTCGGATGTTGGATTTATCACATATAAGAACATATTCATATTGGGATAGCGTAGTAGCTATCATCTTGTCAGTATAAAATATATATAAACGATTAAGTAATCAGCCCAATAATTATTACAGTTAGTACTGTAGATAATATCTTAAAGATTGTTAAGATAATTATATCATACTGCCGGGTAAACTGTGTCAGATCGATATGGAGCTAATTTAGTAGGAAGTCCTAAAGCTCTAGTATAAAAGAGAAAAGAATAGCTAAGAGCTAAAGAAGTACGATTTAGGACTTGATGTCATAATTGTAACACCGACACTAGTTAAGCAGTAAATACACTCTAATAACCAAATATAGTAAAGGAAGAAAGCCTTAAGAAACTAAGACGTAATGACAAGAGCAGATTGTGTTTTCTTATAAAAAGGGACACTTTTTATTTATGAATAAAAACAACTTATATACAGTCTCAAAGTATTTCTATACGTCTCTATTATCAAATATTTTATTTTTCTATTGTTTCGTACCTGAAATACCACAATCATCTTAAATAAAACTTTGTATCAAAAAAATTTGACAATTGTTTATTGATTGCTTTTAGAGAGATATTTATACTACTTTATGGATAAAATATATAGCAAAAATAGGCTAGATAAAACTCGATGAGATAATCGTAAATAAAAATATAAAGAAAAATAATTATATAAATATTTTGTCATGAAAAAAGAAATAGATGAAGTTATAATATATAACTACAAGAAAAGAAAAATATTGGAAAGAATTATGTTATAAATAAAGAGAAAAACTATTCAGTTAACAATTTTGGTAAAGTAATATTTAAGAGAAAGTGTCACATTTAGTGTGCAGGAATAAAAAAAGAAAAGAGAGAAGATGTTGTATCCAACATAATCGTAGATTTAAATTAAAAGTACAGACACTCAATAAATACGTACATTGAGTTACCGACAACTAGTAACGATACTAAAAGATATATCTTCCCTTATACAAGGAAATTACGTAAAGAACATACTAAGACAAATACTAAGACTCTAGTCAATAACACTAAAAACATAAGAACTAAATCATAGAAGATAATGGTAGAGAAACAGACATTACATGATATTATCATATCATCACCAAGCTAAATACAATGTCTATATAAACGCACAATACTAATAGCAATAGAACAGCATCTCTTTTCTGATTCTTTCACTTCTTCTAATAAAACAAAGTCTCACTGTACTCTCATCTGCACTTGTTTTATTTTATATCTTATTTTTACCTCATACATAACAGAAGACAATTTCGGGAAAAATAGAGGGGAAAAGATTTTAATTTTCAGAAAATCAGTTTTTGGAAATAGGCGATTTTGTGAAAATGGAAGAAAGAAATTAAAATTAAAATTAAAATTTTGAAGAAAAATTAAAAGGGGTTTTCAAAAGAATGTCTGAACTTGGTAGAATATTGTTTTTGGACTACGGCTGACAAAATTTTAAATTAACTTGTCAACATCATCACGCCATGATAGTATAGTGGCAGTACGTCGCGTTGTGGCCGCGCTGACCCTGGTTCGATTCCAGGTCATGGCATTTTGAACAAATATTTTGACGTTCCCGATCTGGGTTGGTCTTCCTTTTACTATAACAAAGTCAAAAGGTCAAACCCACTGGGGATCAAGGAGTATATGTAAAATCAAAGAGAGGATAAAAGGTACTTTTTATTGATATGAATTGAATTGTCTTATATAGTTTTCTACACTAATACTGTGCATTATCCACAGTAGCTATTATATTATATTTAAATAAAAGAAGAGTCATTATACTGCGATTAATGCTCAGGAAGACGTTACTGCGCATAAAGAGGTACTGTGGTTAACCATCTTCAAATTTTACAGATTCATTAAAATAATGAAAGTCTATATTTTCTGGTAGATGATAAAATATTAACTGAAATGGTGACTGCCAATCCTTTTCTTTGTTTTTGAATTGTTTATTTGAAACAGATATTCTATATCTATTAAATTACTCATTTTATTAAAATACACACTCTCACCAAATATGTCAATCAACAACACTTAATCTAACAAAACCATTTACACTTTGACAACAATCTCTCAAGCCTTGGAATTCTCTTCTGTTCCAGGAGTGATGACACTTAGATTAGAAAATATTATTAGAGTAAAAACATCTGAGTAGAAAGAATGTTTAATAGAGATTAAGGAAGCTTGTGCAGTCAAGTGGGTCATTTGCAACACCAATAAGCAACCCACCAACATTACTGCTGAAGAAGCCAAAGCAACTGGTATTAAGTTGTGTTTTTCTCAGGAGTATTCCTGTCATCATTGGGGAACCTATGAATCTAAGGCAGCTTTGCGTGTGGTTCAAAAGCAAACAAAGAAAAACAAGTATCCTGCTCTTCTTCTTGTGAAAGGATTCTTTAAGACACCTGAGTTTTATGAATTTGTTGTTACAAAAGATCATGCAGAGCATACTCCTGGTGATATGCGTAGTGACATTTGCACCCTTCCTCTTGCAAATAAATATCTTCACGAGTTGACTCAGCAATTAGAACAGTCATCAAAATCTGCTAGTCAAATTAGAATTGATATGTTGAGAGCTGTAAATCGATATGGTAGAAAGTCTGAAAGAAAAGTTAACTATTATGATATCTGGAATTTGATAAACAAAGTAAGCTTTAAAAATAATATATCTTATAGCATTTACTTTAATATATTTCTGTAATAGGTCAATAAAAAGCTGTATCATTTTGACAAAGACCAAATGACTTCTTTCTTAATCTGAATGAACAACAAACTTCCTGCCTTAAACTTTAACATCTTTAAGACAAACACTTCATATTCTCCAGATCCATCAGCCTTTGCGTATGGTTTTATGTCACCCGTTCAGCAAGAAAAAATGAAAACCGCAACTTCTTTCTGTTTGAATACTACTCATGCAATCTCTAGCAATGTGAATGAGATTCTTTATACCTTTTTGGTACGTGATAAAGATATTGGTAGAGGATGGCCTGTTGCCTTTATGGTAACCAATGATCAAGGTGTAAGCCCCATTGTGCAGTGGCGGCAGTTCTTGAAGAGATCTTCTTTGCTTGTTGACCCAAAGCAATTTACTATTGATTGTTGTGCAGCAGAAGTTCATGTCATTCAGACAACTTTCCCTGCAACATCCATTCAATTTTGCATCTTTCATGTAACCCAAGCATGGAACCAAAAGTTATCTGACAGTGTGAAGATTCCTGGATCCTTACTATCAGAGACACAAATTTTACGTGGTGTAATGATGAAGTCTTGGCAAGAGATCATTTATGAAGAAGATATAGACGAGTTTCATCATAAAATTGTACAGTTTAAAGAAGACTTTAATGACCAAGAAAGCTTCTTGGATTACTTTGAGAGAAACTGGTGCACAGAAGCAAAGTTTAAGATCTGGAGTAGAGCATACCATGAATGACAATTCTCCCATATGCTCACAAATAACTATATTGAGTCCTGGCACAATCAATTAAAAACAGTTTTCATGAAAAGATCTAGAAACAAGAGACTTGATAAGCTTGTTTTTGTTTTAGTACATGATGTTGAGTATTATCTCACCCAAGAATATGAACACATCATGTCAAACAATGGTCCAATGAGTTCTTTTACTAGACAACAAAGAATATGTGAGATGGAAGCTGAAGAAGTTGATGATGATGACAGGAAAATGATGATTGTTGCTCCTGGTACTGCAGAAGATGTAAATTGTCAAGTTCGGTCATTTGTAAATGAAAATACAGCATATGTCGTTCAGGTTGCAGAGCCAAACTTGATTATTTCCTGCACTTGCTTTGATTATCAGCAAAGATATAAACCTTGTAAGCATATGTATTTGCTTAAAATGCATACAAACCAATCTCTCTACTTCTCTTCACCTTATGTCACAAATACAAACATAATACAGCCAGTCTCTACCTCTGAAACAGCTACAATCACACCAACTACACTGGAAAAATAGGGTAATTTCATCTATGGCGTAGGGTACTATTATTTGTGGAGTGGTAGCTTAAATTTCCATCACTTTTGTCTTTTTTATTTTCGATGGCGATGATAATGCTTAGTCTGTTTTATTGGATAAAAAAACGAGTTTACTCTTTTTTGTAAAAAATGTCTGCAAGATTTCTTTTTGGGACTTGTAGCCATGTCGCAGAGTCAATAGTTGTAGGGAACTTAAACCAAATGATATCTTTTGAGTGAGATAATAAAACTTTTTATTGTTGTAATATTTATTTATAAGTATGATGAGGTTAATGGTCGTGATATTACTACAAATATTTTTGTTGTATATGCTCTACAGCCAATAAAATGTACATGACAACATGTTTTAACAAAAGCGTGTATTATTGTATTTTAGAATGAGGCAATCAATTACTGTTTAGAGAACTGCTCATTTTAACAGCCGGAATAAACTATGTCATTTTGGAAGCTGGTATAATTTGGAAAGATATATATTAAATTGTGTTCCTGAACAATTTTCTATTCTTGTCAATTCTAAAGACTTAAAAAATAAAACACACACACACAATATGTCAAACAACAACAACAATTCAGAATGCAAGTGCTCTAAATGCTCTTCCAATAGCATGGGATTTGTTTTGGTGTCTACCCAAACACTCAGAAGACATGCACAACAGGATATCGTGAGACAATATCAGTCAGGATCTTCTTGTAAGTTCAAATTTAAGAAAATTATTATTAAGACAATTTTAATTAAATATTTATTTTCATATAATATAGCCTCAGTTATAGAAGTAATGTCGAATGACAATGACATAGAGATTGACTTTGAATACAATGTTGATGCCGAAGATCAAGTTGAAGGTATGCATAGTATTTTTATTAAAGTTTTATAATAATTTATAATATGTAATAATTTGATTCTTTTTTACCTAACAAAACAGCCAAAGACTTACCTCTTTTTGGCATTGATTCCTTGTTTGATTCTGAAAGCGAAGATGAGGGTGTCATTGAAGTAACCATTTTGGATATTTCTGACGATGAATCTGACGATGTTAGAGATTAGTACAAAAAGCACATATAAATCAATAAAGTCAACAAGTATTGATTTTTTTTTCAAATAGAGCACTTTTCTTCATCCAATATGCCAGTCGATCCTACTCATGCTTTCATTGCTTCTTTTGCTGCCTTCTTCATATCCAAATATGTTGTCAATTCTGGTGGTGCTGTTCTGTTAAAGTGTCTTAACGAAGTATTGGCACACTTTGGACAGTCTTTCCGTCTTCCCCTCAGTATAAACGGTGTCAACTTTATGACCGGTCTCAGCGATGTGACTCGAGGTGTCCAGCGGTTTGTTGCATGTGGCAATTGTAACAAAGTATACAAAGAGTCTGATGTTGTTCCAGAGTGATGTAATTTCGAGAGACTCTCTGGTAGAGAATGTGGAAACGCTCTTTTCTTTGCAACATCAAGAGCCTTGACTATCCCCAAAAAGATCTACATGTATAACTCCATAATCAAAACATTGTCTATCCTTTTTTGCCGCCCTGGATTTGAAGACACCATCAACCATTGGAGAATCAGAGTGCAAGTTCCAGGCATGATGTTTGACATTTACAATGGTACGAAGTGGAACAGTCTGAAGGATAGCAATGGTTTACCATTTGTGAATCATGAGCGCTCCATAATGCTTACCATGAACATCGATTGGTTTCAACCTTTTGATGGGGTCACTTACTCCTGTGGTGCGATATACCTTTGCATCAACAACTTGCCAAGATTGGAACAGTACAAGAAGGAGAATGTTGTTCTCGTTGGTCTCATGCCAGGGCCCAAGGAAGCAAAGACAAGTGAGATCAATCACTACCTCTGTCCCCTTGTCACGGAACTCAACCAGTTGTATGGCAGTGTGGTGATGGCTACCGTACAGTGCCCATCTGGTGCTCTTGTCCGTGCTGCCCTTCTTCTTGTTGCCTGCAACATTCCTGCTGCCCGTAAGACTTGTGGGTTCACCTCTTATTCAAGCACATGTGCATGCAATAAGTGCAACCAACAGTTCCCTCGCCTTTCAGACTCCAATGCTGTGGACTACTCTGGGTTCGTGTTTTCTGAGTGGATGCCTCGCACTGATGCCAAAAACTGCCGTGATGCACAGAGAAAGAGATTGGAGAGGGAAAATGGTGTCCGATGGTCAGAATTGCATGACCTGGTTTACTTTAACCTCGTGGAGTGCACTGTCATCGATCCGATGCACAACCTGTACCTTGGAAAGCAAAGAGGATAATGGAGAAATGGAGATCTTCAGGTCTCATCACAGATGCACACTTGGCTGAAATGCAGTTGGATGCTGACAAGCTTGTACTGCCAGAGGACTACACGCCATTAGGGACAAAGATCGGGCGTGGCTTCCCATTCATGAAGGCTGACGAGTGGAAGTCTTGGTGCTTGGTGTACTCTCCTGTTCTCCTGCGTGGTCGTCTACCTGAAGCTCATCTCGGTAACTGGACAGCGTTTGTCAATGCATGCCAGTACCTCTCAATGCCAAGCATATCCATGGCTCACCTTGATGAAGCCCATCAATCTTTGGAGGCTTCCTGCAGAGAGTGCGAGAAGTTGTATAAAGCCCCATTCCTTTCGCCAAACATGCATCTCCATCTTCATCTGCAAGAGACTGTACTGAACTTTGGCCCGGTTTATGGCTATTGGCTTTTTAGTTTCAAAAGATGCAATGGTATCTTGAAAAACTATGCGACAAATAGAAAAGATGGGTTTGAGGGAACCTATATGAATAAGTATCTTGAAGAAGCATACCAGGGAGATCTTATTCGCTAAACTTTGCCAATAATTTGACCTGAGCATTCGGTGATCATCCTTGAGCTCACTGCATCCACTGCCAATTCCATAGCCACTTCCACTTCCACTGCCACCTCAATCCAATTCGATATCAATGCTTTTCTTGATTCTCCTGAGATCAACTTTGATATTGTCAAGGGAAATGAGCCTTTGCCCCCTTCCGCACTTCCTTTAGCTCTAAAGGGGGAGATTTCCATGGATGAATCCGAGTATGAGCATTTGTTGGAATACTATCGCGAGACATACAATGATCAAACTCTTGTTCATTATCGTCATGCTGGTCATTCCAATAATTTTGTTAACAATCGGATACAGAAGTTTGAATCAATCAATCTTCTTGGGCAAATCTACAAGAGCAAAATGAAGAATCAGCGTGGGTTGTTCATGCAAGCCTTATTTGAGACAAGTGATGGTAGAAGTACCAAGCCATACACAGGCCAAATTCAGTATCTCTTTGTCAATACTGCTGTAAACTCGTTTGCTGGTCATGCGAGCCAGCATGTATTTGCATATGTACGATGGTACAAGGAAGTTTTACTTCAGCCCAGAGCAGGAGAAGGAGTTGAGGTGAATGAGGTGGGGTTCGAAGATGACAGCATGAACAGCATTCTCCCAGTGCATAGAATCTGCTATGTAGTCGCAGTAGGCAAGCACCTTGGTCTAGAAGGCAAAGTTCAGATGTGTGTAGTTCCTTTGCCACGAAAAATTAATATTTAGATTCAAATACAAAAATAAAACACATATAAAAAAGAAAAATTAATTAATACAGACTAATATATATAGCTGCACGTTTATTTTTTATTATTTCTATAAATTTTTGTTTGTACTTGGCATGCTATACATGCATCTGTATACATCATGCTAATCCGTAAACATAAACAAGTAGAAAAAAGACTCTAAAATAGTTGGCAAGAAAAAAAAGATTTATTTTGAAAAGCACCAATCTGGTAAAGTGACTGCCAAATTCTCGGGAATGCTCACTTCTTTCTCATAAGGGATGCGCTTTTTCAAGCTTTCTGAATTTTTCTTCAAACGGATAACAGTAAGTTTATCAATAGTACTAATAAACGTCTGGAGCTGGTTTAAAGAATAAATAGTATTAATAAAGTATTATTATTTTCTTTAAAACATAAATAGATGTTTAACATTACCTCATCAGTTCTCCAGCTGGGACGATATGCCCGCACTTTGTTATCTCCATCCGACTCGTCATCAGAAATCACGTCAATAGAAAGAATATTTCCGCAATCATATCGATTCATGCTCTCATGAATAGCCTCTGTGTATGTCTGGTACATGATAATATGACGGTCAAGAAGCTACCAAAGAATATTGTATTAAAACATTAAATCAATAGTAAATTAACTTTATTTTAAAACTTATGGTCTTCTTTCTGTTGCGTCTTCTTCCAGCTTTATTTCTAGCCATAATCTTCTCTGCTGAGATCCGGAAGACTCGCACTTGATTTTGTTAGTGATTCTTTATTATATTCATAATGACACTCTTTGACACATTTGTGCAACATCTTTGAGGTCTCAGGTACTTGAAGAGAGCCAGTGCAAGTGTCTTGTTGTACTTGTTGCCATACGTGCCAGTCATTGACCATGCTGATCTATTATTATTCTCAGCAACTTTGAGTGGGTCTGTGCTAACAAAGTTCAGTTTCTTGATGTAACTATTGATAAGTTGCTATAAAAACAGTATTAGATATATTAATCAGTAATGTTATTATTATCAATTTACTTACAGAAATCAAGGGATGATGTTTTGCTCCAAGGTCAAGATTATCATTCATGGAAGAAGAAGAATCTGCTGGTACAGCAGAAGGCATCACGGAATTTTGGCTGGTCATTGCCTTTTTTATTTCAGCATTTTCAGTCATGAGCTGAAGGACCGAGTTCTTCAAAAATTCATTTGTCTTGTTGGACAAATCCAGGCCATTCTTCAAATGAGTTATTGCATCAGTCACTCCTTTTGCATTTTGTTGCAAGGATTGCATCAACACATTGTTGGCTGCCAACAAGGTAAGGACGTGATCCATTGGGGTCCCAGCGACTTGAACTTCAGGGGCTGTGTCAACTGCTACTTCTGGGGTTGGTATATCAATTGGAGCAACAACACCTGCAATTGTGCTATTAAGAACAGCATTCATGCGTAGGTTGGGTTGGCGGGGAGCAGTAGGAATACGCTTTGTCATTTTCTGTTAATAAAATAAATATTAATAATTTTCAACTAATATTGTACAATTCACTACACTTGTTATATCATATTTAAAATTCACATACTAGTAAAGAGGATAAGCGGTGCAGATTAACTCTCTACCTTTCATTTGATATTTAAGCACATTTCCCAACCGCTTAATCCACATTTAGACAACTTCTTTTCTAACTCAATGAGGCACAAAGTAGTATTTCAAGATGACGGTGGTCATCTTCTTTTGGAGTATTACTTTTTACAGCCCGCATTTTGTCAGAGTCAAACTGGATTTTAAGACAAGTCTTTTTTTTCCTTTTTTTTTCTTTTAACAACATTTATTATTGATATTTTCTTTGTTTCTCTTTTGCTTATGTTTTTACAATTTCACTTATAATTTTTTTTTCTTTTATAGCTCAATACCAAATATGTGTCTCTTTGTTTGGCTATACTCTATCTGATATATCAAGGTAAGATATCATTATCTTACAGATCTTTGTTACTCATCATATTGTTTGTCTAGCCATTGCTACTCATTTCCATTGAGTCTCATCATCTCTTAATCGAACATGATGGTAAGTTTTTTTCTTAAAAAAAATTCAAATTATTCTTTTGTCTTCCTCATAAATATATATTTATTTCTATTACAATTTATTAGCTATGTCTGATATTATGCAGGAAGACGTATAATCAGTAATATTTGGTAAGTTAACTACAATATATTTAATGAATATGCCTTTACTACGCACAATATTAATAACTATTCATTTTTAGAATGTATCTCTATTCAAAGACTACTGGTATTGTCTTGATAATTCTGAAGAACATGTTTATATCAATTTTATGTCAAGTCTTCTCCGCCTTGTAAGTATTTATGAAGAAATTTCAATTTAAATCATTTACTAATTCTTCTTTTCTATTAATCATTTTTTAATAGCATTCCTGCTATTAAAGTATATATTCCATGTCTACTCCCGGAAGGCTTTAAATTATATATAGCGAGCAAGAAGTATTAGCAATTATAATAGCTATAGTATCAAAACTGTTGCGAAATTAGGATTTTTATCTAGAAAAGATTTTCCTATCAAATAAAACAAAATTGAACAAAAAATATATAACCTAATGTTTTTCCAAAAAATAAATAAATAAAAGTAAAATAAATAAACAAACCAAAGAGGCTTGTTTATAAAAATCTACCCATGCTTTGTTTCTCTTTTCCATTGTAAAAAAACCTAGTTTCATTGCTTTTGTGTGTATAAAAAACCTAGTTCACTACGGCAGGATGAATGGCAGTTGGGCCGAAAGTAGGCACATAACTGCCATTTTTTTGGTCGAAACCCAATAAAATCTCCGCCGTTTGTTGTAACATGGTAATGTCATTCGTAGCAATTTAAAAAAGTAACATGAAAACACTTTTTTTGTTGCTGTACAATATTTTCAATACTGTAAAAAATGTTTGTAAGTTGTAATGACCACTTTGAGTATTGAAATATATGTTTTATTGAATATCAAAGATGTCAACAATTATTAAGATTAATAATTTTTGGAATGTGTGAACGAAATGGTAACATAACTGCCATTTTTTTATTTTTTAAACTATGTTCTTTTTTTTTTAGATATTCTTTTTATCTTGATGAATTGGCAATTTGATTTTATTTAAATCGCGTAATGGCGTATAGAGCATATAGGGAATGAAGAGAAAAGCATAAGGTGTATAGAGAATAGAAAAAAAACCGGAGTATATAAAGAAGAAAAGAAAGACGGGGCATATAGAGATTAAAAAAAACATAAGAAATAGAGAAAATTAAAAAAAGAATATAAGATACAAGGATGATATAAAAAATATAAAAGATATAAGGATATAGAGCATATAGAAAAATAAGATAAAAATAAAAAGGATTACAGAATGGAAAGATTGCCTTTAGTAATGCGCATGTTGTTGTTAAAGATATAATAGGGCACGATTACATAAAACTGGTTTCCATTCGGTGGGTATTGGACCAGACCAACTTGATGACAAATGTCATTTACACTTATAACTGCATAAGTCGGTTGCGTTTGGTGGCCTAGTGTATGGGTGCTTTGTGACCATTGTTTGACAATAGGTACTGATGAGTCATGACCAGCCGCGTCATGTTCCTTCATGACCTCCACGAAAGCAAGAAAGTGTGGGAAGCCATAGAAATCTACATGCTGAAAGTAGAACTGTACTGTACCGACGAGCCAGCTGTGAACAATTACATTACGGTTGCTAAAATAAATAAATAAATAGAATGTAAGCAACTTTTGATTGTATATCGAAAAATATTATACTTACTTTCTATAGGGGCAAGTAAACATCACGTAATGGTTGCCACGGCTGGTCTCGTTTTTCTTTCTTCAGTACATGCATGAGGAATATACAGTTGAGTCCATCCACAGACGTGCAGCTACAACAACAACAGAGTCACCAAACTCGTGGCCAGTCAAGCCTGTTGTTCTCTGGTAGTATTTCAATAAAGCTTCCTTCACACTAGGGCCGCCTACACCTTCCACCGAATCATCATTCAAATTAACAAACTGATGAAACGGCTCCCACAACTGCGCACCACTAGGATCATTAGGAAGGTCCATGTAGCCCTCTCTTCCATATGGCTTTGGCCAAATGAGGTTGATTTCATCACAGATGCTGATTGCTGTGCTGGTATAATTGTGAATCGCAAATTGCTCGACGAGAAAACTGGCATTTCGGCCACCCTTTGATTTGGACTTTATCAATTTCGAGAAGATGCCAATTACTCTCTCCATTGAGCGAGTGGAGTAGCATCGCAGGGGGCCTTGCTGCTTGATGATATAGGGTATATGGACCAGGTAATGTTGCACTGGTCGGAAAACACTACGAGACAGGGTATTATTCTGGACTTATTGGTATAAAAACGAGTGCCAGTGCTTGAAGTATCTATTATTAATATTTAAAAAATGGTAACAATCAGCTATTTGTAATGATAATATATGAGATGTATAATAACTTACGACTCCATCTCATCAAGCAATTCTGATGTCAACGTCCATTGCAAGGCAAGCGCACAACCTTTCACGAGAGATAATAGAGCTGTTTTGACAGCCCTATTTGGTAAATAAGGCACGACCAAAGTGGGGACAAGGTATAAGAGAAAGTCAAGCCAGTCTACTGCGCGAGTACCATCGATCTTGGCAAATACGTTGTCGAAACTGCCTTGAAATGAGGTGGGTATATATTTTCGTGAGCTGGTAATACAGTTTCCAATTGTTACAAGGTCTGCTCTTGGTATATGAAAAGGGTATTCGGTGGTATTGAGGGTATTGTCTGGATGGGTATAATAAAATTTGGTTTCCTTTGTGAGGGTGACGGTAATCAGGTCATACACAAGCTTTCCAATCCCTCTTGCAATTAAATGAAGTTCATCTAATGCAAAAAATGATGATCCAGAGAAGGTTGAGAGTTGGGTATATATGCTCGGCTGGTATATGTTCTTCGACTATTACAAGCAGTTATTTAGTATGAAAAAAAGATGGCTAATTGAACATTTGTATACTTACAGGGTTGCCTACTTTGAAGTCTTCCAAAGGTCTTAACCGGGCGGAAATGTCATCAAAGTACATGCCATGCCGTCTGTTAGTAGGGCATTTGCCTTTGGTCTCACAAAAACGGCAACCAAATAAACTTGTATGGGAACCAATGTGGGCCATATCAGCTACAGCTGGAATATCGCCAGAAGCAAGCAGAAGATAGACCTTGGATCTGCAAAGCTCCACTCCATTGTGCTTGACAACCAAGCCATGTGCCTCAAGATCTCGCAATTCATTGATGATGGGTATAAGAAAGGAGTCCAAATGAGTTGGCTTCTTGGGGCCAGGCAAGATTGCCAGTTGCAAAAGGTATTTGTTGGTATATCTAAGTATTTTATTAGTAATTTTTTTTTTAAAAAAAATGTAATAATAATAATAAATAGTAATAAATTAATTAATTACCTGATGGATGGGTCTAGGTTGAATATTATGCAATGGATGATGGTATATGAGTTTTTGCCTTTCTTTTGATTGACAAACCCATCGGTATAAAGCCCAATGGCAATATCATCAGGATTGGAGAACAGGCCCTGCTGCACCAACTGCTTGTAATTGTCACCATCAAAAATGTTGGTTAGCTGACCAGCTACAGATTCCCGGTTTGCTCTGTAACAGAGGAGTTCTCTTGTGGCTGGATCTGCCAACATTTGAGAAAGCATATCCCCAACTGACATAAGTTTCATACTGGCGGCTAGTGTCTGACTTTGATCGGGATCAGTCTTGTATCGCGGTTTGCCGCAGTCAACACAAGATTCCTGGTCGTCATTAATGTCATACAATCGACAACCACTAGAGCAGACATCATACTCATGGCCCTTGACACTTGACTTTGACTTGAGCAAAGCATCAACAGTTTTGCCATGACTGATCTTAGCCCCAGGTTCTAAAAAAAACGATATCACTACATGTTAGTGATCTGGAATTAAAGTACAAGGTAACAGAAAATATAATATTTTACCCATCATTATATCGTCATGGTCTCGGATGACAGTGTTTATAAATTGAACAATGTCTCTATATGCTGCTCTAGCAATTCTATGCTGTAGCATCAATTGAGACAGATGAATACTCATCAACTCGGCCTTGGTAAAAGTATTTGTACTGATTCGGCTGCTGTCGTAAATGTGAGCTTCACCCTCACTGTCCTCAAAATTACATGCGCACTTATATGAAATAGTATTATCAAGCTCCATAGACTCCATAGTATATTCTGTAATACAATTACAGCTCTTTTCATTACCTGAATTGCTAACAGATTCATCTTCATTACTAGTATCATTTTCGTCATGGTACATGTCAACATCATCCAGAATAGACTGGTCAATTTCAGTCATTGTTGCTGAATCTCCTCTGTGAATTCTCTTGTGGTTTTGCAGCTTCTGGTAGTTATCAAAAAACAAGACACATTGATCACATTGGTATTGCTGTGTAGATATTCTATCTCTCTGCTGGCTGGCGTTGGAAGAAGACATATTGGTTGGGTTGGTACGTATGTAATATATAAAATAAAGCTGCGAAGAGGATTTTGGTGCTATTTATTAAATGTAAAAGACATCTTTATATACTCTTTATTTTTTAACCAAAATGCTTGCGGCTCTTTTTCTTTTTCTCTCTCATAATGATGATATAGCAATGATTACAGTAATGACAATGCTAGGTGAAACATCTGTCAGTAAATAATTCCCGTGGTTGGAAAGATTCTTCTTCATTAATAATTATGATGTAAGTTAAAATACTTCTTGGTTGACAAGGGGGTACCATTAAAAGAGCACCGGTGAAACAGATACGTACTCTTTACTTGTGAGCGATTAGATATTCTTTGGGCTTTATAAAGAAGTATATGTATATTTAGGATAATTAATGACCAAATAATTTATGTTTTTTTTTTAAATAAATTATCAATTACTCTCTAATACCAAAGGCAAAGAAAAACAGCCTTCTAATAATTAACAGTTAAAAAAAAGTAGTACTGTCTAAACACATTGGTAGAAAAGACATATTTATATTATCTGTGTTGTACTAATAATATTTTTGAGATAGTGAATATATATTTAGCTAATAGCATTATTTTCTTGTTTATGTATAAAACTTAAAGAAATAGATATAGATAATGAGGGCTATAGTCTGATACTCTTTTACTGACATCATCAAGATAAGCACTACTGATCGAAAGGGGTGTTAATTGAAAGTGCCGATGTGAGTTAAAGCACACCTTTTTCAAAAATGTACAGTTTCAGTCAAAAATGCCCGTTGGTAAATAATAGTAATGACAGTTAAAATTATTTTTACCTTTGATGACAGCATCAATCAAAAGTTTTAGTCGATAATGATAATAAGTATGATATGAACTTGAGTATCATAACATTTACTTTAATGTTGATAAAAAGGGGCTAATTAACTATATGATGTTCAGATGTTATATAGCTACTGTAGAGTATATTTAAAGTTATAATTTTAACTGGTACAGGGTTTTGTCATCGAGAACTTTAACCAAATTTCATGCTATATCTGCAATATGTATAGAGTTATATTATTATATCATATACTTTAAAACGTTTAATATGTAGACGGTGCAAAGTATGAACATTTATACATATAATATTGATTTAAAGTCTAATTCATTTTATCTTTATATTTCTTACAGTTTTGTTGTGTCGACACGAAAAGACTGTATCATGTTCACATGAGCTACTGCAGACAGGTGCAGACAGGTGCATACAAGTGCATAAGCATCCCTTCTTTTATATGTTTTGTTTGTACATCTGTCTGTATCTTTTTCATATAAATAGCTATCAATTGCTTGTAATAAATCGTTGCCTTTCTCAAACTCAAATCGCTCTTATTCTACTTGTCTAAACTATCACCTTTTCTTTTCAACTCACTGCTTATAGCTAAAAAAAAACTTAAACATGTCCGATATTAACACAACTCTCCTCAACTCAATTCAAAAGATTGAGGTTGATCTTGCTGAAATCAAGCAAGCATTGCGCGAGCTTCAAAGGCAATTCAGCAATCAATTTGCGCCAGCAGTCAGTGCGGAAGATCTAACTACAATGCAACAAAGCATTATTGAGCAGAGTTGTAAGTCATATATATTCTGTGCTTAGATGTTTATTTACTTTATTAATATTGTCATACATTTTTTGTAGCTCTTGAGCGCATTGCCGAGTCTGTGAAAAGAGCCCAGCTCACAGAGTACCCTGATCAGCTCGGTAAGCAAGTAATCAATACTGGCGGTGAGTTCAAAGGAAAAAACGAAGCACAAAAATACAATCTGTTGCTTCAGATTCTTCACGAGCAGGACTGGAAGGCGCGCTGCAAAGAAGTTCCACAAGGGCAGCCTTTGCCCCCATTAGTCCCTCTTTCAGACCATGATTTGACAGTAAAAAGACTGCATCTCAAAACATTAGGCCGTACGGTAAATCATTATATCATTGACAAAGACTATCCTGCGGCCTCAAAAGAATGGAAGAATATCCCAGAGAAAAACAGGGAATACTACATGATGCATTTGGAGAGTTTGGCGAAGAATGGTGGATTGCACATCCACCAATGTAAAAGAATGTGGTGTGCAAGAAGCCTTCTTCGGGAAAGCTTCAAGAGCGACAACCAGACACACAAGAGAAGAATGGCAGAGAAGAACAAAGTAAGTTTATCAATTAACAAATCTATATATTGTAAACTTTAATCAACATCGTTTCCTTTTATTATGCTATAGACACAGCGAGACATAAGTGATTCTTTGCTTTCTTCTCCTGATATGTCAGAAACTGGTGATGTTGAGTCGCCCATAATGGCAGATGTGCTGTAAGTT